TGGGCGAAGTAAAAGTTATATGTATTTATTGAGAACGCTTAAAAACTGTAAAGGAAACGCTCAAAAATTGCAATACAAGTAAGTTCCAGGTTTTACGTATAATGTGATTATTACTCCCATTTATTGTAACTCGATTTCTAATCGGGGCCGGGTTCACATTTACTTATTAACTTGTCTGCACTGTAAGTTCCCAGATGAGAAGATGTGGAAATAAAGGACATAAAATTATCATCTCTAGTTTTAATTTGAATATACAAACAACTGTTGAGGAAAAAAGGTTTCGAAGAGGAATGCCTCTGAGGGAATACCGCAAAAGGAGCCACCAAGCGATGACTGACCAATGCGCGTCACATAAGGATACGCTCCACACGGGACTAACGGTAAGTATTAAAACTGAGCCCAGTGCACATTAATTTGGAATTGTTTATACCCAAACTGAATTTATCGATCAAGGTTTACGAGGTTATTCGTCCATGGCCTTGGTAACAACGATGCGGCTTGTAGCGCGCTGTGAATAGCAGTTGTCTCTTCAATACGTTTCACTCACTTTTTGTGAACTTATCGTTAGCACCAAAAACTCTTATAATACAGGGTGGTTCAAACGGAGCTTCCAACCTTATTTCAATTATTTCTCCCCCAATAATGAATGGAAATGCAAGAAATGTAGAACCTATTTCTATAAAATTAATTTCAAATTCAAGCTGATGCAGCCCATCTTCTGTCCACCAAATGTAGTCCGCGCAAAAAGTCGTTGGAATTTTCTTCTCTGCGCTGTGCATAAACTCGAAAAAAAATTGGCACTGTGGACCAGGCCTAAAAAGTTGGTTTGCACAGTGCAATTTTGTACCAAGTTGGACGAACGAAAACGAAAGCTGTTTTCACGGGCAATCTAGGCCTCAAGACTTGTTGTGCATCTTCAGGGTCCGACGTTCCAGGTCAACGGTGCCGTTTTATAGATATTAGAGGGATTAGGTCCGAACAGTGCACATTTTTAAATGTTTTCGCTTCGGGACGAAAAAGAAACATTTTTTATGGAGAACTGAACCACATTTCGAAATTTTTTCGTTTTGGGACACGAAAGGAGGAAAGGAAGATTTTTTTTTTGAGAATTGATCTGAATGTTACAATTTATTTTACAGAGTAAATAGTTAACTTACAAGGGATCGGCAAGTCTTGACTGGCCACCTTAACGAAACATATCATTTGAGAGAGAATTAAGAATAGTGTAAAACGCCCAGTTTGCTTTGGGGCATAGATACAACCCTTTTATAAAGCGGGTTGTATGCGGCCAAAACGCCGGATTCTTAAATTACAGCAAGGCTTGAAATCATCTTCATTGATTTCATAACGTCCAAAAACGTCAATCAATGCGTTCTCGGTTATGAGTTATTTGACATTTCTGTTAGTTACAAAAAAATTTAAATAAAACTGGGCTAATGAGAAAATTGGAGCCAAAGGTTTCGGAAATACATTTACATCATGGACATGGTCATTCACAAATGAAAATCTCAAAACTGAAAATTTCTTGTGTCCTAGCCTCCGGTTGGTTCACTGGGTCAGAAATAGTGTTCGTTTAGATCCAACTATTTACCTTGAGTAGAGTTGCACAAAAAAGCAAAAAAATTGACTGCTTTTAGGTACTGTACACACAATTTATACTCTCACACAAAAGTGGCCCACCTTGTACATATGTAGTTTGTTGTCACCTTCTGGGAGCCAGTGTTCTGCTCGTGTTTACGGATCTTTTGTTTGTTGATTGATTTAGTTGATCATATCACGGTGATCCCCTTCGTTTCGATGATCCGATTATAATCGTGTGTTCTGCCGTTCCTTTCCTTGTTCAAAATGCTTAAACTTGTTCCGTTTTCGTGTTCCGTGTCCCTTTCCCGTCCATCTTTTTTGTTTACCGTGACCTGAGAAGGCCGAGTTAAATCCGTGGGTCTCGACCTCGAATTGATTTAAAGGTCCGTTCCCTGAGGGCATCTCACACTTTCGCCGTCCCGGATCTTCACTTTTCGAATAAAAACATGCCTTCGCTCCTTTTTCGTTCTCATAATTTAACGGCGAAGCTGATGTCATCCAGGGATATTCTGGAGGGGTCATGGGATGGATGGATGATGCCTCGAGCGATTATCTTTTCAAAACTTTTGAATCGGATTACAATTCAACGGTTATGAGTTTAATTAGACGCTTTTTGGTTTCTGATCGAAGCCAGTCGCATTACACCTTGTTTGTTTGCAGTAATGACTTACTGCTCTGTGATGTTCCCACAAAATTTCAAACCTTTTATCAAACCTTTTCTGTGATAATTAATCAGAATTGGGTCAATGTAAAGTCGCGGAGAGAAGTGTTTGACAGTAACTTGCATTTAATTTCATTTCTTTTGTAAAAAAAGGGAAATTGCGTTTTTTCGATCGGAAAGGTCGGGTCGAGGGGCGCTTAATAGGGGAAGGAAGGACTCTCGTCTTGGGGACAGCCTTATAGGAGTCGTCATATCGCTCAGATCACTCGGTGGGGGACTTTACCTTCACCAGCTCATGATCATCTCGAAGTGTCGGAAATGGGGCGAAGGGGGAGCGGAGTGGCGGAACGTTCCGAGCGTGAGGTTCTTCAGATGACCGAAAATAAATATTTTTTCTCCCCGCTTAAATCGTCGCGCGTTGTTGCTCCCGCGCCCCCGAAAAAACCTTTGATACTCAAGTTGAGTACTGCAGTCAAAGGTCGGGCCAATTCCCCTCCCCCTCGACCACCAGTTTAAACCTTTTCTTTGTTTTTTTGAGAGTGACCACCTGCTCCGGTTCCCTTAAGCCATGTTCCCTTTTTGCGATCAGATCAAGCCTTTGAGGATTATGAATTCTGGTTTTGAGAGGGGCATTCTATCATGTATAACATAAAACAGCCTCCTCCATGCCAATCTCCTGGCAGAGGTGTCCTTCTTTTGTTTTGCTCTTGATTCACTTTCAGTCCTGGTTGATATTCTTTTGTCAATATCACATTCCGTTTTACTAGTGGTCGTTTGTTATATTTTTTCTCTGCAAAGCAAAGCAATCTTCCCGGAGAATGTCGTAAAATGAAGACAAAACTTTTGTGGCATGACGTGTCCTGTTTATGACTGGCCGAGGGAAAGGCTGTCCTAAATCAAGCTAACACCCTCCTCTTTCCTTGCTGCCGATTCCGGTTTGGTTTCGATTCTTTGGTCTTCTGGAGGTGTTTCGGCGTTAGAAGTTTTTTCGCGGCCTTCAAGCTTTTGCAGACCCTGAGGCCCTAAGAAGGAGATAATTAACTCCATTTGTGATAGACTCACTCTTTTCACGTTATCCCTGCGATCAGCGAAAGGGAAGGGAAAGTGGCTTGATTGTTATCCTATACACATGACCCCGTCGTTGACTTTACTTCCCCTTTCTTCGCACCTTAAACCCTTAGAAAACCTGAGTTAAGGGGGTTCATTGTTCGAGAAGCGCGTTAAGATGATGAGGTTTGTTTTCATAATCATTCTTCGTATTATATGTATGTACTGACGCTTACATTCCGATCGTAGCAATCTGTGGCCAACGTTTGCGCTTTTCCTTACCCCGGTCAGAGCTGTTATTACTTCTTGTTAATAGCGTGATTATCGTCGCAGTCGTTTGTGATAAGAAGGGAGGTATTTAGGGGGAGTTAAGAGTTACACCATTGGGTTATTACGCCCGGAAGGAAGGGGTCCAACAAATAAGGTTCATCGATTTTCATCACGTCACATCCGAAACTCTGATTTTAGCCAATTATCGTAATTTCTCTGGCTTTGCATTCTCTTAATCGTGTTATTTTTATGTTTTTGAGCTTACTGTTTATGATGAGATGGTTTTTTGGGACGTGAAAATGTTGTTTCTCGAGAAAGTCAGATGACTTTGGGAACTTCTGGAGGGCCCTTCTAGGCCGACATACCATATAAGCACCCTCAGGCGACGCTTTTCGGATAATTGAAGCCATTTTAGAAACAAAAGCAACTTGTCTTTTTCCAATCGTATTTCGTGATGACCGATGGATGAACATGGATGATGCATCCCGGGGCCAGGCGTGGAAAAGGTGCGCGGAAGCGAGACCGGCCGAGCGGCTTTGCGCGCCACACAAAGCCGTCAACGACCGTAAGCCGATTGGGAAAAGAAGGGGCGTTGTGGAGAAGCAGGGGTATTCGTGTATAGATCGGTATACAAGAAAAAATTCTGCAAACTTATATTTAGATATTTTGAATTTTATTGCCTGGGGACGTAAAACATTGAATCTATGAATTTATTTTTATCTGATCTCCATCATTCATACCCTCAGGCTTCATTTCTTATCAGTCCACACCACTTTTTGACGGCTTTTTTCCCGCACTTTCAATCAAATATTACTAGAATTACTGCAAAATTCGCGTAAGCACAGCCGAAATATGGATTCTCCCGGAAATTGGATGAAATGCGCAATCGCTTTACACTCCCGGCTTGATTAATATGTCAAGCGGCGACGGGGCAGAGGAGGATAGGTTGGGGTGTTGTTTTTTGCGCCGCCGCCATTTAATGCTTATCAGCTCTCGATATCGCCGTTTCTCGGATTCCCACCATTGAGGATATATCCTCGATTCACCTCACTTTTGATTATCTGATCCATTTCTTTCCGGAGTCTTTAGGGTTGCGTTGTGGGGGATTAGATGCCGGATTAGGTTACTGTTGAGCACCTTTTTAATGGCTACTTGTTTAATGTGTCGCGTTTATTTTTATTTTTATTTGTATTTCTTTGTCAACTCATATTGACTCCCTTTTCATGTCCCATAAACTCTTATGTTGTTTTCGAGTACTCTGTTTGGCACGGCCTTCCTCGAACTCCGTGATCGTCCTCTTACTTCCTTTGTCGTTCCGTGATCCGACACCTTTTTTGTGGTTTTTTGAAGAAGCCGCCTTATTTGTCGCGTTTTCAGAGTTTTTTGTAATCGGATGGACGTTTTCCCATCTCCTTCGTATCAGTAACGGATCAACTCAAAAATGGATTGGATGTGGTCATGGAAAGACTATGTTTTCTACGGGATGTGCTCCTGTTCTGGGACCAGTGGAGTGGACACGGAGCCGGTGGCCAAGAACAAGTAAGTTTGTCATTCCACTTTGCATTTTGATTCATATTATTACGCAATATTTTTGCGCGTTGAGTAATCGTCGTTTTGTTGGAAGATTACAATTCTGAATGGGAAACTTGAGAGAGTACCAGTGATGTCTAAGTTTAATCAAAAGTCCATCTCTCACAGCCAATCCTCTCATCGAGAATTGACATATCCGTTTTTAGCCTGCGGACATAAAGTTTTTTCCGGTCAAGAACTTGTGCCGCGCCATTCTTCGTCCCTAATCTTCTGAATCTTTATAAAAAGTTTTGTCTCCACAAATGGTCATTTTATTTTATTATTTTTGCAAACTCCATAAAATAAGAATGGGGTTTTCTGAGTCAATTCGAACTTCTTTTTCCCTCGTTAATCATGTGTTTGAGGACGTCCCCTTAGGGTCTTCTTGTCTAATTCTGTGTTTTGGCCTGGGGAATGAAAGAATTGAATTAAATAACCCCCAATCACGGCTTCTGCGCGTCCTTTTCTTTCTTTTTCCGAGTTATGAAAATCCCGACCTTAGGACAAATTCCTCTTCGAATGTCTTGTTGTTGTGTAAGCCCGAGCCGGACGCAACAATTGCTTTAATTTCGAACCTTAATCCATTCCACAGCCCACTTATCAATCGAACGCTCTCTAATTCCGGGCCAGACCTCCCCCTTGCCCTGCCTCCACCCCCATGACCGAGCTGAGAGAGCGGGCGGGTCGGGTCTCGACCTTTCAATCTCGGTGATTCGAACGCTCTTCAACACGGCGATCGGCCGCTATTGTGCGCGAGAAAACGTCGCTTCTTTTGGGGGTGATTCTTCCGTCCGTGGAAGAAGTGGAGATGCCCACAAGAAGTCCTGTCCAGCGTCAAATCTCGGCGAAAAAACTTCAGAAGACGGAAGAAGTTGAGGAGGATGGGATCAGGGTAATCATGCGACGCCCCTCCAGGTACACAAAACGGAGTGCCAAAGAAGTGTTGGTCGATGGAATGCGGCGACTCTCCAGGTAACGGAAGTGGTTCAAGGATGGTGTCTTCATCCTTATTAATCCCCCTTCTTCGTTAGACTTCTCTAATCCGACAAACTGTCGAACAAAGGGCCCGAATTAGCAGTCCACGTGAGCTCCCTCCTCGTTATTCCTGGCTCATTAAACATTATCTCCGGAACTGATTGCCAAGACGACCCGATTCCCTCCGTTCTCGCCCAGAGGTCACACTTTCTTTTCGTGAATCGAGATCATAAACAGTGCACCTGGAGTCCATTATTGGTTTTACGAGGCTCCCGAGACGGTTTCCTTATTTTATGCGCTATTGCATGCCCCAGCCCTCTGGCTCCAGATTTTCCGGATTTTGAATGGCTGGGAACCCTGTTGCCGATCTTTTCGGAATGCTTCGAACACTTTGACCATGTTGTTCCCATTTTTATTATTTTTACTGGCGTTTATCTCCCTCGGCATAAAAGCGTTTGGAGTTATTAATCGCGAGTTTAAGTGGATTCGAGGGATCTCGGGTGCCTGCGGGGTATCTGCCCAATTCACAGGCTGATCTGGATATAATGAGACTCCCAGCAGGCCACTTCTCTTCGGTCAGTTGCTGTAGGCGACAGAATCCGTTCCTTTTTTGTTTTCGCGTCCAAAGTGGGTCTAAATCTGATTGGAACGCTCCCTCCCGGCCATCCGCGAGAGTAGTTTTCTTACACAAAAAACAGGTAGCCGAGCGAAGAGCCGTCTCTCTTCTGACCTTAGGGTATTTTATTTGTCCGATTAATTGGGCAAACGGAAATTGCCTTAGGGTGTAAAGCATTTATATTTGAGCCCGCTGACGTGGCCGTGGAACAAGTCGTGGATAGTAATAGTAATAGTCATGTTTTGTAATGTGGTTGAGTAATCATGCAATAGTCATTTACCGAAGACTTGCAAAAACTTTTTTAGATTATTCATTTGATGTGTTTATGTGTTCCGATGGCTCTTATCATTAAAGACTGATCGGTTTCCAGCTTGTGGCTTTAATGTTTTTGATGATATTTTTCCAACTTTTACTCTCCATACTATTGTAAGCGCATAACCGGGAGATGTATACAATCCCCTTGTAATATCTGAATTATCTTCCTCGATCCTTCCTTTCATTCAAATGGGAGTCATAAATTATACCTGCCCCCACTCCTGACTTCCAACCGTTTGACCCAGAGGCAATTACGTACAATTACGAGTTCGATCCTCCCTTCTTTCCAACCACTGGTTGCGCCACTTTTGTGAGCAACCCAAGCCGGAAGACGGGGCTACAAGACGCGACCTTGTACGGCACTCAGCCGACCGCAAGGCGCGAGATTTCGTTTAATCATATTCATCCTCCAGTCATCCGTTTATTCATTCAGATGCCCCCTTCCCGAAGCCCCAAGTTATTTCAAGGTTTTGGTGGGATTAGGCGGCAAACCAAATCCCATTACGGCGCCCGATATCCAAATTCCATTGGCCTGTTTTTTGGCCACTCTTTTATCGCTTTTATTGTTTATCCGACCTCTTCCCCTCGGGGTAATTCTGATTCTGTTTTTGAGGGAAATGTCATAAAATCCTCATTTTTTGCCATTTTATGGTATTGTAAAGGCATATACAATCTTCTTGAGCGTATTCATATTTATGAAGGTAGTAGAAACGTTATTTTTACAATATCTGAGAAAGATTCTCCCAGTCTTATAATCGGAAGTTACTGATCCCTTTTATTATAACATGTCGGAAACCCAGGTAGACCTGGCTAATTATAGTTTTTTGAAAAGAACTTGTCGGCTCTATTTTCCCAAAAGAAATTATCTCTTGGATTATTTATCTGAAGGATTTACAAACAAATAGGCACAAGTACAGCCAAGTTAATCGATTACTCTTCCATTTACACTTGCTGAGTAATCCGTTGATCGGATTAGAGCCCCTTTATTACTAGTTATCGTATACTCTATGATTCTAATGGATCTTCCCGATTTCAGACGGACTTCGACACATTGCGACCTCTACAGTGTTCAGTCTTATGCCCCAGATTGGAATCAGTCTCCCTCATTCTTCAGCATGAGCCCTCAGGGCACGCCGGTCGCCCAGCCGCGACTCTACAAGGATCCGAAGGTGGGAGGGAAATTATATTATTGGGACATATTTTTGGATTTGATAAACAAACGATTCCCTCATTAGGCTTACCATTTTTTACCTTTTTGATTTGTTTTGTTTGGAGCTTTAATAAATAACAGGGAAATCCAAAAAGTTTTCTTCTGTCCATTGCTTGCTGTCCAATCTTATTTAATTGAATTACTTGTAACTTCACAGGTAGTTTCTTATTCTCTTACCTTTACCGATTAAACTCCCTTTCCGCTCGTTTAACCCAACTTTTTTCAGTCTGCCGAATTTCTCAATTTTCTGGAACATATGCAAAGTCAGAGATTGGACGATCAGCGCTGCGAAATGCCAGATATCGTGAGTTCTTTGTTTATTCTCTGCAGCAGAATTATATTCGGATCAAAAGCACTAGACGGATATGTTTATTTCGGCAATCATTAGGTCATGTTTTTGATGCTTAATCAAGGAAAGATGACATCCGCAGATTTAATTCCTGATTCATTTGGGTGTTGGCGATCACTTTTCTGTCTTTTCCCTACTTTTCCAGCCATAGTATAATTTGTTGGGGGTAACCTTGACGCCGCTTTGATCCCGAGGAAGGGTCCTCGAAGTCGCTTCTCGCCCCAATTTGACCATGTTTCTTCAGATTAATTTATAACATACACAGACCCGGCAATCGCTTCCGAATTGGCTCTCTTCTGAGTTTTCGCCGAATCGAGGTACCAGCGATCATGTTAAGGGGCGTTTTAAGGCTTTAAAGCATTGTAAACATATGTAAATTATCCGAATTTGCTTCGAATTATTTACGTAATTTCTGTCACGTAATCATCGACCGACTGATGGGTTTAATTTCGTCTTCCTCTTTTCTTCAAATACGACATGTTTTGTAAACATAAAAAAATATAAATTTGTGTTTATTACCCTTTCCTTGCTCAACATGTTTTGTTTTAAGGAATGACTTGTTTGGAACCAAAACTTTTCCAAGAAAAAACTTCTGCGAACTGTTTTTATAACATTCATAAGACCTTTTTTTACTGGCACAGTCAAGAGTTGCGTGTGTTTCTTTTCATTAAGAGTAGTTGACTGCACTTTTGAGAAGAGATTAAAGTCAATATAATTTCTCCGTATATCTCCCGGAAGATACGTTAAGTCGAGGCCCGAGATAACTGTTTATTTAAAGTTTGGAGAGGGCTTTCTTAAGTTTGCGTTTAACTAGCAAATACTGCATAAGCTTCCGTCTCATTTACAGAGAACTCTTGAGATAGGCGTTAACCTTTTTATCTCATCTCTCGCAGCCGATCGAACGGATTTCACCTGAGGGCTTCTTCCAAAAGTGCAGAGAGACACTTTTTTCCGATGCTCCAGAATCGCTTTATGTGTCACTTCGACGCCTCGAGGTGTCTCTCTCTTATCAGCCTCATCAATTGAAACTTTTGAGTCATCTTTTTTACAATCTTCTCTTTCCTGATTCGGTCCTTTGTAACTTGGGTAGTATAACAGGTTTTACACTATGGTTACTGCCGCGATTAGTGCAGATTTATGTCCGTTACATACAGTAATTAGCTCGCTTAATTAGTTCTAAATCCCATTTGTTTGATCGCTTTTTCTTATTCGTTATCAACTCATTTTTAGCGGATCTACTTTGCTTAACGATTAGTAATACAATGACGATGTATGTATTACATTGTACAAGACGTCTCTTTTGTTTGATCGCCGGGGAAATTTGAAACTTGAGTAATCAGAAGCATGAAGGTGTTTCAAGGTTTCGCCCAGAGAAACGGTTTGTTTTCGAGATCTCGAGTTTATCTCGCCCTTCCCAATCCGTTGAAAAAAGACTTTCACTGATGCCAGTTTGGAGGGGATGGATGGTGAGAATGAGGAAGGAAGATGCCCTGAACGGCAGACCGGTTCATGATAACTCGTGACGGAGTGCAAGGTGTTCGATGCCGCCATATGTGGTTTTCCTCAATCTGTCGCCTCAAGGCCGTCCGTCGCGGGATGTCGCGATGGCCTTCGGTGTTTTATATTACTCCAGAATGGGTTTTATTGTTTCCCACCTTATTTAAGACGTTGCCAATATTAGTATTATTAATTGTTTTTTTTCCGGGATCCTTTCTTTTTTCTTGACTTCTTAAAGTTGTTAAAACAGAAACTTAAATTATTAGATCAGTCAATAAGAAGGCCTTTGACCTTTACGTCAACCAGTTGATGACTAGGATTGGACTCTGGGCCAAACCACAGTTTCTGGGCCTTTGTGATGGCCAGGGTTCCCTTCCCCAAATATGATTCAGCCTTTTAATCTTAAACACTCCATCGCTGTTGGTCTCGATCCGTTTTTGCAGCCTTTCGTCGATTTTATTGTCCATTTTTGTGCGAAGAGGAACATAATATTCAGCCGGTTTTTTTGTCTTTGTGTCTCCATAGTGTGTTCTTGATCCTTCCGCGTCATTTGAGGTGGGAACGGTCCCAGGATTAAGTCCATTCCTTTATTCTTCGGACATCAATCGGACGATCCCTACATTTTCGGATCTTCCGGACTAGAATAATTTAATCCATGAATCAGTCCAGGCATTTTTGTGAAAGGCGACTGCCTGTTTGTCGCGCGATTTACGACGGGGTTTGAAGGGCTCTTCGGACATTTATTTCCCTCACCTTTTCAATTTCGAACTCTTTAAGTTCGATCCGTTAACTCTCCTCTTCAAATCCCCTGCTGGGAGTTCCGCAGCCTGTTGTAGCAAAACAATTGACCCGAATCTTCAGTTTTGTTTTCCATTCGAGGATTACAAATACCACTCCACAACTTTCGGTTGATTATTGAGTGAAAGTAGATTTCTTTTTTTTTTTTTTGATTTATCAGAGGTTATCATTGGAGAGCAGATGTTGTTTATCCAAAACATCTGGAAAGTTATCCATATCAGAAGGAGGAAGAAGAGGTAGCCTGAGGGCATTTCTGACCTTATCACCCGGACTCCTCCCGGGTCGTGCTCTCTTCTTAATTCGTAATTATGTCCATTAGTTATTATTTTTGCCTTCTCTCGAAAGGAGCCGAATTGGCATCAGATTGCACCTCCCTCCTCAGAACGGCATATCACTTTTTTTCACAGCTGTTATCAGTCTTTTTTTTCTTTTCTTAGTCATTTTTATTTGCGCCTCAATGACTTTCATCTTTATGTCAAAACCTTTAGGAGTTGATCTTCTTCCTCCCTTTCGTTTTTTACAAACCCTCTGGGGAGAAATTTGTCGCCTCCGGCGCGAATTGTCCACTTTAAGAATTTTCTTTCGGTTTCCCCGGCATTTTATTCCCGACATGTGTGGGCCTATGAATTGTTTAACGGCGAGCTGAAGGTGAATTAAAGGAGTCATGCTTCTGTTACAGATGTAATAGACACAACTTTTTACTTTACGAATGACCGCTGTCACTTGTTCTACTACTTCCGGGGCCTCTGAGGGTTTAATGTGGACATCCCAGACCTTAAAGGCAAGAGAAACGTCAACGAATCAACATCTCGAGGATGACGTCTTCCGTGGAAAGTCGCCCGTTCGAGTTCAGATGCGCCGCGGACCCAGCCGGGAGATAGCGCGCTGCGCCCAACAACATGCAACCTCATCAAATCCGAAGATCCCCTTACAACTCGGAAGTAAAGACGACGTAATCAGACATTCAGTAGTGGAGATATCTCATCCAACATCTGTATCCATTGATTCCAAAGTTCAACCCAATGTTAAAGGTGGATCGGTCCCTGCCCGTCGGTTTGAGAGAAGATCCCGACCCGCTCTGTCAGTGAATCTACCAGATTCTGAAGGACGCATTAGACCCCAAACCATGTTCTGCTCATCCAACGACGAATCAATCGGAGTGGAAAAAAGATATCCCCCTTTAACGCCTAATGAAGGTGGCGTCATGTACAGATCCGTTCGAATGAATGCCGCTGCAAGAGCCACTCGACGTCGACTCCGTATGAGCGACACGTTCGATGAACTGAGTCGAAAAAAAGAAGAGAAACATCCAACATTAATACAGACAACCTCAGAACAAAAGGTCAAATTCCGCCGTCCTGTCTCGATGGTGCTCGGCAATCAGAGCAGACCTGCTCCTTTGGTCAAGATCAGCGAGTTAGCCCTGGATGAGGAGGACCATGAGGACCAGAAGAAAGCTGAGGAAATAGAATTCAGCCATCAGATGGCTACAGCTGCCTTCAAGCTCTTGGATGCCCAGATGACTCTACAACAGCATCGGAAAGAGCAGGCCAGAGAAGAGGGCCGGTCCAAAAGACGGTCTTTGATTAATTTCTCCTCCCTTTCCTCACCGAATTCAAACTCCAATAATTCTTTACTTGGGATGTTCTTTGGCCATCGGAAGCGTCCCGACAGAGAAGGAATCCCCAATTCGATCAGCTCACCTATTCTAATACCTTCGAATGGGCTAAAGAAATGCACTGTTCGCAGCTCTTCTCTCATTGCGAGAATTGCTGATCAAAATGTAAAGTTTAGAACCTAGAAATGATAGGAATATATTTCTGCTGCAGTTATCATTTTTTATATTGATTTCGAATAATTATTCCAATTTTATTAATTTTAGAGGAATGACGGAACAAACGGAGCCCGAGATAGAAGTACCAGAGATACTATTAGGGAGATCTTAGGAAGGAAAGGACCGTATCCACAGATCGTTCTTCCTGTGAATGGGAGATATTGGATGGACGGAGTCAGCTCCTGTCCAATCCCGATGGACGATGAGCTGATTCAGACTACTCAGACGAATAACAGCTGTGCCAGATTCAAGCTCGAGACCGACGACACATCTCACTCGTATCGCCGGTTCTTTATTGGTCGAGAACATCATAATTTCTTCGCCAAGGATCCAAAACTCGGCCCTTTGGTCCTTTCCGTCCGTACGGAGACAATATCGTCTCAGGATCATTTCCGGATAATATTGAGGACCAGGAATGGGACGATACACGAAATCGTGCCAGCCTCCGCATTGGCTGACAAGCCGTCGGCTAGTCGAATGGCCCGACTTCTGTGTGATGAGATATCCACTGAACGATTCTCTCCCGTCGCTTTTCCCGGAGGTTCTGAATTGATCTTAAACTACGACGAGCATGTCATCACCGATACTTATAAGTTCGGTAAGTCCATTTGTCAGACTAAAGAAAGCAATACTTCCCCTTGATTGATTTGTCATCATCCTAATTATTACGTTTTTAGGAGTTATCTATCAAAAAGTGGGACAAACAACAGAAGAAGAATTGTTTGGGAATGCAAGTGCCAATCCATCATTTAATGAATTTTTGGAGACCCTTGGAGATCGGATACAGCTTAAGGATTTCGAGGGATATCGGGGAGGATTAGATATTCAGCACGGCCAAACAGGAACAGAATCCGTTTACACCCAATTCAGACAAAAGGAGATCATGTTCCATGTATCTACAATGCTCCCTTATACAGTTGGAGACACTCAACAATTACAACGGAAAAGACATATCGGAAATGACATTGTGGCCATCATATTTCAAGAGGAGAACACTCCATTCTCTCCTGATTTCATCGCCTCCAACTTCCTGCATGCTTATATTGTAGTGCAACCTATTGATTCTGGGACGGATCGAACCAAATATAGAGTATCAGTCACTGCTCGTGATGATGTCCCTTTCTTCGGCCCGACCCTGCCAGCACCATCGATATTCAGAAAAGGCCAGGACTTCCGTAACTTCCTCTTAACAAAACTAATAAATGCTGAGAATGCTGCTTATAAAGCAGATAAGTTCTCCAAGCTCGCCGAAAGGACAAGAATATCCCTTTTGGATGGACTCCATTCCAATCTTATGGAAAGAGCTCAGTTTTATGGAATGGCTTTCCTAGAATCAGCTGAATCCCAGCCTCAGAACAGTAACAATTCGACTGGTCTGTTCAGCTCCGTCAAAAAGGCTTTTAGTGGAAGAAGCAGATCTGTTTCCCAAGACGTGACCGCCATGGGAGCAATTAATGGCACCAGTCGATTATCTGCTGCTGCCTTGGGGGAGCATCTCTCGTCTCCAACCATATCACGGACCAATAATACTTCCACCTCATTCTCAGCCCAAAAGAAGTCACCGTCGTCAGCAGGATCTTCCAACTTCGTTAGACGAAGAACAGTCGCATCTCCTTCATTTGCTATGATGACTGATACGTTCGAGGAAAATGGGCATCCAAAAGGGTCTTTATCGAAGCAAAGCGGATCAGCAAAGGCATTAGTAGCCAGGAATTATTTAAATAATTCTGGAGAAACCTCTTTCCCTGCCGGACTCCGCGTACAACCGGCTTACTCTTCAAAGTAAGATTTTTTCTACAGCTTTGTCGGTTATCTTTTACATAATTAATTGACTAACTTTTTTTAGAAATTCGCCAAATGGAAGCACTGATTGGGAAGAATTCTCAAGTATGGACAACGAAGAGCACCACGAAGAACATGATTCAGATACAGGGATGGAAAGTATGTCTTCCACCGACATGCATACAGCTCACCTTGGAATGCTTCATCATCATCATCCACAACATAATTCCGGATCTTCGAATCGGTCAGTGTGTACTTTTTGTCTGGAACAAGAAGATCAAAAACGTCTCGAAGAACTTGTGATTAGCATGGACAGATTGAAAAACGAGAAGATCGAATTATTACAGCAAAATGTGACGTGCAAAACTGATATTAAAAAACTCAAGCAACGGTGAGCAAAAAAAATTTTTTTAAATCAATATTAACATTTCGTCTTTTTTTAGACAATCGATGCTTTCGACGGAACTAGAACGGGCAAACGATGAAATTCAACGTCTTCGAAGGATGCTAAAGAGACCTTCTAATGGCTCTGACTCTTCAGGCCATTCCTCCTCCTGCTTCTCGAGTTCTCCGCCTTCCTCTACCCCATTGGCCTCCAGAGAAGCTGATTTCCATGTGATTTCTCCATAATACTTAGATGTCCGTATTTAATAATAACTTACGTGTGCTCGCTTGTGTACAGCTCTTTTAGGTCGAGCTTATTTTGATTTGCATAACATTGTCTTATTTCCGAAACCAAACATTCTTGTACCTCCATTTCCTCTTTCAGTCCCACTCTTTTCCTCGAGTGTATATCAAAACAGTTACCTTAATTCCTCCTGACGTAATTTTATTACTTCAAATTGGTTTACAGATTTATATTTGAAAAAATAAAGGCTTATGTGAACGTTGATTTTCTAACTGTCTAAACCTTCATGAAGTCTGATTAGTTGAGCAAAGGAGAAAGGTTCGAAAGGGATCCCATCTCCCCCATAGAATTTACTCTGGAATTCAACCCAGTGTAAACGAAGGGCATGAAGGAAAGCAGAAAGGCCTTCCATTAACACAAGAATTGAGACTGATAACACTGCGAACACGAAGAAGATAACAGCAGTCATAACTACGCCGACAATTCCGCCAGTTGTCAACCCCATGTTGAACAGCATCTCCCATAACACATCTGAGAGCTCTGAAAGGGAAAAAACTAATACTAGTCTCTGTTCTTACGAGCATGAGCAAGGGACAACGCCCACAGTCGAAGATACGAAGCTGTATGTGAGATGCATCCCAATGCAAATTCAATGGTATGGATTGCTTGGTAGACCATCACATCCCCAAAATTGAACTCCCCATGTCCATCATCACTGTGCACATGAACTTTCTCACCTCTCTTTACCTTCCGCAACAACAAGAAAGGCTTTACAAACAACATAACGGGGATGCAAAGGACTGCGATAACCAGAAACACCGTCTCGATGGAGGCCTGGCCAGGATACCATTGTCTGACAGAGCATTGATCGTATTCAGTGTAATTATTCCCCGGATTCAAGCTAGTCTGTTCCACAAATCCTTCTCCTCCCTGCTTCATCATGAACATATTGATGAGTCCAATCAGCAGCGACGGAGCACAATGTGATCCCGGATAAACTTGGCCAAACACAATGGCTGCGGTAGCAGGAAAGAAGATCCATTTGAGGACAATTTGGACACAGAGATAGATGAAGATAAGTGATAGGAAGAGGAGCTGAGGAATGAAAACGAAGAACACGTCGATCATCGACTTCTGATGTCTAAATGGAGAGATCTGCAGGAATATCCAAGGACTCACAAGTAGTTGCGCAAGGAGAGAACCAGGCCGAATAGCATCTGAGCGATCCCAATGATGACCGAGGACTTCATCTTCATTGGGTTCAGGTAATTCAACTTGTTTTCGGCCACATTCCAAACAGGATCGACTCCCCAGACGTAAGGATCTCCCTGGAATGATTTTTCAGGGAACAATTCCAGTTTCAAATCCTCCAATTCATCAATTTTTTTGCCCTCAAATGCTCGTTTGAAACGCGCTTCCCTAAAAATTATAATTTTTTTAAACCTTAAACCTACGAGTAAATATTCTGCCAATCACTTCCAAACAGGTTGATCGATTTAGAAAACGCGTCATTATAGACGGATCCAGTGTAAACGGCAAACAATCCCATCAATAAAACCACGTAACGGCCACCATAGAAGGTGTTAAAGATCTGTAATTAATTATGTCGACATCATCCTGACTGCTTTAACTCACTTCGTCCTTGATCTTGGCTGCTTCGATCTTCTGTTCGAAGAGAATAAAGGCCAGAGCTCCCAATATCATAATCAATCCATGCCCCATATCACCAAACATGACCGCGAAAATGAAGGGAAACGTGATTATAGTCCATGGAGCTGGGTTAATCTCACGGTAATTGCAGATTCCATAAGAATCAACGATTCCTTGGAACACCTTTGTAAACTTATTGAGTTTATGATAAGTGGGCGGGGTCTGCTCTGTATGTACAATGTTCAAAATTGAAGCCACGTTGGATCCACTCAGGTCCTAAAGCAAATATTTAGATTCTATTTGTCTTACTGTAGCATATTCAAGACATCCTCTGACATGTTGAAGTTCACAGGTCGGGATCCAGCATTCCGCGATCAAACATTTCTCCGTCACATCGATGTTGAACATGTTCAGAGTGTGGAATACAGATTTCAATTTCAATACCTAAAGCGATATAAATCTTTTTTCATCTTACCTGAATCTCCCAGGTTTTGACATTCAAAGCGGCGGCATGAAGGACTCTTTCACGGTGTTCCAGTGTCTTGTAGATTACTGTATTCAAATCCTGAAGTCTGATATCCGTATCAACCAGTAATCTCTTTCTCTGCTCAGCTGAATCCGGGCAATTCTCAACAATCTCGGCCTTAAATCCATCACAGACTTTGTATACTTTTTCTTTCAGCTTAAAGCTGGAGAAGAACAACAGAAAGACGGCATACTTTGCATCTTCTTTCTAAAATTATATTGTTTTATTTGAGTAATAAAAGAGTACTTACAAATGGAGCATTCTCTTCAGGTTCTATGTCAGCAGTCCTCACATAAACCATGCCATGACACATTCTCCAGATGACCCTCTCGAAAGCGGCCACTCGATCTCGGCGAATTACACCAGCGATGAAACTAGAATCGTACATAGAAGCGCTTTCTTTACATTTTTTTGAAAAAAATAGAATGGGAAAAATAAGGTCGACATGAGAAAAAAAATTTAACGTCTTTTTCAAGGTCCCAAAATAGGATTTTTTCTTTAGTCTTACATGTAATTATTATGTAATTACATGATGACATAAACAACCTACTTTAGATCTCCTGTCTCTTTGACCAGAATATCCTGGCCGATATGGCCATTGGAAAGGACCGGAGCATGGACTTGGGCCTCTAATATAGATTGTCTCGCATGATTCTTTTGCCCCTAAAGCAATATTAATATAGGGATAGAGTGACTGACCTCGTCCAGCAAAATCTGCACTTTTTGGAGAACATGTTTGGTATTGGCCAGTCTGAGATAATTCCTTTTCAGGCTGTTAGTCGAACTTTTTATTTGACTCAGCTCTTCTCCAAGCTTCTCAAAGCTTGTCTAAAATTTAATTATTTTACAATTAGTTGGAATGTCTCTTTAATAAAAAAAAAATACCTCGAGTTCATTCATATCCCTTGGAAGTGGAGCTGGGATCTTATTTTTGGCATCAGGAATGTAGATATTGGCCGACTCGATGTCCTCCTCGATACTCTCTGAAATTAGGACTACCAGTATCCAGTCCACTTACTGATCTGCCGATCCATTTCATCACATCGGCGGATCTCATTCACAAACTTCTTACTGTATGAGGAAACATTTTGATTCAACTAAAACAATAAATTGTTATATGTAACTGTTTAACAAAAGTAAAAATAAAACCTTACATCCTTGAACTGGACTAGTCCGAGTTCTCCTAACTGGGCTACCGAAATGAAGGCAGCGTCAGTCTGGAGGAACAGTTGACATAGGGACATCAGCTCGGAACGGTATAACGAGCCCATTGTTATTGGGATAACCTACAATTAATAAGATATGAGAGCTGATTAGTCTCAGGCGAAGGTGCGGCGGCTAATAAAATCAAATTTCGATTTTTGGTTTTTTGGTCCTCTCTAATGGAGTCTCATTGCCGCAGGGCAGAAGAGGAATTTCTTATCACCTCCCTTCCGGCAAGACCCTTAATGTTTTTTTTTGATTCCTTTTGTCCTTGATTATTTAAATTAAAGCATGCAATTACTCATGACATAAATGTCATTTTGAATGTCATCATCATGGCATTAAATGTTCATTCCCCATGTTCTTTTTGCACGCGCATTCCCTTCGATTCGAAAGATTTGAGAGATCAAACAAATCGAGAGAGAGGCAGGAATCGAAACACACCCCTTAACGGAGAGCGATTTTTTGTTTGAAGAGAGACAAGGACCTATTTTATGCAAGACTTAACTTATTTAACTCTCTTTTTGATTACATTTCTTTATCATTTTACCTGACTCATATATTTGTGTCCAACTTGAGTCATTCCCAGCGGCTGTTTCCCTTGTTTATTTTATTTCTGAGACATCTGGTTCTAACGACAAAAAAAATGTTTTAGCCATCTTGTCTTTTATGTAGGCATCTTTTGACGTTTTAAAAAATTCAGATATTTTTGTAATGTAATATTCTTAATTATATTTTTTTGAATAAATTCATTGACGGTCGAGTTCCCGCAAATGTCAAGGTTTGCTTATTTTTTATTTATTTTTTTATTTTTAGACCCAAATATATATTAAGACCTTGTGTGGACAGTGCCAGTCGGAGTGAGAGTGAGGGGGATGACTTCTGTATTCCCATCTGCCGTACTCTGAAAAAAGCCCAACTTGTAAAGATCAGAGATCGCCCATCACCTCCCAGAAACATGGTACGACATTTTACGTTGGCTTTGTTGACCATCTCCATCATTCACCTGTATGGAAACCTTTTCCTTTTCAATCTCCTGATCGTTTATCCCAATGATCTGAGCATTACACCAATCAGATTTCACAGTAAGTTTAAATTTCTCATTTATTATGCAAACAGTAGAAAATGATTATGCAAGCAAAAGATGAAGACGTTATACGTTGAAGTAGAAAGGGAAAAGAGGGCTTGAGCTTTAGAGAATCCACTTGCTAAATAGAGTCATCAACAAGGTCATGACGAAGACCCCCGAGGTCGAGAGGGACGGGGCCGAGTTCTGAAAATAACCTTTTTATTAGTTTTAAACGGCTGTTATAACTCTTTTGACAAATCATCTACTTACCAGTTTGCAATCCATATCCGTGCAGCAATTGAAGTAATAGGAAATGGGGCCAATTTTATTTCGAGTAACGCCAGCGTCCTGCAATAGTAAATATTGTTTTAAAGCGGGGCTTACTTGGCATTGAGCTTCGATCTTTTGGCCGATTTTCTCTCCAATTGGGCCCAGATAATAGGCGATATCACTTTGGCAAGACCGCACACTGAATGTCTGATTTTCCCCTTTTAATTCTACATTCCCCTCAAAGTAAATGCAATATTTATCAGCCGGGGGGCATTCATATTCCTTGGCTTTGGTTGGATCTTCGAGGGTTTTGGCAATCGAAGTCAAGGGATCACTTTCGAAATAACATCTTATGGAGATTACTAATAAAGGGAGCAGGGAAACGAGGATCAGGCAGCGAAACATTTCGTTTCTGTAAATGACTACAAATAGTTGTAATTTCAATTTAATATCTGTGGATATTTGGATATCACGATGTTTTTATCACGCAAGCAAATAGTCTTAATTCCACTTGGATTAGTTGTAAACAAAACCAGAAATTGAGAAACCCCCGAATAGACCAAAGAGCATTGGACAAGGCCTTACTAGTCCGTTCGTAAAGTCGCTGGAGTGATTTTGGCGTTTTCACTGTGCAAAAAAATCGGGGTGCGAATGAGATCCCAAAAAAGCCTACTGCACGGTGCAAGGTGAATTTTTGTTTTGGCCCAGTGCATGTCGGTGAAATCACCCCGGGGACTTTGCAAACGGACTAGAATAAGAGACCATTTCCACCGATTTCTAAATTGTCTCCAAAATAATCGAAATGCCCGGAGAGGCCGAGATTACAAGCCCGGCCTTATAATTAGATAGCCATAAAGTCCGTTCCTTTTATGGCCTGCGGGCAAGTGGAAATAGCCGGGTTTGGGGGAAGGAAATACGAAGTAAACATGACTTATGAAACGAGCCAGGCAGGCGGGGTCCCGGCTCTAATCAAAACAACATGTCGCTACTACGAACAACCTTGAAGAGTAAGGGCGATTACTCCTCCAATAACTTGAGGCTCTCTTCCAAAAGAAAACAGAAAATAGGATTAGCGGAAGTAATAAGAGATACGACTTCAGAGGTCGGGGACAATTAGACCAACAATATTGTTTCTGCCCTGAGGGGATTTGCAGACCCAATTTTGTTTTCGGTCCCAAAAAAACAGGATTTCACTGGCTGGGGAAGGGAAGTGTTTTCGAAAACAACCTCCATCCATTGCTACCCTCTGAATGGCCTTGAATAAAAAAGTGTTGAGAAAGGTGCGCAATCTGGTTGATGTTTCATAAAAGTCTAAACAGCCCGACGGCCTTTCCCGGCCAGATATCCGCTTCTGACCGTCTCTCTTCCAGATTCCAATTTCTCCGTGGAACGGCCAAAAAGAGCAATCGCCGACCCGCCCACCTCCCAAGGAAGGACGACCGGTAATCTTTAAATACTTATTCGAACGTGTACATAGATTACGCAACTCTTTTGAAAGCTGTAAACAAATTTTTTGAAAATAACATTTCCGATTCACAATGAAGACAACAAAACATCAAAGATCACAAGTAAACAGAGCTACATTACTGCGCATTACTTTATCTTTTCAGCCCATCCAATTGAAAATAAATCGAGATTTCTGGAAACAACAACAACCCCGATCCCAGAAACAAAGAAAACCAGAATACCGTACAAGAGTAAGTACAGGGGGCCAGTCATACTCACAAATCCGGCTGTTAAAACTACTACTTCAACTTCTACCACAACTACTGCAACTACATTTTCCACAACTTCGACTACCGTATCTCCAACTAAATCTTCTGTATCTGAGACTGTGAAAAGGTCTTCAGAACCAACAAAATCAACTTCAGATACCTTGAGTAAAGATTCAGGAGATGGCTCGTCCAAGTTATTTAAAAGAGATTGGACTAGATTGGGACTGGAATATGTTCTTTTCGCTGCACCAGGCCTCGGAATGCTCGTCTTCTTCTGGCCGGTCACTTTATTATGCAAATTCCAAGGATCCAGGGTTATTATTGGATTCAGCTTGCTGATATCGGCTTTTTTAATTCTCTTACAACCGTCAGTTCTAAATTCAAGTAAGTTTACAAATATATTTTGCATCAGTTTTCAGATATCTGGATAATTGTAATCGTCCGTGCCCTCCAAGGGGTCACTTGTTCATCCACTTTGTCTGTAATTGGAAAGAATGCGGCGAATTGGGCGACTCTCAAAGAGCAATTATTCTTTGTCAGCATATCTTTTGGATCCATCTTGGTACATTTAGACTTATTTTTATATTGTTCCTTACGAAGATGTATATATAATAATATGTAATTGATTTTAGTTTGCTCCTGGAATTTACTGGCTGTTATCCATCAGGATTTTGGCTGCTCAGACAACTCATTTGGCCTTGTTACACTACTTTTTGGCTTCCTCCACCCTGATTACGGCTCTTTTGTGGATATTATTTTACAGAGATGACCCTCAAAGTCATCGCTGGGTTAATGGAATCGAATTAAATCGAATTGTGACCGGGAAAACTCAGGTAAATATAGTTATAAAATATAAGCATACTATGACTGTTTCGAAGTAATCGTATTTTTTCAGCAGCAAAATCGAGTTCTGGACACGAATGTGATCCCATTGCTGCTTAAAAGTTACAGTACCTGGTCTGTTTTACTTGCCGCATTCGCCTATTTCTCTGCTATTATTTTCTTCGCAACTTTTTTGCCGATCTACTTATTAAAGGTGCTGAAGTTTGAGAAGTTATGTGCCCTCACTTCGATTACTTTTTTGGCTCCGGTGAGTATTTAATTACCTAAAATAATATGATTAATCCCTTTTTATTTCAAGCGCATAATTTCAGGCATTTGTCCATCTATTCTCAGTGATATTCGACAAGATGTTAAGTGGTTGTTCTGCCAAGTTGAAGGCCAACTTCTTCAACTCATTTGCCTTTATCGTTTCGGCCATCTTTCTCTTTGTTTTGGCTGCTATTCCCCCTAACGAACACTTTGCTTACAAGTAAGTGCTGTTAAGTCAACGACTCACTTGTTATTTCAGTAGCAAATGGATCCTCATGGTCTCACTGATGCCCATCGGCTTCACTTCCCTCGGGTTTCTCTACCATGCTGTAGTGTATGGTCGTTACTTTACGCAATATATCATCTCCGCCTTCCAAATCCCCCTCGGCCTGGCCTTGGCTTGGGTTCCTGGACTGGTCTTGTTCTTGACTGTCAATAAGTAAGTTTCGTACACCATGATGTTCTTGTTGGCTTTTCACACTCGTATATTTTTAATAATTTAGTGAGACCAAGTTCTGGAGATTAAGTATTTTGATTTTCTCCGCTCTTTTTATCCTCGGGGCCCTGATCTTTGGAGTTCTTAGCCGTGGACAACCAGCTAGATGGGCTGAACATTCTTGGGATCCCTCGAATGAATACAAAATGAAAGACTTTAATCCGATCATCGGGACCGAGGAATGTGGATTGTTATCCATCAGGAAAATAGATGAGCCTCAGGACTCGAACTGCTAACATATCAGATATCAAGCATCTCCGGTCGCATATTTGACTCAACATTGCATATTTCGCTTACATTTTTAAATTATAAATTGAACTTTACGCATTATTTAAAATAAATGTCAGTTGGAATTGGATGAACCCATGTCCAAGAACAAGAAATGGAGCGGTATACTTGTTACTTGAATACAATCATTACGACTATCTTCTTACTCCCTGTGGCATTGTCTGCGTTTAAATCCGGTGCTTATAGATTCTTAATTTCCCGTTGTACAACGAACAGAAACAGAATGCCAAGAATTTTGGCATTAATTTTCTCAATTTTTTTAAGACAGGTCGGATAAATCAGGCTCATACGCCACCAAAGGGCCATAGTTTTATTAAGTTTATTATATCATATGAAAGACAATCCGTTTCAGTTTATTATAGTTCAATTTTTTTAGAACACAAACTTATGGTTTTATGGTAAAACTGGCCGAAAATATGTCCGTTTTTGCAAAAGTTTTGGCTCTTCTAGAGTGTAAAGTACTTTTTTTGACAAATCTGATCAGGGAGGATTGTTCAACATGTCTTTCTCTTCATGTGGGCTAAGTTTCAGCAAAATCGGTCTACAAGTTTTGCAGCAGTAGCAAAAATACTTCAAAATAGGCACCATCAATTCATTATTTTTTATTTTTTTGTGTTTAAAATGCCCAGGCACATCAAACCTCGAAGGTAACGCCAGAATAAGCTTGTCTTGACAACCAAAAAAGTAGTAAAGTACTTTTAGATGGAAAAATTATGTTATCCATGATCAAGGTCAATATCCTGCCGAGGAAGCGCCTCAGCAGGACTCCAAGGTAATGGAACATGTGAGCAGTTTTAAAACTATATTAGTTACGAAACGGGAGCAAATAGAGAGATTTTACTAACCTCGATCGCGGAATTCTTAGAGGAGAAGAAGCGCAGATCTGGACTTGTCAAGAATGAGGTTTGGGGTCTTTAGATAAGGGAAGAGGGAGAGTTTCGTCAACTGTGGCTCTTGTTTACCTATTTTATAGAATAATTGGGTCAAATCCGTAAAAAAATTTGACTTTAATTTTGTCATGTATAACATGGATAATATCAGTCCGAACCGCCAAATTGGAATTTCAGATATGTGTAATCGTAGAAAAAGCTATTTTATGACCAAATTGGTACAAATAAATGATCAGTAAAGTTGCTAGGACGCACAACGGTTTATTTGTAGGTCTTGACCTTCAATTGTAATATCGCTACTACTTTTTTTCCCGTAGACCGATTTTGATAAGATTTGACATTTTTGATCTTTGACTAGGTCTTAACAAAACTCCCTGATCAGATTCCCCATTTAAAGTAAAAATTTTTTCTGATCGTTGTGCGTTGCTTGTAAACATTATTTTCTTTAAAAAAAATTTTTTAATTTCAATTCTCCATAAGAAATATTTTTTCCTGTTCCAAAACGAAAACATTTCAAAATTCGTCAGGTTCTCCGTTCGGGGCCAATCCCACGATTACCTATAAAACGGTATCGTTGACCCGAATTTTCCCTGCCTCAAAACGCCGTAGCGCCAATTTTAATGTTTACTTTTTGGAATCATATCCGGACAAAAATACGTTCGCATTGGATGTCGTTGGCCTTGGATTGGGCGTGCATTTTCCCTTCATCATCAACCCATCGAGTAATCGTTGACGGAACATTCGTGCTTCCCTCCGCGTTCGACTGTGTCTCGATTATTTTCCCATCTTCAGTCAATTCGACAACACACCTGAATTACAGAAACATCAATGTTTTAAGAAATACGTCATCATGACGTATTTTTTAACTCACCAAAATTCTCTTCCATCGACGGTTCTTTGAGTGAATTTCTGGCCCAATTTGAATTTCCACTGATCAGATTTGAAGGAAGATTCCATCTTCACGGTCCATTCTTCCCCTTCCAAGGTGACATAAAACTTTGGAAATGTAGAATTGGCGATCATCCGAGCAAATGCAGGAATTCCGATCTCCTAAACTAACGATTAAGGAGGCAAATACTGCCTACCTGTAAGTATCGGTCGAATTCGGGGCCATTTCCGCTTTCCAGAACCCAGGAGCCGAGGATTCTTTTTTGTTGTTCGTTTAATTCTATCATTTAATTGTCACACGTCACTGTTACAAACTTAAAAATAAAACAACAATTGGAAAGTTGGGTGGAAAAGTTTAGGCAAAAGAAGCTGCGCTGCGACTTTTCGGGTCAACGGCAGTTCGGGTCGACGATATGTCTAGAAAAAAAGGTTAGCAGTAGCTAAAATTAGAAAAAGTGGTCGTATTGTAAGTCTTTCTCAAGTCTCTTCCGAGCCTCCACCTAACGTTCGTGGAGCATGCAACGACTTTGCCCCGTAGGCACCTCCTACAACCTTTTTTTGGGTCTCCACGTGCCCTACGATCCAGATCGATCGATTTTTTGTTGACGCAAACTCTCGCTGACTCGAAAAGACAGGACGCGACAGAAGCCGTGTCTGAAAAGAGGGTCCACATGGGAGAGATCGGTGGTTATCAGGCTGCGCAATCTCCATAAGATTAAAATGAGCCAATCATTATATTTAGCATCATCTAAATAATATTCAGTCATTTATTCAGTATTCTAATTTGTTGGCATGCAGTGGTTCCTCTGTTGTGGCCGATGGTGTAAACTTTACATCCATGGAGTTTGCATCATCGTAATCGGTCAGTCCCTCCCCAATTACACTTGATTCATCGGCAGTTACTTCTGCATCTGCAGTGAAATAATGCTGTAATCCATCTTGAAGAAGAGGTTGGCTCAATGTTTGACAGGCTTCGGATAACCAATCATGTCTGAATTCATGTTCTGCAACAAAAATATAAAGTATAAAAAAACTACAATTTATTGTTAGGTAAAAAGATTTCATCTCCGGCGGGCTCGAGTGGCCAGCCTTCTTGTGACAGTTCGGGTTTTATAGGTAATTGAGGGAGTTGATTTCGAATACCTTTTTATCTGTATGTTACAATTTTACTTTACAGTTTCATGAGTTTCTAACGAACCCGTGCGGCCTCTTCACTTCCAGACTACGGCACTAGCCACCGTTTAATATTTTCGCTTCGGGTCTCGGAAAAAAGATTTTTTTTGTGAGTTTGAAAAATTTTTGAAATGTTTTCGCTTCGGGACTTGGGAAAAAGAATATTTTGGAGAATTTAATTTTTAAGAATCCCGTGCATCCAGTTAAAAACATAACCAATGGATACGATTTCCTTATTTTCTCGTCGCTTATAATCACTATTTTCCTAAAAAAAATTAAAAAGAAACGTCAATTCTCCAAAAAATCCTTTTTTTCCAAGTCCCGAAGCGAAAACACTTCAAAAAATTTTCAAATTCACCAAAGATTTTTTTTCCCGGTCCCGAAGCGAAAATATTAAGCGGTATCGTTGACCCGAAATGTCGTTGACCCGAGGTGTCGTTGACCCGACCTGTCGCGACCCGAGCTGTCCCTGACCCGAAAAGTCGTGACACATTGGAAAGAACCTTTGACATCGAAAATCAAAATTCGAAAATTATCATAAGAAATATAACAATAAGTTCAGAAACACAGTAATTATAGATAGTAGAACTTGCCGTTCTTCTCCAGCGACTGGTTGTCACTGAATACTTCGTCTTGCCTTTCATTCGTGTAAAATAACAAAGGAAAAGTCCCGAGAATACAACCTGAGAGGATTCCACAAAGTCTGGCAAGATTTTTTACAAATCTGAGGGCCCAGAGTTTCTCTTGACCGGGCAAAAATTTAGGTTGTCTTCAAAATATTATATTGATTACTCATGGTATACTTACTCTACAATTTGGGCAACGCCGAGCTCTACGTAGTGCAAAAAATAAATCCCGACCAAGTTGGAGACGATATTACCGGCAGCGGCTCCAGCCATCACGGACACGCCCATATACTGACCAATTGTTCTGAAGTAAGTGATTGTTGGAGTAAATCTGATCTATATACTTTCATTTACCGGTCGAAAGATTCTCCAGCAACGATCATGGTTGCGGTATCGATGAATCCGTAGAGGAAGAAAGGAGCATAAGTGATCCACCAAATAGCCACCAGGTCATCGTGATGCACTTCGTCTATGACTTCTTGCTGCTGTTGCTCGGCCGTCTTGTATTGATTGGCCCGTTTCCGTTGGATCAAATCAAAGATCATCTTCCTTTCATTCGGATACAATCGGTTGATGAAGTCTTTGGCCGACTTCTCATCGCGGATATTCAAGGACACAAACGTTGGGGACAACTCTTCGAATTCGTCGTCTGAGCGATTCTGTCTGAAAATAGCTTTTTGGATTCAGCAAAATAAAATGGGACGATAAAACTGCGGGACAAGGAATAGTGTCTTACTCCACCCTTGCGATTGTCATACTGCTTAAATGTGGAGGACTTTTCTGGATGATTATTGGTTTGAAACGCACTCTGGCAGATCGAAACAGATTCTGGAAAAGCCCGCTTGATGACATTGCCAAGGTGCCAGAAATGGCGACAAGGACCGCTTACTTCAATAAAAAATTCATGAATGCTAAATTTGCATAGAGATGGGGTTAATTCGATCATGCTCAAAGAGTGATCGTTATTTGTGTCTTCTGGAACCGTTCCAAATATGTTCAAAAGTAAAGCGAAACTGAAGGAAACTCAGAATTAACTAAGGGGAGCCAAGCGCCAAAATGTGGGTTGATCTTCCCTGGCTGGTTGTCTAACTTTTGGACCTTGGTGTGTGGCAACTCTTGCAGCTAGCAAACAACCTTTTTCCGATAAACGCTCCAAGCCAAGAAAAAATCAAAGAAAGAAAATGTCCATTTTTTGAATCACTCTGTATTATAATATTATACATAAGAAAATGAATTGGAACCTGTCGGAAATCTTTGGGTAAGTAGTGAAAAAGGAATCTATTTTCTTGTCATCTGCACAGAACCCCATCCGCCAGGCAGCCGTCTGTTCATGTTATGTTCAACATCTTAAGGACTTGATCGCACTACGAAAACATCAATTTACTATAAATTCGACAAGGGTTATAAACGACTTGTGTGATAGTGTTCAGTTGATACAATCGCGTCCTTGGTTTCCGTATTTGGCATTCAAATTGATCTCTCCGGCATCGAATGTCTGGGCGGCCTTGTCAGATTCTTTGGTGATGTACTTCTTATCCAGAACGACCTCGACTTTCTTGGTACACTTCTCGAGAATGCCTCCAGTGTCCCCGCAATGATGATACACATTCAATTTGGGGTCAATGTTACCGACTTCCGTAGTAGAACCCTCGAGTCTGAAGTTGCCATCCTCATCAGAGACCCCTTCATCGAGCTTGTCATCAATACTGAGGGTGTCCACGTCATATAAGCGTACTTTCTGGAAGCAAACAACTCTACTAGATATAATGGCTTACCACTCCGGCGGCCGGTTTTCCATCACATCTCAGAATTCCTTTCACAGCATATGCCTGGAGTGTTCCAAGACCGTAAGCGTTGAGGACGAGAGAAGATACGAAAGCAATCGTCAGAAGGGGCTTCATCTTTGACACGGAAACTGCTATAAAATAAAGGAAACCTATATACTTGTTTTAAACTCGCGCCCCGAAAAGTGATAATTCATTTTCAGAAAAAAATGTAAACAAGGTCCTCCCGTCTTTTTATACAAAGTCGAAAACGGCGATAGCTATGAACTCCACGTCTTCAACAAGTTTGATGACCAGTTGATTCTGTGTTGTTCCGCAGCGAAATATTTGCATATTTCCTCTGCCCTGAGGCACAAAAAAGTTCGTTTTAATTTCAGATATCAGAAAAATTTGTACCAGAGCAAGGCAGCAAAAATTTGCATTTCTTTATCACTTTAGGATTTTTTTTAGAATTCTCTCTCAGGACCTTAAGCAGCACGTGAATCAACGGAATTATGCATCATTAAGAGCGCTACAGCGTGACGTTAATATTTAGCAATCATCTTTTTCGAGTTTCAGACTGGTCCAAGTTGAACCGACGTTGTCTTTTTCCGTGGTATCCACGTCAATTTATTTTCCTTTATAAGACGATTACTGACTCGGCGAATTAGCCGAGGACAGAAAAAATTGTTTTCTCAGTGGGATGGCGATAAAGGAAATTGGATCAAAGAATCCGTTCAGGAACAAAATCAAGCAGAAACTTCCGCCTAGAGGTCATGGATTCGCGATTATGGCATCAGTCAACAATATAAAAATACCCATTTCTATGAAAAAGTACTATGACTCAAACAAAATAAAATATAATAAATTACCGTTATTTTTATAAGTTGTGACCTCGAAAGAGTCATCTGACTTTTTCAAACAATACATAACCCTCAACTACTCTATTCGGAACTGTATACCTCCGCTGCAACTCAACCATAACAATTTTGACTTGATAATCCATCATTTCAAAGGAAATTATTTCGATTTACAACGTAAAATAAGCGAATGTAAAGCGCTCATCTTGCCCGTCAGTTGAGAAAAATGAAGTTCCTGTGCATTTTTCTAATCGCCCTTCATCAGATTAATGCAATTCCTAATTTATTTGGCAATGAACAGAGTGCCGCAGTAAAGGGAGTCTTGAAATGTAATGGAGTGCCTGCATCCAAGGTGAAAGTAAAGTTATATGATGTGGATAGAACGGACCTCGATGATTTGATGGCTGAAGGAGAAACTGAAGATGATGGGAGTTTCCAATTGTCTGGCAGGGAGACAGAATACACCACCATTGATCCCAAACTGAATATGTATGTCTAGATTGTGACGGTGAATGTTTTGCAGTTACCATAAATGTCGGGACCCGGATGCCCTTTGTTTCAAGAAGATCGAGATTATTATCCCAGATGACTATGTTAGTCAAGGAAAGATCCCCAAAAAGACTTTTGATGTGGGGGAACTGAATTTGAACGGAGAATACGGAGGAGAATCAACAGATTGCTTCAACTGATCCAGCCAAATAAAAGTATTTAATTCCAAATAAATAAACTCGTATTTTACTTCCCCTTGGGGTGAATGAGACCTTTCATCATATCAAATGTATTTCCATCGTCAAAAACGCTGAAGACTTTTCCGGAATGCTTTGAACGGACTTCCAGATACCCATTGTCATCCAATCCTCTTATAACAACCTTATCTTTCTGGCCATTCTCTTCGTGAATCACTGTTACTTCCTCTCTACTGAACAAGTATTATATATACAACCTTATTAGTAGACGAACTTACGTGTGAAGCCAGTGTTTGTGGTATATGGCTAAGAAATCCTTCTTGCCTTTCTTAACAAAAAGATCAGCGAAGTACTCGAACTTATTCATTGTCACCGCTAAGACTTCTTCAACTGTTAGAACTTTGTCTGATTCCACCGGTAACATGTCATTGATGCAAACAGTCGGGTGGGAATTGGCCACATTTATACCAGCAGCTAAAAGTAGTTGGTTTGTAAATAACCATCCTGATACCCACCAATCAGGCATTTCATAAATCCTCCTTTAGTCGAGCCTCCAATTAAGACTCCGCCCATTTTATACGACCTCATGTAATAGATATCATTGGGCCACTTGATCTTAAGCGGGAAGTCCGGCATTTCAAGTAACTCAAGAACAGCTTCGACGACGGCCACAGCCAAGATATGTTGAACAAAAACGATGTTCCGGCCCAATTCAGAATTTAGGGGGATATCGAAATCAAAGGTAAACATGGCACATCCATGAGGACTCAGCCACTGATTCCCTCCCCTGCCCACTCCATTCGTCTGTTTCCCTGCTACAACCAAGACTCCGTCGTTTTTAATCGCTGAACTTAGACTGAAAACAAGATATCAAAATCAGTAACAAATACACATTATATAAGGATGGCGCATCAAATCGGGTGTCGTGGCCAGAAACTGCGATTTATTGCCTATTAGGCCTCTAGAAATGCGCAATGCTTGTCTGAACAGAGAAAAGAAAAAAATCTCCACTGAGAGGTTACGCATTTCTCGTCCAGAGGCCTAACAGACCAGAAATTGCGGTTTCTGGCCACGACACCCGATCTGATGCGTATGCCGCCATCCTTATATTCCATATCAACGTATTCACCTTCTTGAGACGGCAATGGTACTCTCGCACACAGGGACATATAACAGCACCCTTCCAAGATATTTGGTATTCAATCGAGTAAAATATTCTTGAGTATCAAACTCTCGGATGGGAATCCCGGTCTTTCTTCTTCTAACCTCCACTGGCAACAATTCAAACGATGGAGAAGGGAGATCATCCGAATCCAAATAAACACTTGGTTTGAATACCATCTTGGGAGTAGAACCAATCTTCACCCCGTATTTTAGCCGATTCATCTCGTATATTACTTTGTCTTCTTGACATATCAAATAGCATCTTTTGGGACTGTCATCAGACAAGTTCTCCTGGACTTGGATGCCTAGACGACCCATGGCTTCCGAAATTAAAGTTTTCCCGGCTTCCGAGAGTAATTGTTCAGTAGTCGCATCCGAAAATAGGGCACTGGCTTTGTGCTCAGAGTTCTCCATATATAGTAGTAAAGGCTGATCTAAAATAATTTTATTTTTTTTTAATCGTGTGACATTGAACATAATCCCCCACCTTTTTTCATACTCAAGACTACAGAGTACTTATAGCCTCCGACCGGGTCCTTGGCATAAAAGGTTTCATTAATTTCCTTTTTCTTGGCCATTAATTTGATGGTTCTCTTCATGAACTGTTCGAATTCCTTTCCCAGTGCATTCATCGCGGTCTTTGTTCCAAAGGCACTCTTCAGCATGGAAGTTTGCTTTTTCACAGAATCACAATGCGTAAGCGAAGCAAACAAACTATTCTGGCAGATGAACAAGATCTTCCCTGAATGGATAAAGTAATTCTGAAGGCGGGACCAGCTTATGTCATCCAACAACTTGGTGTCTGCAATCAGGAGACAAGCTGCGTTCTCATCGACCCAAGGATGATATTTCAGTGCTTTACTACTTAGATGGGTCAATGTATATACATCCGGCGGCATTATAGTCTTGAGCGAATTTACAATCTTTCCGTACAACTCTGGTTTGTCTCCGGTATAAATTAAAACCTAAACGGATATAAAAGTTGAACCAAAAAACTCACCGTAGGTGGCTTAGCCTTCGGTTTCCCTGAGCTTTCATCTCCATTAGCTGAAGATGACATACTGTGAAACCTTCTGCGAGATGTTGCAGTAGAGCGACGTCGTCGAAACACAAAATCTGTAGTCAATGGGGCATCTTGAGCGGAGACCAGACCGATCTGCTCCTGAGAACCGTAGTTGGCCAGAAGGGAAAGTGATAACGGACTGAGGGAGCGTCTTCGAGTATCTGAAACTATAATTGTTACCTGAAAGGACAGAAATTGTACTTGCGCCTGCATAATACACAACAACAATTGTTTTGGCAGTAATTACAGTTGATCATCTTCCTCACATAGATAGATAAGAGATTATACGAATAACTGACCTGAATGAGGCTGAAAAAATTCCTGACTCCACTCGATCTTCGAGCCGAGGGAAAAGGGCGTCAAACTATTGAATCTCTTTCTGTGAGTGCCGTTCTAAAAAGTATTTGAATAATTGCATGTCAATCCACCTGTTTGGTGTTGACGAAGAGCAAACGAATGATTCGAATGATCATTCCCGATATCTGGGTCGTCTCGTTTTTTGACCAATTTTTAGGTTCAAAGAAATGTTTTGATAAAAAAAGAGGGGTAAAAACGAAAATGAAAACTAAAAAACGAAGATGGAAGCACTAAAAATCCAGCGGACAGCGGCTCGAGGTCATTCTCCCATTTGACAGCAATAAAGACCCATTTCTAGTACAATTTTATCGGACATGAGCTCTCGTCTCCTCACAATGAGCTGATAATCGGCTCGCTTTCGGGGTGATAGATTTTTATCGATATAAAAAACACTGAAACAACAAAATAATGAAAATCTTTCGAGCGTTCAGGAAACCCTCGAGGCTTCATGGAAAATGGACAGAGTGAAATTCGACTAAATTCAACGAAGGTCACACATGTGTGTACGCATGGCAGAGAAAATGAGAGATACAATAAATCTGTAGAATTTCACTCTGTCCAATTTCTTTCAGCCGATTTTTTTAATTTTCATGAATAAATTTCGGTGCTCTATCAAATGTGTCACAATGAGACATTTTTATTCAATAAAATCTGTCCGAATGACTGATGTAGCGCTATCACGATTTATCTCAATCTGAATGTTCAAGTTAAAACCCCGATAATTAGGGGATTACTCAATGGAGAGGAGATAAGTCTAATATAATACTCTGTGGGGAAACCCTGAAATCCAATTTTCTCCGGAAATCTTCTCTTGGAACCACTTAACTTACCTCGGCAGACAATCTTTCCATCTCCATCCTTCCCGAGAGATCTGAATTCAGACGTTGTAAGAGATCGGCCTTATCCCTTTGAGCTAAAATTGTTGCGATTTGAGGGTCTACTCTTAGTTCCGAGGCCAATGGAGTCACTTTGTCCCGAGCACTATCACCGTTATACTCTGGGACACTTTCAATGCCCTGAGGGGCGTCCAGACAAGTTTGGTTCGAAGAAACGCTGAAATAAAAGAGAATGGGTAAATCCAGATGTATCTTTGGGTGTGAACGTAAACGTATCTTGTTCTGAATACGTGAAAGAAATTGGACCCAGGACAAACAAGCCGCTGTGATTCTAAGACAGAGTACACAACTAAAATAGAATACTACAGGACTATTAAGGCAAGGAAAGGGTGATGTGATGATTACCCCATAATCCGACTTTATTCTCAGTTATTAGGAACTTTAGAATGTTGTGCCATTGGAATTTCGACAAGTATATTTATACGACCTTTTGGCGAATTTGAATTGTTCTTTGACAAAAACAACAAAAACAAATAAAAAGTTTTTTTTTTAATTATTTAGAATGTTTTGTCATCATTAGTATTTGATTTTACAATTTTTTACTCATCACTCGAAAAATCGCCCGACCGAAAACTCAAGACCCGAAAAGGCACCACCCGAACGGGCAAGGCCCAAAAAGTCCTCACCCGAAAAGGCGCCCCGAAAGAGGGAGACCCGAAGATGGGACCCATTTTCGGGTCTCCCATTAATACTAGACAGGCCCCTCATCCAATATTTTCCACATAAGTCAAGAAAAACATAAGGACGATGACGTGCCAGGCGGGATTATTCCTTCAAAAACGTGTCTTATATCATTAGCCATAAGCAATCAGATTAAAGAGTCGCCTGCATTATGTAAGGCTTGCTTTTGCAGACTTATATTGTAATCACGAAGTGCAAGTACAAGTTATAATTGCACTGCTTTAATTAAGACCCACCTTAAAGTTTCGTTTTTCAATTCGGAGTCCTCGAAATCCTCAATTGTAGAAGATCTGGAAGGATGGCTTGAGCTTAAATAAAGACAAATTAAGTTGTTTACGCAATTTATATACTTACTTATTATTCGTTCGAGCTGACAACCTCTGACTCTGACCTCGACTTCTCAGGTTCTTGAAATAAGTGGGGACACACTGATCATCGCTACAGTAATCTTTGTATGGATCTTTGTAACAATTGTATTCCTGAAAACTGGAGTCTCTGGGGTTACTGTAAGTATGATAACCCCGAGTATAAGAACGGCGTTGATGTGTCCGAGAGTTTCCGCTTGATGGAGACAGGCTTCGATATCTGACTGACAATGCCTGGGAACGATTCCACGAGACCGAGGAGCTGGGCGCGGCCGATGAAAATCTTGTTGGCCTAAAAAAAGATATATCAGGAACGTGTTAATTTCATTTTGTTTCTTTAAGTTGGTTTTGCCAAAGTAGACGCCTCTTGAACCTTAGATTGCCCCAGAATGGGAAATATCCTGGCCATCTCAGTTTTTCAAAGAACTAGTGGGAACTCAAATAAAAAATAATTAAAACGTAATTTAGGAAGTAATTAATTCATTCCTTGAGTAACACGCAATCATTTAACCGTTTGTGTCATAATTTTTTGGCCGCAGTCTTTTCAATTCTTTCCCGAAAAATAATCTGATTCAGTAAATTAACGGTAAACGCTAAGTGCTGCTAGGACTAGGTAGACTACTAATTAAGTTATATTTCCTGAAACCACAATATTATTTTTATGTAATGTTTTACCTTTCTTCGAGGTCAAGGTGTAACGCGGTATCGCTAATGTACTGTAGTTGAGGATGTGATTCATTAGCTCGACGTCCAGAATGAATGTAATAATTATTCACACCCAATCCATGTTCCTTTTGATATAACCATTCCAAGAGGGTATATGGACGAGAGTTAATGTCATGGGTTCGCTGAGCAGAAGTGGAGCGACAAGCATTTAAGGACAGAAAGGAGGGATACACTGAGAGAGAGGAACAAGAATCAGTACGGGATGAAGGCTCTTGGTCGGAAAAAAGACCCCTGAGATCTGGCAGCCTGACAGCTAAAATAAATCTGATTAAAAGCACGACAAATAATATACATATTCTACAGTATGAGGTTAAAAAAACTTACAAATTATTTCACTGACTTTCCAACTCCCATTTAAGGCACTTAAATTACCCTCGGCCCAATAAATGACGATTAGACAGAAGTTCTCAAGATCGGCTTCATACAACATTTCATCGAAGCCATCTTTTTTTCTGGCAATTCTATTTGCAAATTGATCGATCTAAACATTAACATTTTGTTTGTTATTGAATTTTTTCCTACTAGATACGTGTCTATTGTATTGTTTTCCGCAACACCTGATGTCGCTAATTTAACGAAATCTGATTTTGAAGTGGACGGGATATTATCTGAATGTATCTTGATGGAAAATGTAATCCTGATCGAGTCTGTACCAATAACAATATGCTGATTGTTTGAAAAGGATGGAATCCATTCATTAATTTTTAATTCCTAAAATAGAGATAAGAAAAATACACAAACTTACTGTCGGAATAATGGATATGACATCCAGATCATCAGCGTGATAGATTACATGATCGGAACATTGGGCATGACTATTCAGGATTGGCTCGCTTGGTGCTTTTCGAATCTCCCCATAACGAAAGGGCTTCGAAAAAAGGGAACTCAGATGGTCCTTCCTTGACCTGCATAATAATCCCTTGTTCTTCCCTAAGGGCCCAAGCAAATGAGATCTAATGAGATTGTGTAATCGTCTTCTCCTCGTGTATTGAACGGCCGAGGAAACAAGCGACCAAGCAAAAAATAACATCGGTTCGACGAGAGGTCATCAGAAATCTAAAAATTGAAACCTCATATACGTTTGCTTACCGAATATCATCTTCCGGTGCATTCCAACAGGCTAAAAGCCGTTGGAGTTAAAGTTGACATTTTATTTTTAGCATGTCCAATACTCTAGTTCCAAAAAAGTCTGAATAAAAAATTCCCCCCAACGGCCAGAAAAGAGCCCAAGAAAGGGAATAAAAGTAAAAAAGCTCGGAAAGGGGCTTCCCCGTCCTCTACAAGGCTGTGAAAACAACTGGAAACGGATTTATCAACAACAAAATCAACAAAGTGGGATTAACAAATAACAGGTTGGATTTCATTATAAAACAACTGGTTTCACTATAGCCTTCTTCGTCTTCTTCGGTTTTTGGATATTTCTGAATAGTTTTACTTGTTCTCTTTCCTCAATGGACAGCTTATGTAGACGGAGGGCAGAAAGATTAAAGTTTACAATGTCCTAAAAAGTAAAAGTTTAGTAAGAATTAGCGAGTATTACCGAGGATTCTCTGATATACTTTGGAAGAGACTTCTGAATGACCAACAGGAATGGAAGCAGCTCTTTCTGGGCCGTCAGTTGGTTTAGATTCACCCTAAAAGGATATAGTTATCGAGGCAGAGATCAAAAAACGTACTTGAACAAGAACAGGATGACTCTGGAAGCGAGTTCAAGCCGATAATGGCGAGACACACATTTGTTGAGAGCCGACAGAATATCCACGACATAATCAAACGGAACCAACAACAAACTTCGCTCCAGGTGAGTTGAATTGATCTTGGAAATAGCGTCCAGGATGAAATGATCAACACTTTCACTACCGTAGGCATCGATTAGAGTATGCGGTTTGTGTTTCGGGTCTTCCGCAGCCGAGACAAGCTCTGATCTGTAGATCTGAACCGCATCCAGTATAGCTTCCGCTCCTTTTACGGAACTAATATTTTTTTTGGAAGCCATGTCGACTTTATTATCCGGATTCTCGCCAGGCACAATGTCCTCAGCATCCACAATCTTTTCCAGATCTTCCTTCTCTCTGAGCCGTTCCTCTTCTTCGGCAGGCATTATAATTTCATCGCTCAATTCCCACAATTTGATTGCCTTGTCATGAGAAGCCGAAATCTACACACCTTTCCGACATCATAAATAAAACTTACCAAAGTTCGGCCGTCTGATGAGGATTCAAGAGCTCGAATCTCTCCAAAATGGCCGTCCAAAATCTGAACTTGATCGAATTTCTTTGCATTCCATTGCTTTATCATTCCATCTTTCCCAGCGGACCATACTAACTGTTCTTCTAAGTCCTTATTGAATTTAACGCAAGTCACACTAAACATACATACTAACACTTTAGTATAACTTACGTGTCGTCATGAGCGAACAATGAGCGATGACAATCTCCAAAATCGAGTCCCCATATCTTCAAACTCTTGTCGGCTGAACCTGTTGCAATCAATTTACTGTCTGGACTAATATCAAGACAAGTCACTGGAAGAGAATGCCCATATAAAGAAACAAAGAACTTCAGATTGTCCAGGAAATAGACTTTGGCTGTGTTATCCAAGAGCCCGAACGCAATAAACTTATAATTGGGAGAGATGCACATGCATAAAATTTCATCAGACAATTCCAATGACCTCTCTTGTCTGAACGTCAACCTTTTTCTAAACGAGAAATATAGAAATAAATGAACAGTTACCTCTCGTATTCTGTGATGACCGAATACCTCCAGAACAGAACCTTTTTATCAGCACTAGCCGAGACAAACCCATGGCCATTAGGAAGAGGACACAAGGAGAAGATGGCCCCATCATGCACTTTCTTCAGTGAGTCTAACAATTCACAAGTAGGAACATCAAACAAGAAAAGAGAGCCATCTTTTGTTCCAAAAATAACCTGTTTGTCATTTGGAGAGAAAATTGCACTCAAGATGTCCTTCATCTGGGGATCAGAGAAGGTATTCACAGGCATCAAGGAGGCCATATCCCAGAGAATCGCGGATTCAGACGCAGCAGAGACAAAAGCAGCATTGTTATTGGTAACAGCCAACGCTCTGACGTCAGTACGATGACCTCTCTATAATATGGCATTTGCAAAAAGTAACGGGAACTGACTTGATCCAAGTTTACAACAGATTCTGAATGAATCACATTTTGTTTCACCTCCAAATCAACCAGATGACCGTGAACAGTGTTGTTCTTGAGTAGAGTAAACAACCTATACTCACGCTTCCCTTCATTTGACTTCACTTGTGATGAGAAGTCAGCCCACTTTACTTTGTAAGTCGTTTCAACAGTACCAACATGTTGCAAAAGGACGGAAAGGTCTCGTGAAATCTCGTTTTCAGTCGGCTTGTTCTCACTAAAGCAGCATATTTTGCATTATTTCGGCTTACCTTTCGTGTTTCTTAGCATTGTTCAGCTTTTTCTTCAGCCTTTTCTTCGATTCTTCGGTCGTGAACACTCGGAACACATCGATCAGAGTATCGGATCCCTAAAAGAATAACAAGAAACAGTAAATATCCTTACCAAACAGCAAATCAATGATTCATCTGGAGTTTTGACCAACTGAAGAGCTCGGCCCTTTGCCCTTCGTAGTAAATTCCCTCGTTTTTTGACAGTCACAACTTCCTAAAAAAATTGAAATTGAATTAATAACGAGATCAAAACTACTCACATTTCCTTGGTTATTCTCCTCATTGAAAGCTTCGGTTCCTATCAAAGTAACCCTTTTGGCATTCGGCTCCTCGTTATCTTCATCATCCTTCTCTTTATCAGCCCATATCAATTCATACACCTCCATTTCCATATTGGAAGACCCCACAATCAACAGCCGACCTTGCTTTAAAAGAGCAAATGTGTAAACCTCTGTTACACTGTCTGCCAATGTGTAAAAACAACTCTGACAATCCAAATCCCAAAATTTCACTTGCGTGTCCTTGGAACTAAAAACATATAATAATCCTTACAAACCTACCTAGAAATCAAGAATTTGTCGTCTTGCGTAAACTGCAGATGTGTTACGGTGGCAGTGTGCCCAGAAAGACGATGGAGACCAGATTCATTCAAGATATCCCAAAGAACAATCACAGAATCTCTACCTCCAGATGCCAATGTAAATCCGTCTTGACTGAAGGCGATACAGTTCACTGATGTTTTATGGCCATTAAAGACAATAGGATCTTCGTAACCTAACAAGAAACATAATTTACTCGAAAAATTAATAACACGTACCGCTTTTCGTCTTTCTGTAAAGATGAATTTCTCCGTCAGCATAGCCAATGGCCACCATTTTCCTGTCATCGCTAAACTTAAACGCAGTGACTTCTTTGCCTTCTCTTCTTAATTCAGCAGCCTAAACAGCAAAAAATAATATACGCAAGCCGACAAATACCTTCTCCAGAGTCCTCAAGTTATAAATCGTCACGGCTTCTCCAGTAACGACTGCACAGTGCAGTTTGTCGACTGATTCTATCATCCCATTTTGGGAAGAAACAATATTACATCGGCCTCCATAAACAAAACGAAGGTAGTCTTTTGTTAATCCCATTTAGCTTCCTTTTAATCTTATATGTATTATAATAATTTTTCCGGGCCGGAGCCTGAATTTTGCTTTATGCACAACGCCAAAAATTTTGGCAGCAACACGTTGGTCGTGGTGGGACACAAGTAAGGTAAAATTTCATTGATCAACATTGACTGTACGAACTCGAAATCCAATACGATTGATGGCTACCTCCGATTAAACATAAAAAGTAAAAATTGTTGGGACTAATATGAACGGTATTCACAAATCCCTTGCGTTTGAAAGCTTCATATAACTGAATTTTCAATTTGGTTAGCCAAAATGACGCTAGTTTGACGTAATTTGACGTCAACTTGACTGAAAAAAATCCGTAAAATTAACAAGCCTAGACAAAACAAAAAATAATATTCCAAAAAGAAACACCCGGCTTGGAAATATCATTCACCGTTTCTCAAGAGACCGTATTTTATTATGTACTTTAAGGATAGGAAAATTCAACACCATCCGCCCAAATAGATATTATTATGATTTAGCGGATTTCCTCTCGGGTCTAACGGTTTTCTGACTGAGTGTCTTCCCTTGGCTGCATATTCTTTTAGATGACTGATCATCTCGCTGACCACCAAAGGATATCTCTTCGAGACATCTGTGGTCTCCAATGGATCGCCTTAAAGATGGGTCTAAAGTTTTGGGTGATTACTTGTTAGTTTGTAGAGTTTGGCTCTGGCCATCGGGTCGTGTCTGAATATGTCTTTTGTTTCATATATCAATTTAAACTCTCCACGTCTAATGGCGGAGATAGGATGATTAATGTTGTAGATGAATTGACTTCTTCGGGTTACATTCTTTTCGTTACCAAGGATTAGTGGCCACTGATTTAGTCCATCACCTAGGATTGTTTTTTTTTTGAAATCACCCTTACCATAACGAGGAAGTCCGGATCCACCGATGCCTAGGAGAGTTGGATGCCAATCCACAACATGGAAGAGGCTTAAATTGGACCGCCGTACAGGTATTTTACTTACTTACTCATGCCTGTAGCTGAACTTGTCTATGTGTTTTTTGGAATGGAAGAAGGTCACTGTCTTGGTTCCTCCTTCCCAAATCGAGTTCTTTTCTCCTTTGTAAGGACGATTCGAGGCTCCAAATTTGGTATCTCCGCCGTTCTAGAAACACCTTATTGTACCTTGCTTTAGACTTACGTCACTGCTGAATATGATGACGGTATTTTCGTATAGGCCTTTGGCTTTTAAATAGTCTATCATCTTTCCAACAGCGTCGTCCATTGACGCCAACATACCTATAAGTAATTATTGTAAATTTTTTATGTAATAGTTTACGCTACCGCAATATAGTTGCCGGCGGTGATCATAAAATAGAGTAGAACATCTTTTTTTGTAGTAAATAGGAGCTTGTAAAGGGGCATGAACCGCTTGGAACGATAAGAACATGAAGAAGGGAAGCGAATTTGGATGTTGATCGAGAATTCGCATGGTTTTGTCAGTAAATAAATCCTAAAATATACTCAATTTTGTAAGTTTTGTATATTCTATTACGGTAGAATATACGCCGGTTTTGTCGGTAATAGGCACAGAAGCTCCGTTGATTTCCTCGAAGAAGTCCAATCCTCGGACTACCCGTTTGCTGTTTCTGTCAAACATATCTGCACTGTGATTGAAGTATCCTTGTTGAGGTCCATAATACCTAATAAGATAATTTGCGTAAGTTTAATCTTTTCATTACCCATAAAAGTAGTCGAATCCTCTATTCGTTGGAAGAAACTCCCTTTTACAATAACCTAAATGCCATTTTCCAACCAAATAGTTTTTATACCCAAGCTTCCTCATATTTTGTGGTAGAAATGGGAAGTCCAAAGGTACTCCAGCGGGCTCCATGTGTAAGAAAACTCCATCCTGAGTTCCAGTTCGGAACGGGTAATATCCCGTCATAAGAGAAGAGCGGGTTCTACATTTATATAGACATTAATGTTTTCTTACGGTGTACAAAGCTGATTTACATAAGAATTGGTCAGGTAAACTGTGTGGTCACTAAATGCCAGCTTCCGCAAATTAGGAGTTGAGAGTCTAAAAGGCTTTGGACTTTACGTTATCCTTACTTTGGATCATGCCAGTCCACATCTGCATATCCAAGATCATCGGCCAACAACAACAATATATTCGGAGACTTTTCTCCGTTCGTTTTTGTTATGAGAGTAAAAAGAAGAAGCCATTTGAACATAGAATCAGGGAAAGTAAAAGGAAAACAATGATGACTGTTGTTGATGTACAAAAGGACATCGCCAAATAACCGCCTATTCTGTCAATGACTCTACAATTCGTGTCCCGAAATACGAAGAGAAACAACTTTTTTACTACGTAAAAATACACAAAAAAATGATGACTGAAAGGAAAACCCGTTCGGGAGACGAAAAGAAGACTAATTTTATTTTTACTGAGACATTTTGTTTAAGCTCCTGTCGCATGTTCTTTCACCTTCATCTAAATTGTAACATGTTAAACTGCGTCATCCTTTATCAAGTTTTTTCTGTTGTATTGAAGAAATATCTCTTGAGGAGATGATTGAATCTGTCGAATTTGATAATTGAGCATTATTGCGTCACACGTATATCATAATCATAGAAACGTTCCTGCTGTCTTTGCTTCTCCGGATGTCCCTCTTAATCCGATGCTCTCTAATTGCGCAGCTAACACGGATCAAGGAAATCTGTGCTAAGATGAACGAGAGAGTACACAAGATGGAGGCGGTGGATGTTTGCAGAACATCCTCGCGCGTGTTTGGATCTTCTTCAAGGCCGGAAAAGCCTGCAATTCTTCGGAATTACAAGTAGAATGAAGGAACCCTGTTTCCGATGTAAACGGCCGACATATATCAATGATAAGGTGGGACCGTTGAAAGATGGTGCTATGTTTCACAAAGGATGCTTCAAATGTTGGATATGTGGTACGAGGTTGTCGCTGAAGACTTACTTCAACAACAGAAATGACACTCAAGACTTAGAGGTAAGTCTTTTTGTGGGATCTTAAATCACTTTAATTGTTGTAAGGTAAATCCTCGGGTTATTAGGTTTACTGTGCTGGCCATGTCCCCACACCTGGTCCCCACGATCCCATCCCCCACCGTTCCAATCTTTTATTCTCGCCAAAAACACGAGGTGATTACCCCCACAACATGCGATGATTCCCTGTGATGGTTATATGTCTTTTGTAAAATTTATTTTGTTGTAATTTGGAAATGTAATAAAGTTTCATCATTTGATAGGAGCGCTGATTCTGTAGAGTTCAGTCCCAGCGCAACATAAAACACTTTTCTGGTCTAGATTCTGAATAGAATCGATAGGAGCTGGGAGGCGAATCTGATTCAAGTAGTTATTAGAAACATAAGAGGTTACCTGTTTGACCACAGATCTCGCTTCAATGTCCCATATTTGTACGGAATCGACATCGCTTGTGCAAACGTAACTATCATTTATTCTGGCCAAGAATCTCCCTTCTCTTAGAACTGGCTCGATATTCTCATCGATATCTAATAATAAGGTCAATGGATCTGTTTGTTCATGCAAGGAAAGGTTGAATATGAGATCCCCATCTTGTTTATCCCATACCCATAATCCAGCATCAATACTGAAACCGATTAAGTACTTGGTCGTACAAATAATCTCCACGGGGAGACTGTCTTCTTTCTCCAGACTCCGCAGTAATCGTCCGGTTTCGATACTCCAACAACAAATACGACCAGAATCACAACTACTGAATAACAACTAAAAGACACCGTGTCATGATTATTACGTAATCTTACATCTTGCTCTTCATCGATACAAATGGAAATAACAGAGTTATTGTGTCCGTAAAGTGAATGACTCAGCTGAAGCGAATTCTGGTCAATCACCCGAAGAGAGTTGTCATAACTGGATGTTATTATATGTTTCGAAGTGCATATTAAATTAGTAATCGGCTTCTGATGCGCGTAATTTTTAGTCAAAAGGTCTAAGACAACAGCTTCCTCACCCTAAATATTCTAATCATAGAAAATTACGAAATAATTACATAATTATCTATAAAAGTGCTAATCTCCATGACTTCAACGATCGCAGTGAGACGGCCGGCCACCACTCGATTTCCCAATATCTAAAATCATACTGCCATAGCTATTCAATTGTAATTACATTTATATGGGTGACTCCTGCTTTTTCTCCAGCTTTTGATTGCACAATTTCGCCATCTTTAGTCCGTCCTAATTGAATCTCTCCATCAGAGCACCCAATGACAATGTAAATATCACTGCAAGGATATATTTCGGTGTAATCTTGTCCTACTTAACATCCAGACACCACACCGATGATCTTTTTTTGGTGTCCCCTTGGTTTACAGGCTCATTCGGGAGAAACATAGAGTTGGATCGAAGCTTGCCGACTTGATTTTGTTTGTATCGTAATAACGAATTCCTCAATTCCCCAGATTTGGCATCCCAGATAAAGACTTGCCCATTAACTGAAGCTGAAACTATTGTATCCTCATGAACTGAAGCACATTCTACGGGCAATTCATGTCTCGAGAAAGCCAACGGGGTCAATTCCACGGAACTTAAGCGAGTTCTGAAGGTAGATCGCTTCAGAGCGAACGCAGATTTTAATTCGTTTCTCCATTGCAACCATTTCTCCCAGAAACACATGTATAATATGAAAAGAATGACGATGAGGAAAGGGAGGATGGCTGAGATTATTAGCCATCGTGACATTTCCCTTTCCAACCAATCAATTCGATCTCTAGAAATAAATCTTTTTTTTAAAATTCTTACTGTAACTCCAAGTTTACTTTGTTTTGAATATTTCCGGCAATTATTTGCAGTTCAGGGTCGTTATAAGGAATACTTTTGCGTAATGAAATAATTGGTAAAAAGGTGACATAAAATCCAGATAATGAAAGATTGTACTGTTCCAATAATAATGGCCACCATTTGAAGGTACTGGTCTGCCAAACACTCCACTCCAAGGGAGCAGTATCCAAAATATGATGACTAATCCATCGCAGATCTCCTTGAGATGTCAGGTTTGAGGGTTCTCCAAACAAACCTTCAAAAACCCTCCATTTCTGAACTAAAAACGCCAACCAAACCACCCAGAGAATAAAGGAAATCATGATAATTCTCTGGGCGATCCTAGTCCGAGTCCAATAATGAAGAACCCTCAGCCGATTCGAAAACGCCTCCAGGGTCGTCGAGTCGGAAGGATTCTTCTTGTGGACAGAAGAGGAGGATGATCTTTTGTGACCTATTAAATTAATCTATGCTTTATTGTTCTTACTCTTCTTGAAGTTGTTGTCCTTCAGGTTATCCTCGGATAAAGTTCTAGTTAATTTATTCTTTCTTTTAAATAATGATGGGAAAATATACTCTGCAGGGCATCTAAAAAGCGCGAATTATTATATAATATGTAACCTTGACTTACTTCGGGCTTTGGTATTTTTTAAATTTTCTTATATTCGAACTGAGAAGCATTAACGAAAATCTTTTTCTGTCGTCTGAATCCATACGACTGAGATCGAAGATGAGGCATGGTGTATAGAAAAATAACTTGAATACTAATTTTCTCGAACTAATACTTACTTGCATGTATAGATCAACAACAATTCCGATAAAAGCAAACAGACAAAACTCCTGGATCTCCGGAACCTGTGTTAGATACCCAAATAATAAGAAATGAAGCTCCAGTAAAAAATATTTAGTAATCTTCTGCCCTTCTTCCGAAAGTCCGTGGGCTACACGGAAGGAGATATCAAAAGATGGGGGGATATAAACAACAGAACTAAAGATATCAAATAACATCAACATACAATACACCCTTACCGAGTAATGCAAAGAATATTCTCGAGTCCAACAATCATAGCCAAATAAGGGAACAAACGGGATCTCCCTACAGATGCACTCATATCCAAATGATGGCATATCCCCAATGTTGTTGTCAGAGTAAAAACTACAGTAAAGAAGGACGCCACAGCAAGGCCCACTTTACTCTTAACCATCTCGAACTTTTTTACAGTGTAATAAAAATATATCTGCAACAAATGGCCGGCATGTTCACGAACTTACAGCACAAACAAAGTAAGAAGCCAAGATAGGAAAGTAATCGGAAAAGTAATGGCCAGGCCTGTAATAAACGTGGATCAGGGTATCTTCGTCGAAGGCATGGGATCTGATTATTGTAAACCTCTCAGACAGTGTTTTAATTAAAAGATTTCTCCATTCGTCATCAATCGAAGTGAATAGCAAAGTAACGCCCAAATGGATAGCTGAATCACAACATTCTTAATATCAAAATTTACCTACTTCTCTGCCGATTAGTTTGGTAATTCTTTTTAATCCCAGTATTCCATATGGGTGTCCCCAACAACAAGTCCCTTTTACACAATGCACCGTGACACTGATGTTTATATATTGTTCTTCTTATATCGGCATCTTTTTTGACCTTATTTATGTCATCGTTCCATATCAATGCTGGCGACAATAATAAACATTCAGATCGGCCGTCTGTATTAACTTGCAGACACAGATTCTTAAATAGGGAACTGTCGGTTTTTACATCAATTGCAATTTCTCTTATTCTAAATGTTTGAAGGATCGCTGCCCTTATAACCTAAAGTAATATATAATATATATTATATTGAACGCTCTTACTATATCTGGAGTGCATTCTGTGGAATTCCAAGGATCAACGTTCGCAGTAAGCACGATTTGTTGAATATACAGACCGGGTCTTCCATTCAGCCATGCAGGCGGGTCTAAATGTTTGATTAAATCACTTCATATTGTAATCACCTTGAATAAAATCCTTTTTCTGGTGCCAAAATACATCAAATGGACTTGAAACTGGCAATTCCATCTTTAGCATTGCCGGATATGACAGAAACACCACTGACAGCAAGGACAAAGAGATACATGCTATGGGATGAGCTGAACAGAGTCTGGAAGATGTTAGCCATGCTCTCCGAACCTACTTTCCGTAATCGAAGAAAGTCCTATGGATTTTGTCTGAAAATCTTTTCCACATTTCTTCTTTTTATTTTATTTGTTTTGTTTCATTCGAAAAAAGACTGATAGAAACGCGCGATCGTCTCCTTATCAGCCTGTCGAATACAGTGTAATTAAAATCAATAATCCAATAAATCGTGTGGAGATTCGCTAAATAAAAATAGTTCTTCCGCGGAAGATATTTTCGCAAAACATTTTGTCGGATGAAATGAATCTGTGGGAAGATGTTATGGGTCAATGTGTTATCAACCGGACGAAGATTATCTTCATCTTTCAGCGGCAATGAGGTCAAACAAGAGTTTTTTAAATTCTTTGCCCAAAAGGGCCACAAAATAGTTCCATCTGGTCCAGTAATTGCTGATGATCCTAGCTTGGCATTCACAAATGCGGGTATGAATCAAGTAAGTAAGTGTTCTTGAGTTATTTAATTTTTTTTAGTTCAAACCGATTTTACTCGGCCAAGTTGAACCAATTTACAAACGAGTGGCTAATTCACAGAAATGTATTAGAACCGGTGGAAAGCACAATGATCTGGAAGATGTTGGAAGAGATATGCACCATCAAACGTTCTTCGAGATGCTGGGAAATTGGTCATTTGGTGATTATTACAATGTAAATTTTGAATAAAGTACGAAAATTATTGTAGAAAGAGGCATGTGAATACGCATGGGAATTCTTAACAGAGATTATGATGATTCCTCCACATAGGATATATGTCAGTTACTTTGCTGGTGACAGACGTTTGGGACTGCGCCCGGACAAAGAATGTTTGGAGATTTGGAAAGGCCTTGGGTAATTTTAAACTCTTTTTAAGATAATTATTTGTTTAGGGTGAAAGATATTAACCTTGTCCCGGCCGGATATGACTCAAATTTCTGGGAGATGGCAGACAGAGGTCCTTGTGGCCCGTGCACAGAAATCCATGTTGATCGGAAGAACCGAAAAGGTCAGGGTCATCTTGTTAATGTCGATGGATCAGATGTCATCGAACTTTGGAATCTTGTATTCATGCAGTTTAATCGGACAGGTGAGGCCGTCTTTGATCCTCTTCCAAGAAGAAATATCGACTGTGGGATGGGATTTGAGAGACTTGTGAGTGTTGTTCAAGGAGTGGGTTCTAATTACCAGACCGATGTCTTCTTACCTTTACTAAATAAGATTGAGGAAGTAAGTGTTTGCTTTATGCTCTTCTAATTGAGACCGAAGAGTCCGGTTTTCGATGAGTCCCGCTTTTTGAATTTTCAAAATAAGAGATACGATGAAAATTTCCAAATTTTTAAAATTGGAAATGACATGTTATACGATTAAAAAGTTTTTTTTCAAGATGTGTGGTGACTAAAAAATGGTGAGAATTGTCAATGTCCATCATCATTTGAGAGTTTGAAGAAGCTTTTATATCGTATAACGTTTCACCCCTAATTTTAAAAATTTGAAAAGTGGGAAAATCCGGACACTTCGTATTTCTCGTGATAATATTCTTCTTCCTATTTATAGTTAAGTGAAGTGAAGCCTACAAGTGATGAAATCCAAATTGCATACAGGATTGTAGCAGATCATTTGAGATCAGTCTCTATCGCTTTATCCGGTGGGGCGAACATATACAACTCTAGATTCCACTCGCTCAGAGTCATGGTCAGACATTTGGTCAGCTTCAGTCGAGAAGTCCTCAAGATGGATGCTCATTTGATGGAATTAGTTGAGTATTCCTTGGAGTTCTTGGTAAGTTGGAACATGCCAACTTTCTATTTTGCAGAGCCCAACATTCCCCGAATTATATGATTCAGAAACAAGAAAATATATTACATCTACAATTCAGAAACAATTAAAAACGCAGCAGAAGCAGGGAAGGAAAGCTGAAATAGCTTTCCATGATTTGGCCGCTGGATTAAAGGAGGGGGAAGCTTTATCTGGTATGTAATCAAATTTTAATATGTCGTCTTTTAACTTCTTTTATCGAAATATCATCATTTAGTTGGGAAACAATTATATTTGTGGGTTAACTATGGATGCACGCCAGAACTCGCTCAGAGATTTGCAGATCGGAGGAGAATAGAATTGGAAAAAGGGGTTGAAGAGGTCTGGGAGAATTACAAGGTAGGAATGAAGTTGTTTTAAGATGATAATAATTATATTCCTTCAGAGAACTGGTCAAATGCCGTGGACCAAACGCGCGCAGAGAAATTAGGATTGTTCATTTTTCATTTTTGTTGATATTAAAGTTAATTGTTACAGTGTTTTTTTTTTTTGAAACATGCTTATCAGAAAGCGATTTGATATCTGTGCGCTGTGTAATTTCTTAAAAACTTTTTAGCCCATTCTAGAGATCTGAAATATGATTCAAGGAGGTGAGTATTGAAATGTTTTTTACTAATATTTTCGCAGTATTTACATACCTGGAGAAGTATGGGTGGTATACATTGATTGCTGCGGCCTTGGTGTTTGTGATCTATCAGAAATATCTCTCTGATAAGCTGCAGGAGTATCAGCAGAACCGAGAGTTGGAGAAACAAAAGAAAGACGGTACATTGATTACGTTCTTATATGTAATCATTACACTCCTTCAGACGATGCTCAAAGAGATAAACACCGAAAAAAATTGGAAGAAGTTCGTAGGAAACAACAGGAAGAATATGATGCCGAGGTAGCCAGAGAAAAGGAAAGACAGAAAGCATTGGAAGAAGAAAGGAAAAAAGAAAAGTTGGAACGATTGAACAAGGAGGATGGGGATGGGAACGTTCTCTTCGATGCCCTGAACTTTGTTAACGAACAAGTCGGCAGCAAAAAAGTTGTCATATTCAGCAAGTCGTGGTGTCCATATTCAAGGTATGTTGAATAGGTTGAGTTTAGAATACAGGGTGCGCCAATAAAATGTGGACAAATACTTTTGCTTGCCCTGTGGGCTGTAAAAGTACAAAAGTGGGAAGTTGTTCAAACGTTTAATGCGTCCAAGAATCTATCTTTAATTCGGACAAAATAATCCTCTACGACACTTCTTTTTCCATAAGTACTCACAACTAAAAAGGGATCGGCAAAAGCACGCATCCTGGTTTTTTCTTGAAACATATACCATTTGAAAGAGCGTAAAAAAACTGGTCTAGGATCACCTTTTATTAGCTGCTATTTTTGCTCTACGCCCTAGCTAGCGAGCATTTTTTTAAAAATCCCGGTTGGATTTCACGACTCTTTGCTTCTGAACGGCTAAAAAGATTCAATAATTACTTTTCATATGTCCCATACGTACCTATGACGTCCAACGCTTCACCCTATGCCAAAGAATACACACTTTTTCCGACCTTGAGATACCCAAGTCCATGTTCACAATGTGTGATCACGCGATCTTTTAGGTCGTGTAACTCAATGCAACATAGCGGGTAGAAAACATGTAAACCGTTTTCAGACTCAATTTTCACGTACTTTCCGTTACTGGGCTTAATTCGTAAAAATCTGAAAGCGTTGAAAGTTCCAGCCATAGAAGATACCTACTTCAAGGGCAAGTACTACAAATTTGAAAGAATTTAAAAAATCTCCGTTTTTTATTAAAAAACTACTCCGATTATACCACAAATGTCTACACGACACTCAAACACTATTTCCAGGCCTTATTTGGTTTACAATAAAAAGAAAATCAAAAAAAATCAAAAGAGGTGTCGAACCCGGTTCGCAGGTTCGCCTCGTTCAGCGCATTACCCCACTAGGCCACCGAAGCACTGCTGCGCTGTGCTTTGGAAATCGTTCGGATTTGTTTCCTCGGAAAAAGGGTGAGATAAGCCTAGAACTAAATAATGCTCGCTAGCGAAGGCGTAGAGCAAAAATAGCAGCTAATAAAATGTGATCCTAGACCAGTTTTTTACGCTCTTTCAAATGGTACATGTTTCAAGAAAAAACCAGGATGCGCGCTTTTGCCGATCCCTTGTAAGGCCCCTGAAACACGGATCCCAAATTGGTTACGATGCATCGATGCCTTTACCGTTGAATGCTATGGGCTCAAATTTACTTTTTATAGTAAAGCGGCGGTTGTTTTTTATCCACTAAAATTGATTTCGCTTAATTACGACTACTACACCAGTTTTGGGGTTTTTTTTTCCGCGACCAACGGCGCCTTGCAATAGGCCCCACCTTGGCTTTAGCGTTGCTGTATAGCATGGCCGTTACCCTTGTTAATAAAAGGGCTAAAAGTTTTCATTCCACTCGAAAACAGCTATATGGGATTGATTTTTGTCGATTTTATTGGCACAGCCTGTATATTGCTTTAGAAAGGCCAAACAAGTTCTCCTTGGTGTTTATCGTGTAGACCAGAAGGATTACAAAGTGATCGAGCTGGATGAAATGGAGACTGGAGATCTTATCCAAGACGCCCTTCAAAGAGTTACCGGTGGCAGATCTGTCCCCCGAGTATTTGTCAATGGCCAATTCATTGGTGGAGGTGATGACACTGAAAGGCTTCACAAGGAGAATAAAATGGCCGGTCTGTTGAAAGATGCTGGTGTTCAGTTCTTGGAGGGCAATTGATGGCTACTTAAATAATAAATACGAGATCTGTTCTTTGATTTTTGTGGTTCCAGTTGAAAATTGCGATGATGACATCCTTCACAAGATTGCATCAGTTTCTTTAAAAGGCGCAGGTCTCTCTCCATTGATTTTTTAATATTGGTTGATATTTGTTCACTGTTGATGTCAGACCTTTAATTAGTCTTTGTCACTACTACATTTTCATTCCGAATATAATTTAAATTATTTTATATCTATTTTTTTAAACTTTACATAAATTTTTACTGGTGGATGGAGGCTTTCTAACATTTTGAGAGATAGGGTTTTAATATGTCTTGTATATTCAACCAAGGGTGGTATACTGTCATTATTATCATACCTTGCTACCGTTTCCTTCTTAACTTTTCCTGTCTTCTTATTGGTTACTTGCTGCTCCCATCGTCATCACTTACCATTTTGTTTGTACTTTGAGACGTTTAGTTTGGATTCTCTGATTGACGGAGTGTAATGTCAGCATGATTTATAACTCTGGTTTCTAGTGTAAGACATCTTAGGGTATTTGTTAGAGTTGCAACCCCGTTTGCACTCGAGCGGGGTCTCCTTCTTCGTTTTCATGGTTTTTTCATAAATCTTCGTTCTTTTCAATTTCGAGGTGCATGTTATGATGTAATCTGATATTATGCTTGCACAACTGTCACAAGACTATATTATACTCTTATTATAGGTTTTACCACGTGAATTTCCCGTGTATTCTGCTGGCGTCGCTCCTCGTGGTTTGCCCGTTTCAGCGTTTTCTCGTCGCTAACATATATCACTGGAGGAGGGTGCTCCCCATTCAGCTATCTTCTATTTAAAATGAATTCGGAAGCGCCGTTGCTTTCAGAGGATGATTATTCTATTAATTCGAGGTAATCCTTGAAACAAATAATAATGGTTTGCAGTGTTTCCGAAGTGATGATTGATCTCTCTGGCCGGGATATGACCTCATTCCCTGAGGGCTTTATGGACCTGGACGACATTGAGGAGACTTCCGAGCTAGATATAAGTCATAACCGGTTCTCAGAATGCCCCAACGATCTCTTTAAACTCACAAATCTGGTTTCGTAAGTGTAAAGTTGTTAAGGAGGTGTTGCGTCTAGACTTGACTTCAGTTACAATGATCTGCTTTCTCTGCCCAACAAGATCGCCGCCTTGCAACAGTTGAAACGCCTGGATCTCAGACACAATCAACTCAAAACGTTACCCGATGGCTTTGAAAAACTAAGAAATCTAGAAGTTTTAATTTTATCTGGCAATCAATTTCAACAAATGCCTCAGGTCATATTCAGACTCCCAAGACTAAAGGAATTACAAATGGGAGGAAATCATTTGACTGAGATTCCCTCTGAGATCTGTCAACTAGTCAAGTAAGTGCATATTTTCTGAGCCATACTACCTACTGTTTTTTTTTGTTTTCAGTAGGGTCGAAGTTGAATTAAAGAACCGTAAATCCATTACTTTCGGAAAAAAATCAAAAACTTACAGTGTTAAATTTTTTTTAACATAAGGGTGTTGTGGCAAGCCCGGGTTAGAATTTTGCGTACAGCAGTTTGGAATCAAAAAACAGAGAAAAATCCACTCCTGGGGTGAAACCCGGAGGGCATAGATATGAAAAATTTTCAAAATCCGTAAAGTTGGGGGAAGGGTTTGTCCACAAACAGAGGTGAAGTTTGCCGCGTCCCTGCTTTTCGGGTCGACGACAGTTCGGGTCAATCGAACTGTCGTATCTATACGGGGCATATGGAAAAAAAGGCAACCGCAAAAGTAAGATTTTATTTTTTTGTGTGTGGTTAATTTTTACTGTTCTAACGGGTGAACCTGAGGATTCAGGGAAAAAGGAATTTTAACGTTTGGCCCAAAACTAAAGAAGTTATAGCCAATTCCCTGGCCACAAAGATGGCGCACCCTGTACAAAAATTTTCCAAAAAAAGTTCGATTTGACAATCAAAATGACAGAAAATTTTGACGTGACAAAATGGCGTCAATTTGCCAACGTGACTGACGCGTCGAGTTGACGACTTAACAACCCTAGTTTTTAGCCTTGAGATCTTATATTTGGGAGACAATCAGCTGATATCCCTGCCAGAATCCATGGGTACCCTTCCCAAACTTACCGCTTTAGCATTAGCCGTGAATCGCCTAGAAACTCTCCCGGTCAGTTTTGAGAGATTACACTCTCTGAGGACATTAACTCTCCATAATAACAAGATAAAGGTAATTTTGGTAAAATACGGTATTTTACTCCCTTCAGGCTTTACCCACAGGAATCACAAGGCTTCAGAACCTGGAGCAATTAAATATCCGGTCAAATCCGTTGAGTAAGTTATCATTCCAAGAAAATCATCTGATTATAGTTACGGACTTTGTTAACAATATGACATTTGAACCGGCTAGTCTAACGGAATTAGCAGCAAGGATCGTGAAGTTGAAAATGATCAGGCACATCATGGTTTTGCCTCCACATCTCCGTCATTATCTCAGCACTGCCAATCAATGTGTTAATCCCAAATGCAAGGGAGTTTATTTTGAAGCCAAGCAGGAACATATCAAGTTCGTGGACTTTTGCGGGAAATATCGAGTACCTCTAATGCAGTACCTCTGGTAAGCTTTTTTCTTACCCGACCCTTGGGTGTTATTATACTTATTTGTTGTGTTACAGCTCTAGTACATGCTCCTCAAACAGTCCCGCTTATGCATTATCATCGTCTGGGGAATCTGAAGATGAAGCCGAGCTACCATCGACGTCGCAACAGAAAATGCGGAAGGTTTTATTGGGGTGATCGGCAGTCACATTTGTAGCATTGATCTCGTTTTTAGAATAAACTTTTATTCTGTTCACTTGAATTTTGAGAAAGGGGTTGGATTTGTAGATGACGCAACACGTAGCCAGTAACATCGAAATCCAAAGAAAATTCCTCCGATCTGTCGAAGACCTAGGCATTCGGGAGTCTCTTATTGTAAGCGTTGCTGGAAAATATGAGCGCCAAATTTTTTATACTACCGTATACTGTAATATATATGGCTCTCGGGAGCCATTATACTTGCTATTTTAGGCGAAGGCTACTCCAATGCATCGTCATCATCTATATGTGGACATAGATAGACATATGAAAGTAAACGGTAAAACGAAATTCGGCTAGATATGTAAACGGTTTAGGTGGCTTATCCAAGAAGATATTCGCGTATATGAAACAGCGGTACCAATACGAAAAGAAGAAGATCCCGGGAAAAAGAACATACGCTCTTTACGATGAACTTGACAAATTCTTTGAGCCGTTCGTTAAGAATTAAATGTATAAATTTGGTTTAGAGACAATGAAGAAGAAGGTTCAAACAATCAACAAATTGTTGAACAGAATGAACAAGGCGATCTGTCATCCAGGCGGGAGATTTCGAGAAACTTGGAGACGATTGAACATAGTGAAGTGAAGGAGAAGACTCTTAGGATTATGATGCAGAGAGTTCTGGAGCTAGGCGATCCTGCTTTTCAAAAGTTTGTAAAAACTGTGAAAACATTAATTTGGAACAACTTCTCGAAACGTAACCAACGTTTTGAAGGCAACGTAAAGTAAGTTTGGTTTTCCACTCCCTAACGAGACTAATTTAAGTCATAATTTATCGCGTTATCCAGTCGTCCACCAAGCCGAGATCAATCTTGACAGAATTTTTAATCAGATTTCGACTCCGGCAGCTCTTCTTTCTTTTGTTTCTCTTTATATGGATGAACTCGATGTGAATGAGATGGTTGAACTGAACAGAGATTTTATCAAGATCGTCGAATACAGCAAAAAAATTGAGAGACGAGACCGTTTCTGTTTCCTACAATAAAATTACCGATCGTAATTAGTATGAATGCCTTTATTTCGAGAATAGAAGTGAATGTGTCAGTCGTTTCATCGATACACTTACAACAACAATAAAATATAATTGAAGCCCGTAATTGGATGTACTTCTAGATTGCTTGGTCTCACTGAAGTCGTCGACAACGACTACATCGTTGTCTGACTGTACAAGGGATGCAACAAAGAAGGACAAGACCCATCGGGAAAGTGAAGATCGCGAAGAGTATCAGACATATCAGGCAGCACAAATCAGTTTCGTTTTGAACTTGACCAACCTAAACGGAGATAAATAATTGGAGAAAGAACTCACTAGACAATGGATACAGGCTGTACCGGCTACTGGAGTAATTACGGTGGTCGTGTGGATGATTCGAGGCTGATTGGAGGCATCAGCTAAAGCAATTGTTGTAAAATTTTTAGCTGTCCTACCAGGAGCCTGGAGAACATATCCGGTGCCGGAGATTGGAGGTGGGGGATAGATGGGTTGTCCAATTTGAGGTCCTGGCATGGGTTTTGGGACACCACTGGGGAGATATGGAGGAGCTGGACAATTGACGGCATCATCATACGAAGGCGGCGGAGGCATAGCCTGCTGACCCTGAGGACCCATTTGATTGGTTTGGGGAGAATAAGAATTCTGTTGCTGAGTAGATCCATAGTTGGGCGGAGGAGAGGCGTTTACAGGAGAGACCGGACCAGCCGAACTCGAGGCGCCTTGGTGCTCATCTTCAACTGGGGCCGAAGGAATAGACGGAGGTCGAGCAGCATCGGGGTCAGGCTTTCCCATCTTTAATATCTAAAACAAGATATAAAAATATTAGGCCTTTAACATACAACAAGGCCTTTAATATAAAAACACGAAATAGTCACACGTGGGACGACGCATTTCCAAAAAAAAAAAAAACAATATAAAATCGATGGTCCGTTTATTCCTCAACAAGAACAACACCGGAATAAAATTTCAACAACAAATGAGGCTAATTACTACCAACGACACAAATTACTGCGACTTCCTAATCACGACCTAAAGTGGAAGGGGACCGACCTGAAAAGAAATTAGTGTGTAAGCAATACCAATTAATGGCCAAGGATAAATAAGAAAATAACACCCTGAGGGAGAGAAAAATTTCACGTCATTTCGAAAAATAAAATGACGTGAAAAGGTTCAAGATCGACAAAAAACGAGTAAAGTTGTCCGCAAGAATGTCGGAAGTGCTTTCTGCAAAATAAAAACTAAAAATCAATTGGATAAAAAATATTCGGAAAAAACAAAATAAATCGATTCAAAATGCGCGAGTTAGACTCGCTCTTTGTTCAGGTGTCTAAGCGCATTCTCTTTGGCCATGTCTGCTCTCTCCCTCTGGGGTTTCCTCCCGCCCTCACAGATATAAACCAGCCCAATTTCATATTATCAATGGACCGACCAGCCGTTTGTATCTCAGTTCCATATGAATCATAGAAAGGACTCACGTCTTTCCTTTTATTCTATTGCGAAACTCGGTGGGCTGAAAAAATTAATCAAATTAAAGCCAAAGGTAAAAAATAAACACCCTTAGGTTAAAAAGACACTCACATGCCAACGGGATGTTCAATGGAAGTTCGTCGGGGACAACTACGGCATGAAGTTGATCTCTGAATCTGTAGACCACCTTCAACATCTTCATTTCACTTGGGCAAGGATCATAAAACCCAGTAAGCTGACTCTGGAATCAAAGCATCAGCGATGAGAAGTTTAATAATAATCAATTTCCAGTTCACACTGTACTGACACCCCATCACAAAACAATATGCGGTATATACCATTCGAGAGAGCTCAAAAAGTTGTGTTAGACAGAACTTTGTTTTTGCTGAATTCGTTTCGGTTAACCATAAATGGAACATTTGCGCTTCGCTTAGCATTTTTCAAAATTATCAAAAGATGTCGAAACAAACGGATAATTTCAAAATATAAAGTTATGACTATTATTATTGCACGTACAAGGGGTGAGAGGCCGGATACCTAAATTTACCTCTTTTACAACCGTATATAAAAGTTCGTACGAAAACCCATCGCATAAGAGATCAAACAATATCAACATCAATAGTTTCAAGGGTAAACTTCAGGTTTCGATTTTACAAGAGCCAAAAAAATAAGTCGTTTCCTTTTTTTGAGCTCATTCGAATGGCATATACCGCAGCTTTTTTGTGGTGAGCTGTAAGTACAATTCCTTAACCAGTCAATGAATACCTTAACAGCGAAGATTCTGAGTTGTGAATCATTGACCATGGCTTGCAGGGGTACTGTAACATCGATGACTCTCTCTCCTGGGATAGGGTATTGTGGATTCTCCCCTTCCATCTGGCCATACTTTGCCTCCAAAATCACTAGACCATGTTTCTGTTCTTCAATCTTCTGTATTCTGTCTGCTGTTGGTCTCATGAGGTTAATAACCCTTTGCGAATCTTCTCTCTTTCCTTCATCTACTTGTTGTTCAAGGTCGGAATCATCAAACAATCGGCCGAATCTACTGAATGCCTTTCGAAAAACAATCCTGGCGGTATGGTAAGTGATGTAAGGAAAAGCAACTCCGTAGATTACACTTCTTGCAAGTTCATCTTGAGACTCGCAGAGGACAACGTTCAGTTCATAATGATTCAAGCTAGTTTTTAGCCTAAATCCGTCAATTAACATTTTAAAAAAGTAGAATATTACCTAAATTTTCCAATCAAAGCGCAGTTAGGGTAAGAAACGGTGATTCCACAAGCAACTTTCGAGTATCGTGAGATCCTCCGCTCGTATAAAACTGAGGGAATAACCCCGAAAGGACTCAAGGTCACATTCATTTCCATGTGTCCATCATCATCAGTGTACCGCTTATGGTAAGTTGTACGAATGAAAGAGTTCGCAGGGGATAACTGAAAAATATAAAAAGGCATGTTTGATTCTACTTACCGTCAGATTAAGAGTGAATTTTGGATGATTTAGCTCGGTTTTCATAAGGGTTGTAGAGATGTAGCTACTCTTTAAGCCATAGCTAAGCGACAGAGACCCTTGCCAACTGGGGGAAAGAAACATAGAAAGAGCTGAAAAAGTGCATCGACACTTTTTTAATAATATTCTTACTTGAAGCCAATGAAAGATCATAAATGCCCGTAGAGGGCATAAATTGAGCGGTCGGGGCTAACTGAACCATCACTTTCGGGGAGATACTCTTACTAAGCTTGGCCAAACCACTCACCGAATCCGGTCCCACTGTTGCATTTGTCTGTAAATATAGGTTAATTACAAAACAATGAATACCCTACCTCAAAGTGAAGAGAAGCATTAAGCGACCGTTTCCAGCTGGCTCCAAATGAGCCGTCTCCTCGCCCATTTACTGACTTTACTCTTCCCACTAATCCAAAACGATCCTTCGGTGTTAACGCTGTATCAACCGCTTGGTTTATACTCAAACCAACCAAATACGGTGGAAACCTGTCTTCTTCTTCTTCGCAGAAAAGTCCAGCTGCATTAATTTTGACATTAAAAGCACCAGTCGGATGTGATCGTTGAATCATAACCTCAGTGTCCCTTAGTTTCTTCAGAAACTCGTATTCCTTTCTAATATTCTCAGCATTGTTTGATTTAGACACAAGCTGCCATCCTTGCATCTCCAGGCCTCTCAATCCAACAGCATCATAAATGGCACGCTTCTCAGGATCAGATAAGGCTAAACATAAACTCGAATGCACTAGTACTTACTTTCATGAGCTTTTCGGACAACGACGAATACCTTTTCTGCATCCTTTTGAGCCTTAGGATCAGTATGTCGGTCGGGATGAAATAATAAACATCTGGCCTTATAGGCCTTGTTAATGTCCTCTGAAGAAGCCTAAATTTAAATAAAAAATATTCTTCAATATAACTTACATCACGAGGAACGTTCAAAACGGCGTAATAGTCGATTTCTTCTTTCTCCTCAACCAAAACATTTTCGTCATCCTCGAAAAGGGAATCACTTGATGAAATTGACATTCAACTACACAAAAAGATTTCTATAGTTTAGTAGACTACTGACTACCAGTTGCAAACGCCGCAACAATTAGAAGAACTTCGAAAAATATTTTAAAATTTAATATTTATTTTTTTATGAGGCGGACGCCCTGAGACGAAAACAATGAGCTGGCATAACGTTATTTCACGGAAAATTTTTTGTTTTTCGATTGATAACCTTCACGATCAATGCTATGAAATCTGAGGTACTTATACTGTTGTTTGTCATATTAAGTGTTAAGTTGGTTGAGGTAAGGTATTTCATGTATTTTTTTATTCTTTTTAGGCAAACTTTGAAGATTCAAGATGCAGATGTACATGTCCAAGCACAAAATATTTCGCAGGACCCAATAGCACAGATAACAAGCGGCGGTATTATACAAAAACAAACGTTTTGTCATCTAATTGGTATGTGTATCCTTTTCAAGTATATTTATTACTTTAGCAATCCGCAAAATGTGGTTAAAGTCTCCGTGAAAGGTGTAGTAGACAGCTCTCATTTGGATGCTTTCCTGGCCAACTGTGATTGTCGTTTTGAATCACGGAACACAATATTGCTCAAGGTAACAGTTGATTGATTTAAAATTAATTTTATTGCCTTTCGAAGGTGTGATGTATATCGGTACTGTATTCAAAGTCATTGGTTATGCAAACCAGTCTTTTAGCATTTGGTTTTATGGGCGTTTGAGGGACGCGATTGATTTGTGTCATAGATTTATACAGTATTCGTCTAATATTGTAGAATAATTCTGTGACACTTCAGGTAGTTGTAATCTTTGTGATATGTGTGTTGGCACTTCTCGGGTCATATATGTTATTCTTAACCATACTGGACCCAATGTTTAAACGAAGGAAACTGTCGGTGACATATAAACGTCAAGATGATGAGGTATGCAATGTAAAGGGAAACAATTACCAACTGTATTGCAGATAGAAGATAATATTTTTGGTGAGCCAACTGTAGATACGAATGGGTCCATACCTCTTAAGGTGCAGCAAAAAGCAGTCAGTGTACTTGATAAAGTGGAAGATAAGACCTCCAAATGGAAGTCAGATGTGCAAGAACAACGACGGAAAGTAATGTCCGACCACACGATCCTCAACTAAATTAACTTAACATAACGGAGATTCGTATATTTCATCTTTTTTGTGATTAAATAAAAATTAATTTTATTGTTTTTTCGCACTCGATCGCCCCAAAAATGGATTGTTTTAACCGCCCATTCAAAGGAATTGAAATTGATGGCGACGGTTTTTCTTGGGAATGGAGATGGATACGACCACATTGTTGAGTGCACGCACGGCCATGGAGTCGCTGATCTCCACGATCTTTTGAAACCACGATAGAAAAGGATTCTGAATCCATCCAGTTGACATCGTTAACTTTTTCTTCATTAACGCTCTTGAGAAAAGCGTTGAGAATTACTCGGATTCCGTCAATGGGTGGTCTCATCAAGTTAAGTCATCATTCTCTTGATAGGTAACAACTTCCTCATTTTTTATGTGTTATATCAAAACGAAAACGTGATTGATGTTGTCAGCGTACGCGGGCGGTTGACGACAATAGGTCATGTCCGTGTTACCGTATACTAATTTCTGTTAAAATCGTGTTTCTCTTTATTAGCGGCACTTTCCCTTGATCTATTATATTCGGTTGAAATTGGAGCAGAAAATTCACGTCCGTTCTGCCTACGCAGAAATTTGCTTCAGGCTTCATTTTGTTTTTGAGGCGGCGATTTTTAAAAGGGCGTCTACAATGACGCCACTGTATGTTATGCAACGCTCTTCAAAGGGCGATTGTCAGGTCAAACAATAAACAAGATCAATTTCAGGTGACATAACGTGGCCCGGGGATATTTCTGTAGAAACTCCTGGATCGGCTTTCTTTTAAGGTCAGATAGCTGATAAGATAGATGGTATTCATTCCATTCAAATTCGATTAACATGGTCGGAACCATCGCTCCTCACTCTCTCACTTGTTTCACACCTTTCCTTCCCCGCCCCCTTTTTTGGATCAATTGCGGTGAATGCCAAATCAGAATTTAGACGGACCTTTCGCCTTTTGATCGTGTCAAGGCTAATATCTTAATATCAGCGATATGCATGCATTACTGTATCTTTTTTCAGAGTAATCCGTTTCGTCGAGATAGCTTCTAAAAAAGTTTTATTTGGAGTAAAGTTTTTTGAAAATCGTTTTTGCTTTTTCTTTTTCGTTTACCATCCGTTTTGGGCATACTGTAACACTACCTTCATGGGATAACTCGGAAATTGTTAATTAACTTTAGAAGAATTCCCTTCCCTTTTTCCATCGCCCTAATCAGTCTTATCAGCTTTGTTGTAGATTGATAGGGTTCTGAATGCGTATCACAACCGTGAAAAGCGGGCAAGGGTTACGGTAGGAATGGTGATTGGAGACAGAGACGCGTGTCATCATCGAGTTTCCGAGCATCGTTTCAACAACTTTTTTGTTTTCAGCGTGACGGGAAAAGAAAGACGATGAAGGTCCCTTTCTCGGAAACCAAGAGCCATGAGATTGCAACCATAATGGGACAGAAGAGGGTCAATCAATTGGGAGGGCATTATATTAATGGGAAACCGCTGCCCAATTCGATGAGAATTGCCATTGTCAACATGCATAATCAAGGAATAAAGTGAGTAATTTTGAAGTCGCTTTCTCTTTTAAAATAAAGATTACTAACGTATTTGATTTCAGACCATGTGTCATCAGTCGTCAGCTGAAGATTTCCCATGGTGCCGTGTCCAAGATCCTGAATCGCTTCAACGAAACGGGCTCGGTCGCACCCGGACAGGTAAAAAACTTTTCAAAAATTCGAATCCCCAAAACAATGAAATCCCCCACCGCGAATGTCCGCCGTTCCGCTGACAAATGAGTCGGTGTCACAGTACTCTTTAACTAATGATTTTTACGGATTCCAGATTGGCGGAAACCCGAGGAAACGACAGATCGTGCAAAGTGTGGAGCGACAGATCTTCGAATTCAAAGAAATGAATCCATCCAGCTCCAGTTTGGACATACAGCAACACCTTATCCATTCTGGGCATTGTACTCGGGATACTGTACCTACAGTAAACTCGATTACAAGACATCTGAAGTCGAGAGGTCTTATTGGTCATTCCCGATCCCCAAGGGAATGTGGAACTCCGATCAGTCCGACAAACAGTGACAAGAAACTAAACCATTCGATTGAAAACATCCTGGGAATTCAAAACAATTCGACTGGTGAGTATCAACAAATTTTTATAAGAAACTGAGGTAATACGGTAGTAAGTGGAAAGCGGTCTAATTAAGAGTCTTGTTATTTGGTCGCCCCTAATTAGTCTGTTAGATAACAAGTTGATTCAAGTTGTGTTTGACGAGATTACAGTACCCGATCGCTGTCAAACGCCATCTGCCGGCTGGGCGATGGCGAGATTGCGTCGATTTAATCCGGAAGCGCGGCGATAGACAAGAAAAGGGTGTGGATTGACTTGTTTTAGATTATCTTATACAAATATTGGCCCGCACTTTAATTGCACAATCTTGTCGCTCTTCCACGTTCTCGCCCATCTGCCCTCTCTCTTCCCGGTAGGAAGCGAGAAGTTGACCCTTTCTGATAATTGATTACAAGGAGCGGCGTTTGAGAGGGTTTCAAGCGGAGATGTCCAACTAGGTGTCAAGCGCTGACAGGGCGGCGGCTTTGCGGTAAACCTTTTAGCGGCAGATTATATCTTGTAACTAATCTAATCTGATCCAACTTTTTGACACTTTCTGTCTTTCAGAGTCGAGATATCAATTAGAATCTCCAACAAGTTCAAACGGTTCCAGAAGTCGGACCAATTTCTCGCAAGAACAGATCGATATTCTCGAGAGATTTTATGGCAAAAGTTCGTATCCCAGTGCTGCGGAGAAGGAGGAAGTTAGCCGATTGACAGGGCTCAGTCAAGACAAGATTGGGGTAAGCATTAATTATCTATTACTTAAACAAACTTTTTATTTTGTTCAGGTGTGGTTTAGTAACCGTCGAGCCCGTCTTCGGAAGACCCTGACAACTTCCACCATGAGCCCCGACCCTACTTCCTACTTCAAGTTCAATCCTCAGCTGATTCAACAGTTCCTCCAACTGCAGAATCCTTCGTTCCCTACAGTTTTTCCCACACTTCCTCTTTATCCAATCCCAAAACCCCTGTTATTCAACGGTCTCCAAGATCCGCTTTACTCATCTTAAAAGTCGCTTTACAACCCTGATCTACCAATCTGACATCACAAACTCGGATCTCCATCCCCCAACCAAACAAATGATTTCTATTTTACAGTAATTTTGGCGTGATTCTGTCATCACAATGGTTTAAAGAACCCGACGGCTTCTTTTTCTAATGTAAATTCATTTTTTTCCGAAGTTCTATGCGTATTCCGTCATTTCGTATTCTGCGAAATCTGAAAAATCGGTAATTTTCAAAACTCTGCTTCAAAAGCAAATTGATAGCCGGTTATATAAATTTCCACAATGTATACAAAATGACGGATTATGCGGGGAATTTTTTGAAACACGCGAAAATTTTTGATTTGAATGTACACTAGAGTAAATGTTGCTGTGGGTCCTTCAAAATCCCCCTTAGAGGTTTCACTTGCTGTTGTGATAACATAATCTCACATTTATATTTTGAATTAATTTAATGACTAATAAAACAAAACCCTTAAACTCGTAAAAAAGGCTACTGTAACGGTAAATATCGATAAAAAAATCAGTTTAATGAGTGCGCGACGATTCGAATGGAGGGATATTAATAGCGACGGGTGGTATCACGATAATCTTATATTGCGGTTAGCGGACGGCCATTCGGAGAGACGAGAGATTAGCTAATGAATAAGGTGACAAAACGAGAGAATTTGACCTCAATTAAGGCCAATTGAATAATCGACCGAGATCGAGAGAGTCAATAAATGAGTCGACAGATCATCGACGACCTTCATTCCAGCCATTTGTCATCTTAACGACTCTCCAAAGGCGCGAAAATCCGCACTTTTTTTGTCACTTGTGCCGGTTCTCAAGCCCCTTAGGCGGAGCGATAAAAGTAATTAATGAGAGGCGCAAAGTTTATTTATGATACGGAGTTGGATGACTGATAAACGGATTCCCAAGACTTTAACGAGCATCGTTTACACATCTCGCAATGACATTGGGAAACACAACAGTCATGATGACGTCATTTCCACTTCGGAAATAATATCCTTTCAATAAATTCGCTTTTACGAATAATTTGCAAAATATAAATAAAGCGCAATAAATATGGTGTCATACAGTAGGGAGACTCCCTCATTCTCCGTGTAATTAAGCCTTGAATACAAATGACTAATTTCCGTCCATCTCCAATCAAATTCAGCCTTGGGTTCCTTCATTTTGAGTAAATCATTTTCGATCTGAGAACGGAAGAATTAAGAAAATATCGGAAATCGGAATATGAATTCTCTGGGAACGATGACAACAACCTTCTTAATAGTTTCGTTTTGGTTTCCTATTCTTCAGAGTTCATAATTTTAATTTTGATATTTGAGAGAATAAATGCTGCAACTTGTGGCCTCTCTTGACCTATTTTACTCTACATTACAAACTACAAATGCATGGCTTTGGAGGGTACATAACGTGCATTTGATACGTTTGTAGGTGGATCATTGGAACCTTTGACCTTAACTTTTGATGCTCCAAGTTTCTATTCTCCAAATTGTATATATGGTGCAGATGATAATTCTCTGTCATTACGGATATTTTGCTTCGTATTCTGCATAAGTTCTTTCCGGCAATATTCAAATTCGGTTTTACGGCCTCGTCATGTACAATATTTCTGTGTTAAAGACGTCAAAAATTACGCAATCGGTTTAGAAAAGTTATCCCCGTAGGGCGAAAATAACCCTCACCAGGTTTTAACGGACTGGAGCCGCTTTGGGAAGATTCGGGAAGGCCCCGAAATCAGGCCAGAGCCTCTTTTCGGCCCTCTTCTTGGCCCAGCCTGTGACGCACTTTGGCCTTAAGACAATCCGAATTAGCATGGATAATATTGAATGAGAGGAAGGGCCTTAAAACCTGCAAAAACAACCAACACACCTATTCAACCATTGATGAAGTCGGCCATTCCGCGCTTCTGTTGTCACATATTGCAATTAGAATTGGCATTTATAACGGTCATGCTGTTACCCCTTACCATTTCTTTTCTCCCACCCAAATACCGTCGATTAAATTGGCCCACTTAAAACAATATAATCTTTTGAACGACTACGTTTCTCACTTGTGATATACACAATACCCATATAAAATGTTTAATAATCTCCTCTGGCTTTAATAAACTTGAACGTTGAGAGTCAACGAGTAGGAGGGAGATTGTAAAATTGTATGGCTCATCCAGTAGATGGGATTGTAACAAATCTAAATTAGAAGAGCGGTGCAGTATTTGTATTTGCCCTTAAATATCCTTATTTTGTACGTGTAATGCGACTTTTACAAAACGATCCCGCTCAAATTGCTCCTTTTTGTTCATTTCCAAATTTTAAATTTGATTGATCATTTTCCTCTGATTAAAAGAGTTCAATTCAGTAACCTGCAATGGGATTTGTTAACGTGAGATTACTGTAGTCGCTGATTGTTGATAATCTGTATGGCAAGAGAGTAGAGGATTTGCTCTTGATCTCCTTAGGTCGCGCTGATGATTTGTGTATCTATAATCAGATGTCATCGCGTCGATGACATGAGGCTCTTATGCTTCTTTACGCATGCAAATAGCGCGGAATCAGGATGAGATGGATTAATTCCAACTCTTCCAGAAGCGAATTTAAATCAAACAAAAATACCGTAAACCGCGCCAACTCCGCCCCCTTCGCCTTCCGATTTAAAAAGTTTTACTTTTCCAGGCATTTGGAGAAATGGATTCTGATTCGAATGGCTCATCGCTGGGGCAATCCAGTGATTCCTCGACCTCCTCCAGCTCCCCTTCCCTCACACCTCTTACATTTACAAATATTATGGGGCAGGTAATCGAGTTACAATCAACGGATTTCTGGGATCTTTGTTTGCCTTTAATTAGGACGGATGACCTTTAATTAGAATTGGAGGGAATTACCGTAATATCTGAGGGGACAAACTTTATTCGAGCATCGTATTTTTCTTAATTATTTCATTTTTCAGGGCCGTGTCAATCAATTGGGCGGTGTTTTCATAAATGGTCGCCCCTTACCCCACCATGTTCGACTTCAGATTGTTGAATTAGCAGCCAAAGGCGTGAAGTAAGCTTGGCAATCCCTCCACTACTAGTCTCTTCGTAAAGTCGTGGAGTGATTTCCACGACATGCACTGTGCAAGAACAAAAATTCACTTTGCACTGTGAAATTTTGGTTCGCCGTCGCTCGCACCATGACTTTTTCCGCACAGTGCAAACGTCAAAAATCACTCTAGCGACTTTACGAGCGGACTAGTACTACGTTTTTTCAGGCCGTGCCACATCAGTCGACAGCTCCGGGTATCCCATGGTTGCGTTTCCAAAATTTTATATCGATATGCAGAGACAGGAACAGTAGTCCCAGGCCAAGTAAACTCAGCCAGTGAGGCCAAAAAGATCTCAGAAAACATAGAAAAGCATATTATTGGGGTCCACAGGAGTCGCCCGGACCTTTCTGCTTCTAAAATACGAAGTTCATTACTCACTCAGGGAATTTGTAACCGAAATGACCTGCCCTCGACTCAGATTGTCGCAAAGATTATCAAGGATGAAGGAAGTCGCAGCTCCTCTCTCAAACACAGTATCTGTAACATCCTCTCCGAACAAGGTGAGTGTCATCGGACATCTAATTAAACCCTAACTAGTATAACATTGTCCGTCTTTTAATTGGCATCCAAGTTTTGTCGCTGAAACGATTTGCGTTCCTAAAAGCCATTAAAAGTACAGTAAACACAATTAGGGGTTGTCGCTAATCGCGATTTAACGGTGGGATCGTCACTTTGAAGACTTAATTGTCCTTTCCAGAGCACCAGAAAAGTCCACCAACCCATCGACGAAGCCGGACCTGGTTTGCACCGGAGCAGTTGGAACGCCTGGAACGGGCCTTTCAAAACAATTCCTATCCAGATGCCGGGGAAAGAGAGCGCCTTTCAGCAGAGACAGGCCTCTCCGAAAACAAGATCCAGGTCTGGTTTTCCAATCGAAGGGCCAGATTCAGAAAGTCCTTGGGAACGGGGAATCTGGAGCAATGGAGTGCCGTCCTCCGGGACTCCGCAATGGCTTTAGAGTCCCCGGAGCCTGTGGATAACGCCATGATTGCCTCCCAATTCCTCCTCCAACTATGTCAGAATTCCATCGGCCAAAAAATTGCGTAATCTTTTATGTTTATGATGTAATTACTCTTTGCTAAAACTTAATTGATTTCTACGAGTTCCAAAGCATTTTACAGCTTTAATTATTCGAATAATCACAAAATAAAGAGCTCCGCGTGTCTTCTTATACATCTTCGGTCCTTTCCTCCTTTTCTTTTTCTATGGTCACATCGTTATCGTTCACAGGTTTTATACAGAGAATGCATGCAATCGCGACCACCATTCCAAAAAATACAAGCCTTAAACAACGCGCTATTGCATTTAATGCACGATAACTTACCAAATGATAATATTTACGGCAAAGTAAGTTAAAAGGATAACTTCCAAGGTGACCTCGTCTACCTTTCCAGCATCTCCAGCCGTGGATTCCCTCGGGATCAATAGAGAAAATGTTTGTTCATCTGATCGGGAGGTCTAAAGGACAAGATTCTGTAATTTTGAGAAACAAATAATAGCAAACAATGCAAAATAGTATCAAAAGAACAGTGATTACCACTGAGATTTCCCTGACACATCGATTAGGCTGTTTAAATTGAATAATCATCTCAGATTCCTCGATTTGGGGGGTACAGTTGGCGATGATTTGCTCGGATTCCATTATTTTTCCGTCATTGAATACCAAGGTGACGTCATTGGTTTCTTTCAGCTTCACTAAATTATATTTTGAATTGTTATTTTTTGATTGCCTGAATTCATTTGGAGACCAGAAGAGTAAAACAATCGAAGTTGGCATTCATCCAGCTGGATTACGGTGTCTGAATCCACACAAAGGCCCGGATCTACTCTTAATTTTAAGAACATAGGGAACGTAATCCCCTCCATATTAAGCTTTGTCCCCTTAGGGCATGTCAAAGTCTCTATTCTAAAATTCGTATTTAAATTCAAACGATTTGGTAGCATTCTACAGTATCCTCGCCTCGTTTTTCTTACCTATTTACGGTTCCTGTCGCTTTGAAACAAATTTCTGAAGCAACGGAGATAAAAAAAACAAAAAAGATAATCATCAACATATGAACGACCGATTGTAAACGCAACCAATTTTACAGACAATATTTACTCTGGCTCAAAAGAAAATTTGCATAAAACGGCGTTTTTTGAAGTCTTATGGATGCGCGGCTTCTGAAGTCGGGGTCGAGACGAAAGGAGGCGAAGAAGATTACTGTAGCCACATGTAACGGTCGGCGGTGTAATACATGGGGTCTTCCGTCAACGAAACCACTTTCTCCGGCTTCGAACGCTTTCCAAATCTGAAGCGAAAAATTATTTTTCGCAAAGTGTAAAACTCTTTTTCAAAAGGTGAAATTATCAAAAAACTCGGACAATCAAATTTCTTCAGGAACTTGGCTGGTCTGAATGATAGGTCAAGTCGCGTCAAGTAAATGAGTACAGTTCCAAAAAACAACAACAAAATAGTATTTTTTTATTTTTTTCCAACTCGGTGATATTTTTATAAAAAAATTAAAAAAATAACTTATTACAGTATTTGAGAAAAAAATTTCAGAAAATTTTCGAAATCAGCACCATCGCAAACCCCTGCATCGAGTACTAGTCGCGCCGTAAAGTCCCGACGCATTCATCGCAGATGTCGCGCGAGAAAATTGGGGCAAAGTTGCGAGAAAGTGCATGTCGCTTATGCAAAAACGGAGAATCTCCGCGACGGAACCGATTTTACAAGATTACGATTGAACCGTATCAGAAAAAGCCTATTTTATTCATTTCTGATAAGTAATTTTTGACTGATACCCTATTGCTGTAAGGTCGTGCTGTTCTAAATTACGGTAGGCTAACGGCAGAACTGGGCAAAAAATGTACAATATGCCTCCGGAAATTTTGAAACAAAAATATCAAAATTTTTTTTCCTGTATCTGCGACTGATACTCAGAAACCGTGTTTTATCAGTCTGTCGGGAAAATAGTGGGGGTCGTCGCAGCAAAATGTTTCGCCTCGTCGAAAAAGGGTACATTCGCGCACAAAATTTCCATCTGCAGCTAGCCGTCACAAATCGATAATGGGTGATTCGAAGCCACTATTTTCCCGACAAACTGATAAAATAATTTCTGTTTCGCGGAGGGAATGTGTTTTGGAGCTCAGCACAGTGCAATTATTTCTCGCTTACCGCATCCGTCCGCCTTTGAATTTGAATTCGCTAGCGAGACTGTCGAGATCGCTGTCTCTCCGGGCGAGGTTGATCTCTCGAGGGTAGGCCTGTACTTGCTCCATAGTTATTAGGCCAAGCACACACAAGGTCATCAGAATCATAGATTTGGCTGCCATTGGATTCTGTAGCGACAACCAACGAATGGAGTCGCCTTTTTGCCTGGACTGGCCTTTTAAGGATCGGCCAACAAAAGATTTAATCAGCAAAAGAGCCGACTCCTCGACACCCACCCATTATCCCAGCGGACGTCATGTTACTCCATCGGAATCAGAATTTGAATACGTTAAAAGGTTGTACGAATGGGTAGTATCATGCCCAAAAAAAGAAGTGAAATAAAATTTATAATCGCAGAAAGAAGAGACTACTGACCAAAAATAAGACTGTAAAAACAATAGTGATATTGAAAGATGGCGTGTCAGTCTTCTCTTTGGAAACAATGAGGCCAATTCCGCCGATTCTATAATATTTGGTCGCAAAAACTTTTTGTTTCTCCGTAAACAGAATGTAGGATCTAATTGCAACTTTCTCTATCTCTGAGTTGTTATTCCGTAATTACAGCATTTTATTAGATCTATAAAATATACTAGATCTGAGTCATGTTTTTCTCTTATGAGCCAAGTCTTTCCCTCGAATGTTCAATGTTTTTGTCAAAAAAGTTGATATAAATTCTCTGTGGGAAGTCGATCTTTGGTGTGTTCCATTGTATTTTCTACTGTTATTTCTCTTCGAACAATTGGTCTTCTATAATCAGCCCTCGATGGATAAACAAATAGTTTTTAGTTTTTTCATCTCGTATTTTCAATTACATTCCTGAAAGATTATTATATTATTTATCAATCCCGAACAAACTTAAACGAACTTTTTTTTGTAGCTCTAAGTGTCATCGTTTTGCAGAATGCGTAGTAATAGGAAATGCTTATGGTTGTAGTAGCCGGGTAGAGTGGTTGTATTTGGCAGTTTTTTGAGATAATTGTCAGTCCTCAGATTTATGATACCTTCGGAACGTCGTCAATTGGGGAAAATAAAAAATATTAAATATTTGTCTTGCATGTGAGGGTTTCCTTCGAAAAAGACCCCGAGTTGAAAGAGACCCCCGATTCGGGGGTCTCTTTCGACGTTTGCCCGAAAATGTCAAAAACAGGGTAATCGGAGGCGTAGATTTCAAAAATCATGTTAATTTTTCTGATTTTGACTTTTTTCTTGAGTAGTACAGGGTGCTCCAAGAGTTATGAAAAAAACTATTCATTAATAACGTTGTGCTCGGTGGAACTGGGACGATTGGGGAAACCGAAAAGTATTACTTTTTTGATGCAAATGTCGAAATTAGAATAATCGAGGGTGCTCATTTCGAAAATGACATTCATTTTTTTTGATTCTTACTTTTTTTCTTAAGTAGTACTGTAAAGTAATAATTTTTGATTTTTTTCATAAATACTCGATTTAGGGGTTTTCGAGGGCGCTGATTTCGAAAATCATGCTCATTTTTTCTAGTTGTTAATTTTTTTACTACTATTAAGTAGTAATTTTTTGAAAATTTTTCAAAAATACTGGATTTAGGGGTTTTCGAAGGTGCTGGTACTACATAGTATCGCGAAAGAAAAACAAAAACGCACTGTATAAATGGGTCAGGACTTTATGGCGCGACTTGTAGTCGTATTTAGGCGCTATGCCACTAGGTATACCCTACGTTTAGGTTTTAGCCAGGTTTGGCCCTCCGAAGTCGAAGAAAAATTGTATGCAGTAAAATCTCCGCCAAACCACAAAAATTTGAAATAAATGTCATTTTATATCTTCTGGATCTTTTTCCGCCCGTTTTCTTTACACATACAACAATTTAGAGCCTCATTTGTTAAAAAACACTCCGCCGAATTCAAGGCGGATTACGGAAGTCTCCGCCGATAAAAGAAAAATTTTTTTTCTTGATTCTAAAAACTCCAAGGCTTTCCTGTAAAATGCGAAAAAAATTTTCGGATTGGACCATTGAGCATAAAGTTATTAATGAATAGTTTTTTTCCATGATTCTTGGAACATCATGTACAGGGTCTTACAAAAAACGTGAAGGAAAGTGGAAGGCTGTAACTCCTGGCGGAGGCGGCGCAGAGACTTCGTATTTGAAATATGTATTTTTAAAAGACATAAGTTTTTGTCTACGAAATAACAAGCTTTTAGAGTGCAAACTGAGGTCGCTACGACCTTCTGAAGTAGAGGCATCTCTACCCCGAAAACCAGGGGTTTTTCGGTTGAAAATGATCGAGAAATTTCGGACTTTTTCGGTTGAAAATCACCAGGAAATGTCGGATTTTTTGGGGGGGTTTCGATATGGTTGATGTTGAAAAATATGAGGAAAGTGCCAACACTTGCAAATTATGCACGTTTTCTTAAAGACTATATCAAGAAACCCCATAAAATCCGACATTTCCTGGTAATTTTCAACCGAAAAAGTCCGAAATTTCTCGATCATTTTTAACCGAAAAAACCCTGGTTTTCGGGGTAGAGATGCCTCTACTTCAGAAGGTCATAGCTACCTCAGTTTGCACTCTAATAGCTTGTTATTTAGTAGACAAAAACTTATGTCTTTTAAAAATACATATTTCAAATACGAAGTCTCTGCGCCGCCTCCGCCGGAAGTTACAGCCTTCCACTTTCCTTCACGTTTTTTGTAAGACCCTGTAGTGTAAAAAATAATTTTTGGATTTTTTTCTAAAAATATTCGATTTAGGGGTTCTCGAGGGTGCCGATTTCAAAAATCATGTTTATTTTGTCTGAATTTTACTTTTTTTCTATGCGGAACCGCTGATCAGTAGGGTTCGGACGGGGTATATACCCGGGGTATATTCCCGGGTATATACCCGGGTATACTAATCGCGACTTCGAAACTTACCTGCAAAAAATAATGCATATCTTTCAGTTTTCCCAATTGTCGCTCCCCGATACCTTCTCTACTTCCCTACTGGCAGGATACACATTTCTGAGCTTTAATCAAATTGTAATTGCCCTCTATGCAATTAAGATATAGGAATTAAAATAGAAACAGATCTGGAATCAGTTCTTTCCATTTCTGAGTAATGAAATTAATTAGTAACCGGAAATGGTGGGTTGGAGAAGAGCTTGCTTCATGACTTTATTAATGGTACCAGATGGTACTTGACTGGCAAGGGATGCCGAGTTGAGAATCGAGACAAGAGTACCAATAGGAGTGTTTGTTTACGGCCCTATTTAATTGTTCTTCCGGGAATAAGGACTTCATGAATGGGGTCGGGGGTTGAAATCAACTAATCTTTCCTCCAGGCCCTCAGGCGCTTTGTTTAGTTCGTGGGACTGGAGAGAGTTTGTAGATTCAGGGCTTGTACGTCTGGGAAGACGGCGACGAATAAATGAACCGACTCTTCTTGGGGGCTTCCTCGGATCAATCAGAAATCCCACGAGGTTTTCGAATTGGTAACCATTTGCAAATTTGTCGCTATTTATTGAGTAATTTTAGATTTCGTTTATTTGCGGACCAAACCGGCTTGACAGGCCTGAATAGAAGAAATTAAGCTGTCAGAAGCACTTAGCCGGTCTTCTCATCCGGCCCAACTTCTGCCCACCCCCTGTAGGCCAGGTGACCGTCCTTAGACTGACGTCGTCTCCGAAGCCGGCTTCTCCAGGATTCATTCATTTTTTAGACTTCTTTTGTTCTTAGCTGCAGGGCAACCAACGTTTCCTACCGAGATCCCCACTCGAGGTCTGCAAACATGGTCTCTGAAGTCGCGACTCAGGGTCAAGATCTCGAGCTTGAGGATAAGAAGATGGCAGCTGGGGCTCTATTCATTCTTTTCGGCGCGGGTCTGTTTGAGATTCCGGCTCGTCGACGTCAGCTTTTGTTCAGCCCAGATTTATTGAAATTAGATTCAAATCAAATTAAGTCGGCGTCTCTATAATAATCGCGGCGTCCAGGGTCCAATAACTGTTTTTGTAGTTGGTTTGGGATTACGGTAAACGCTATAGTCGCAGAGTGATGAGTTAAGATAGGAAGAAAGTAAAGTAAATCAGGTTAGCTGTGTTTATTCCAGGCCGGATAAAGGGAATGCTAGAGATTACTGGTAAATAAGGTCAGGCCTCGGATATCTGAAGGGGCTTTTGGTTGTTGTCGTATGCTCCTGCTAGCCCCGTTCACGCTTGTCCTATCGTCACCCTAACCTGATTACAGTATGTTTTTGTTTATGGTCCAAAGGACATCTCTTCAGATGGTTTCTGATGGCCCCTTCTTCTCGAGAGGTACCCAGCAGAACAAGTGGTAATGGCTGGGAAAATATTCTTTGGGAAATCGTTGTTATGATAAATAAAATCCCCGGCCTGCCCCCTTATTCACCAGGAAGCCCGAATTCGCGTCGCAATTAGATGTCCGCGCCTCGTGTACCTTCTCAATTGGCTTAGTCAGTCATGGTGTTTGCTTTAAAGGCCCTTCGGAAGTGTCCTAAAAGCCTCCAATTTGATTAAGACCCTCTGGCCTCAGATTCGGGTCGATGCCCAGGTTCGGTCGGATTGTTTTGCCCGTTCTTCCGGCCCGATTTGAATGCCCTTGGCTATTCTTCTCTCCTTTCCCGCCATTCCCAAGTTTAGGTGCCAAATAAATACGGGAGGCATTCTCGGCGACAAGGGCTCTCAGACAGGTCTCGGATTCGAGTCATAATTTAGTCCTACTGTACTTTGTAGTATTTGTCCAATGTGCCTTTGACTCACCCCTCTGATGTAACTTCCCGATGAATTGTTTTCGTCCCATTTATTATGCAAATGTCCTCGGAAGTTTGGTGGGCCAACTTTTATTTTTGCTCGGTCCTTAAGGAGAGTACTTATTTATTTGCCGACAATTCTCTTCACATTAATTTGGGTACTGTAGACCTCAAATAAAGATATACCGATTGGTTTTTGGAGTCAATTGTAAGAGTTAAAATCTACAAATCGCTGGATTCTTGGGAATATATTAAAATTACATCCTGACATGAGATACACCGGAAAAGGCTTAGGGTTACGTGTTGAAAGAGGAGGCCTTCAAAACATGTAATTGTTGGCTTCTCTGTTATTTTATAAGACATCCAAGTCTTGCGGGTACTTTTATTATTATAATTATGACTTGGGAATGAGTCTGTTTAAGGAGCTGTTGTTGTTTTTCATGGGATTGTCATGACATCTCGTAAACGCGTTGGTTTAGGTCTCTTTGTCCATAATTGCCGGAAACTTCCGTTTCTTCTTCATTACACATGCCGATCGAAGATGTAAAGAGTGCACGTCCTTCTTCTTTCTGATTTCTTTGGCCTTTCCGTTCGTCCAGTGAAAGCGAGCCTTCATTAAATATTTTTTAATCATTTCTAATCTCAATTTGTGTGCTTGAAAGCCTGGATTAGAGCTCGCCGTTTCTTGCTCTCGTCTTTTTTGTGCAAACTGTAAAGGCATTTTTGTTATGGCGATTCCTATTTTTCATCAGAGAGGTGTTCGTTTCGGACGTTTTCTGTTATATCGCGGATGTCTGTCGCTGTAATCCCATTGTTCTGCAGCGCCTCGCGGTCTTTCTTTCGGCCGCTCAAACTTTAACGAAACTTTGAATTCCGTTCTCGGAGCCGAGTTCCGGCTTCTTTATTTCCGTTTCCGAATTAAATTTTAATATAACGACAGTCTCTGGAGGTGTCATAAATTAATTCGAGCACCGGCTTCCTGCCGTTGCTGCTCGGCTCGTTATTGGGCGCTGAAGCGAATCTCGTCTTGGCTGCACCATTTCCACGTCGGGCCACTCTCCCACCTCTGCTTACCCACCCACGCCTCAACAACTTGGAACAAAAAAGTTACAGTTTTTGTTTTCCGTCTATTGAGCGTGCAGTTAGAATTACTTTGTTCTGAAAAAGAATTGGCGACAAAGATCTAGACATGAATAGAAGCTTGTAGCCCTAGGCCTGCTCTGAAATGCATGTATCAATCAAATTCCTACTTCCATCAGAAGCGTGCAAACTTAAGTTTGTCTCTTTTTTCGAGTTAGATCTTCTTTTCCTTTCGAATTGTTGAAAGGTTCAGATATATGTTTTTCGAGTGTTATGAACCACTTAAATATTTTGCATAAGTGAGAGTTGGGCATCTTTAATTGTCGAGCGTCTAATTCGGGGATAAAGCACAAATATCTTGAATCCCGGGAATGCAAAAAAGATGGCTTTTGGACTCTGACAAACTTGCACTTTTGAATCACAAATTGGCCAAATGAATTCCGTGCGCTGTTACTTGCATACGGAATGTGTACTGGGTACCCGCGGCTTTCATAACAACTAGCAAACCCTTCTTTTACCACTCATTAAACAACCCCTTGCATCATCTTGCACTTACAAAAGTGTTAAGCGGATGAAAGTTTAATTCGGACCTTCGATATCATCACGGTAATCCCAAAATGTCGCCTTTATTTAATCCTCTGTATGAGCAGAGTTGTCTCTGGAAACAATTTAGGTTTTCTAATCTGGCCACGGTTGATCTTTTTTATAATTTTTTAAGTAATTTCCGTGTAATAACAAGCAAGGCCAGATGGAGATGTCAGTTGATTAAGAAAAGGCGTCAGAAACAGAGGCAGCTCTTCCTTTTTGGTCACGCTCGACTGGTCGGACCCACACTTTCAGTCCGGTGCATCCCTTCAGAGGGGGATTAGGATAAAGCATACGATTACTTTTATGTGCCGTTCTACGACTGTATTCTCCCTCGCCGGGGCCCTCGGGAGTTTTTGGAATGTTTAAAACATTTGTGATTTAATAAAGAAAGGATTCCGAGATGACATGTCGCTCCATTTGTTATATTTCCGCCTTTGTGACGAAGTTTTTTACGGCCATCCTCGCGGCCCATAATTTAAGCCTGAAATTAATGAGGTGCGGGAGACTTTTGTCTTCTGTTTCATACTGTGTGCTCTTATTGGTTGAGGTTGCAGATGTAGGTAACCTTTATTCCCGCAAACTTGTTTTTCTTCATTTAGATCCATTGATGCCCTCAGGGGCATTTGAATTCCATGGATTGAGGGTCGGGAGCCAGAGATCCCGATTCCCATTCTCTCTCATATTTTTATCGAGCGCGCATGAAGTTTCTTTATTTTTCTTCCGGGCCCTGCCTGTCTTTGTGGCCAACCCAAATATATGCTAATCTCGGGAGCCCACGCAATGTTCGGCATCTGATGTGACTTATTGAACTTGCTCGAGCGCCTAAGTTTCTAACCATTTGGGACGGGGGAACAATGTCTCGGAGTTGTGGACTTTTGGCTTTCGGAAGTACCAAAAATATCGCCGGAACAACATGTTCTTGCTTACTCTTCTTTATTCACCGTAATTGATGCTATTCATGAGAAAACGAGTCCTTCTGTTCCGGCCTTTGACAAGCTCTCTTTAATACCGTGCCAACCCAACAACTTTCTTTAAAATCTCTAAAATCTTCAGTGTTTTTGCAGAAGTGGAAACTTTATGAAAAGAATATGTCATGACCTTGTGTTCAGGGGGAATGGGGAATGAAGGCCGGATATTTTGGGCTTAATGACACTTAGTGATGGACTTTAGGACTGTTGTTAATGGCGTCTTTATATATTTGTATTATTCATTTGCAAGTTTTTTTCATGATACTCTTCCAAACGACCTTTTATTGACATGTTGTTATATCATCCGCTCGAATGGTCGTATTAGCCCTATAATCCTGTTCTCGGATGCTTGTGACTGCCCTCTCTACAGTCTTTTCGAAGTCCCCAACCACTCTTACATCATCAGAATTATCGTTAAATCAATTTAGATGAGGCAGAAACTGGTTTGGACAATGACAGCTGAAGGGGCCGCGGTTTTCCGATGGAGTAAAATGGAAAATAAGGATCCGAGACTATTAGGGATACTCGGGGATGTCCACAGCTCATTTGACTCCTGCCAAACAAAGCCGTGCGGTCACAGGGATTCTGACAGGCACCTCATGATTCATTTAAATTGTTAATCCGGACAATAAGTGTGGGGCTGTTGGGCTGACGTCAACGGAGCGTCTCGGCTTTTCATTGTAATCAAAAGTTTATTCAACATCCTTGCGTGGCTGAATATAGTTTTCTGAATGTGGATATATCGGGATAAATCGTGAGTATTGGTTGTTTTGTCTTGTTTTGCTCCTACTCGGGACGTTCTTGAGCATTCTTTTTTGACGCTGTTCTTAATTTTTTATAATCCTATTGCATTTGAAAAATGGTTGTAAGATTTAATATGAATCACAATTCAACCAACCATGACCGTATATTTTGCAATAGGGAAGAAAAATGATTCCCAAAAAGTTAAAGCGACATCTTTAAGACTGAAAAACGACGTTTTAAGGCGCCTTAAGGCTCTCTGATCGACAATTCCCAAGTTTTTGTTTTGGGTTGGGGATTACGGGCCAAGTCATTTACTCAAACTTTATTTTAGTCGTGACCCTGGACGTGAAAACTTCGGCTTTTCTGGGGCAATTCGAAATAGTGGCGAAATTTGAGAGTTTCCCCTTTCTCGGATATCTGACTAAGTGGCCGGGAAAGGTGTTTGGGCAAAGTCAACAATAATTTGGATTTACGGAATTGTATTATTCACTTCCAGAACACTTGAACCGACCTTGGAAAGCGCTGGATAAAGCAGCAACTGGGGAAGGCCGTACTCCGATCCTCGTTTTTATTTTGGACTAATGGACTTCCCCGAGGCCATTGGCTCTCTCCAAACCGGACATTGGCCTTCTGCATCTTCTTGTATCCGATTTCAGACCCACTCATCTATATTTGTATTACTGTATCCGGGTCCCGGGATCTCCATTCTTATTTATCCGGTTTCGCAGCACTCGAAACTCTTTTTTTCATTTTCTTCGCCCCCGATTGAGATCCTCACTACAGTAATTCCCCCGGGGCAAATCTTATCTTTTTTGGGAACACTCAAAGCCTTAAATGACTGCAATTGGCAATAGATTGTAAGTCAAACTTTGTTCTAACAGTTTTTTCCAATATCCTTTCCCTGGATTCGTTGAAATCCGATTTTTTCGTATTTATGGCCAGTTCCAGCCCCAGGCTGTTTATGGACCTCCGTGAAGCGTGAAGTGAAAGGAATTGCTTTGTTTTGTCCAAGTTACTTCGCCCCTTCTGACACCTGTTTTGAACCAGATTTTTGACCATAAGAATTCATCAAATTATTCTGATGACTTCATGTTATTTTTATTTATCATTCGATTAAGTAATTCGCGTGGTTTTTTAAAGATAACATATAAGTTGAGGTATTTCAGATGAGTTTCTTTAAACCGGTCGAGAATATCTCGGCTATAGGGGACCGAGTCCCCGCCTTGGAGTCGTATGTCCCAAACAGTATATTCTATGTGATCCTCTACGTATTAGCACTCCCACCCAACATTCTCTTGGCATACATGGGATTGAAGCCGGGTTTAATAACCTCAAGAGTCAAGTATCCGACTCTAGGGATGACGATTGCCAATCTGTTCGGCTTGATAGGATTTCTGATCATGTCATTTGTGTATCTGTTCGCTGTTTATGAAGAGGTAAGCGGGCACAATCTGTTTTGTCTAGGGATTACAAATTATCAATTTCGTGGCTTCATTGTCCTCAAATTACTGTTTATGTTTTCAGTACAAATTGAGCTTATTTATGGCCAGTTTTCTGAGGACCATCCTCTTCAACTCTTCTTATGTTTGTTACTTTGTGTTTCCTGTTCTGGCTATCGACCAGTACTTGTATGTATGCCAAAACTACGAAATGAAGATACGATCCTTGGCTGTGATTATCAGCATTTGCTTTGCAATTCCGATGTTGGTGGCCATATACGACCTCTTCCTCCAGGATGTCGTCTTATACGACTACATGTTCCTCTATGTCAGGATGTCGTTGTATACGAACCTGGTGGGTCAATTTTATAATATTTTCACAATGATCCCGAAAAGGACATAGATTCGGATTTTGTATTAAGAAATCGTGACTTTCGTCCGCGAAAACAAAAAATATATTTATATATCCGCGATTTTCGTCCCGGCCTGTTCGGCGAGCCGTGTATAGTCCGCATGCATGATATTGTAAGAATAAATATGGATCTTTCAGTTCGTATTCTTTGTCCTGGCACCGTCCTTCTTCATCTTCTCCTTTGTTTGTAACCTGCTGGTACTCTCGTCCATCCTCCGACGCCAAAGCAAAACAGCTCGAAAGCAAATCGGCCGAGCCCTCAACCCGCGCCAATTGCAACAGCAGAAAAGTGTCGTATACACATATATTCTGCAGGCCTTCATGCCGTTGGTCTTGGCCACTCCTTATTATATTGCAAGTACGTCGTTTGCTTACTGAATTACAATTTTCCTCTTTCCAAACTCAAACATCGCTTATAATTGGAAACAGAGAAACCACGATTTGTTTTTCGGTCATGTTGTCCTTATTATAGAAGCAAAATGTATCCTTATATTTCAGGCCTTTGCTTTATGTTCAATGTCGAAATCAACTTGAATTGGTTTGTGTTCGGAGAGGCGATTATCGGTGCCCACCCTCTCACAAATGCCTTAACCACTCTACTTCTACTTAGACCATACAGACGTGCCTTCAAAAAGATATATCCATATTTCAACCGGGGATCGTGGAAACGGAGATATGATTCAATCAACGAACCCAATGCCACTATGCAGAAGCCTGATCGAGATACGGACAGCGGGCTGGGACAAAATAACGACAGTTCCAATGGGAACATGACGGCTGTCTCTCTTTGACCACTCTTTATACTTGTATATTTACATCTTACGCATTGCAAGTTGATCAACTTGTTTAATGTCTTTGTCGGTGACATCCCTCAGTCATCGACAATTTCATCGGGTCTCAGATTTCTATGAATGCCTCTAATTTATCGCTCAGGGTCCCCTTCAAGGGTCCGAAATCAAACTCACTTAAAAATGGGTACTACAGGGTGACAAATAAAAAATGTAACTCATATTTATTGCTCTATCTTATATAACAACCAAATTTAACAAAAGCAACGATCAGTATGAGTAACATGGAGTTCTAGTAACAACATATCTAGCCAATTTCAATGTGCCTTCTACTGGCGGAAATACAGAGGTCCTATACGTGACTAGACTTTCGTGCCATTCGCCGCAACTTTTTTTAGAAAAATCGGCCCAGTTCTTGGCGCAGTACTGATCTTCCCGTCCATCCTTTTCATGGAAATCATCGGATTTCTCTTTGCTCGCTTTTTGATGATCTAGTAGTTGACAGCAGTGTTTACTGTGCGCTTTCTGCCACTTCCTGGACCCTTGTCATCGTGGTCAAGCTCGTCGAAAAGTTTGATGGCTCATGGCACCACAGATTTTTGCTACACCAGGCAACCTTAATTGTTAAAACAATCTGACACTGTCCTTTTTCTTCCCGAAACAGTTTTAAAATTGGGTCCCTCTATTTGACATTAAAAAAAACGTGTTAATAAATTGACATGAACATGAAAATCAAAGAACTAGGACGGAAAGAGACGGATAGTTTAATGGTAAAACAATCATTTGGGTACACATAATATTTTAGCATCATGGCCGACGGAAAAATTTACATTTTTTGTCACCCTGTATATCGTTATGGCACCCGAATGGACGGATGGATAAGGTCCACTGCTTTCTTTCCTAAAATAACTGCAACTTTCGAAAAGTCTCCCCGACCATTCAGATGTCAGTCAGCGCTTATTTCTTCGTTACGCCATTCATTTTACTGAATAATAATATGACTCTATTTATTGCGTAATCTACAGTTTCTGGATAATCATTCCACTAGCACCACCTCCGCCGTTACAGATCGCTGCGGCTCCAAATTGACCGGTTTTAAGATTATGGACCAGATGGGTGAGGATGCGGGCTCCGGACATCCTGGATTTTAAATGCAATACTATTACCTAACACTTACCCAATCGGATGTCCAAGAGCAACTGCTCCTCCGTGAACATTGACCTTATTGATGTCCAGACCCAGAGTCTTGATAGTAGCGAGAGCAACTACCGAGAAAGCCTCGTTGATCTCGAACAGAGAGATGTCCTCCACTTGTAATCCAGCTTGTTTCAACATCTAAACACAAGCAATATCACAATTGGCGAATTCGCATAAAACTACCTTCGGGATGACAAGTCCTGGAGCCAGAGCAAAGTCCAACGGTGTGACCGCCGCGTCTCCATAAGTGACCACCTTCGCTAAAGGCTTGATTCCTAATTCAGCAGCCTTTTCAGCACTCGAAAGAAGAACGGCACAAGCTCCATCGTTAATGCTAGGGGCATTTCCTGCCGTGATATGTCCATTCTCTAAACAACACAATAGTACTAAAATCAAAACTTACCTTTCTGGAACACTGTCCGAAGAGTTCTGAGTTTATCAAAGTTAACTCTTGGGTATTCCTCGTCCCTGGAAACAACGACGTCGCCTTTCTTGGTTTTAATTGTGACGGGAATAACTTCGTTGTCATAAACACCCTTCTAAAATGACCATTAGAAAATTAATGTAGGAAGGGTGCCACTTTGAGAATATAAAACAATTTACCGACCTCCCAAGATTCGGAGGCCAATGTGTAACTTCTGATGGCGTAATCATCCTGTTCTTTCCTTGAGATCTTCTGTTCTCTGGACGTTTTCTCGCCACAACTTCCCATATGAATCCCATCAAAAGCATCAGTTAGACCATCTTTTAGGATACTATCTTCAGCTTTGAAGCCACCATAAGTGGGTTCATTCCGACTAATGTAGAAAGGAGCATTGCTCATGCTTTCCATTCCACCTCCGATACACAGTTTTTGATGATCTAATTGAATTTGTTGAGCGGCCAACATAATCGATTTCAACCCAGACGAACAGACTTTGTTGACGGTGGTGACGGCAGTCGACGGCGACAGGCCTAAGAATATCAGCAACATTAAGAATGAAAAAATTAAATCACATAATGCTCAAACGAGTCAAACTCAATTACCTGCTCTGAGTACAGCCTGTCGGGCAGGCGCTTGGCCAACATTGGCCTGCAGAACATTCCCAAAAAAGATCTAAAACAAAGTAGACGTCGCGGCGAACACTGACCTCTTGAACTTGTTCAGCTGGCACTTTGGTCTTCTCCAAAACTCCCTTAATGGCAACCGAACCCAATTCAGGGGCACTCAGGGATGCCAAAGAAGACCGGAAAGATCCCACAGGGGTTCTGACAGCTCCGAGAATTAAAGCCTCCTGAAAAAATAAACATAATGAGGTTGTTAATTTTACAAGTCGCTGCCATTTTGGCTAACAGGTACCCCAAGTGCGACGCTCAGATTTTTTTAGATTTTGCACACACGTCGGGCATGGACTAAATATCAATTCCTGAAAGTTTTAGCTAAATGTATGAAACTTTTCGTGCCGAAATTCGGCAAGAAGTGTCAAATTTTCGCCGACTTTCGATCTAAAAATTCGGTTGTTTCTGCAAAGCGCGAGCTAGGATTCTCGCATATTTCTTGGAAAAAATTATTCTAAATTTGTGCCAAGTTTCATCAAAATCTAAGCGTCGCACTTGGGGTACTTCCCCTGTAAATTGAAAATTCTGATATACGCGGCATTCATCACATGCGAATTTAGAATAGACTACGATTAATACCGTTAATATTACATCAGTCGTAGCTAGTTTTACTGCTTATTTCAATTTGACAATCAAAATGAGAGCATTATCTAACATGATAAAATGACGGCAACTTGACAACGTGACCGGCGCGTCAAGTTAGCGAAATCACAACCCAAAAAAATAAAAAACAATCCCGAGATACGACTCATTCCTTCACCATATAGATTTAAAAGTTATTACCTTAACATCCTTTGATCTTTGACTTGATCTTGACAATTTTCTCACTGAATTCAGCGAGAAAATGGACGACTGACGGAGCATTCCAAAGACAGACCAAAGAAAAGGCACCTCTCTCGGTCCGCTGAAAAATAAAATGAAAGAAAAAATCCACCCAATAGAGACGATCAGAAAACATTCAATGTCCAACCAAGATATGAGTTGCAAAAACTTTTACTCTGATATGTGATCTGATTATGAAAATTCAAAACAAATATTGAAAAACTATAGTTTCTGTACTAGAACAGCTGTAGCCTCTCCGCCTCCATTGCAGATCGCCGCGACTCCATATTGACCTGTCTTAAGTTGATGACTGAGAGCAACGACAATTCGGACACCGGACATTCTAAAAGTGTTTTATTTTTACAGTGTTAACCTCCAGAAAGGAAATATATCCCAGTACTTTTCTAGCAAAAACGCGTAATTCCACATCTGTAAGTCACAAAAAAATAAATAATTACCCAATGGGATGTCCAAGTGCGACAGCTCCACCTCGCGCATTAACAGTCTTGGGATCGAGTGTAAAATGTTTGATAAAGGCGAGAGCAGTCACCGAGAAGGCTTCATTTACTTCCCACAAGCTGATCTTATCTTTGGTAAGCCCAGACTCGCTCAATAACTGAAATCGCCGTTAATAGAGGCGTATCCAATATTACCTTTTCGACAGCATTGACTGGCGCCACTGTAAAGTCAACTGGAGCACGGCCCGCTTCGGCATATGCAACAATCTTCGCCACAGGCTTCACACTTTCGCCCTGGATAATCTTCTTCGAAACAACCACGAGAGAAGCAGCTCCATCATTCAAAGAACTTGCATTTGCGGCAGTAATAGTACCACTACCGTCTTTCAAAAAAGCCGGGGGCAGAGTGGGGACCTTTTCTTTTATTAATCTCTTATACTCCTCGTCTTCCTTGACAATGAGGGGGTTTCCTCGTCGTTGGGGAACATTCACAGGGACCACTTCGGCCGTGTAATCTCCAGATTCCCAGGCCTTGGCCGTCCGGGAATAAGATTCCAGAGCAAATTCATCTTGCTCTTGACGACTACAATTATATTCCTTCGCTGATTTCTCTGCACATAGCCCCATGGGATCATTGAGAATAGCATCACTGATGCCATCACGTTGGATTCCGTCCTGAAATTAATTAAAATCCACGTCCTTAGGACTATCTTACAATCAGCTTCAAGTCACCGTAACCATGATCTCCTCTGTTCAGATAAAAAGGGGTATTGCTCATACTCTCTGTTCCTACAACCAGTACTGTATCCCTGTAGCCCAGTTGAACCGATTGAGTAGCCAAGATTAAGGCTTTCAATCCAGATGAGCATACTTTGTTAACAGTAAACGCTTGTTTTTCATGTGGAATACCTAAACCAGGTAATGAAAGAACAAAAAAAAGTACCAATTTTCAATGCGACTTGTCGTCCAACATTCTGGCCTTGATTGGCAGTCAAAACAGATCCACAGACTGTTTCGTCCACATTTTCAACAGCAATACCTAAAAAATCCCAATTATACGATAAACGTCTTACCGGCTCGTTTCAAAGCTTCTCTTCCTGCAATGGCGCCCAAATCAACAGAAGTCAATGGCGCAAAAGATCCCCTGAAGGTGGCAACGGGAGTTCGGACAGCCGAAGCGATGAAGACGTCTTGCGGGACAAGAGGCATGTCTGGAATGAAGGAATACTGGCCTGAAACATAACTTTTATGAACCACAAGTGGAGTGACAAGACAGTGGTGCGACCTTTATGCTTTATCACTCAGTTATCAGGCCACTCGCCTTCATAAAAAGAACCTCTTAACAGAGTACCTAATATTCTCCATAACAGCATTCACGTCTAAAAGTAACTAGAATTACCTTTTCAAACTTCAAAATAAAAAACAAACGAAACGCCTCTTAAATAGAACTATAATTACAACGAAAAAAGCAGGAAACATTCCCTTCGAACACATCCCAAACTTTATATTGTTTTAGAGAAAAAATAGATAACAATTTTCTCTGTCTCAGAAACGCAAGATCGCTCAAATGGTACGAAAGCCTCTTATTACAGTGATTAGCATTGATAAAACAGCCTGAAAGCAAGAGAGATAAAAATCTCCGCTTATTTTTGCTGATATTGCACACAAAAAAGTCTCGAAATTTTCAAAGAGGAGGTTTGTATTCTTCAATCCTTTTATCATCGAGAAAACCGCTTACCTTGAACATTTTATGACCTTCTCATGCGTACGCGCGTTCGCTCCCCAATTCTCCAAATACTGCAGCCAGAGCTCTGGGACAATTTATTTAGGAGGTACTCTGCGAACTGCGCCCAAACTTGGAACTAAAGTTTGGCAAAAAACGTGTTGATCTAGCTGGTACCAGATTGATGTAATAGCTTTGTGGGTTTTAATGTACCTCCAAAGGATAAGACGGCTAATTTAGTTCTATACGGGGAAATCAGTTAATTTCCGGACAGGTTTCATCATATAAAATTAACTTTCACTGTTTTCTTTGATCTTACCGCTTCTTCAAATTTTTTATAGCTTACCATAGATAATTTTTGAACAAATTGCAAATAGAATTACACGTGCTCTATTTTTGAACAGAGAATGTCTAACAATAAGTTTGAATTACAGACGCGTTTCGAGTCAGAGAACGTTCGGGTCAACGACACCGTTTTATAGATATTCGAGGGATTAGGTCCGAACAGTGCACATTTTGAATTATTTTCGCTTCGGGACAGGAAAAGAAAGATTTTTGTGGAGAACTGATCTGAATTTTGCAATTTTGTTTTACATTACTTATTTTTAGTAATGTAAAAATAAACTGACTATGATGAATAATATTATAGTACCGCTAATATTAGTCGTAACTAGTTGTATTGCTTATTTCATCGGTCGTTTTGACAAGAAGGCAACTTAAAAATTTTTAAATTCTGACGGTTTGTACATATTCGCGATTATGGCCGAAGCGCGACTTGTTGGCAATATTCACACAAGGCTTAAATTTGCGATGGAATGCGAGTTGCGTTTCGAACCAACTAATCACAAGGATCACAATTTCATCATAAATTAACGAAAAAAGTTTTTATTATTTATTGTTATTAGTATCGTATTATTACTTATTATTCTTAACGTTCGACGTCGCGTCGACTTTAACGAGATCATTGGCACAGGAATTAAAAAAAATGTAATTCAATGTAAACAACATAAATGCTGGACTAAACGGAACTAGTAGAGGTAGTTAAGAGGGCAAGTGGAAGGTCTTGAAGCAGTCCACACACAGCCCAACGTTGCATTTGTTGCAGCTGATTCCCGTATCGTTTTTGCAGCCCACACAACAGGCTTGATGCGATCGTTCAGGCCAATGAGAGACGAGATCGTATCTGTTCTGGATATTTTTAATGTCCGGTTTCTTCTCCTCTTCTTCTGGTTCATGATCTGTTTGATTATTCTGGATGGCCGAGAACTGTCGAGAAGCGTTGAACACCTTGATCAATTGGATGTATGACTGCAAGACTACATTATTGACAGGGACGGCTTGTTGTTCAAAGAACGGAGCGAACGGAAGTAATGGTGGATTCGAAGAGATATTACTTTTGGAGTTGTCTGGGGATGGTGTAGATAAGGAGCTGGAGGGCTTTGTCATTGCTGTATCCATTCCAAATCTGGCCTGCAATAATCCCTGTGAATGAGCGTCAAAGTGACTAAATAGTGCATTAAAAAGGCCAAACTCTTTAGTCTATCCAATCGAATGACACCATGACATTTATGGATCTAGACCAAAGAAGACTGACACAAAGACTCCCAAAATATCTGCAGGCACGTCCATTAATCTTTTCACGGGCAGGGTTTTCGTAATACGCGGATTATTTGCTGACATTAACCACAAAAAAAGCTTCATCGAACCTTTTACAGATTAAGAGTTTTGAGCCGATTAATTGTCAAGACTCCCGAATTCGGAGTTTTGCAAAGGACCCGGGGAAATAAAGGGCTAAATCCATCATGGTACCGTAATCCCTCTATATTTAGGCTTCGTGTGAATTTCTTCAAATCCTCGCGAAAAGAAATAACATATAACGAAACTTTGTTCGTGAAAGGGGACAGTCTTCTTTCTAGGACACTAATAATATATTTCGAGACAATAATTGTAAAGCTCTATTCACAACGGATGTAAACGTGCCAAAACAATCTGAGAAGCGGGATTACGGCGGCTAAAAAAGGCATAAAGTATACGTGGATTTAGAACCATAAATTTTGTAAAGAGCAGCCGAAGTCAGAAAGTGCTTGGAAAAGTCATGCAAACTAATCTGATCTGTTAATCAGAACCGTTAATGCAACGTAAAACTTTAGAACACGAGAGTTCATTTTATTTTATTAATCATCCTATGCATCTAATATTAAAATAATAATTGTTCATTAAAGGCACCAATATCCTCAGGGAAGTTCGGATATCCACAGCCTTTCTAGCGGGATATTTGTTGATGTAATAATTAGACTCTAATTAATCGTACTAATAAAAGGAAATTAGAAAATCTCTTCTTACCGTATTCCGATCGCTCTGTCCTCTCAATGCTTGATACACATCAAAATGTTTTAATTTCAAATGGACCCACATTGTCTTGGTACTGGAATCTCGACGCCGTCGGAGGTCAGAACAAAGAAGGCATTTAGGGCCGGCCTCCGTTTTCGCAAAATAGTTCCACACGACCGAAGGCATGTTCACTGAAAAAAAACAAAGCCATATAAAAAAATTAGAGAACGCAGATCAAGGATATTGGTGCACGGGACTAAATATGGCTTGAAACGTGCCAGAGAATCAGAGTTTTAGGCTGAGCAATCTTACTGTAGTTTTGACATATTTTCTAATTAAGAACCGATAATCAAAAATTATTAATTCGTTTACTCTTTGGTCTTAAAGCTTTGAAATCATAAATAAATATTAAACCGAGAAACTGAATTATTACACCCAAGACTTATTTGGACCCTGAGGGCGGCATCCGAAAACCCGGAAAAAGACACCGTCCGGTCAAAGTGCGACTCCTTAATTAATGGCCAGGATTTGGGGACCTTATCGGGACGCAACACCCGTCCAGTCCCTGCGGGGCGTCGGGGCGGCTAGCCTCCTCGGATGTCCAGATCTTCCGCACCGATGCCCAATTAGCGGGCGTAATGAGAAATCAGAGAATAATCGCGGGTCTAATCGCGGATCGCTGGCCAAGACCGGAAATGCGCGACGACCATCGTCCGGGCACGGCCCCCATCCCTCCCTATTGCCTCTCGCACTTTTGCAAATAATGAGACTCCAAAGTTTTGTTCGGCCGCCGAGAATTTCTAAAATCCAATCCCCCAAATGGGCGCCTTAAATGGGAATGGAGGACCTAATAAGCCCCACCTTCGCCCTAATGCTCTTTCTCCGTGTCGCTGACGCTAATCGCCCTTCAGCGGTGCAGGTGCAGGGCTATTTCCAGCCCGGCCGGGATAATCCGGCCAGATATCCCCTGAGGGCAGAGCAAGATCAAAGGCCGAAGAACCAAGAAACGGCCAGGTAATTACAACATTCTAATTACTGGGACACAAAGTGCAGAGGACTACAGTAGCCCCAAGTTCTTATAAGGACCAGTTTAGCTGCATCTGCACCATCAATATAAGAGCTCAGACACTAATCACAAGATTTATCCTTTATCACATTTCGATTAAAGAACACTCTCCCCAGAGATACGTGAGGATAGCAAATATCTCCTGAATACCAAGCGTCAGATTTCTAATCTTGCTGTTCTTTAAAAATTTTTCAGACAAATCTGCTTAATAATTGCCGGGCTTCCGAAACGAACAGACAGACAGATTAGCCGTCAAGTTCACTGTTTTCATCACACATCAACCCCGAATATAGTCTGGACTGTCGTATTCGATCAAGTGCAATGGCATTACGGTAATATAGCCTATATTTTTGTAGAAGAGTAAAGTAATGTATTGACTGATTTTTTATATGAAAACCCTGTGTTTATCGATTGTTCCATAAAAACCATTTTGATTAATTTTTGTAAATTACCTTCTCAATCTTTGCCCATTTTTAGTCAAACCGGTCAAGTGTAATACATAGTTCAAATTTCAGCTGCGGCCGTCGAAACGAAATGCCAAAAAGATGTTTTCTTTCCGAGACTTTATTCCAAAAATTGCAGTCGTGTCAAAAATAATTCCGCGCAAAATCCACGAAAAGGAGGTCTTTTACACTCTACAAATGGCGTTTGACTTGGTATGTTGAGCTTTTATGTCTGATATAATTGTCGTATTTTAGGATCTGAATTCCCTGTATAGCATCAAGGGGATACTTCTGCTCGACAACGACGGAAATCGGATTTTGGCCAAGGTATGTCGATGTAGCTTTTAAATCTAGTTTTGTTTTTAGTATTATGACAAGGAGATATTTCCTTCACAAAAGGAGGAACAAAAGTTTGAGAAGAATCTTTTCCAGAAGACACATAAAGCCAATTGTAAGTTCAATATTTTTTTAGGTATCTAAAGTTTGCTTTTTCAGCCGAGATTATTTTACTGGATGGATTGATCTGCGTCTATCGTTCAAACGTCGACGTGTTCTTTTATGTTATCGGAAGTCATCAAGAAAACGAATTGATCTTGGTTGCTGTCCTCAATGCTCTTTATGATGCTTTCTCTACTATCCTCAGGCGAAATGTGGAAAAGAAGGCCATCTTAGACAATATGGATCTCTCGATGTTAGTACTAGATGAGATCTGTGATGATGGAGTTGTCCTGGAGACCGATGCCCAGGCCATTGTCAGTCGATGTGCTCTCAAACCTGATGAACTTGCTTTTGGAGATCAATCGATTAGTCAGGTTGGAATGTCGGTAAGAATTTTTTGACAAATAGCTTAGATTAATATCAGTATATTATTATAAAAAAAAAATATAATTTTTTTTCAGCTCTTGGGATCGGCGAAGGATCAGTTAAAGTGGTCTCTTTTGAAATAAGTTATTCCCGCAAATGTAATACTTTAAGATTATTTTAATTTAAAAATAAATTTTCTAACAACGAACGTAATGGTGTAATTGGTTTGGTGTTGTCTTGGTTTAAGATTCCTGAGTTATTGGCATGTTTTTTTTGTTTATAATTTCGGGTTGTTTGTTTTCTCAGATGGATGAAAGTGGAATTGAAGAGCAAGAGAATATTCCCCAGCTATACAGGAAGTCTAAGAAACCTCAAATCGATATAAACAAGGTGCTAGAGTATATCAATGCAAGTTACTATCCCTTCGTCGTGATTTTTTATTTTTAGGATCAAGAAGACGAAAAGAGTTTGTCGAAAAAGTACGGTAATTACTTTGACGAATGGCTGAATTACCTGATGACTGGGTTCAATATCAAGATCAATGGACGTGGTTCCAAAATTGACTTAGTCGAAAGTTTCCTCGTGACCAAAAAGATTAATAAAAAATATGTTTACCAAGTGATGGGACACGAACCAGATGTCAATCTTTATGATGTCTTCAGTCAAATTGTGGAACATTTGAATTTGAATATCCGATTAAAGAGAGAATCGATTATTATGCAGGCGGATAAACTTGGAGAAGCTATTGAGGAAAAGAAAAATGATTTTCTGCTTGTTGTCCATAATGTAGATGGTCGTTTTATGAGGTAAGTTCCTCTTTAATATCATCATTGGATTTGCTCAGAAACGACCAAGCGATGGAAGCCCTGAATAAATTGGGCGCACACAAACATATCCGGATGATTTTAACACTGGCATTCCCATATGGAGACATATATTGGAACCCGGTATGTGGCATCGGACAAAGTAACCCTCTTTCAGGATATTAAATATTGTCTTAAATTGATCGAGTACAACATCAACACTTATCGGATTGATTTTGATGAATTGTTGGCTCTGAATCCCAAATTGGAATCGCATAACGGGAAGAGTGACACCTATCACACATTGGAATCCCTGGATATGATCTGGACTTCTTTGGCCTCAAATACCCAAAAGATTTGCACAAAGTTATACGAGATGTGGCTTCTCTCAGAAAACAAGGCAGTCTCCTTCTTCGAACTTTTCACTGAAGTCAGGAATAACTTTTTGACCACGAGCGAAGTTGTTTTGTCCACCCAGATTACCGAGTTGAAAGACCATTACTTCATCTCGATTAATGATGAAAAGATTATCACATTTACTGTCGACCCCATCCTCTTGGCTCAATTTATGGAAAAAAAGATTTCCATTTGAATTTTCTCACTTGTAACTAAAATACGATCTCTGAATAAATAATTACACTTTTTCTTGAATATTCTCTTAATGTTTTATCGATCAGGGGCGAATAAAAGTCGTAAAATGTGTTTGCAATAATATTTTTCTGATTCTTTCCCCTTATCAGAGATAGGTTTCGTTTTTCTACTAATGAGTGAAAGGTCCTTTAATATGTAAGCATTCATTGCTAGTAATTACACAATTATTTTAGTAATGATCGCAAGAGAAGTGTTACTATTTTAGATCCGGGTGTAAGTTTGGTCAAAAAATCGGTAAATGAAGATGGAGTAAGTCAGTTTTATGGTGGTGTCACTCTAAATTATAGGCATTGGCAATCATTCTGAAGGTTTTGCTGGCGTTTGCTTTTATGGCTGCTGGACTGCTGGCAATTCTGTACTCAATAAACAACGGTAGGTCTCAGTAATCGTAGTTCGTTTTATTTTTCTTTCAAATGTTTTAGCCGAAGACCCTATCGATGACAAGCCTAGCAACGAAACTGTTGACGCATTCGGTGCTATCTACAACAACCAAGTTTGTCTCAACGGAGTTATTACCACAGAGAAGATCATCAACAATGAAAAAAAGGTAAAAGAAATCCGATCGTCATTTAATCTGTAGATCTCGAAAAAAAGCGTCGAATGGATGCAAGATCACGACAACAACCGCCTCTTCTTTAACATAACTGATGATGAGACCGGGAACTTCACCTCTTACTATGTCTACCCGGACAAAGTGGTGATGAACACAGATAAAAGTTGTGCTCTTCACGACCATATCACTGGCTATTTCGATTTCATTAAATCGATGGCATTGCAGGGATTGAAAAAGGCGAGAATAGAGACAGTCGACATCCAAGGGAAGAAGAAACAAGTTCAGATATATCAAGGCAAACCAATTCTGAGCAACTTTTACGATGGTTCTGGAGAGATTCCGATGTATACTCAAGGATACGAAGGCTTAGACAACGGTAAGACATAAGATAACACGTAATAATCAGTCTAGGCGTGCTATATGGATGGCAATTGTTCTACGAAGCGGACCCGGATGGAGGAAATGGGACGGAATGGGCAGAATATTGGTTTCCAGAAATGAAAAGGCAAAAGCCAGACCCCAACGTCTTTATTAATATTCCTCATGCTTGCTACGGATATAAACATATTCGACGGTAAAATAAAAAGGTTTCTTTTTATGTCATCTGCGTTGCGCAATAATTTTTACAATTCGTCTTAATCAATTTTGACATTTCGTTGCAAAGAAAATATTTTTTTCGCCGTCGGTCTCCGCAAGATCTCATTCCATAAAATAAAGAGTTCAATAATTTGCTCCAAATAAGGTGTCTTTGTCGACTATGAGTGGACTAAAAGGTAATTTTACCAGATCGCAGCTATAATATTATTTAAGCCGTCGTTTCCTTATCTCTGGCTGCCGTTATCGGTCTCACACTGCTGGTTCTCGCTTGTGTATTGACATCAGAAGGGTGAGCAAATCTTTGATGTCTGAGAACGGGTTTAGGACATGGTGGCCAATGTTTGTGATCGTCTTCTACCTTTTATCTCCACTTCCTATTTTAATTGCGCGCAATGTTTATGACTGTGAATTCAACGTAGCATCCCCAGGAATCGAATTCGCCCTGTTTGCGACAACTGGTATTGTGTTCTCGGCTTTTGCTCTTCCCTTCATCCTAGCTCATGCTGGTGTGGTAAGCTATTATTACTTTTTGTTGTTTTTAGTCACGTGGTCTAAACATTTAACTTTTATTCACTGACGTTTTGTGGTCGTACTTGAGACGTTGTTTTGTGTTTTAGATCCAGACGACAGCCGTTCTGTTGACCTGCGTGGCCTCAGTTTTCATGTTTGGCACAATTTACAGCTGGTTCCGGGTTAATTCGGAGGACGATTACTCGGCCAATATCTTCTAAATATTGTGTTCGCTACCTCCACAAAGACTTACGGATCAATTTTAGATCAACTTCTTCGCCTACTCATTTACTTTCGTCGCCAATCTCGTCCTCTTTGCAACGGTTTATGGGTTTATGTGCTATTTCAATGCAGAAGACGAGAATTTCTCGCTGTGGTAATCTATTTATTTTCCCATATTGTACAGATCAAAAAAATCGTAGATGGGCAAATATTTCGGAAAAAATATTGGGGCTTCGGTAGTTGAGCCCCCCACGAAAGGTAGTTCAAACCCCCACTGTTTTGCCCGTTTCACACCCCGCATAATGAACAAATTAGAATAATACAAAAAATGTAAGTGGGGGTTTGATCTACTACGTTGGGGGTTTGATCTAAAACGTAGGGGGCTTTATCTAAAACGGAGGGGGCTTCATCTAAAACGTAGGGGGGCTTGTGCTGGGGCCAATGCGCTATCTGAAAGTTTGCTGAAAATCATAGGGCGCAGCTCGGAGAATTTGCACGGGCGCAGCTCGCGTCTTGGGCGCAGCTCGAAAACAAGCCGAAACATAGCTCCGGCGAGCTGCGAAACGTTGTTTTCCAAGCTGCGCCCTACCATTTTCAGCTAACTTTCAGCAAACTTTCAGATAGCGCATTGGCCCCTGGACCATACAACTTGGATTAATTCTTTGAAATAAATTTTGGGGTTCAGAATGGACGAGGGGGGTTGTACTGGGTCATGGGGGGCTAAACTGGACTGGGGGGCTGTACTACCTTAGCCCCAAAATATTTTATATTGTAATCTTCTTTATACCAAATAAAATAAGTAAATATGAACTACTGGCACATATTTGTAGAAAAAACATCTATTCTACCTACGGTAGAACTTGGGAGGGGCGAACTCATCGTCTCTTCTCCGCTCCTGATCTTCTTTCCATTTCCGATACCATTTCCCTTCATCCCACTCCCTTATTCCATAACTTGTTTGATTCTTTGGTACCGGTGCAGCTTTTTGAGGTTCTGGTGGGAGTGGAATGTCTGCCAGCGATGGGCCGGGAACATCATACTCTTCTTCAGACTCCTCGCTGGTGGATGGGAGCGGGGAGAGGTTCATTCTGGCTCTGAATTTCTGGAGTTTCTCCTTCTCAGCTCTCTTCTTTTCAGTCAATATCTTCTTCCTCTTAGCTCTAGTCTCCTCAGTTTTCTTAGACATATCCTTTATTTCTTTGATCTTCTCTGTTCTTTCCTCTTCTCCGGTAGGTAAAACAGCATGAGACGGTCCAAATAATCTACCAGGTTCTTCCATTGGATTATACCTATCAAATAATCGTTCAGGTTCAATTTCTGGGACCTCAATTTCATCTTCTTCAAACCTGCTTCTCTTTTGTTCTCTGTCTTCTTCTTCTTTTTCTCTTCTTTCCTAAACAAAATACAATCAATGCAGTAGTAATACTTACCTCAATCTCTCGTTTCTTCACGTTAAAGTTAACCAAGAACTCGACATCTCGGCCATCCTCGTTTACTAAGCGTTCTCCACTCGTAAGTCTCTCATAAATCTTGGCCTTTTCCTCAAGAACTTTCTTCCTCCGTTCCCTTTCTTCTTCTTCCTTTCTGATCTCTGAAGCCAATTTCTCTATCCGCGCCAGCCTTCTCTTTTTGCCATCTTCTTTTAGCTCCTTATCCTTCTTACTGATAGTTAGTATGCTGTGCTTTCCAATATCAAGAGTTTTGCGTGTAAGTCCAATAGATTTCACCTGGTTCTTTTTGGTCAATAGTTCCGCGCGTAGCGCATAAAGTGAAGCAATGTTGGTAGTCTTGTGGACGTGTTGGGAAGGAGCTGGCAATTCTTCATCTTCTTCTTGCATTAAATCCGTATACAAAGAAACGCCTTAGGCAGTAGTGTTACACACGAATAACAAACTAAACGAAATCTCCAATACGCCAATTTATTTTCCTCTACAAAGCGTAAAAAGATTTGCGTCAAGTCTTCCCCGCCGGTTTGTGTCAAGTGTTGTCCGGAATAAAGAAACTACAGTATCTAAATGTAAAACCGTCGAATCAACAAAAAATATTCGGAAAACGGATGAAGACAACACTGCTGTGCCAAACAGATTTGTCATGTGTATAGTGTTTATTTCATTTCAATATGTGCTGCTTTAAAGTTTCTATTCAACTTCGGTAGAATTAGGATCATCAGTCTCTCCCATGGCCAAGAATGCCATCTCGCTTTGATGAAGCATTTCTTCTTTTTCTGGGAAAACTTTCTTTCCTCCATCAATGAATTTAGACAGTTCGAATACAAACTTGACCTCACACATCTGCAAGGTTTTATCTCAATTGTCTGTTTTACCTGACTATAATGTCTATTGGCATTTTTAGAAGTGACCACAGTGATAAAGTGAGAGATTCCGTCTTGATGCGCAAGTTTCCGGATGTCCTGGAGTAAAATCTTTCCTAGTAAACCCCTGCAAGTGTTATTAATATTTTTTTGTTATCTTACCCTCTGTATTCAGGCAGGATGCATCCATGTTCAATGTATAGTACCTTCTTGACACTTGGAGGTATGAGATTCGGGATTATCTTCTCCCATTTCTCCATCAGAACCTTCATTCTGGCCAATCGTCTGTCTGGGCATCCATCCTCCATCACCCTGTCGATTTCTGAATAATAAAAGTCTTAGCTTAGTTGCTTTACCGTCCTTATAATCTGGTTTAATCTCTTTTTTGATGATGTTCTCATCTGTATATTTGACTTGGATATCCCTTGCGATGAGTGCTCCGACCAACTTGCCCAGATAGAAGGCCATTAGACAGTAGCGAGATTTCAGGGATTGCTCGATTCGGCTTTTGAAATATGGATTGACAACATCCGCTGGAATGCCTGCAATCATTTTCTCTTTATACTATGTAGTAATGCAACGTGATGTCATCAGCACTAGATATAATCAAAAATATTACCCAGCGCGACTGTCAGAGGTTCAGATGTCGCAAATCCATTGCTCGTAAATTTTGAGAGTGCTTCGAGGTCCTGAGGGCCAGCTCTTTCGATTCTTCCTCGATTATCGAACTGGGAGACATACCAATAGGGGCGGATAACGTCTCGGCCCGCTTTGTTAACGGTCCCACGTACCGGATATAACACACGACTTCGTAATTTGAACATATTCAGATGAACGACCGATTATTTAACATTGAGAACGATGAGATTCCGAGTAGAATTTTGTTAAATTTATTACAAATAAATTAATAACACCATATGTAACCATATAGGTGCTGGCTGAGCATTATTCGATGATATCCATGTTAGATAATATTTGATAGAAATCTGTGGATGTCATGATCTCACTTCCGGCTCGCAGAAGTACTTCCCGGACACAACTTTTCGTCTGACTAGACTTAACTGGTATCCGACATCACTATCCAGATTAACCTGGGCATTGGAGGCGGTTGTGTTTGAAGTCTAAAGATCATAGCCTCTCTGAGATGGCTTACCTGGAATTGAATGTGCGTGTTTTGAGGGATCGAGGGACCTGATTTTAGTTTTAATCTGGCCTTTAGAGACCCTGTAGAGTCCCCGTGTCGCGTTAATTCGGTAAATGTCCATGTTAAGTCATCATCATTACTACAATTATATTAGAATCACACCTCTGACAAGTAAAGGTGTGAACTATCCGTGAGCTTTCAATATAAGAGTTCTGAAAGAGCGTACAAAATAGAGAATTGCGAAAAAAAATTTTTTGGTTTGGGTTATCAGTGTTATCGATGTTTTCGCTTTCTAAAATATCAATTACGGTCGCATAATTGTCTCAAGACAGTCACATCTACGCATCGGGACCTATACGCATAGCATAATTTATGAAAATTTTGAATCGTGCTTCAGATATCGATTTAATGATTTCCAGTAATCAAAAAAAAAATGGATATTATTTTTGAAATCAGCACCATCGATTATCCTAATTTCGACATTTACCTCTTCACAGGAGAAAAGAAACTTTTTAGTTTCCCCAATTTACGACGTTCCAAAAAAAGTGGATTCCTACTAAATTCTGTATGCCTTTTCAGAATTTGGTGCCTCACGTTGAAAGCTGCAGTCCACACCATTCCTTTGTTAGAACTTACAGCTTCGCTTGAGGGTCCGATTGGAAACTCTCAACTTCTCCGGTTATTTTTGTATCCACCTGGATATTAATCAAGGGATTCTGAAGAGATTTCTCACTCGGATTTAGTCGATAATCAATTCTGATGTCAGTCTGCTTTTCCTCGGTCTTCCAATAGGCATTGAGCAGTAAGGGAGCCTCATATCCATTTACGAGTTCATATCGAATCAACTGAAATTCGATTGCCATCTTGAATTTAAACTTACATCAACATTGTAAAACGAAGAATTCGGTTTCGCCTTTTGTTGTTCTAGAACCCAGGACGAGATAGCAGCTTTATTTACCGTAAAAGTAAGTGCTTCCCGAGGTAATCCAAGCAGATCACACTCGGGAAGGAGCTTCTTGTTTGGTTGAACTGATTTTATTTGATTCGCATTCCGAAGAGTGAACTTTAGAGGCTCTCTAAGGTCATTTGGATCCTCTAGCTGAGATAGGAAGGAGCCCGGAAAGGATACCATTACAGTGCCAAATACTCTTACAGTAGAACTAAATACCAAATTCTTAAGTCATATTCTTTGCAACGCCTACTCTTTGGATTTGAACCATGCATGAATGAACTCGTTTATACCCATGGCTATAGGAATCTTGGTCTGTCTTAATGTATTCTGAGATTCAGAGAAAGACAGAGGAGAATTGGAGTTGGTGGATGGCACATCAGAGGACGGAGGCCATTGGCTCAGATTTGCCAGAGATCCCAAAGATCCAATAGAATGACCGATGGGGAAACCCTCATCCGGCAAAAAGGAGTCCTAAAAAGATCAACAAAAGATAAATGTTTAATTTACACGGCGATCCCGAGTGGGTATTAAAGGGGCCAATCCCGTCTGGGAACTGCCTCCTCTTGGCCTGGCCCTTGCTATCGAGCTTCCAAACCCAGTCATTGTAGATTGAGAAAAGTCAAGAGGGCTTGGGGCAGTAGGGAAATTGAATTCTGCAAGAATAAGCTACGATAATTATGCATTCTTTTACCTGAAAATTTTCGATTCATTTGGTCATCGCCTGTGAAAGCTGTCCTTATGGGTTTAAGTGTAGTGTTCAGACTCTGAGAAAAGGGAGACTGAGACCCTGAGGGACACCATGGATCCTAAATACAAAAATATATTCCAAATAAACTTATCTTTACCTTATCCAAAGTACACGAACGTTGCAAATGAATATGCCCTACGGCACTTCTAATCTCGTCAACCGAGCTGTTGATCGTAGCCTTGGATTCACTAAGTGGTTTGATTTGAAGCCCCTTTATCTTGGAGGTTTGGAATTCGAGTTCATCTTCATCTGAAGAACAGCTCGACCAATGGTTGCGCACCTCATCTGTGTTCCGATCGGGTCTTATGGTGTATCCTTCAGCATCAACAGGAGGAGTGGCGCCATTCTCATCCTCATTTTCGGATCTCTTGTCTGATTCCATGACTCCGTCAGTTGGTGGGACATCAGAGCCTGGACTGGCCTTGGATTTTATGTATCGTTTCAAGAAAGATCCTGAACAAATTTTGTTCAATAATAAATAAAATATTATAAATCCTAAAATAAACGTCCAACTCACCTTTATCATTCAGACTGGCCGAGAATTCGGCTGGTTGGACAGACTCTTGACTATTAATTGTGGTAAGATTTGACTGCGACGCGTGCTTCTTCCGCCTGAAACGAGTTTTTTTCCCGCTGATCAGACGCCCTTCGCGGATAATGATAAATCGCTTACCACTGTGTGATCTTCTGACGCCCCAGCCATGATGAGAGCTGAGGCGGTACGTATGATGCTCCCCCGGCACTTTGGACCTCCTCTTTTTCGGAATCCGTGTCCGATTTCTGCAATCCCATGCTTATTCCCTGAGGGCTTTGCTCTTACCGGAATGGAAGTCGGCCAAGGCGCGTTTAAGGACAGTAAATCATTCACTGAAGGCTGAGATGGTTGCTCTGGAGGCGAGGAAACGATGGCCGAGGAGTTTGATGAGGACGGAGCGGAAACTGAACCCACTGGATTCGAAGCCAGATCTATTTCAGCCGGCAATTCATCAGTATCACTCCAACGCACCATTTCTAAAAAGATAAAAATTAATTTTGAGCATGGTCAGCACATCATATACCGACAATATTACGCAACATACGAGGTCGCTCAGTTCCAGTCCCCTTTTCTTCAACAAATCTGAGCATTATATTTTCGATATCAACTCTTTCCATTGACTGTCTGTAATCAACTGTGACTTGGGCGATCGCACTTTGAGCGTCATCCACATTCCTTGCAAAAGATATCAGAAATGCTTTGATTTGATTCAAATAGGCTTGATCAAATGCTTGGAAAGCTCTGGTCGATCTGAGCATCTTCTCCTCGAAGTTGTCTCTCACTGATTGATACTTCTCCACATAGCCCTTGTATTCTTCGTAGGCTTTGGAAAGTTTATTCTTCGCTTTATACAAATCTTTCGCATTCGCATTTTCATTTTTCAAATTGAGAACTTCTCCACAACGTTGAGAATAAGTTTCCTTGGCCTAAACAACAAACTTCATTTTTAAAGCAAACCGACCTTTTGGAGACATGTAGTAGTAGTTTGCATCAAATTTACAGCATCAATTACCTCCTGTTCCTTCAATTTTTTCCTCGATCTTACTAATTCATCATGATATTTGACTATTTCCTTGGATAAGTCGGTCAAGTTTTTGAGAAGTGATGTTTGGATCTCCGACCACAGTTCTAATGTTCCTTTGGTGAGCCTCCACGAATCCACAAAGGCTCCATTCGCAGCGATAAAACCGTTGACCTAAATGTTTTAGGTATCAATTGAAAAGAAAAAATGTAGAATATAAAAATTTATAAAAAAAGTTCATCAAAAATACGTTCCCTACCCGGTTAAGGTATTTGTTTAGAAATTTTAGCGTTTCCTCTTCCAAAGAGATCCTCTCCTTCACAAAAATGCTCAGATCTTGTACATTATCCTCTCCTCTCTTTATATTCTCATAAAGAACATGGAACCCAATGTGGCGATCACCCTAAAAAAGAGAATAAATCGAATTTATCATAACATACCCAAAAATGTTCAGCATAATCAATCATAACCATATTTGCCGCCTCTCCGTACAACTTTTAACGTCAAAACATCGGTTTTCAGAGTTACTGCTGGCAACCACAGGTAGATTAATTTCCAGTAAAAGTGTATTTACTTGATGGAAAAGGAACAACGGCGTCCGGCTCGTTTTACTTTCCGAAAACACTTTTTTCAGAGGAAGACTTGACCCTGGTGTCAACTGTCATTCTTGTTTTTCTTGTCGACAGGGGTGGTCAGCAGACCCTATTTTTCCGATTTTCGGCCCGCGGCCCGGCCCGTCTAATCACCGGCCCGGCCCGTCTAGTCTTTTTCCAGGCCCGGCCCGGCCCGGCCCGTGCAGGCCCGTCTATAGAGGGTTCTGCGAACTGCGCCCAGGCTCGGGATCTAAACTGAGGCAAAAAAGGCGTTGATCTAGCTAGTAAAGGATCAATGTGATAGTTTTGTGGTTCTATAATGGAACTATAGACTTGTAAACGTGTTAGAACTTGAGAAACAGCAACTATAACACCCCTGCTTGTCGATAAGATAATAAATTATATAATATCAGTCTGTCGGAAAAATAACGGCGGATCGTCGCAGCAAAATGTCTCGCCTCGCCGCTATCGCGCACCAAATCCCAAGTCGCGGCTTGCAGTCGCAAAGCGATGATGAGCGACTCCGAGGCGCGACGATCCGCCGTTATTTTCCCGACAGACCGATAATACGCGTTATACGTTATTTTCCCTATTATAATGATTGCAATCCATTGCCAGGCAGGACATTTGGATTTCCGACGTTCATTATCTTTATTTTATATTTTTATAGGCGTTACGGTACCATCCTTTGAATTTCATAATTTTCATGTACCTATTTTAATAGTTAAAACTTATATATTTACGACTTTTCAAATATATTTTAGGTAAATAAGTGTAATGAAATGGCGACCAAGAAGAAATAATGTTATTTTACCTGGAGTCAGGAAATTATGGGTGACGCAGAGTCGGGTGGTGCAGGTTCGGGTGAGAACTTTCGGGTGATCGCAAAGTCGGGTGATGCAAAGTCGGGTGGTGCATATTCGGGTGATGGAATTTTGGGGTGGGGGAATTCTCGGGTGATGAAAAATATTGCACTGAAGGCTACTAAATATAAAATATTGTACTAATGGCTACTAAATATGGCGTAATCTTGTTAAAGTCTTAAAATTTTTTAAATTATATGCTTTTTGGGGGTTTCGACCATCAGGAATCCAAAAATAGAAACCATTTTGTTCAAAATTCTCTGTGTGTATTACTATTGTTGTTTTAATTGTAAGTAAATATAAGAATTACTGTAAATTTTATGAATAAACCGAATTCTGTATTTGTTTTGGGGTTTTCGAATATCAGGAATCCAAAAATGGAAACCATTTTGAAGTGGGAAATTTCTATGGTGATCTGGACGATGTTGTAATGATCATAACATTGAAAACTTCAAAAAAAAAACAAAAATAAATTTTCGAAAATTATCGCAGAAAAATAGTATCGGCCTGTCGGGAAAAAAACGGCGGATCGTCGCGCCTCGGAGTCGCTCATCATCGCTTTGCGACTGCAAGCCGCGGCTTGGGATTTGGTGCGCGATAGCGGCGAGGCGAGACATTTTGCTGCGACGATCCGCCGTTATTTTCCCGACAGACTGATATTCACAGAAAATTTCGAACAAAATGGTTTCTATTTTTGGATTCCTGATGGTTGAAAACCCCAAAAAGCATAAAATTAAAAAAATTTTAAGATTTTACCAATATTACGTCATATTTAGTAGCCATTAGTACAATATTTGGGGCTTCGGTAGTTGAGCCCCCCACGAAAGGTAGTTCAAACCCCCACTGTTTTGCCCGTTTCACACCCCACATAATGAACAAATTAGAATAATACAAAAAATGTAAGTGGGGGTTTGATCTACTACGTTGGGGGTTTGATCTAAAACGTAGGGGGCTTTATATAAAACGGAGGGGGCTTCATCTAAAACGTATGGGGCTTGATCTAAAACGTAGGGGGCTTGTGCTGGACCATACAACTTGGATTAATTCTTTGAAATAAATTTTGGGGTTTAGAATGGTCGAGGGGGTTTGTACTGGGTCATGGGGGGCTAAACTGGACTGGGGGGCTGTACTACATTAGCCCCCAATATTTTATATTTAGTAGCCTTCAGTGCAATATTTTTCATCACCCGAGAATTCCCCCACCCCAAAATTCCATCACCCGAATATGCACCACCCGACTTTGCATCACCCGACTTTGCGATCACCCGAAAGTTCTCACCCGAACCTGCACCACCCGACTCTGCGTCACCCATAAATTCAGTCACCCATTTTACCTGAACGTGTGTGCATACGTCATTATCGGTATCTACGGCGGAATTAAAGCCCGTTCTTTACGTAACCGTTTGTTTTGAGTTGATTTTGAAGGAGAATATCGAGGTCGGCCTCTCGATATTGATCTTCGCCTATGGGTTTTACCAGTTGATTGATGTTTAAAATGAGAACCCTTCAGTATTATAATTAGTCCCCATGGTTTGTTCTCTTACTGTGTCCTGGGTTTGTTTGCTTTTCTTTACAGCGCAGTAATCGAGAGTCTCCAATTCCTTTATACTACTTTACATTGATCTACTTTGTGCAACAGTTTACTGCAGCTTTTGGGATGACGGATCACTTTTTCTCAGTCTAATTGACGTCGTTGTAATTTTTTGAGATTTAGATTAGTTGTTTTCAAATGTTTATTCTTTGTTTATAATATACGAAACAGAAACCCTTATATGGCTGTTATCAAACCAATGCCGAGGGTTTGACCAATTGTTTTGAGTATAATATGACGTATAATGTGAAATGAGGGAACAGGTCCGTTCCTTTCCCTTTCTTTTTATCCCCTCTGGCGTTGTGGATGAGTTCTTTTCTTTGCGCACCTGTGGAATGGAGTTCCCCCCACTTTCACCCTTTGATCGTCGTTATCCTTGCAATTATCGATCCCTTTCCCCTTTCTCTGATGGTTCATTTATACTCCGATTGGACCTAACTTTTTTATCAGTCATCTAATATAGATGATCATTGTGTTTTCCGTTTTACTTTATACTGGCTGACAAAAATTTCTTTCCACCTCGTATCTCGGGAACCACTGGGCCTAGAACTTCCAAATTCGGCATAGAAACATCCTGGGACAATCTAACACCATACCCAAAAAATCATATCATTTGATGCACTTTCAGTGCACTTTTTACGCAAACGGCAAAAACGTGATGACAAAATTTTCTTTCCACTTTGGAAAAACGTTTGTAAATCATAAGCCAGAAGGCGCTAAGGCATGATTGTGGTATCATTGTGTTCGCAAAGGAGTCCTCTCTTGATCCGTGTCGCAATTTTACAATAGTTTTCGTTTTTTCGCCCTTGGGCGTCTGTTCATCGTCGCCTTGTCCGTTTTCAGCTAAACTCTTGGCCAGAAAAGCTCGCAGAAGGCCCAAGGAGACGAAACTGCCCTTATTAAACCTGGTATTTATGGTTGCAACATTGTTTACTCCGGCAGTAGAATTAGATTTAATTTAAGCGTGTTGCATAGGAAAATGTGCACTTCCAGGGTTCTCGTTGCCAGAAAATTACGTTATTACGGGGACCCTGCAGACAATTCAAGTAACTTTTTTTGCTGATATGTTTTCTATGATACTACAGCCTTAAAAATAGTGACGATTTTAGTCTCTGATGTCGCGTTTAGGTTTGAGCAGAAGAAAGATTCCGTATGCCCCATGTGCAAAATTTGCAACCCTAAGCTTCCCGCGCAAGCAACTTGTCGTGCCAAAAACGTTAAAGGCAGGACGAAGTCAATGTATTAAGGTAGTCTGGTAGTCAAAAGTTCCAATATGTCAAGCATAAGTAATGCCAATTCCTCCCCGTCATATAATGCAACAACCTGCGTTACTAAAAACGACATAGACCAGAGGGGGGTAAGATAAGGTAGTAGATTTCAACACAGACTGTCGTATAATACCTAAAATGCGCCATATGTCTAGTAAACGCATGTTATTTGGACTTTTCCATTCTGTACATAAGCGATTTTCTGGTTTCGCGAACCCTGGAAGTGCACATTTTACACTTAAATTGAATCTAATTTTACTGCCGGTATAAACAATGTTGCAAACATAAATAGCAGATTTTTTAACGGCAGTTTCATCTCCTTGGGCCTTCTGCGAGCTTCTCGGCCACGAATTTGGCAGAAAACGGACAAGGCAACGATGGGCAGACGCCCAAGGGCGAACAAACGAAAGGTCCTGTAAAATTGTGCCACGGATCGAAAGAGGACTTCTTCGCGATCACAACGACACCACAATCATGCCATAGCGCCCTCTGGCTTATAATTTACAAGCGGTGGAAAGAAAATTTTGTCATCACGTTTTTGCCGTTTGTATAAAAAGTGCACTGAAAGTGCATCAACTGATATGACTTTATGGGTGTGATGTTAGATTGCCCCATAATGTTTCTATGCCGAATTTGGAGGTTCTAGGCCCAACGGTTCCCGAGATACAGGTGGAAAGAAAATTTTGTCAGCCACTATAGATAGATCTGATTTTTTTCAATTCTAGGATGTCTCAAGATCATGTCCATGATCATGCAGCGAGCCCGGAACCCCACCATATGATGATGCACGCCATGTCTTTTCATTTTGGATCTTCAGAGACCATTCTTTTCGATTTCTGGAAGACTTCGTCTCCTCTGGGTATGTCCTTGTGTAATATAGTCTTGACATCTCAGGTCTGATTGTGTCTTGTTTCGTCGTCTTCTTTGGTTGTGTTGGCTACGAGTCCTTAGCTTGGATGTTGATTCATCGACGGAATTCTCGGGTATTAATCGAGAGTCAAGTTCCGATTACTGGAAGGAGAAAGTAAGTTTTATTTTTACGGGATAAGTACTCCAAGTGCGACGCTCAGGTTTTGATGAAACTTGGCACAAATTTAGACTAATTTTTCTACAACATATCCCGGGAAACTTTTCCAGCTCGCTTTTTGCGGAAATGACCGAGATTTTTAGGTCGAAAGTTGGCAAAAATGTCACACTTTTCGACGAATTTTGACACGAAAAGTTTCCCTATTTCACTGTTGAGAGAAAAACATGCTTCCACAAAAAATTATTTTTTTTCGCGTGAAACTGGTAAAAATTGTGGGGCTCGGTCCGGCTGCGCACGCCCCTCGCCCGAGGTCTATAAAATTGCCAATTTATTATCCGGAGCCGCTGCAGAACGTGAAAGAACGCGGGATATTTAAATTTTGTTCATCTTTAAAGTACTTTTGTATTTGTTTAATTGAAAAAAATATTCAAGTTACAAAAGTGGTTAAAATAATGAAAAGACATGCAACGAAAAGTGTTTTTGTCTTATTGTTAGACTGCAGTCTGCTTTTCGCACGTACTCCCGGCCGCAATTCATTGTTGAATATCCCGGTTGCGCCTGCAAAGAGCGAGCAAAAAGATTCATGCGTTGATTGATATGTAACCCGTGCCAGAAGTGTGCGAAAAATTTAAAGAAAATCTGAGCGTCGCACTTCAAACACTTATTGTTAATCGATTCATGTAATTGTGGTGTTATATCAGACACGAACATACTTATTTTGATCTGTGCGAGTTCAATTGAATTACGATTAAGTTAGTTTTGTTGTACTTTAATATATTTAGGCGATAAATGTAAGGTCTGATTGAGTAGTTATATTCGAAATGAGAAGAAATGGAAAGAAATGGTGGTTTTATTCACCCACTTGACGGTCTCGTCTTTATGAGACGATAAAAATAAACAGCGTTACCTGCAAATACAATATAAACTTTTCTGTTTATTTAAAAGGAAGTGTAACAATCGATGACGAAGACTGGCAATATATGTCGACATTATTTTTAGAATTGACATCGGTTTGATTGTGGACACCCTGATCCATGGACTCCAACTATTCTTGGGATACTGTGCCATGTTGATCTTTATGACATTTAATGTCTGGCTTTGTTTGGCTGTTATCTTCGGCATCATCTTCGCTCATCTCGGCTTCAGAATCCTTTATCCTCAGCTTGATTCTATCCCGCAAACTCCCGCAGATCCATGTTGTTAGGCAGTATTGTAAGTACAGTGATTTGCAATCCATATCTTATATTATTTTATTTTATTTGTGGTATTACCAGAGATTCTAGTATGTTTTCTGCATTTTTTTGTACAGTTTGGAATTAAATTCGTCATTTTGGTGAGACTTTTGTTACAGTATGATAATAAATAGTGCGTGCACGAATAAACTACGGTTTGTGCAAGATATGACTTTAATCTTTAACTCCATGTTACTCTCCAGTCCTTACTCGGTAATGTTTGCGCAACAAACAGTCGCCCCCTAACATGCCACCTCAACCATATAACAAGCCGATCCCCGGGACTTACCTGACTTCACACGTTCCGAACCTCTTAAAGCCGGGGTTTCCCTTTAAGTGACTAAAATAAGGTCGTTCATTAAAGGGAGGAGGGTCAGGGCCGTGGAGAACGGCACATTGTTGACACTTTGAGGTACCCCCAGAGATGGATCGGCCTGATTAGAGCTGAGCCAACCCCAGCCTTTCCCCTGACTTCACTTTTCTTTATTTTCCTGCTCAAAAAGTGATTATTCCGCTCAATTGAATCGGAATTTGGTTGATGAAAGAGGCCAGAGTTGCTGTTTCTCGGAAGAATCTAGGATTTTTACAAACATATTACTCATGGAATAGACGGTTACATTCCCTCAATTCCGATGTTTTCAGATGGGTTTTGGCTCTGTAATTATGGTGTTCCCGAGGTCAGATCCAAGGCATTTACAAGGTCTCATGAGATATAATAATTGTTCTTTTGATCACATTCAAACATTTTTTACATCCATTTGCTGGTTTATACGACTTTATTAACGGATAAAGTCATCAATAATAAAAACTGTCCGGATTTGACAAAAATAATTTTCGACGATTGAATAGATGGGAACGTTGTTTATAGGGCTTAATCAAGGAAACAAGCATCTCCATCTTGAGGGCTAATTCGCAAAACTTTTCCTTCACGGAGATAGGGGATATAAATAGCAGAATTGATGGTTTTTTTGGTTATGATCAGGAGGGGTGGTATTTTTAGTTCTAAGTAATGACCGTGTCCTCTTGGAAGGACAATATGCAGGTATATCAAGATGAATATCCTTCGACTTTACCCACGCGCTTCTAAATTTTGGATACCTGCTATCATGTCCCCGAGGTCCTCGTCCCCCAACTCGTGCCCTTTTCTGTGACCGTTCCTTCTAAACTCAAGTTCTGCCTTGTTTGTAAGAGTAAAAAAAAGTAATTGGGAAATGAGAGTTTTTACAGACGCCAAACGGAGGCGGGGTCGGAGGTTTGAAGGGTCCCGGTGAAGGTGATGGGAAGGCCGTTCTTCAAGTTGGGGCTTCTAATTTATGAAAATATTCATCTGGCCTCTGATCGTTTTGGTAACCCCTTTTTGGTCATCTCTCTTTGTCATCGCCTTTTATAGACATTACAGCAATGTTTATTGCCCCTTCCTTCGGTCATATAAAATATACTTTTGTAGTGTTAACTTCCTTTTTCTATGGCAGTAATTCTTTTACCACCGCATCCTTTACATCGTTGAGTCATTTCTCCAAAACAGTTCCTCAAATTAAGGCGAATTCGATTCGTGGTTTCGGAAATTACGTAATTTATTGCGCAATTCTCGTCATGTCGGTAATATGCAAGGCTGTTAATCATCGTTATAACGGGCTCACTTCAAGTTTTGCATAAAATTTCATTAAAATAAAAATCATTTTTTATTATACTCGATATGCTCCATTTGAATCATTAGATTTATGCCATTTAAGGTTGTCCAGATCCCCTTTAAAGACACCCTGGCTCATCGGAGGACAACCCGAGGGCATGAAACGGGCGATCTTCCTGATCAGTCATCTACTGGTCGTAGTTTCTCAGCCATTTCCCCGAGACCTCAGTAAGTTCTAGCCTTGTTTTCCGTCTTTTATCAGCTCCATCTGTAATGTTACGACTGAACGCGAAGACGACGACTCGTTTTTTCGAAACTTAAAATAATATTTTTGCAAAAAACAAAAAAAGTTGTCACGGTGACGATTTATGGGCAGTAAACCATGAGTAAGGCGCCGACTTTGGTATTTTTTGGAGTTGCTCTGAGAGATTCATTGGTTCAAATAATACACAATAAAATAAAAATAAAAGCATCCAAATTATAGAAGGTTTACTTGGCAACCTTTTATTTGGGACAATTCGGGGTTTGGCCCAATATTTATAATATGCAATGTTGCAAAATTATTGATTTGACTAGCTATAGCCAATGAGTTGGATGAAATGATAGTCATCATTTTTTCCGTTTGGATAGTTAAACTGTCAGAATGGGGGTGAAACGTGAAACCCCGGAAATAGCTACTCTAAAATAATACTTACCTGCCTCAAATGAAAATCAGCCCGGATGAGGGATAGCCGTTTATTTTGGATGCTGATGTCCTAAACGATCTCATATTTTTTGTCTTCTGACCCCAGAAACCCGGTTTCTCCTTGTTTCAAGTGTAATTTGCCTAATCGAGGTTCTTTTTTTGTAATTTCATTTCTCAATCAAAAACGGGCTTGCACCCATCGACGGGAAATGAGACGCGCACTAATTATTAATTAATATCGACTACTTTTGGAGATTGTAATGTTTTTCAAAGCAAATATTTATTATTATTGAATGACAAAGTTGATCGGAATGTAAATATAAGGTGGCAAACAACTTATTTTGTGTTATTATTACTCTGAATTGACTAGGAAAAGAGGAAAAGTACACTCTGTAGAGATGATGGATCACTTTCTTATCTCTCAACTCCGTCATTTTTCTCAGCCATCCTGAATATTTTACACTGTAAATTCTGAAGAATTTGTCAATCCGTCGCATGATTGATTGATAATAATATATTGTTGTAGAAGTGAATAGACTGTTTTTTTTCAAGTCATGGTACAAAGAAAAAAGTAGAAATTTTGGGGAGAAGGGTACAAGCCGCCTGTCTCTTTAAGAAACCGCCAAAGTTTTAAGACTAAAAAAGGGAAAGAGATCGCTGGCGATGGAAGTTGTAAATAACGGTGTAAACAACGCTGAGAAAGAGAAAAACAACATAAATTATAGGACCCAGGCATTTTCAGACAGAAATCATTTCAGGGATCAATGCTTAAAGGAGCGTTTTTTACAACGGGAAACGAGGCCCGGGCATTTCCAAATATCGACTACCTCAGAATTGTTTCGATTTTTGTAAATGTCCGGCCTTGGTTATTCGAATCTGTAAAGAACGCTCTTTTAAACAGTCAGTATATATAAAGGTGGTCATATAAGATCTCGGAATTTTTTTTCCCAAATCGCGATTTTCGGTGCACAAAAAAGTCGACGCCCAAATCGAAAAATTGGCGTCAACTTGATTTTTTCAGCACCGAATTCCGAAATGCGATGCAGACTTAAGACTTTGTGTAAAACTTAGAAAAATTTACCGAATTTCAGAATTAGGTGCCGAGAAAAAAATAAGTCGACGCCAATTTTTCGATTTGGGCGTCGACTTTTTTGTGCACCGAAAATCGCGATTTGGGGAAAAAAAGTTCCGAGATCTTATATGACCACCTTTATATATAGGTAAAGTTATAAAAAGTACCCGGAAGTTGGCAAACGGAAAATGAGAATTACATTCAAGTATCAAAATTATGACGGTTAGGACTGCTTCACTTTTGGTGTGCGTAATTTTAATTATAATCCCGGAAAGTTGAGGCTACCGATTGCAGCCAGGATATTCAAATTTTAATTTTAAAGATTTTAAAAAATCTTTAAAATTAACCAAATTAAAAAATTGTTTTAAATTGTGTTAAAATCTGCCCAAAAGAAGTCCGTCACTTTTAACCCTCTATGAATTATGTCATATTATTAATGGACTTACAGAATGCGACGCAAATCATTTATATGGCAGTGTGGGGAAAGAAGATTCTGCCAGAGAGCGCTGGCTTCTCGTTCAAGTAGGACAGTTGACATTAGAGTCCTGTGTGGAGGCCTGTTTTGAGTACCGATACTGTTATTCGGTCAGATATGATGTCAAACACCCTCGACCTTGTGGATTCTATCTTCATACTTCTGAAAATTGTGATCAGAAACCGTTAAAGAAGATCCAAGAGATCAGAGAGAGCTCTGATATTGTAATTGTGGAGTGTCTCAAATGTGGAGATACCAAGAATGGTATGAATGATCGTAATATATTAATAATGTTACATCAATATATTTATAATATTATATCTATTCTAGTATTTCAATTCATTAGCCGTAATTTCAGATGGTCCCGAGTTTGGTGTGAATTACATAAAACGGCAGAACCGAGCAGGTACAAGTGAGTCCTTCCACTTCTCCTAATTATCCCTTTTCTTTCAGCCATCGCTTTAAGTGCGGATATTGAGGATAAAGGTATGTTCGCCATCAAAATTATTCACTCTCTTGGTTACTATTTGGTTGATTGTACTCTGTGCTTGGTTTTTGCTCACTTTTTATTGTTATCTGCACTAATTCCCACCACTTTCTGCACCCATTCACACATTCCGATCATATTTTTGAATTTTTTAACTGTTTTTTTCGTTCCCTCAAGGTCAAACCAATCTTTTTTTCTTCTTTGAACTAATTGTAAAAAATAACACAAGATGCGTCATCATGACAACTACTAACTCCACCAGGGGCGTTGCTAATCCCTCCAAAGGGTGGTAGGGGGGACCAAGGTAAATTTTCGCCCAAGACTTTTTTCACAGCTATCAACTGGTGGGAAAAAACGAACTCGTCGCAGCAAAACGTCGCAGAATTGGTGCAATCGCGCACCAAACGATAGGGGATTCCAAGGCGCGGCGAGTCCTTATTATTTTCCTGACAGACTGATGATACCTCTGGTCAAAAACCTCCCCCACCCCAGGAGAATAGCCCAGCTAACGCCCTTGAATCCCGCACTGATACTTTTTCCCACTTTCTCACCTCAGATTTCGGTCATTTTGTTATTCTTTAGCTGAATCGACCACTCCACTGAACCTACTGGAATCTTTTGATGAGATCAAAGGTGAGTTGTAATGATTATTCAAATAATATGCGATGTTTAGAATGTGACGGGACTCTCAACTATCGAATCTCCATAGTAAATAAAAACGTTCTCTCCTCAGCTACAGTATCCACGATCGTTGGATCCCCCGAGGCTTGTGCTTCCGCTTGTCTCTCGACTTCTGGATGTTCGGTAAGTTGTAAGATAAAAGATTATATTATTTTAGAGAGCTATTTACATCCCTGAAGATGGATTATGTCTGTTCAGTAAGAACGATGGAGTTGATTGTGACAGCGAAGATACGGATAAATATGATGAGATGGTCGATAAAAGCAGTCCAGTCCAGCTAAATTGCATCCGCTGTCTTAAATGTCTGTCGTCTCTTCAGTCTGATCATATATATTTTTGCCTTACTGTCTAATTATTTACTTTTGTTTTAGCGGCGCTCAAAGTTAACGACAAAGCCTCAGATTCTCCGCTGAGTGAGGATTTCTCGGTTTTGGATCAACAGATTTTCAAGAGATCTTGCTTGGTGACCTATCAAGTCTATTCTGATCCCAATGAACTTGGATTTGAGACTGATCGAGAAGCTTCCGTGAACAGGTAGCCCTGTGTAATAGTAGTACTAATGCTTTTTTACAGTGTGAATGAATGTGCCTTCATCTGTTACCAAAATTCTTGTTCTGGCGCCGTATTCGAACCTCCTCAGGGCTCGTCTTTGGGTGGCAAGTGTAAAGTGGCGATCAGAAAGAAGGAGAAATGTGATGCGAATCTCCAGCGACATTACTCTTTCAAGACCAAACAATCAGTGGGCCTATCTTGTTTCCGCTGTGTCCACGAAAGACCGACTACTGTCTCTCCGGATTCCAAGTTGATTACCTCAACAATCAGTTCTTTGGTGCCTTCGGGGGAAAGTGAGAGTCCAAAAGAGGATTCCACCGATTTCCAGGACTCCATTCATCTGGTGCAATTGTCCAAGGGTAAGGTTTATTAGTCGGCGCAAAAAGTCCTGAGTTTTCCGCTCTCAGGATTACCGGGGGAAATCGTAATTCTAATCGGAAAATGTCGGCTGCCCGCAAAGTGGTTGCCGGCAAGTGTCGCGACGCCGCAAAAGTACTTTGGAAATTTCCATAAATGCCCGAAAATACCCGGCTTCGCTGGTATCTGGGTATATACCCCGTCCGAACCCTAGTGCAAAGTCGCAGAAAATTCCACTGACTTTTTGCGCCGGCGGCTATATTATTGATTTTATACGTTATAGGTTGTACTATTCATTTCCAAGTCGATCGGCTCCAATCTCGGCCTTTCAAGTCAGATTTTGAAGAGAAAACTGAAGTAGAAACAGCTGACATTTGTGCCACAAGATGTTATCAGAATGGATGTACGGGAGCTCTGTTTAATGCGGAGACCAAGGAATGTAAACTGGGGTATGAGGACAGTCATGTGTGTAGTTACGGCCCTCTGATCACCCATTTTATCCCCACCAATCCATCCGAATCACTTTGGATCCATTGTGTCAGTTGTCGTAAGTTTTTAGAGCTAATTCGAAATAATCAATCTACCTATAACATTGAATATTTTATTTTAGAGACCACGGTACCTCGTAAAAACTCGTTATTTGCTCAAAAAACGACTGCCAAACCGTTGGAGATCTCAACGACAACCATTGAGTCCATCATCGAAGAAGTCAGGAAAACCACGGGAGGTTCCTTACTTGAGAAAACTACAGTAGTCCCGGAAGAAAAGACGCCTGAAGAGACTGTTAACTCGACAACTGAGCCTGAGAAATCAATAGAAGCGGCTACAGTAATCCCAGAGGAAGCGGAATCTAAAGTTATTTCTTCTACGACGCCACCTAAATCCACAACTGATGGAACTGATGTCGAGAAATCAAAATCAAATGTATCCGAAGAAAAGGAAACCCAGGAAACAACAAAAACCGAAGGTCAAACAATGGAAGGCGAAAAAGAAACAACAGAATCTCCAGTTCACGGGTCAACGATCGAAAGTGAAGGAGCCGAAGTCTCAACTCAAGAATCTCGCGGCGCTTCTGCATCCACTACTCCCGAATCAATTGCGGAAAAACACACTGGCCCCAGCTTTGCTCATGATCTGGAGTCGGTTACTGTTACTGCCGAGTATACTGTAGGAAATACGGCAGAAGATCATCAATCGACATCAACAACCGAACGACCGAAATCTGTTGGAGTTGTGCTGTCTTCAAGCAAAGGATCGCATGAAGAAGAGGGATCAGAAGAAGAAGAAGAGATCAAGAAGATGGAAGAGCATGAAGAAGAAGCCCCCAAGAAGTCAAAGAGCAAAGGAGATCTCGAGAATGCACAGAAGACAGAACCAGGGCAAAACACCGCGTTCATCACTGAAGCTTCAAGTCCCGAGACTTCGGAGGCGACTGAAGTTGAAGGTTCTAAAACGACAACTCCATCTGGCAGCACTGTCGAGATTACTGCAACAAAAGAAAGCGAAGATTCTGAACAAAAACCAACGGTGTCTTCCGCCAAATCGACAACCGAAACAGCTTCGATAAAAGAGGCAGAGAATCGAACAGAACACGAAATGAGTACTAGACAACCAGAAACTGGCACCGAATTACCAATCACAACACCATCAGAGGTCGAAGAACCGACTACAGTGTCCTCGATTATCGATAAAGTGGTTAGCTGGTTCTCGACGACTCCTTCGGCAGAAGAAGAAGCCACAACGGAGGCAAAGACAGTAAAATCATCGACAATATCTGAAGAAACAATCGAAAGTGGAGTTGCTAGTATTACTGGTGCAACAACCGAGAAGACCAGCACAGTACCAGTAGAGACGTTGATGCCCAAACAACTAGAAGTTGTAACGAATGCAGAAGAAGAGACGAGTCAAGGCAGAAAAACTACAGAAAGCACGGTAGAAGAAACGACGATCCAAGTCGATGCGAGATTGCCAGAAGAAACACAAACTTCAGAATCTCAGAAACCTCAGGTGGCTGATAATTTGGAAGGAAAATCGGGAACTGAACCGACAGAAATGGGAGTTGGGGATTCGTCCACTCCTTCCTTTGCCTCTACAATAACCCAAAAAGAAGAAACGAATGTTGAATCAACACCCGAAAAGCCAGAAAGTGAGTTAACAACTGTTTCAAGCGAAGAGAAGTTGGACACTTTACCGGAAGTAACAACTCCCGCTGAGACTACAGTAACCCCGAAGACAGAACCAATCGCTGAAGAAACTTCCAAGCCCGAGGTTGAGGAAACGACGGCCAAAGAAAAACTACAGACTCAGACAACAAAGGAAGAAATAGAGGCATCAACTGGAACTACAGTAATCCCAATAACGGAAAGAATTGAAGAATCTTCACATGCCGAGGTTCAGGCAGAGAACCAATTACAACAAACTGAATCTACTGCAGAACCACCAGAATCTAAAACAGAGATTGTAGTCCAGAGCACAGTTAAGAAAGCTGAATCTCAAGAGGAAGAGGAAGTTACGGCGGCTGAAACTAGTCAAGCACCTGAAAAGGAGGCTGAGAAAGTCTCACAAACCCCATTAAGCTTACAAAATGAAGCAGAAGTCGAGGAGACAACTGCAGGAGGGCTTGAGGCCACCACGGGTAGAGTAGAAGGAGACGTAACGGAAGGCGAGGCTAAAACATCCACAGAGTCTTCAGGAGAACATGCAACACAAAAGGTAACATCGCCGGAAAGTGTCGTTGAGGAGGAGAGGAATACAACCATAGCAGCTGAAGAAAAGACTGTAGGGAAATCAGAGGAGGAGACAACGCGTGGTTACACAACTCCTGAGGGCACGACTGAATCTTTGGTTAGATCAACAACAGTTGCAGTTGAAAGTAGTGTTACCAGAGAGGCCACCGAAACTAGCACATCCACGATTAGCGGAGAGGAATTGAAAAGTCTTCAGACAGCAACCGAAAGTGAAACCTCTGCAAAGTCAGGAGAGGAAGACAAAGATGAAGGCTCTACAAAGGCTGACGAGGAAAGGAGTACAACCGCGGCCAACCTGAGTGATGAAGCTGTAAGCACTAGTCAGCCTTCAGAAAAAGCGGATGAAGTAACTGGAACCACCGGAGCTGTCGAAGCAAGAACTCAAGAAGCTTCTGTTAGCGAAGTCGGGGAATCCACAACAAAATCAGCAACAGAAAAAGAAGTTGTTGACGCGACAACATCCGAAGTCTCAGTGAAGTCAACAGTCAGAGTGTCTGAACAATTAGAAGGAGAGACAACCGTCGAAAAGCTTGCCTTTACTACACAAGAGCCATCAGAATCTACGGCGGGAACTCGATTAAGTATTGTTGAGCACGTTAAATCATCTACTCAGACTGAAAAAGAGACCTCTAGAGCGACCACAGAAAGTGTAGAAGCAGTAACAGAAAGTGATGAAGAGAAGTCGACGGCAACAAAAGGAGTCGAACCTACCACTAGAGGCGAAGAAGCAGTAGCTGAATCCGTCACCACAACAGCTGAAACGGCAAAAGAAAATGAAGGTGAAGCGACAACTGCAGAAGGTTTCCCCACAACTCCAGCAGCAGGTGCAGAGGCGCCAGGTTCTACAGTGTCATCTGGAGATGAGAAATCGACGACAGAAAAAACTGAGGATAATACTACGGTGTCCTCTCAAGAAACCGTTGAGGTAAAAGCGCCAAAGGTTGAACAAACCACGGAATCCAGCGTCAGAAAGGAAACCAAGAAGGGAGAAGAAACCACAAAATCAGGACACGAAGAAGTAGAGGAGACTACAGCTAACATTGAAGAACAAAATACTCGCACACAATCTGGAAAAACTGCTGAAGACATTAAAGGGGAAGAGACTACTGTATCTGCAACAAGTCAAACGGCTAAAGAAGAAGAAGTTAGGACCACACCAGCTAGAGTGTCTGAGACAACTGAAAAGAACATAGGCGAGCAAGAAGAATCTGAAATTACAAAAGTAGAATCAAAGGTTACTGCTTCTGAAGAACTTGAAACCACTGCAGCAACTACAGAAGGACTAACCGAGGGCGCTAAGTCTCCAAAGGTGGAAGCGACAACCGAATCTGGAGAAACTATGAATCCAACTGAAACAACAGAGAAACAGGGCATTCACGCAGTCACTTCAGCTGAACACCGTGTCACAGGGCCACCGGAGGGCCAACGAAAAGTGACTGGAGAACCTGGAGTTACCACAATATCCGGAGAAGGAGTGACGACGGTATCTGAAGAAAAAGAAGCTCGAACTACTGTAGAATCTACAGAGGAAGTGTCGTCTTCATCTCCAAGTTCAGTCACCGAAAACAAGAAGATAGACCTGAATCAAGACGAAAGAGTCACCGAATCCAGTGAAAAGTTTAAGTCGTCAACTCCAGAAACAAATGTTGAGAATTCCGAAGAGCCTTCTGAATCCACGCAACAGTCAGCTAAAGAATCGACTAAAACTTTTGCTGAAACCACTGCAGCATCCGAAGAAAAGGTCATAACAGAAGTAGTACCCTCTACGACCACTGGATCTATAGCACAGAATGTTACAACTTCAGAAAGAGAACCAACGACTCCATCAACTGTGGAGCAAACAACGGTTACCTTCTCATCCATCGTCAGCACGATAGGTGGTTGGTTCTCAACAACTGAATCTCCATCTGAAGAAAGCACCAAAGCAAACGTAGAAACTGAATCAACTGCATCTTCTGTAGATAGCAGTACGGTCGAAGAAGTTTCGATACTCCTGAATCGCCCAGTACAGGAACGGGTCCATAATATTAATCACAGTGAAGCTGTAACTTCAAGTGAAATTCATCCAGAAGAAACAACATTGCAAAGTGTAACCACGGAGGGGACAGAGAGATTACAATCGTTGACGGGAACTACAGAGGAAAATAAAACTGCTGTAACTACCGAAGAAATGGCTGAATCCATCTCTGAAGCCAAAACTACAGTAATTGTTGATATTGGAGAAAGCGATCGAACTACTTTGTTACCAACAACTCCAGAATTAAAAACCAAGGACATTGAAGAGGGAACTTCTGAAAGTACTTCAATAAAGCAAACGACGGAAACTCCCAGCGAACAGAGTACTGTAAAAGGTTCGGAGGATGTATCAACAGTGGAAGGCAATGCTCCAACAACTCCAGAAGTCTTAGAGAGTGAAGACAATCTGGCTGATGCAGTAACCCTCGGAACTAAAAATGTTTCTGCAACTTCCGAAGCAGAAATTGAGTCATCAACGAGCCCTAAAGCTGACGGAGTTACAAAACATGGTAGCGAGCTTACGACGTCTAAAGACATCGATGAGACAACTGATTCCGTCACAAAACTTCCAACAACCGAGGCTACTAATGGATCAGAAGGGACCACTGAAGCCACTATTCAAGTGACGCATGCTGAAACTGAATTTAAAACTGGACAGTCAACCATGAAGACTCCGTCTGAAGCGGTGAAAAAGACAACAGATGGACCTGAAAGTACAAAGAGTACTGTAACTTCAAGTGTTGAACAAACGTCATTATCTCTAGAACAAACAATTAAGGGCGAAGAAAAAGTTGAAGCTGCAACAATTTCTGGGCTCCATGAAAAAGTTGTAAGTGCTACTGAGGCTGTTGAGGAAAGCACCGAAGAGTCTGAAATTGCAAAAGTAACAGGTACTGAAAGTTCTACTCAATCTGAAACGGTAACTTCTGCTAAACCCAAGACATCAACCGCTGAAAAAGAAGAGGAAGTAACTGTAGAGGCAACGGCTACTCCAAAAATCGAAGCTCAGGCCGACCTTGAAGCTGAAGTCGTTACAACATCTAGTCTAGGGCCAACGGCAGGTGCAGTAGGAAGCACTCTGCAATCTGAAGGAGAAAGCACGCCCACACCACAGACGGAGAATCCGGAAAAAAAGATCACGGAATCGGAAGAGACAGTTAAAGAAACTACTGAACGTCCTGGGAAGCCTACTCAATCAGAGGAAATAACTACCATAGCCCCTGAAGCAACTTCAGAGAAAGAAGAGGGAACAACTTTTGTTGTAAACGCTGAAGAAGTTTTGCTGCTAAACGAGACCACTGATAACGACGAACGTCTTAAATTGAAAGAAATTGAGATTCCCACAACTACAGGAGTCTCTGGAACTACAAATGAACTGACAACGTCTAATCCCAAAGTAGAAGCGCAAGCAGATCATGAAGCTGTTACGAAGTCAAGTGTAGAATCTGAGGGTGTTGTAGAGACTACGAAGATTCAAGAAAAAAACACTGACAGTCCTCATGTTGTAAGCTCAGAAGAGACTACTACAGAGTCCCAGGGGGTAGCGGAAAGTGAGGTATCTACAGTAGCCGGAATTGAAGTCACCACTGTCAGCGAAAGTGAGAAGACAACTGGACTGCCAGAAGAAATCAGAACAACTGAAGTCAGTAAGGAAGCTGCAGAGGAAGCCACAAAGAGCCCAGAGATTCAAATACCAATTGCTTCTCAAAAAGGAACTTCCACGGAACCTCCAATTTTCACTACAGTAGAAACGACAGTGGAGAAAGCCGAGCCATCAACTGCTTCGGTAACAACAAAGAACCCAGAAACCGAGACACCAATCGGATTAAATCAGACGTCCATTCAAGCTTCCAAACCTCAAAAAGAGAAAGAAGTCATCCAAACTACAACTATATCATCTGAAGTGACATCGGGCGTTGAAACAATGACATCTGAAGCCGCTAGAGCTACAGAAAGGGAAGATGAATCCACCACAGTTCCCGACATAGGAGCCAAGAATTCCGAAGAGCAAGAGTCAACAACACTCTCCACAGAATCTGAAGAAGGAGAAAGCACTGCAGGCAAGGAAGGAACCCTAACAACAGTATCTTCTGAAACTACTGTGGCAGAGACGAAAGAAATAGGGCCCACAACGACACCCCAAGAAGAAAAAGCAACGGAGGTTACAACAAAGTCTGCTGGTGAAATCGAAGCAACTGAATTATCAACTGAGGGAGAGATAAACTTGACGGCTAAAGAACCTGCCAAGACAACTGAGGAATCTTTAGAAGTGACCGCAAAGACTGAGGAACCAGTAACAACTACTGCAAATACTATTGCATCCATTAATGAAGTCATCTCTTCCAATTTATCAACAACAAACCCAAATGAAAAAGTGGAAAGTAAAAATGAGAAAGAAGAGCTAACGACAGAATCTGCGAATGTCCAAGAAGCGACATCTGAAGCGACAACTTCTGCTCCCAAAATAGAGGCTCAAACAGATCTGGAGGCAGGAGTGGTTACAACAGAAAGCTCAGCAGCAGAACTAACTTCAGAATTCACAACAACCACAACGAAGATCGAAGAGGAAAGCACAGTCAATCCTCAGGCCGGAAGCCCAGCAGAAACGACCAGAGGGTCTGAAGAGGCTGCCAAAATAGCCACTGAAAGTTCTGTAAAGTCTAGTCAATCGGAGGAAGTTACTACCTTGCTGCCCGAAGGAACCACCGTTTTGAGCACAGAGGATCTTTTACTATTAAATCAGACCTCTGGAACTGGAGTTCTAAAATTGAAAGAAATCGAACTAACTTCTACTACCGAAATAAATGAAGTAGAGGCTACCCCAAAAATCGAAGCTCAGGCCGACCTTGAAGCTGAAGTCGTTACAACATCTAGTCTAGGGCCAACGGAAGGTGCAGTAGGAAGCACTCTGCAATCTGAAGGAGAAAGCACACCCACACCACAGACGGAGAATCCGGAAAAAAAGATCACGGAATCGGAAGAGACAGTTAAAGAAACTACTGAACGTCCTGGGAAGCCTACTCAATCAGAGGAAATAACTACCATAGCCCCTGAAGCAACTTCAGAGAAAGAAGAGGCAACAACTCTTGTTGTAAACGCTGAGCAACCTTTGCTATTAAACCAGACCACTGGCAACGACGAACTTCTTAAATTGAAAGAAATTGAAGTGACCTCATCCACCGCTGTTACTACTGGAGTAGAAAGTGAGATTACAGCGTCATCTTCGACTGCTCATGTTGAATTCCAAGAACAAGAAACGGGAACGGCAGAGGCAGTAAGTGATGCTGCAGAGAAGACTGGGTCGACCACAAAGATTCCAGGACTGCAGGTGACGACTGATGGTCTAGAAACCACAGAAATCCCTGTAAAATTTATTACCATAGAGGCGGAAGTAGAAAAAAGTGAAAATGCCATAACTCAAACAACTGAAAGCTCTGTCGCCATAGAGAAGGTAGTATCTTCAACACAAAATTCTAACGAAGGATGGGAAACAACAGCTTCCTCTGCATCAACTGAGAACACGGAAAGTGTTGATCACGCATCCAACACTTCAACGGCACAGTTTGAGGCAACAACAGTAAACCCAGAAGTTGGAGAAGTAACGGAAAATGCAGAAACCCAGCACGCTGAACTTTCCGAAGTGACCACCAACCTTCCAGAACATACGACCCTAGATTCCGAACATACTTCTGAAGAACCAGAGGTTAAAGAAGGTCACACAACGAAAGAGGTTGCTGCAGAAAGTACGGATCGTTCGACCGTTGAAAAGGTTGAGGCTGCGACACAACAGACTGCAACGTCGTCTGGCATTCAGAAAGAAAACACGAGCACAGGAGTTGAACAGACTACGGAAGCTTCAGATGGGCAAGAAACCACAGAACCTGCAACGTCTGGTGAACAACACACCACCGTTGAGACTTTTGAAGTCACAACACAAAAATCAGATGAGCAGATATCAAGACAGGAAGAAACAGCTAGTACAACGCAAAGAGAAGGAACTGTGGAAACAACTACGCAATCGATTGAAGGCCAAGAAAATCAGATTGCAACAGGCGCTACAGAAGAACCGGCTGTAAGAAAAGAACATGTCCTGGATCACAAAGAAAAGGAAACGGAAACGTCTACCGCAATCGGGACAACAGAAGGAACTGAGACCCAAAAGACTACAGAAATTGAAAGCAGTTCGTTAAGAGAAGAAGTAAAAACTGAAGGGACTAAAGGAGGAAGTAAAGCAACAACAGCAGGAGGAGTTACCGAAGGAAAGGTCGAAGTTACAACTACTGAATCAACTGCAGAAAGCCAAGAAGAAAAAACAATTCAAAGTGTAGAAGTCACAACTATTACACTTTCAGAAGAGACAACATCTTCAAACAAATCGATTGGCCAAACGACGGCTGAAGGGGTTAAGGTCACAACAGAAACCTCCGAGTCATCCACTTTGACCGAAGTTGAAACAACATCAGAGCCAGAGCCCTCCAAGGCAGAAGAAACTGCTGTAACTGAAGAACCGTCAGGTAAAACAACCATCGCTGTTGAAGTAACCAGTTCACCGCCAGAACATATTATTGTTCATGACGAAAGTGTTTCAAAGGAAACCCAAGTATCAACTCCCAAATCAGAAGAAGAAATCGGCACTACCGGAGGACCCGTGGAAAAAACGACAGCTGAAACGACGGAAAGGACAACTGAATCTTTTCTATCTGGTGAGATGGCGAAAGAAGCGACTACAGTAACCGCCGAAGGAAATGTTGTTTCGTCTTCTGAGAAACCTTTGGAAACTGAAACTTCTTTAGGCCAAGAACAACGAACTACAACAGAGAGTGGGAAAAACACAACCAAGGAGTCAGAAGTCGTCACAGAATCTGAAATTGCTCTAACTGAAGCATCGGCCACAACTTCGGCCAGATTTAAAACATCGGAAGAGCCACCAACAACGACAGAATCCTCAGGTTCGATCAGAGCAAGTCTTAAACCAATTGTTTTCCCGGCTGAGCACACAGAGAAAATTGCTCCAACTACAGAAGCATCTGAATCTACCAGTGTTACTGCAACAAATAAAGATGAAGAAGAAGCAAGCGCAACAAGAACATTAGAAGACACCAGAACAACAGTCCGAGAAGTAGAGGAAACCACAACTCATGGAGTCGAAGAGAACACAAAGCAATCTGAAGGATCAACAAAAACTTCTGAAGCTAGTACTTCCGGCGGTTTGGAAGAGACAACCGAGACTTTCAGGGCTTCTGAATCTCCATTCAAAACAGAAACTCAAAAGAATTTGGAGGGTGAAAATAAAGAGCCTGAGGCTACAACAAATGCTGAGGTTGAAATTTCACAATCCACACCCATTTCACATGGCCGAGTTACCGAAAAGGTCACCGTAGAAGGAGCGTTTGTCATCGGGGAGGATAAAAGCGGGGAAAATGAAGGAACTACTACAGAACTGCCAACAACACAGGAAGAAAGTGCATCGGGAAGAGTAACTGAAAGCAATGCACAGCCTGAAAAGTCCACTTTGAAATCTGAAATTGAAGAGAAGATCACGGAATCTGGAATTGAAACAACTTCTTTGACAAGTAATACTCCAGGCCTTGAAAGAGTCAAATCTGAAGAACTCCTTGAAGAAGCTGAGGCTACAACGGTCGCTAAAGGAACTGGAGCTACAACTGAATCAGTCAAAGAGAATTTGACCATAGAATCGAAAGAGGATAGTTCAACTAAGGCCACAGAAAAATTGACTGCAGAGGCTGAGAATAAAACCCTTGGAACTGGTGTTACAGAGGAAGCCGACACAACTTCAGCAGCGACTAATATCATCTCCAGCACTATTGCCGAACCCAAGGTTGAAGAACAACTCCAAGGGAAGCAAGAGGCCGTTGAAGTTACCATTGCCGAACAAGGAACAACTGTCTCCACAAGTGGAACCGAAGAATCCGAGAAAGTGATAACTGAAGCAATAGTTACCGCAACTGAAGAGGAAAAGAAAGAGAGCGGAGAAAAAGAAGAGACAGAAAAAACGGAGCCTGATGCAACTACGGGCACTAGTACTGCGGCATCGGAAGCAACAACCGTGGAGTCATTAGAGATTCAGGAAGGTAAGACGACCACCGGGACACCGTTTGATGCTACTTCTTTATTTTCTGAAGTTGTGCATCCGTCAACAATCCACATCGAGAACCAAGAAGACGAGAAAACACCTCGATTGTCGGTCGAAACAACAACCACAGGTGTTGGAATCGAGATTGTGAAGGTTGAACATGAAGAAACGACCGAAAAATCGGTAACGGAGGGTGAAAGTGTGGTTACAACTACAGGAGTAATAACTGATCATGCAAGTACTACAGAAGTACACGAAAAAACATCAGAAGTCCCAATAGAAATTACAGAATCAGTCAAAGAGACCAAGGTGACAACAGAAGCATCTACTTTGGGAACAGAATCCGAGGAAACGTCTAACGTTGAAACAGAGTCATCAACCAAACTTGAAATCCTTTCTCACAAAGATGGGGAACAGACAACCGTTGTTCATGCCACTACTGAGATAACCTGGGAATCATCAACATCCGAGAAGTTGGAGACATCAACCAAGGCTTTGGAGGAAGAAATCCACAAAATAATTAATGATGACGCAGAGGCCGGGATGAAACCAGAAAATGGAACTTCTAAAGCCACCACTGAGACCTCTGTTTCCGAAGGCCCCCAATCAACTGCCATGTTGATAGATGAGGTATCCCAAACAACATCAGAGTCCATCCTTTCCACCGTCGAACAGACAAAAGCAGAGGTTGTGCAAGAAGCTGAAGCTGCAACCAAACCTCATAAAGAAGCGTCTGATTCTATAACGGAAACCACCCTTCGTCCACCCGAAACTACCGTATCTCAGACTACAGAATCTAGTGTAAAAGCAACCCAAGAATCCGAGTTAGAGGTTACCAGCCATTCGGAAGCAACTACAGAATCTCCGGAATTAACAACACTGGATAAGATTTTAACAGGATTCACAAAAATCTCTCGTCCAGAAACCACGACCTCTCAAGTGGAAGAAGAACGCTTGACAAATCAGACCGAGGTCGAGACCAATGAGAAAGAGGCCACAACTGAGGCAGCGGTTATTGCAACTGAAGGTGTAACTGAGGTATTTCCCATCGCGAGACCAACCACAGAGGAATTTAAAGAAACTGAAGGAACTCCAGAATTGGAAAAAGTAACAGCACAGAGCCCAGTTTTGTCCAGTACTGAATTATTGGCTACTGTTTTAAGTTCCGAATTGCCATCTTCAACTCAACAGACTCCAACAATCATTGTCTTTAACAAGACCATCCAAGAATCTACCAAAACTGAAGTCCAATCGACCACAGGATCCTCGGTAGAGACGACGAATGAGAGTATTGAGACTACTACTGAAGATAATAGTATTGTAAAGGCAGTCAGCGAGTTGGTGGACGTTTTGGGAACACAAGAAAGTGAGTCTACCTAAAATAGCTACTTAGAATTGCCACTGGTTCTTATTTGTTCCCCTTAACTTTGGTTTTCAGCAACTTTGGAGCCTCCCGTTCAAGCAGTTTCCGAGTTGGTGGATACTTTGAGCAATCAGAAGGATGTTGAGGCCATCATTAAAGACCAGCCATCTGTTGGTAAGTCATCGTTATCTCTTTGTATATTTCGTTATTCCTATTTTAGGTTGTGATGACAATGGAATTTATTTTGCTGCTAAACCCTTGGAAGATTACTCCCAGACGTTTGAGTTAGTTTTGGCTTCCAATTCCATTAGAACTTGTGTAAAGTCATGTCTTGAACTCAAATGTAGCAAGGCGGCGTTTACTCGTTTCCCCAGAAGTGCTTGTCTCTTACATTTTGAGGATGGAAATCCGCTTCCATCCACTTGTGAGGGATCGAAGTTGCATCATACATGGAGGTTAACCAAATTTGATGAAGTTGTCGATATCACTTGTATTCAATGCGGTAAATTAAAACTTTTTAAGTTAAAATATTGTTTTAGGGGAGAACCGACAAAAGGATGACGCTGTAAAAGAAGATGTTTCGTTTACAGAGACAGAATTTACTCCGATTATCAAGCGTCAAGGTAATATTTATACAGTAATTTTAAGGATATTTATGTAGTAATTGTACGGATTTTTATACAGTAATTGTAAGGACTGACAACTTCTTTTCAGGCTTCTCCAACAAATGCAACGGTCGAGTTGAATTCAAACTGGTGGCTGTTAACAAGCTCCCCAAGTTGAATGTAACGAACGATGTAGCCGCTGACACGCCCGCTGACTGTGCTCAGAAATGTTTTGAGACTGTAAGCTTTTACTTTTTATTATTATATATATTTGAAAATTAATTATAGGAAGGATGTACCACTGCTGGATTTGTTCCAATCTCCCACACCCAGACCGGGCAAGGGGTCTGTTTGACAACTTCAGATCATGCCAGTTGTCTCGATTCGGTTGAATACACCCCTCAGCATGCATCCACAGTTCCATTTGTTATCTCTTGTATTAGATGTACAAGTAAGTAACCTGATTAATAATATTTCATTATTACTTTAGAATGCGATTACCAGCTGACTCAAGTCACGTCAAGAAATCATCCATCCGTTTTTGAGAAGAAAACAACGACAAATTCAGTCTCTGAATGTGCAGAGTATTGTAGCAAACACAATTGTAAATCAGCAGAGTTTGACCCGACATCCTCGATTTGTTCTTTATCATTGACTTCCCCTGAGGCAGCCAAATGTCCACGAAATGAAGTCGCCCTCGAAGTGAATGGGATCTTCCCGGTTCGTCTAGAATGTGTAAAATGTTCTTAAATAGTAATCCCCGTGCCATTACATGACATCCTTGTATTTAAATATCTCGTTCTTTCACATTGTATATTAATTGAAACGGTTATGTTGTTGTTTGTAATAACGAGTTTAATAAAGACTGATGAGTTTAGGCCCTGAGGGCATTTCGATTCCCATGCCTTTTGATGAACCTTGATTCATCGCTGATTCGATTGGTCGAAAGGCCAGAGATTGAATAATTATTAAAGGTTTAATTTATCTCCGTTTCCCCGTTCTTTTCTCGGTCTGGCCGGAAATACTTGGCCGTGGGCGTTGTTTCATTCCATTCCCAGATCAGAAAAGGAGGGGCTTCTGGATTCGAACGGTGTTTAAAAGCCTCGGGATAGGATGAGAGAGCCGTTCTCGAGTTGTTTCGTCTTGCGTTGACAGCTCCCAAGATGATTCTTCAGGGAGTTCTTCTCTCCGTTCTCCTTGTTCTTGGTGGGTTACTGTATTTCATTTGTCATCATCTTTTTTCTGGACGCTGTTTGCTTACCCTTTTTATTATATTTTTAAGGACAATCGGCCGGTATTCGTAGCGGAAAGATCGTGTACACCCCTCCATATGGTGCTCCCCCACCAGCCTCTACTGTCCCACCAGCACCAGTAAATGTGATCCCAACCACAACCCTCGCCCCAGTCGACTTTGATTGCAGTTCCAAACTCAACGGGTACTATTCAAAGCAACCTTGCAGCTCCACCTTCTACTTCTGTAATGGAGGTATGAAAAAATTCAAATTGAAATCGAACTATAGCATGACCTTCTTTTATTTCATCATTTTTTAGGTCATGCTTTCCAACAAGTGTGTCCCCCAGGAACTGGATATGATGTGGTTGCCCACCAATGCGAGTATATTTCCGAATGTGGAAAGCCCAAGACGACTACGACTGCGGCTCCAGCCCCAGTCAACGTCCAACCAACCACGACCCCATCAACTGAATGTGTCGGTCGTCCAGATGGAATCTACGAACGGGGAACCTGTCAGAACAGCTATCTACACTGTGCCAATGGAAACGCCTATCCTCTGGCCTGTCCAGCCAACTTGGCCTACAAGAATGGAACTTGTCTCTACGTGGCTGATTGCCTGGCGTAAGTTTTGTTCCGAATTAATACAAATGTACTACGGTTCTCTAACTGATTCACTCCTAAATTCTCGCTTTTAGCCCACCTACCACTACTGCTGCCCCTGCCCCAGTTAACGTTGCTCCTCCCGCCCCAATCCAACCAGCTCCAGTCGTAAATCCCTATGCTCCTCCGGCTCCCCCAGCCACCACAGCTCCACCAGCTCCAGTTAATGTTCAGCCTCCGGTCCCACAGAATCCTTACGCCCCCATCGTACCCGCTGTTCCAGCGACGACGGTTGCTCCATCTCCAGTGAATGTTCTGCCCTCCACCACCCAGGCTCCTTCATTTAACTGTCAAGGGCGTCCAGATGGTCAATACAGCAACACATGGTGCGGCCAACAGTTCTACATCTGCTATGGAGGTGAGAAACTTGAAGATGCCAAATATAAAACTATTTGTAAATTCTAATATTTTGTTCTTCTAGGTGTTGCTTACCAGCAAAACTGCCCCGCCGGAACTGGTTATGATGCCGGAAGCAACACTTGTGAATGGACTAGCGAGTGTGGAAAGCCCAAGACCACAACCACCACTGCTCCTCCTGCTCCAGTCAACGTTCAGCCAGCTCCTCCCCAGCCTGCCCCAGTCCAATACGGAGCTCCCCCAGCCCCTGTCAACATTCTCCCCACCATTCCACCTCCAGCTCCAGTGACTGTTGCTCCAACAACCGCCGCTCCATCTCCAGTCAGCATCTCTTGTGCTGGGAAAGCTGACGGTTTCTATGGCCAAGGATGCAGTGCCCAGTACACTTCATGTGCTGCTGGAAATGGATATGCCTTCAGCTGTCCGTCTGGTCTTAAATACAGTGCTCAGACTGGAAGCTGCGATTGGAGTGCCAACATCCCAGAGTGCGGAGGAACTCTTCCAACCACCACTGCTGCTCCGTAAGCTCTCATTTTGTACTGTTAGAATTTTTTTAAATTGTTTTGAGTACCTACGGCACCAATGACTTTTTTCTTTCAGAGCTCCAGTCAACGTTGCCCCAGTTCAACCAGTTCCCCAAGTGCAGCCAGTCCAACCAACTCAGCCTGTCTATGGTCAGCCCCCGGTCCAGCCAGCCCCAGTTCAAACCACCACTGCCGCCCCCGGGGACAATCTATGTGCTAATCTTCAGAACGGAATCTACGGCAGACGCTGTTCCCGCCATTACTTCGTGTGCTCGGCCAACAAGACCTACGAGTTCACATGTCCCGGCGGATATGCTTACGATCCAGACAGCAGCCAGTGTGCCCCCAAAGAGCAAGTCCGAGTGTGTGCTGGCCTGGTCACTACCACCGCCGTCCCCTCCCCCGTCAACGTCTCTCCTCAACAACCATTCAACCCATATGCCGGTTACTAATCAGTTGTTTATATAAGTATTTGTAAGAATAAATAACAATTAACAATATATCTGAGTGATCAACACATGGCCCAGCGAAATTATTTTGGTGGCTACAACCGGGCCTTCCGAGTCCTCTTCAATCTTGGTGAGCATGAGAGTGCATTCAAGCTTCTTCTAGGATGACATTTCGTACCTACGGAGGAATCTTTACCTTTACTTTCTGTAGATTTGATACCATGATTCTAAGGGAAACCCCTTCATCATCATCTTCACAGAGCTTGGCTTCGTTGGCGTCGATGTTCTCGGGAAATGTAATATAAGCAAGATGAGCTCGGGCATTGTCACTTGGAGGGCCAGCCTCATCCTTCTCGTCTTCCGAGAGATCTCCGACGCTACTGAATATGTATACCATGTTTGTGAATTTGCCCACGAAACTAAACCAAATTGTGACCAAAAGTTTCTGGTCAGGAAAGTCGACACGAACAGGATCAGGTAATTCTAAAAACTGTACAACAATGTCTTCTACTTACGATGAATTAATTGCCAATGTAAGTTATGATGACAATGAGAAGTAGTATGACCAGAGTAATCTAGAACATCGTGCAGAGATCGAGGGAGGGTAAGATTACTCGTAAGTTCAGGGACCTGGACATCTCTTACTTTGGAATCCTTCTCAACATCTGTTAGACAAATATAATTTTATTTTTACATGTACATTACCTCTGAATACTTTTCGTAACATATCCAATACAGGAATGTTTCTCCCAATTCTATTCTTCAGATATTTCATAAAGACCCCATTCCTTTCTCCCTTAACTTCATAAGCTCCAACGCCTCCACTTCTGTAGGTAGAAGTAAAATTAGACCAGATTGGACTCACGTTGCATAGCCATAGACAATATTCCTGCAAACCTTCAGATCCCGCTGGAATTTCTCGGCATAAGTTGTGAACTTGTCAATGTTTGTGCTGCAAAACCACTTTTGTTTAGAAGATATAATACTTACGGGACAAACTTCCTACAGATATCAAGAAGTACAAGATTGAGAGCTGGGGAATACTCTTTAAAAACAGATAAGACCCAATCCATCGACAAACAATCCTCCGGCCCATAATTCTCAGCTGGGGCTCCTATTGGTAATAAATAACATTGACCATTTGCTTGGAATCCGTGCCCCACGAAGTAAAATACAGCTGAAAATAAAATCCGAGAAAAAAATAAGTTACCGTATACATCATTCCCCAACAATTTTCGATATTCCATAATAAAGAATTTCATCTCTTTGAGTGTCAGATCACCCAACGTAACAGTCTTAAATCCAAATTGTTGTAAACATTCCGCCAGAGTTTGAGCATCACAATGGGGGGTTATAAGATTTGTCATGTTCGGAGCATAGGTTCGGTTGCTGATAATCAAGGCCACTTTGTCAGCCGCTACCATCACTTGCTGAGCTGAAAGTAAATACGCCGATATTTTTGTTTGTGTACTCGACACATAATAAGTGGTTACTTACTACTCATCATGGGATCATTAACAGCTTCTATTTCAGGTACCCTATCATTAACACTAACTCCATTCATATGTCGATATATCTCCGCTACCATATTCTGAGTACAACTCTCACATCCGGCGGCAGCTGAATCGAGAGCGTATTGGGAGAGATCCACAATCTTGGATGTTAACTCGGAACTGTATTCTTTATTTGGCATCCGATAAAAATTTGACCATGTCTCTCCATCTCCAACTATATTGTAAACTTTACATTTGAATACATTCCTGGCAGTACAAGCACAACTAAATGACAATACATATGTATGTCTAACAAGCCAGAAGTTACCGTAATATTATCAATGATTGGTTAATCGCCCCTTCAATCGCCTTCCCTTCTTCATACCACTGGTATAAAGGAGAGGGAAAGGCGCTTGCTCGGCAATCCAATTTGATTTTATTCCCATCTCCAATTACTGTAACAGTGATTTGTTCGGATCTCGCCCAGATTACAGGTCCTAGGAACGGGAAATGACTGTAAAATACACCAACTTACGGAACTTTCTATGAAGAATAAGTTGAGGACGATCCATAACCGAGCCATGTTTTTTAGCCTGTAATTTTTATTTAGTTAAAATCATAACGTGTTTTTTTCTGCGACTTTGGTTCCGGATGACTGACCAGTGAATGCAGTTTTTGAATAAAATCCTTGACCGTTTGTCCTCGATGCCCCAGAATTCGTAACAAATGAGATCCGGTTTCCGGTAACCTTCTTAGTCTGTCCATTTCATCTGATCTTTATCTGATTTTATTTATATTATGCCCGACTTACCGAACATGGTAAATCGGGTCATAGGGATCGTTGAAGAGGCTCTGCCACAAGTCATTGTACTCCAGACTTCGGGCCAACTCATTAAACACCCCGAAAGGGAGATCGGCAATGTTTGTTGAAAGCTGATAATCCATCTTTCATAGCCCGAACATTATGAACACGGCATGTTTTTCTGCCGTGTTACTTTATATTATAAAAGTTGTAAAAAGCAATTGTTTCGGTCTTACCACGATAGACGCTCTAAAGAGTAAAAACGGTAAAGAGTCCGAATATAGAAGCACCACGAGATTGTCTCCGGCCCTCTTGTTTTCATCGCAGTATGTATGTGGTTGTCTGTGCCCCTCTCTCTTCCAAATAATATCTTTTCCGACTTGACAGCTGGGGAGAAAGCGTCACACCCGAGTGCGCACCAGCTGATGAGGGGTCCCCCAGCTGAGAGGAGATCGGATTCGGCTCCTTCCTCGCTTCATTTTTGTTTCTTTCTGCCGCACTGAGTCGCAAAGGCCCTAGGGCGTCTCTCTTCGAGCAAGCCGGTGTAGGCGAACGACCACTTCTTTTGCGTCTTTGCCTTTCTTCCGACCGGTTCTGGACGCTGCGAGCCAGTTAACAAAAAGACCCCTTCCCCCACTTCTTATTTTCTTTTTCCGGCCTTCAACCCCGACCGAGTCTCTCCATCCCGTGACCACGCTTCTTCCTGATACCTTCGAATATCTGACCTTTTTCAGCGTCGGATCCTGAATCGTTATAGCGGAGTTATGAGCACTGGGTCAGAGGACCCACTGGTCCAGATTTAGCCTTGTTCGATCCAATTCAGCGGAGCCAGTTCCGATTACTCATGGAGCCATCCGCCGTTTCATCGTGTCCCCGTGTAAACGGCATTCACAACTCGACTCACTCGTAAGTTGGCGACCGTTGAATACATAACATGTGACAAATCATCAAATATCGCGTCATTTCAGAGAGAGAAGACAAGATGTCCTGCTTCGGATCGACCCCCACATTGCCTATGCTTCCCCAAACCGGGCCGAATTCGAGGAGCTTCCAGAGAACTTCTTGGAGACCGTTAGCCCCCAGCAATCTAATCAGTCCAACGACTTTAATCATGCGGAACTCCAACGGACTCCTTCCACCGAACTCCATTCCGAACACAGGTGAGAGCGTCCTTTTTTTATATTTTTCTGTCTAGGTACTCAAACGGCTCTTCGGGGTTGCTGTCCCCCATTCCACGCGACTCTGTTCTGCGAAATTCTGGTATGATTCGTCCTCTTCAATACATCAAGGAGGAGTCCCCACCAGCGATCAATTATAACTCGAATGAGTGTGAAACTGTATATTTGAATAGCTACGATCACACGTTGGATCCCTTAGATTCCAGTGATCAAGAAGCCCAATCACCGATAAACAACGAAATTTCGTCGGGGTTGGGCAATATTTCCAGCTTGGACCGAGGATCTTCACCGCCCGCAAATAGTCGGCATACGCCTCTAACTACGAAGAGGATACGAACTCAAACGAGACCAAGAACCCCACCAATGGAGCCTCCAAAAAAGAGTAAGTATAAAACACCCTAAAATAAAATGTTTAACCATATGACTCTTACAGATAAAACGACAAGTTATTCAACCAGTGACCCCTCTGATCCTCTAAATGCCGAGATAGATGACGAAATATACATTGACACCCGAGATCTATGCAAACGAGTCGCATACGAGCTTAAACAACATTCCATTCCCCAGGCCATATTTGCTGAGCGAGTATTATGTAGAAGCCAAGGGACCTTGTCCGACCTTTTACGGAATCCAAAGCCTTGGAATCGTCTGAAATCAGGTCGAGAGACCTTTAGAAGGATGTACAATTGGATTCAACAGCCTTTACACAGCAGATTGGGCATACTGGACATGTGCAAAGGTAATCATTACACATTTGATGACAATGTTTTAGGTAGCTCAAGTAACTCTGGATCAGTTTCGCCTTCCTTTTCTCACACTCCATCCTCAACCAAAGCAAGAAGTCGTCCAACTTCATCAAGCGAAGACATCTCTCACTCAAGTAAACGCCCTCGTCTTGTATTCACCGATATCCAAAAAAGAACTCTCCAAGCAATTTTCAAAGAAACTCAACGACCAAGCAGAGAAATGCAACAAACCATCGCTGATCATCTTAAACTTGACATGTCTACTGTCTCCAATTTTTTCATGAATGCAAGGAGACGCTCGAGGAATGGAAATACGACCGGAGATGAGCCCGCCCCATATCAACAAGTAAGTCATACCACAATTTAGAAGTAGAATTAACTCTTCATAAATAATTATTCGGGATTTCAGATCAAGCAAATAACCCCACCTCCAGACCCTGAAGACCTTGTCAGAAAATTGAACAGCCGACCTGTGATCAAATCTTTGGATATTAGAGTTAGTAATCCCGTCGTAACTACAGCAAATTCAGAAGGAAAAACAAATCCAAGGAAAAGAGATGAGGTGAAGGTGGTAAGTAAACTAAATTCTGTTATAGTAATTTTTTCAATAATTATTATTGTACAGGGAACTGACTTCCTGTTTTGATTAATTTCTCCGTCAATACTAAATCAATCTTTTCTGAATTTTTGGGTTAATAAAAAAAAATTGCGACCCGCAATTTTTACCCTGCCGAATTTCAAGATTTGAAATCAAAAATACATTTACAGTCACTTCCGCTCTAGAGGGCCTCCTAGATTTTGAGGCCTTCCATTTGGGACAGATTTCATTTAGGGCTTCTCATTTGGGGCAGATGGGGTAATAGCCTAATGTGTATAGCAAATGTTGCAAAATTCTTTGACCAGTCAGCCAATGAGGTGAAATTAGGCTAGCCAAAAAACCTGGATCGGCTAGCTAAAGTGATAAAATCCTTTTTGGCTAACTGATCCAGCTTTTTGGCTAGCCATTAAAAATCTAGTTGTGAGTTCATCTCATGGGCTGACTGGTCAAAGAAAGAATTTTGCAACGTTTGCTCTACATATTGGGCCATTCATTACCCGATCCGCCCCAAATGAGGGGTAGCCTATTTTTGGACCGCGAAACCGGTAAAATGTAAAGAAAATTGTTGGAATGATTTTCAATTGACTTTGGACTTGCAAAATTTATAGCTTTTTTGGTGAAATCTTGGAGTAAAACGTCGCTTACGTTCTCTTGAAACTTGTTTCAACCAGGTTGAAATCTAACAGCGTTGCTTGCATTACGATTAAGGCATAGACTTTCAGAAAAAGAGATTTCTAGAAGATTGAAAAGGTCCACATCAATAGTTCTACCGGGTCGGGCCTTGTGCGTCTTGAGGCTCGGAACCCAGTCCGATTCAAGTTTAACCATGGCCACGATCCGCAATTCTTGCGTTTTCAGGATGTTTGCTCCTCTATTCAATCGAAACAGCAAAAAAAATTCCAATTCCGAGAAAGTCAATTGAGAACCATTTCAAAAATTTTCTTAAAGTTTTGCCGGTTTCGCAGTCTAAAAATCAATCTCAAAGTCTCGGTCTGGAAAGTGCATTGTTGATCTAAATATTCGAATTTGGCAGGATAAAAAAGGCGGGTTCGAGTAGCCCACTCTGTATTGTAAAGTGATATTGCTTTAGAAGGTGGAATACGAAGTGAAAACTGAAACCCCGACCGATGACTGACCCCTGGAGCTACAACTAAACGGCTGGACCGAATAAAACGTAAATCAACTGCCATGTCTTTCAATACTCGAGTAGCATTTAATTATTTCACTCTATTGCCCATACACATTAATAAGAGAAAAGCGACAGAATTAGCAGAAATCTCAACTAATCAATAGCCAATTAACAATAGTCTGAGTAGATCCACATGTTCACTTGATGCATCATCGCCTTGTCTAACAGCTCTGGAAATCTCTCCTCGGCCGTAGAAGCTTCTAGAGTGTCAATAATGTATATATATCATAAGTTATCCAGTCAAACAAACGCTTAGTGTCAACCTCAAGAAAGTGTCAATTCAAAATGCCTTGTCCTATAATTATGAAGATATTAATTTTAAATAAACTAATTCTCTGTGAGTCACGACACCTATCTTCCTGGCAATCCAGCAAATATTCGACGAACGTAATACTCTAAAAGATACCAGATTGTCAAGAGATGGCTCTCGGCCCGGAGAGCCTTTTCGAATTTTCTTCGGCACGGCCCGACCAGATGGAAGTCATCACTAGCAAAAAGTGTAACAGTAAATGGTAGGAACTCACAAAAATATCCCAGAAGTCTTAAACCTCTGAAAAATGCTGCTAAATTATCAGCTGTCATGTGTTCTTCGTTTGGTACATTAAACATTTCCAACTCATTTCTTCCTTTTTCGTACCACAAAATAGTTTGGACGTACTAACGAGGAAAGTACTCCAAGTGCGATGCTCAGACTTTCTTTAAACTTTGTACGCACTTCGGACATAGTTCACACATGAATTCCTAAAAATCTTAGCTCGCGCTTTGAGGGGGATATTCAACGATCTTTGCGGCCTAGAGAATACGCGAAACGCGGAGAGTGGCTACAGAGAAAACACTTTTTGGCCCTATCTTTCTTGGATAAAAAGTTCGCCCAAACGCGATAAATCCGTAAACTAAATTTGCCGGGTCGGCCCAGCTCGTTTCAAATTTGCCTCGGCCGTGCCCGACCCGTGGGCTGTCAACCGGTCACAAAACTTGCAATTACCTGACAGAAAAATTTTCGGAGACTACTTCTCCCAGAATTTTTCCGTTTTCCAAAAAATCCGTTATGCCGATTTGTTTTCTAGACGAATGGAAATTTTCTCCGATTATTGTGTAAGGAATGGCCGTGTGAGCATGGTACGTTTCCGGATGGCTATTAGAAGTTCCTTTGTTGATGTCTCTCGCCAAACATAACCTTGGATTGTCAGCAAGTTCATAAACAATGCCAGTGGGCACAGAACAAAAAGTAACAATAAGCCGTCGCCTGACCGACCCCCCGGGCTTCATTTCCTCTATATTTTGTTATTTTTACTAAATGCCGTCGAGGAGTAGTGAGGACGTAGGAGTTGAACGCGTGGAGACACTGGCTAATATACTTCAAACCCCTTCTCCAATGGCCCCGAAATTTGGTAGGCATACAACAGCAAAGGATGTAAGTTCCTTGCTTTTACTCAAGGCGTTTCAGGTGGTTCAAGGGATGGATTTGACTAACAAGACTTATCTTATCACGGGAGCTACAAGTGGATTAGGACAAGAAGTAGCTATCACCTTGGCTGAGGCTGGAGCTCATGTTGTTATGGCCATTCGAGACCTTAATAAGGGTGATCTTGTCAGAAGCCACATCTACACCAATACATGCTATAGAAAGGTTGACATCATCAGAATGGACTTACTGGATTTGTCTTCCGTCGTTGATGCTGCCAATGAATTCAAAAAGAATGGGTGGTATGCCCACTCTTCGTAACCATTTAATCGTTTTTTTATATTTTTTCAGGGATCTTCACGGTCTTATTCTCAATGCAGGAGCTTACGCTCCGAATCCTGGGTTTAATGAGCTCGATAATCTAAATTCTGCATTGCAGACTAATTACCTGAGTCATTTTTTCTTGACTTTATTGCTTAAAGACGTTCTTATTAAGTCTGCTCCGTCGCGCATTGTTTCTTTGACGTCTGTAATGACCAAATATTTGCGAATGAATCAAAAAGTTAATGCCACGCAATTTCTGGAGCAATTGATCGAAACTGGAGGTCGCGGAACCCGGAAATACCACCAATATGCAAAGTCCAAGTTGTGTAATATAATGTTGATGAAGAAAATGCATCGTGACCTCCATTGTCATGGAGTCAGCACTTACGCTGTTGACCCTGGATCTTTCATCAACACTCGTAAGCGGAAAAAAGTTTCGAAATTGCTTTAGGCATCGCGGCCGAAAACTACGGTTGGCTTCGCGAGCTTGTGTGCTTGATGGCTAGCCCATTCTCTAAAGAGGTGGCCGAAGGGGCGGCTACAGTAATATTTGCGGCCATCCATCCCGCGGCCGAAACTATGAGTGGAAAGAATCTTGTTAATCATAAGGTGAAGGAGTCTACAATCCATCCAGCCGCGAATAACGAGGTCTTCCAGGACGCTCTTTATTCACATAGTTGTGCTATGATAGAGCGAGTGTTGAGCATGCGTAAAATTAAGGGGGATGACGATGATATAGTAGACTTTAGTGACTCAAAAAACGGATATCTCCAAAAACTGATAAAAGAAAATTAGTGGATCTTTGAGAGTGCAAAGTCAATCCATACAACGGTGGGGCAATTGTAGAACCGGTTCCTTTAAAAAAATCGTAGTTTTATTAACGGGGATAGTAGTAATTTACTGCTAATATCGTGTCATTCCTCCCTGTAACACGCTTACTTACAATACTACTCACAGAAAACAATTATTTATTCATAATAAACAAGAGAACCAGCCACGTTTAGGCCTTGTTCTTCATGTTGATCCACTTCTGTAGCTGATTCTGAATAGTCATAATATTGAGACCATTGGCGTCCGTAGATGGACTGTAATTATTGATGACGATGTAAGGGACCTCGATGATCGGATGGGCTCTCATATTCATCGTTCTATAAGCAGCCTGTCGTTGCAATTGTCTTCCTTTTTCTCCATCAAAACAATCTTTTATCTCTCTGTAAGCATTGCTGATGAAGGTAGAGCAATGATGCATCGCTTGCTGGACTTGGGGATAAGTTCCGAGTTGTCTTTCGAAGCAGATTATAAATGGGATAGCCTGTTTTGTCTTCACCACATCGATTACGCAGCTCATTAACCGATTGGCGTCACATTCTGTTTGGCCATGGTTACAGGAGATCTGGCCATTCTGAAAAAAAAGTAATTCTTTTTATCAAACAGATATCTTCACTAATTTTTATCTTGGCAATATTAATTGCAGAGATCCACTTACGTTCAAGAGCCTGCTGTTGCCCCAAGGGACCAATTCGATTTCGACTTTTCCCCTGTAGGTGTTGAAAAGATTACCCAGATGATTGGAGATAAAGCGCTGACAGAAAGGACACAACGCTTCATACATTAAAGTCACTGTCAGAGGTCTTCGGTCCAGTTTGAACTGTTCACATTGCTTAACTACATCACATCTCTGGGCCATCTCATAACTGTCACACCAGAAATCGGGAGGGACATTACATCCACCGTGTCTAGACGCTTGTTGGGCCGGAGCTGGTTGACGGTTGGCTTGATGAGTAGTGTAATGAGCGTTGTGAGTGGGATGGGTAGGTCGTACTGAGGTTGAGTAAGGGGAGACCGTCGTGCTGTAATGATGGACAACTTGCACAGATTGTTGTTGGGGATAGCTGGGTTGGAGTTGTCGTTGGGGATATTGGGGTTGTTGAGGTCGGGGAGAATAGTTGGTGGACTGATAGTAGTTTGTGTAGTGATGAGATGGCCGCGCTGACTGGGGCTGCTGATATTGGCCGAGGACGACCGAGACGCCGAAGAAGAAGGTGAGGCCCAACATGACGGCCGAGAGTAACCCCGAATCGCCGTATATCACCTTTGCGATGCCCAAATGGGGGCGGAGTCGGTCAGATCGGGCTGATGAACAGGACAACCCGGCACCGCCATTTATCCCTCCGACGACTTTTTGGCCCACGTTTTCTCACTTCCACGAACAGTTGGCGGGAACGGAGAGACCGCGGCGTCGTTTGGCCATCTTTTGCTGGCCTGGGCACTCGGTTTCCCCAAATCCCCGCCGAAGACCAAAGGACAAATGACCTTAAAGGTCAATGTATACAAAAAAATTAATAAATTTATTTCCCTCACATGTCTTTTTGTGTTCGAAAGAGGTCTTAATGTCCTTAAAGTATACTTCTTGAGTAGTATAGATGTATGTTGCAAAAGACAGATCAAGCAACAATTAATTAAGAGCTTTAAGTTTTTTCTTACTCCGCCATGAATGGGAACTGCAACATAGTTTGTGTGCATTGTGGAGCTGAAGCGTCGGATTTGTATCGAAATTATGGAAAGAATGTCATAAAATTGTGTGAATGTGTATGTTCACGTCCACCTTTACGTCTTTTTTCAGTCAGAATGTGGGAAGACAGTGGATCCATATATCGAATATGACCGTGTATTAATATTCATCGACTTACTTCTACAGTATACAGCCGCCTACCGTCATCTCTTTGTCAATCAAGTGTATAGGGTAACTGTTTGCAGTCATCTGTAGTAACTGTCGCTTTCCAGCAAATAAATTGGGATGTTTTTTAGTCATTCTGGCGTCTAGCTTGTATATTTGTTATTTGCGAGGCTTATCGAAAATGGGCGATCAGAATGGAGACTTACAATAAAAGTGTAACCGAGGGATTTATCAATTTGGAATGGAAGTTCTATGAATGCCTGGTGGAGAGTTCAGTGGAGACAGCAGTTTTTGCTCTTTCAACTCTTGGTCTTTCACTCATCTTCAATCTGGGGACCCGGCTTCCTCCAAGCTCTGTTTTTTGGATAACTTGTTGTGGCTTTTACGGTGAGCGTTTTGACCAAGCAAAAGGCCTTTTTTTAGAGGTCAGATTTGTAATGAAGGCAAAATTTTTTACTCTAACCAATTTATTAATGTCTTTCCTGAAATAGCTAAAGTAATTTCAGGAAAGATATTTGTGTTATTTTCCGTAATTTGGAACTTGCATCACAAATATGAATACCTCGGATTGATTGAATTATTTATTCTCATTTCAAATTACCAAACTCAAAACTGTAAGTGTATTGACAACTCATCAAATAACTTGTAGTGATGTATTCGAAGTCACCAAAACTAAATATTTTGGTGGTCCTTCTCAGCTGGACACTCTCCTACGGAGCCGGCCTTTACTGTCATAGAATTTTTGATTTTACTGTCTACTTCTAAACAATTAAACCTCACCACTTACTGGACTCAAACGTGCTTTTACATATTTATTGCCTTCAGGTACACCTCACTTAAACCAAATAAATTTATTCAAACCCACCAAATATGTCTACTACAGATCACTGACTTAGATTACTTTAGCTGAGGGAACGCCATCTGAGGTCGAGATTCTTGAGAGGCGTCTTCTGATCTCCACAATTGAGTAACGGTTTTCCATTGAGTGTAGAAATGAAGACCAGCTTTGCCATAAAAGTTGGCATCTCCAAGGAAAGAACCTCGGCTACCGGTGAAGGAGAACATGGGAAGGGGAACTGGGATAGGTACATTTACTCCTACTTGGCCACAATCGATCAGATTAGTGAAACGGCGAGCAGCGACTCCACTTGTCGTGAAGATGGCAGTTCCGTTTCCGTAGGGGTTCTTGTTGATGAGATCGATCGCTTCATCGAGAGTCTCGGCCTCGAGAACAACAAGGACGGGTCCAAAGATCTCTTCCTGAAATTCTTATTTTCAGTCCATTCAAATAAAATCTTACCTTGTAACAATCCATATTCGGCTTCACTCCAGTAATTACAGTAGCTCCCACAAAGTTTCCATTTTCGAATCCATTCACAGAAATGTCGGATCCATCCAAAGGAACCTGAGCTCCTTGTTTCTTGGCGGAATCGATTAAGCCCAGGATTTTCTGTTTGGACGCCTTTGAGATAACAGGTCCAATATCCGTGTCCGGCTTCCATCCAGGACCGACCTTCAGTTTTCTGGCCTTTTCGACCAACTCGGGGATCCACTTCCTTGATTCTCCGACGAAGACTGCGGTAGACAAGGCCATGCACCTCTGTCCAGCAGCTCCGAATGCGGCAGCAGTCAACTGATTGAGAGTAGCGTCTTTGTTGGCATCCGGAAGGACAACACCGTGGTTCTTGGCTCCCAGATTAGACTGTACTCGTTTTCCGTTCTTACTTCCTCGTTCATAGATATATTTACCCTATAATCAACAACACTGAATAACAGTAAAAGTCAGTGGTAAATTTTCTTTTGACCATTAGGCTTACCGCTTGGTCACTTCCTACAAATGAGATAGCTTTAATATCTGGATTGTCACAGATAAAGTTTACGCAATCATGCTGACCGTGGACAACATTAACGACACCATCAGGCACTCCAGCCTCTTTAGCCAACTGTACAAGCATTAAGGTGGCTCCAGGGTCTTGTTCTGAAGGCTTGAGAACCATCGTATTTCCAGCAACTGCAGCCAATGGGAACATCCAAAGTGGGATCATGGCGGGGAAATTGAAGGGACAGATTCCAGCGGTCACTCCCAGGGGAAGTCTAACACTGAATGTGTCCATGTCTTTGGCTACGCTACAAAGAGAACAATAAAAAAAAAACGATAATCAAACAAACAACCACATAATGAACAGCCCTACTTTGAAAGATGTTCTCCCAAAAGGAGAGACGGGGCACTGCAAGCATGTTCAACCACCTGAAGACCTCGAATCACATCTCCCTCAGCGTCGGGCAATGTCTTTCCCTGTTCGTATGTAATATTTTCCGCAATTTTCTTCAGATCCCTTCTTATCAAGGCCTGTAAATCCAGCATACACTTCTGTCTCGTCAAGATGGATGTGTTCTTCCAGGTTTGGAATGCCTTTTTACAAGAATCGACTGCAGCGTGTAACTCATCTTGGGTTGTATGAGGAACTTTACCAATCACTTCGTTGGTAGCCTACAAATAAAGATTTTTAAAGGACATCAAAACGTACGGGATTGGTAAGATCAATCCATTTCTGAGCCTTTGATTCAACAGCCTTCCCATCCAACCAATTCTTCACGGTTTCAACGGCCAAGACACGACTTTGCGAGATAGATCGCCGACTAACCACCAAAGAGTGACGAGGAATCATCTAAAGATGCTCAAAATTGTTGCAAATTAAGATGATCACAGAAGTTCCCGGATTTTTTTTTTTGCTTTGGCTCGAATTTCAGTTCAAAAAAATACTGCATTTTAAAATTCATTGTCAAAAAAATTGGGAAAAATTAGTGCAGATTTTGGAAAATCGAGATTTTTGATTTAAGCCGCTGCAGGGAGAAAATTAAACATTTTTGCACCGCAATTCGACCAACAGCAAAAATAAAAGCCGGGAATTTCTGTACGTTAGGGAAGAACCACGAAAACATCAGTCTATCGGGAAAATAGTGATCGAAATGTCGCTGGCCAATCACTTCGCTCAAGTGAAAAGCAATTTGATTTTGTCGCGGTACATTCGTTTAGGCGATGCGATTTTAAACAACGGATAAGCTGAGTTTTCAAACTAACATAAAGCAGAATTATCACGCTGCCGAATGTTAAATAACGTGAAATAGAAACAAACGACCATATCTTGGGTTCAATGGACAATCAGCAGGCGTTTCCAGCCCTCCTTTCGACCATTGAACACCCAAAAAAAACATTCGTCCCGCCCCTCTCAAAATATATCGAAATGTTCAAAGACATTTGAGGAAATCGTAGAAATGGTGTATCTATTTACAGTTTAATATTATAAAAACATTGATTACTCGTCAACGATATAATCTTTGAATAATTTATCGACTTCTGGGAGTAGAATGAAGTCATTGAGTGAGTCCACTTCCAATACCTTGTCGAAAATTGAAAGCAATTCCATTTTCCGAGTTTTCGGGTATCGCGGTATCGCATTTATGACCTTCTTGGCAAGGTAGTGAATCCAGAAACAATTTGATTTTGGATTAAAGTGAGACCATTCATCACTGAAACAAATATAAATAAAAAACCTTATCAACACTTACCCATTTGAATCCTTCATCATCCTGTAGATATCAAACTGGTAATCACCACCCTTATGGCCTTCACCTTTCCCTTCGAAGAGTTCTTTATCAGCTCCCAGATTCAAATAGATCGTAGTATGATCTGACTTTATACGGCTGTTTGTAAAATCGATCAGACTAACCCTGTAGCCATAAGTACGCAATTGAATTGCCTCTCCTTCGTATACATACCTAAAATTTGGATTCCGATATTTTATTACTAATCACAAACATACGTAACGACTTCCTCCGTATCATCAGATATTTTGACCAAAACATTTCCCCAGTGGAGATCTCGATGCTCGAATTCCAACGATGACTCGGCGATAACCAAAGTCAAGCATACCTGCACCAAAACGGATACAACTTGCTCCTTGGATTTTAGCCTTTTCTGTTCGGCGACTGACTCCAAATCAGATCCACCATGCCCCAAGGCAATCAGCAAGTAGTAAACCTTCTCTGGATCCATGTACTCTCCTGGGAAAGTGTTCAAGCATTTCCTCGGGAATTTTTTTTTAAAGTCATTCCAACATTTTAACAGACTTTTTGGCCAATTTCCTAAACAAAATAACAAAAACAAATAGCAACGTACCTCGAACGACTTTAGCATCATGAACCTTCACAAATCCGGAAGTCTGATTGCAGCTGTTTTCAGACAAATCTGAGAGTTCCTTAGATATCAACAGCTCCGGTAATACATTCTCAGCAGGCTTTGTGTAGTCTCCGTTCAACTCGATTATATCGTCGTCGCTTCTTACAAAAGGGATAATCTAGAAACAAGATAAAGTGATGATTTAAAAAAATAAGGATAAATAAAATCAAGCGCCTCACTTTTAAAGCAACCGTTTTGCCATCGAGAGTCGCTTGGAAGACTTCTCCAAAAGTCCCTTCTCCCAGTTTGGATGGTCCGTTGAACCTAAACAACTATTATCCTTTAAAATATCATGTCTTGCCTCTTTATGTAGTCGTCAAACTCGAGGAATCCACTTTGTTTACAAATGAACATTAATTGTGAGACAAAGTCGTCTTTGTCTCCTAAGTACCCATCCAAATAAAAGTCCGCTTCGCTCTAAAATGCTTAATTAAATCTTAGCTTATGCTCCTCAAATAAAAAATATATAAACTTACACGTATACTAAGCACTGATTGCTTGCCCCGGAGAATTGTCGACGCATCGGGTCGTATTGAATGTATAGTACTATCCGGAATCCTGGCTGGAGTCGAGGTTCCCTGGATTTCAATCGAAATATTGTTATCTTTCTCGATGGTTTTGCTTTTCCAAAATCGGGACTGGCTATGCCTACTGCAAGATTTCACAAATAGGCTTAGTCTTGACTTGCTCTTAGTGCTCATCTCATTCCTGGAAGCATTCATCCTCTCAAGCATAGTCCCGGATAAGGTTCGACAAGTAGACAGCGACCTTTGGTAAGATGGATCACAATTATTTGGACTCTGGGAGAGGATGGGAGACTGATCCAATTGAAGGATGGCTGAAGTCGAAGCCTGAGTAGAGTTTAAGCATGGAGATGAGCAGACCACACTCTTCTGCGATGCACTTGACTCGATTTGGGTTGAAGAAGCCGTTGGTGAAGAATTCTCCCTCGTTGATCGTCCGGTTGCTTTCGACTTTTCCAATGACAATGTTTCTTTGGTGGCAACGCACTCAGCATCCTGAATCTGTTGAGTCAACGTAGAATGAATACTTCCAACCACCTCGGTTGAATGTTGTGAGCCATCTGATCTTTTTCCAGTGCAACTCGAAGACTTTGAGTTCAAAATGTCAGCAACATCGCTTAATCTAGAACTTATTTCAACACTATCGTAGGTGCGACCCGTGGCAAAATCACAATCTTCTCGTGTCATGGAGAGTGAGGACTCGGTTTTTGTTTTCGACCTTAGACTTCGTGCAATACGCCTCGTACAAGTCGTATCAGAACTCTTTGAAATCGTCTGCTCCGTGTTACATATTACATTATTGCCGGATTCATCGACGTCTTCATTTAATGCCATGGAAATATCTGACTTTGTTCGGTCAGAGTGTAAAATTGTCTCAGCACTGGTGTTTTTCTCCAAAACCCCTGACGAAACTTCACCCACCACATCACTTATTCGGTCGTCCGCATCGTACAAAGATGCCGTTTTTTGAATTTCGGAGGGGTCTGGAACATAATCTTGTCGTGTAGCTGTTCTTTCTATAAGCTCATCAATGGCTGGATCATCCGGGATATCTTCTGGTGGCGTTCTATATCCATCAGAGGTTGACTCGGATTCCGTAATTCGACTTGATCCCTCACAGGACGTCAAATGATCATCTATTGAACGGTTTTCAAGCAAATCGTCTTCTAATACACTCAACGTGCGACGTTTCTTGGTTGATGGAGATCTCGATGTTAGCGAAGAGTCGCACACCTAAAATAACCTTAACACACCAACAAAAACCTACAAAGTTCTCTTTATTTGAAAACGCCGTGGTATTATCTTCATCTGGAAGCAAGGTCCGATCACTTTTTAGAGAATCTTGTAATTCGTTATTCTCAAGAGATGGGCTAGTAAATGGCATGCTGCGACTTCCAACAGAGGACCAATCCGAATAGATAACACTCTGCTCTACTGTTGCCGTTTTGATCGTAGTATCTGATAATTGAGAGCCGTTCAAAGTTGAGTCCTCAAATCAAGTTGACAAACAAATAGGGACTACTTACCACAACATTCCCTTTTTTAACTTTTCCATTATAAACATAGGTTTCTGGTTTAACCTTTTCAAAGACCAACTCAAAATCTTCTGCATCGTCAATCTAGAAGATATACAATACATCGAACGTCTTACCGCTCCCATTAATCGCTCCATTTCAGCTGGATCTGGTCCCATATAGATTCCATCGTCCTCATCTTTCTTCTTCCGTCTAGTCCTTGGATTTTTGTTAGGACCCCTTGTCCGCTTAGGAACGCAGTAAGTGGCATCGGCTGTCTTCTCTAATAACGTGGACTCATCTCCCAGAACCGTGTTCTTAAAACAAAGAATAAAAACAATAAAAAGTTCTTACTGTTTGAATAATGCAAGCGCGTGCTTGACTCCTTATGGTTCTTTGAATTGCTGTTCGTCTACGAGTTACCATTTTACACTATATCATATGTCGGCAGTATGGAAATTGGGCGCTTTGAATTTCAGAGAAGGAAGAGCGCCTGATTTCCATGCAGCCCCTATGCCCAGGATACCAAGGTGGCGAGATATCTCAGATTCAAGATGATGGGGAGATATCTCGGCATCTTGCGATCCTGGTCATCTAAATTTCCCTAAAATGTTTTTTCATGCGTAAAATATCGAATTTTGACATTTTTGAATTATTTTTCAGCGGAACCCTGAACATCAAGAGGACCGTCGCGTCCCGACACGAAAATAATTATTTCTCAAAAATGTTTTAGAATTTTATCATCCATTTTTGTGCTGGTCGAAAAGGTATAATTTAGATCTAAAGTCTAATCCAAGATGGCCGAGAGAGTGGAGAATTATCTGAGTCAAAAGAAGAATTCGGCAAAATCTCCAGAAATTGCTGAAGTATTTCAGAATTTGGAAAAAGCGTACACTAAAAAGTAAGTATAATGTAACTGTTGAACATTTCGCTTAGATTGTGGCATCAGTTGACGTTGGATGTTAAGAAATGTGTAGCCAATCCGACGTTCGTTTCCGAAGTTGATCTGAAGGAGTTTTATGACAACTTCATTCATGAGTTTGAGCTAAGAATAAACGCTCTGCAGTTGGTTGAGATCGCGGTGCCAATCGCAAAATTCATATTTAACAAAGGTAACCTTAATTATTTTATTCTATTTGTGTTTAGACGTTGAAGAGTCCTTCAAGTTCATCAATAACATCAAGAAGGCGAGCACCGTCGCTAAAGATAAACAAGCTTTGGTTCGTGCAGAAAGCGCCGAGATTGAACTTCAGCTTAATAATAAACCCAGTGGAAAATGTACGAATATTGCAGAAATAAGAGTAGGTTGGCAATCTTAAATTAGCATGTGTATTGCTCAGGTCATGGTTGAAGAAACTCAGAAGCGACTCGATGAACTAGTTGGTGTTACTCCGGTTCACGCTACTTTTTACAAAGTGTCCTCGTTGTACCTTCGTGAAGTTGGAAATCATGCGTTATACTACAGAGAAGCTCTTCGTTATCTCGGTTGTGAAGATCTGAACAAGCTTTCGGAAGAGGAGAAGAGGATGCAGGCCGTTCTGCTTGGATTCGCGGCTCTTCTTGGTGAAAATATTTACAATTTCGGTGAACTTGTGAGTCATAAGTCATTAGGTGTGAATATTTCTTTTAGTTGGCGCATCCAGTTTTGAAATCGTTGGATGGCACTTCTGAAGCATGGCTTGTCCAACTTCTGTTTGCTTTTAACTCCGGAGACCTTGACAAGTTCAGAGGTTATGAGGCCCAATGGAAACAATGGCCTGACATTGTGGTCCATAAAGAACTTCTCGAAGGAAAGATCCGTCTCCTTTGTTTGATGGAGGTAGGTTTTTTTGAACGCATTTTAGAGGGGCTGAATTTTACTTACTGTGGAAATAATATTTTAGATTGCTTTGGCTCGCCCGTCTAAAGAAAGATACATTACTTTCACTGAGATTTCCAACAAAGCCCATGTCGATTTGAATAAAGTTGAGTTCCTTGTTATGAAGGCTCTCTCCAAAGGATTGGTTAGAGGTTCGATTGATCAAGTGCAGAGTATTGTTAACATCACGTGGGTTCAGCCTCGCGTGTTGTCTCATCAACAGATCGATTCGATGGCGGAGAGAATCTCAGAATGGCGCAAAGAAGTTGACGCAATGGAAGGAGTTCTCCATGAAAATGCTAAGGAAATCCTTGTAAAGACCTAATTTATGTTTAATGTATAAATACATGAGTACGTCTCTTTTATGAATTGGTAATCCCATAATATACGTTAACAGAACTAGTCGAACAAAGCTTCGCAATATAAAGGTCTAAACAATATAAGTTTATTTCTCTTGACCTATTGTACAATATAAGTCGGGATTCTACTCTGAGGCGAGGAATTTAGTTGCGAAGCCGTCAATGGAACTCAGCAGGAAATTTGTCTTTCCCCTACAAATATAAGTGAACCAAAAAGATTAACTTACTTTAACGAGCTCAGATGCTTCACAACTTCATCGACAATACCGATTCTATTAGTGAGTGTATCACAACAATCTTTCATCTCCTTATGGACTCCTCCTACCGTTATCTTCAGACCATGATGAACTTCATTTAGTTCTCTAAAGATTCCAGTTATAAATCAAACAATTTTAGGTATCAACGACATAAAAAATTAAATCTTACTGGGAAACCTGATTTTCACATTGAGTTGTGTGAATTCCGCCCATCTGCTTCATTCCCGCGCTCAGATGGGCTCTGATTTGATCCTTTAAATGCTGTTCTTTGGCCGCAGAATTCCATCGCAATCTCTCGATGGCATAAAGTCCACCGTAAAGGGCAAGACCAGACCCAATTGCTTTCCATCCTACGCTTTTGTAAATAAGGGTAGACACTAAAACAATTCCAATGCTTCCATTTGCTAAATAAGAAGCGGAGTTTCTGATTACATCCACCATAAATTGATCGTTCAACGATTGATAGCTATTGGGGTTCGCTTTAGCACGAGGATGAAGTTGGTGCTAAAGTAAAATAACTAAAAAATGGGACCAACTTACCCCACCACCAGTCAGATAATCTCGACCAAGAGCCGTAATGGGTCTGCCGGAGAAGAAAGCGACCGCTCTTCTGATTATTGCCTCAGGGCCAAGACTGAAATGGAATTCCAGATCTTCTTGAAAGTCAGACAGAAGATCCGCACAGTTCAACGCAATGGTGAACTTAAATGGCTGACGATATTTCCACATTTCGTTCAATTTCGGGGCATATTCTTCACCAAGAATCTCGGAGACATGTTCTAAGGAAGAATTAAATTAATTTCAAACAATACTTACTGTGAAGATCGTTCTCAAGTGTCCAGATTCTGCTCATGAGGCCTCCGCTGCATTTATCTTCTAGGTTTGTTCGGACCTCTTTCTCCACAAATGCTGCCAATTTCTGTTTATACAATTGAATCTCTTCCGGAGTATCAACAAAATGGTCGTTGAATCTGTCGATAACTGACTCCAAACGAGTAATTTCTTCCGTAAAATCTGCAGAAACTTTCAGATGGACCTCAGCTCTAATGTTTTGTTGTTGTTCGTAATATTTTTTCTCAAACGCGGCAAAGTTTTCCCGACATTTGTTAAATTCACTTCTTTTTAATTCAACCTTCAGTGCCAGATTCTGTCTAAAGCAGTAACGTAAATCAAAAATCAAAAACAATCTCCAACCTTTCGTGGATCGAGGCCGTCTTCACAGTGTCGATGTTATGGGCGAGTCCTTGAATAATCTCGCGTGCTCTTCTGTCATGATTCTCAAACTTGGTCTTGATGGCTGATTTGGAAATAATCTGTTCGAAGCTGTTCTCAAACTCGTTGAATTCCATGGCCCTTCGTTGAAATCCTTCTTGTTGATAACCTAATTCATAAAACATAAATCTAAGGTTACCTTACAATATTCTTGCTCTCCTTTGGCCTTCAAACGATTTTCTAAAACCTCTTTAGCGGAGATAAAGAAGTATCGAGATTCCACCTCATCCTTGGAACAAGTCTTCAACTCATCAACCAGAAATTGAACAAACCGAGTTCGATGTTGAGCTCTGACCATTTCCCTGTGTTTCTCGGGCTCAGACGCAGAGGCATCCCATCGATTATTTAGAATAAATACATTTGGGCGTGACAATTTACTGCTCACTCGATGAAAGAAGCTTTTCTCCTAAAAGAACTTAGAGCAGTACATACAGTTTACTTACAGCTTGGGTCAAAGTAGACTCTGCATTGCAGACCAGAACAAACACATCTGCATCGATGCAGTGCTTGTCAATCCAGCTATCGAATTCAGGTGAAAGATCAACACCAGGACTTAAATAGGTTTCAATAAAAATAGAAATTTAAGTCATTACCTGTCGACAATAACAACGTCATTTTGCAAAAGTTTAGAGCCAGCTTTAGGGTAAAATATGCGGAGTAATGAATCCTGTCCCATAGCTTTCAACTTTGAGTTTCCAGAGCTCAGGGCATGTCCAACACTATCCAGTTCTTCAATAGGTATCTTCTCCTCATTATTTTCGACCTTGAAATGCTTATCATTCTCTGATCCGCCTTCCACTTGAAGGAAGCAACAAGTCGTATGACCCATTCCTTGAGGCAAGACTTTCGAATGCAACATGGCATTAATTACTGTGCTCTTTCCGTTACTCGTCCTACAAATATTAAAGATTTTAATTGTATTTACTTTCTTACCGGCCGAAGAAGACCACCTTCATTTTGTCTCTGGAAAACATATCCTTGATAACTTTAATCGAGTCTTTGTTTCGTTGCACTTCACCAATCTTGTCGTCTCCGATTTTGACGGTTTCCCGTAGATCTAAAAACTTCTGTATAGTTTTACGCGAAATTACTTTGGTAAGCATCGTAAAGATCATTGATAAATTCGTCCAAGTCCTTGTAAATCTCTCCCATCGCTTTCTTGGCTTCTGTAAAACGTTCCAGCGGCTCATTAGCAGTCTTTCTCCGCAGGATACCTAAACGAGTGATACTTTTACCGGAAATCTCACCTGACCGATCGCCATTTAAATGAGCAATATGGGCCGACATCGCCGGATGCTCCTGAACCGACGGGTTTGTAATTTTGAAAAGATGAACGGGCGAAACCCGACCTTCGACGTGAGACCAGACCCCAACCCAACTGTTTTGTTTTCTAAAACAATTAAGACAGCTGTTAAAGTGTTCGCCCTAAATAAATTAAAGAAACAGATATCACGTCAACTTTTCGAAATGGTGTCAAATTAAAACTAAGTTTAAAGAACTTTTACGTTAAATAAACAAAAATGTGACGAAGGTCTATAAAAAAATATCAAGTAAATTTAAACTTTAAAAATTAGTAATCGTGCGTAATAATCCTATCAGTAAAATCAAGATTACTGGTCAATCTTGTAAAAGCTGGTACACGCTACATGTGAATTATATACCACGGCGGTTTCAACCAAAGAACCCTTTTTCGCAAAAATCTTCGGAAAAGAAAAGGGCGCGCAAATTGCGGAACCAAGTTATACGAGAAAAATTGAATAAATTTAGTCCCGACACGGAAACAAAGCTCGTATGAACGGAATGCCAATCGAGAAATGTCCGAGAAAATTCGTCCAATTCTGTGAGGGCAAAATGGATCATTTGGATGAATGGAATGTTGTTTTCTAGGAAACCTTTCTTTTCTTGCTTTGACGCAATCTAATAGATAAACGTTATAAATTCGTGAGTGAAATCATTAAATTCCAGGTTTAGAGATGTTACCGGTACGGATTTTGAAGGAGAATGCAGTTCAAGAACGCGGTGAGAATGCTCGTCTTTCGTTATTTGTTGGAGCAATTGCCATTGGGGATTTGGTGAAGTCTACATTAGGTCCCAAAGGAATGGTATGTTTTGTATTCTTGACTGGTATTAAGATCTTAGGACAAAATATTGGTCAGTGGTGACGCTCATAATCAAAGTATTCAAGTGACCAACGATGGGGCAACCATTCTTAGGTCAATTGGGGTAGACAATCCTGCAGCCAAAGTTCTGGTTGGTATGTTTCACAAAGTTTTAATAGATGTTTTGCAGATATCTCTCTGACTCAAGATAAGGAAGTTGGTGATGGAACTACTTCTGTTGCAGTCTTTGCTGCTGAATTGTTGAAAGAAGCAGAGAAGCTGGTCAATATGAGAATCCATCCTCAAGTTATTGCTTCTGGATATCGGAAGGCTCTAATTATTGCGCAAGATGCTCTTTTCAAAGCTTCCACTGCGTCTGGTGAGCATATCCGTGACGACCTTTTGAAGATTGCAAGAACAACGCTTGGCTCCAAGATCTTGTCTCAGCATTCTGAGCATTTCTCTCAGCTGGCGGTCGATGCCATTCTTAGACTTAAGGGAAAGGCCAATCTCGATTCCATTCAAGTCATCAAAAAGCTTGGAGGGTCTATGGAAGATTCTTATCTCGACGATGGATTTTTGTTGGAAAAGAAGCCAGGAATGTATCAGCCACAGAGGGTCGAAAACGCCAAGATTCTTCTGGCCAATACACCTATGGACACGGACAAGATCAAGGTCTTCGGAAGCAGAGTTCGTGTCGACTCTGTTGCAAAGGTGGCTGAAATCGAAGCTGCTGAGCGTGAAAAGATGAAGCAAAAGGTAGCTTTTATTTCAAATACATTTTTTCTCAGCGAAATTGGAGGTTTATAAAAACATTGTAGGTTAAAAAGATCTGTGCCCATGATATTAACGTGTTTGTGAACCGACAACTCATTTATAACTATCCTGAACAATTGTTTGCTGATGAAAAGATTATGGCCATCGAGCATGCTGACTTCGAAGGTATCGAAAGATTGGCCTTGGTTTTGGGTGAGGATTAATTTCTTTCGTTATTCAGTCAGTATACACACTAGAAGGCTTTCTAGTGCGATGCTCAGATTAACTCTGCACACACGTCAGGCATAGACCTCATCAATTCCTGAAAGTTTTAGGCTTTGCATGCCTACAAAAAGCGTCACATGTTTGCCGACTTTCGATCTAAAAATCTTGGCCGTTTCTGCAAAGCGCATATGTATTAGAAAAAACTTTTCTAAATTTATGTCAAGTTTCATCAAAATCTGAGCGTCGCACTGGATTCCTTCCCCTGTAAGCTCAAAAAGCATTATAATTATAGGCGGCGAAATTGTTTCAACGTTCGACAACCCAGAGAAGGTGAAAATCGGGAAATGTGACCTGATTGAGCAAATCACCATCGGAGAAGACTCCTTGCTCCGTTTCTCTGGAGTTCCTTTGGGTGAAGCGTGTACTGTTGTTTTGCGAGGAGCCACAAACCAGATCCTTGATGAAGCCGAGCGCTCTCTCCACGACGCTCTTTGTGTGCTTCTTACCCATGTTCGAGAAGCAAGAACGGTGACCGGTGCTGGTGCTGCCGAGACTTTAATGGCTTCTGCTGTTCTTTTAGAAGCACAGAAGATCGCGGGAAAGGAATCTTTGGCCGTTGAAGCATTTGCTCGAGCTCTCCAGCAACTTCCAACTATCATCTGTGATAATGCGGGATTTGATAGTGCCGAGATCACATCCAAGCTCAGAGCTGAGCATGCCAATGGAAACCATCAGTTTGGAATCGACATCGAAACTGGCAGAATCGCTGATGTCACCGCGAAAGGAGTGTTGGAGAGTTATAATGTCAAATTGTGCATGCTGACGTCGGCCGCTGAAGCGGCAGAACAAGTAAGTCACAAGCCAATAATGTTGGTTATACTCAATTTTACAGATTATTCGTGTGGATGACATCATAAAATGCGCCCCTCGACCCCGCAAACCGGACAACAGACCTTGTTAATCTTGTTGACGCTGTTCCGATGCTTTTTTGATCTGATGCTAATTGATACAATCCGAAGCAATCTCGTTCGTTTGGCGCCGTTGTTTTTTTTTCAGCTTTGTTCATTTCTCTAAATACTTGTTCGATTGATAAACGCCTTTAATAACGCATGGTATTTATTTTCTCTCACAGATGAAAGGTCTCTGTCGTGAGCATGGCCTGATCTTCCACTTTCCTCTGATGTCCACGACAGTGCACCCTTCGATAAGTCCTTTCTCGCTGAAGTTATCATATTTGTATGAATCTGTTTCCATCTGAGTTTGTGTCTTTAAATCAATCCAAACTTCGGTTATTGCTGGGTCAGCTCTTGTCAAGAATTCTGTAATCATGAAGAGGGAAATTCAGCTAACCCCTACCGGAAATTATTTTGTTTTTTTGCGAATCGTCCACATTTATTAACTGGGCATTATGCAGCCGACAAAATACCTAAAAATAAAATGGCTGTTCATTTTGCTTTACCTGAGCCTCGTTCCAATCAACATTTCGGTCAAAAAATTTGAATTTTTGGTCGCCGAAATGGTTCCAATCAGATTCCATGACATGATTTAGGGAATTCATCTAGTGTCACATGGTAACGCAAGAGATGAACTACTTACGGTAGTTTCCAACTTTTCGATCCTTTCTCTAAGATACGCAACTTGCTGCCCCAAACGAATCTGCCATTTCTCATCCAGGGTTCTCATCTTTTCTTCCCAGCTCGGTGTTGCAGTGTCATCATTTAATTCGATATCGTCTTCTAGAGACTAACACTATATAATACCACCAACCCCCTTACCAAAGTTTTTCCTATTAAGAGAAATGCCACAAGAGAAAGAATTCTTCTCATCATCGAGCGTACTTAAGTCTCCTTATAATTTCGTTTGCTTCGGGGCACTCAACATCAGCTAATTATCGTCGTAGTAAATAGATTTAGGTCAACAGTCACGGAAAGACGAAATAACTTGTTTTAATTGAGGTCATAATTCACAATCCTTATAACTAAATATAAACAGCAATGCTATAAAAATAATATTATATTTTGGTAAGAAGCCGATCCGATCTGAAGTCGACCTCGTCACCGTTTTCGAGATTCCTCTCCAGCTTGAGTCTGGTGTTGTTGATATTGCAATTAAAGTTGAAGCACTTTAAATTCCGAACATCAATGTCCACAGAATCCATCTTAATACAGTTTTTACAGGATCTATAAGTCCTTAAGAGCCGCCTTTGAAGGACAAAGTATTTGGCCAATCTGATTTGATCCACATTGTCATCCTCACTACAATCCTCACAGAACTCACTGTCGTTAGTGCTTTTTCCACAGCTGTAACGGATTAAGCAGTAGTCTTACTGCAACTCTTTTTATCTGTTTACCTTTGACAGATATCAAAATACAATGAATGATACCGTAATCCATATGGTGTAAGATCAAAGAATCGAGTCAAGGCTGACATTAGCTGTTTCCCCATGTAATAATTATAATGTAATTGTAAACAGGAATCTTTAAGAAACTCCTCCCATCCAACGACACAATCAATCATCTTGGTTTTGGAATGGGGTTCAGGCCGGATGATGACAAATGGAAGACGCTCTCCTCGGATTGGCTCGAATCTTTCGCACATCTCCTTCCTTTGCCTGAAAGCAAAGTCGTAAGATAAAACAAGTTCTCACATCGCCAATTTCTTCGCCGGTACTTGTGCCTTCTCTGCATACTCCCCTCGATATTCAGCGTTGATTATAAAGGACGAAAGAGGGAAACTTTCTGGATTCGCCAATTTACTTTGAAGATATCGTATCACAGCTGTTTGTCCAAAATCGAAGAGAATATTCAAACATTTCTCAAGCATCTGAACCAACTTCAATCAGCAGTTATTCATACCTGCGACACGAATAACGATCCATCCCTTCTGACCGTCTCGATTCCCTTGGCATCGAAGACTCCGGCATCTTCTTCCTTCTCATACGACCTCCCAACATATCTTTTTTTAGTGACCAATATACATGGTTGCATAACCTTCTCAAATTTCAATTTCATCGGATTTGGATTCATTTTGGTGACATCTTCTGCGATCAACCTTCCCAACTTGAAAGCCTCATTTCGAGAGCACCCTAATTCAACAAAAGACGGTCAATTAAATTACAGGGTGGCCAGAAAAAAATTCAACTTTTTTCATGGGCTTTGACGCGAAAATGTCGCGTCCCAAATTAATCCAGAACGTGAAAGAAACTGGAATATTTAAACTTTTTCGTTGTTAAAGTATTTTTCCTGTCCATAATATGACCCACATGCCTCCAAACTGTGATCAACGTTACAAAAAATCAAGAAAAACAATGGTATTGCTGTTACAGTAACCAACCCCCTTTATTTTGGTACATTTTCGACATGTCGAAGGCTACATCCTACAACCAAAGCGTCAATTATATGAAAAATGTTCCCCATGGTCGAAAACGAAAAACAATAAGGTTTGTCCATTTACCCCTAGGGTTTTTACACACCAACCCAACCTTCGTCGGGCTGATGTTCAGCTATACTAGTACAACAATTATGATATTTTGGCAGTACAACATAGGATCAACTGGTGATCAAACTTTTTGATGACGCGGAGTTCATAGATATCAACGTTTCCGAGTTTCAGACTGGTAAAAATTAAATCGGCGGAGTATACATGAAAAGTCAGTCTTCCAGATAAAGATATGAGATGCAATTTTTCTGGTCACCCTGTAATGAACTTACCTCGAAATAGCACAAAGACACTGTCAGTGTCGCCATAAATAACTTCCGCATGCTTGTATCGTTCTGCATTGCCGTCGACCATATGAATTACACCTTCCAAGGCCTCTCTTCCTTTCGATACAATTGCGTCAGCCACTTCTTCACAAGGCATTCGACCACTCCAATTAGCTGCTGTATAACCATAGGTAACATTGGCCACCAGCTTTAGCGCTAATTGTTGCGCATCCAATGTTCTACGAAGAATCTAAAACTTACAGTATAACGAACATCCTTCGTTTAAGCTAGAAGAAACGATTATAATTTGTGATTTCTTACCGCATCTCCTTTGAAATTCTTCATCGAGTCCTTGACCATGACTCGCGTATCCAGTAGTTCCATCAGCATCTCTGCCAGCATACTCTTCTGTACATTGGCCTTCACGAACACTCCACCAGTAGGAGATATATGGATATTATCGTTATCAATCAGCTCTTTTAGCTTATCAGAAGTCAAAGATGTGTAGCTCAAAGCCCCTAATTTGATCTGATCACCAAGATCAGCGTTAAGAAGACGACTCATCTTCCCCAAACAGGTTGTGAAACAGTAATTGTAAGCTATGCAAACCGAAGGATAAAGGCTTTGAAAGTCGAGGACGACTACTGGGTCCCGGTATATTCCAGATTCTGGCTCCAAATTTAAAGGAATCGTTTCGGGAGACCCCATTCTAAAGATACCTTCAGAGTTTCACGTCATACGACTTACAATGATCGCTGTTTAACTCCAACAGAAGGAGGAATCATTCCTCTTTTCCTCGCCAATCTCAATAACATTGATTCAACTCGGAATTGAGAACCTCGAGTTAAGACTTCGATAAATTGTATACCGTAAACTCTGGCCATTTGTGACGTTTTTACAAAGATGTCTAACTTTTCCAGTATCTGGATGTCATATTGTGCTCTTTTCATGCATATATCTACAAGCAGCAGTCTACGTCATCGAGTTATGATCCCTCGAGAAAGATACTTACTTGCAGTCCGGGTTTGTAGAATTTGAGAGTTCTTTGAGCATTTCAAAGTCGAGTTCCATGAAAGGAAGATCCAAAACTTGGCCAACCACATACCCAAATTCATAGGATCTCATCGGACTGTCCCTTCTTGCAGTTTTCCATACTTCTAATTTAATCCTTCCAGCGTCAATTCCAGCCCCGGATTTTTCGAAAATCGAAACATCTTAAAATTCTAAAACAAGGTTGAAGGCAAACCTTTAACCCTTGAAATCATCTTGCAAAGCGGGTGCTTCGTAAACGAAGTCCTTCGTTCCAGATAAGTCCAAGACTCTCTGTGGAGATCATATCCAACCAAGATATCCGGATCAAATCTGAACAATAAAACGACGAGATTATATATTGTACGGGCCGCGACATTTCCGGAATAGCGGAATATTTACACTTCCTGAACCGGGAAAAAACAAAAAAAAGGGCTTAGCAACACCATCCGCGATTTTTAAGGTTCAAAAGGGAGGGTTTAGGAAAAGTAATCTAGAGGAACCAGTCCATGGTTAGATGAAACTTCATGTATTAATTATGTTTCAGGCTATGTAGATTCTCTGGGGCTTTGGTAGTTCAGCCCCCCACGAAAGGTAGTTCAAACCCCCAATGTTTTGTCCATTTCACACCCCCCATAATTAAAAAATTAGAATAATACAAAAAATGCAAATTAGAGTGAAATGACCACCGGCGTTTTAGCTCAAACCCCCAGTTACCGTCCAAGTTCGTTCTTGTGGTTCAGGCAGCGATGATCGTAGCCGAGAGAACCCAATCCCGAGTAGGCGGTTCAGATTGGATGAGGGGGTTTATACTGGGTCAAGGGGGGCTGAACTGGACTGGGGGGTTGTACTACCTTAGCCCCGATTCTCTAAGCAAAATTTCAAATCTTTCCGACAACCAGTGTTTTACAATAAGTGAATTACGGTAGAAAAATCGAAATTATAATTTTCAGTGTAAAATGACCAGCAGTCCTTGGGGCATATGTGTGACTTATAATTCATGTGTTTTTATTTTTTTAAATCAGAAAATTACTACTTAAAAGCATTGCTTAAGAAAAAAAGCAACAACCTGAAAAAATAGCAAAATTTTTGAAATTAATAGCAGTAAGGCGATTCAGATGGTAGTGCTAATTATAAGCCTTATCTTTTGTTGTTCTCCGGTTCCGGAAGTGTCACCATTCCGCATTTCGGAAATGTCATGACGCGTATTGTAATACCTTTGCACAATTTCAGCAAACTTTTGAAACAATTCCATCTCGCTGTCAACGTAATCCACATCCCGTGTAGGGCCACAGCTAACGCCCCCTCTTACAACAATAGATCTGATATAAGAAAAGGGAGTTTTAGAGGTCCAATTAGAAATATCAGTGCAGAGTGCGCAAGATAAAACCATCACCGGGTCTGAAGCGGGATCCGGAACCCTGGAGTTGGATACGGGATCGGCTATTAATTCGACAGCCATAACGCATAAATTGTCTACAGTAGAAGAAGACTGAATTTTCACTGATCCTTTAACCGGGGAGACATTATGATTATGGCGTTTAATTAGGCGTGTATAAATTGTCACCTAAATTCTCAATGTTACAATGGCTCCCCTTACATCACGTAGATTGCCGCAGTATTCGAAAGACCTTATTTGGCTGATATCATTCTGCTTAATATCACCTGGATCTTTAGCCTTCTTTTCCCTGGCCTTTTTTATTTTTTGCAACGTTACTTTCTTCTCATAGGAGTTGCTGACTTCGAAAAATTGTGTATTAATTCCTTCAGTCTCCCTGAATTGTCATAGATCCAGCTATTATATTTCATACTCACCATCCAACAAAGTCATCGACGTCTTTAAAAGGACCAATCATTTCACTATACCCCGTCTCATCATCAGAAAGGGAAGTCGAGGACATCTCGGAGAGTTCGTCATGCTTTATAAACCTTGTTTATTACTGTTTTCCGGACTTACAATGCTCTCGTCATGTTGAGATTCGTCATCCGCTTCGGCGTCTTCAATATCCGTACGAACCGCGTCCGGATCAAAACTTAAATTATCTTAAAAGAAAAGTAAAATACTCAATTGAAAGAACATCATACCATAAAAGGGAGGTAGATCCGAAAGTTTTATTTTCTGAGTATCCGGTACGTTAGTCGCTGCATCAGTTACTTTATCCCTCAATTTGGCCAAATTCATTCTCTCATTTTTGGCTATGGTAAACGTGTTAATGCTAGGATGGCCTGGCCGAAACATCGGTATCTTCAGCAGTTTCCTTCTGTGTTCCTCGTCATTCCAGATATACTCCAAGCCACTGTTAATATACTTGCAGTTCACTTCTTCCCAAGGGTTCAAAATGTCTTCCACATGAGCATCAAACTCCACAGACATATTGGATGCAGGAGGAAGGGAAGACCTAATCATTGGAAAGAATGGGTTGTTGCCATCACTTACAAATTATAGCCTGACGAAGAGTTGGGCGCCTTTCTAAACAACACTTTCCTGAATCCAATCTGACCCATCCCAAAAATTGAATATTCGATAAAAAATTGTAAAATGAAAGGGATATGAGACATGTACGGCTGAAGCTTAAAATCATGAAGAGCTTCACCTTGCAGGATTTTAGTCAACCTAAATATACCTTTCAGATCAGGTTCAACATACGTTCGTGTATGGACTGGATTCCTGAGAGAAATGCGAATAAAATAATCTTTATTATCATAATACCCATACATGGATCTTAAGAAGTGATTAGGCATGCGAGATATGAGTTACCTTGCTTTGCATTCGGAGATTTCAATTATTGGATCCGCTCGGAGCTGAATCCCCGCGTTTTGGAGCCGTTGGGACAGGGTTTGAGAGAGCAGAAGTCTTTGGGACGAGCTCAGTTGGCAATTCGTCCGCATCCAGATGCATGGGGAAGTGCCGTGGATATGAGCACAGCATTTCTGACCTAAATGTACACCTTTAGGAAAAAAATCACAGTTCTCACCGTTTTTGTCGATTCCAAATACTCGAATCACTGGGAGTTCGGATCGGTTGCCGGCGGAATAAGGCGTCTGTTCCGATAAATAATAATCACAAGATACGTTGCAGATACGATACTCACTTAGCATAAAACTGCAAATAAATGTTAATATACAAATCAAAAAACACGAACTAAAAGCAACATCAATTATCGCGCCTCCATCATCCAGTTTCATAATTTCAGAAAACGGTCAAATTAAGGTTTACTTATTCTTGTCTACAAATCTTGTCAAATTCTATCAACTGCTTTACAAATCCGGAATTGGGCTGTATGGCAGGTCTCAAAGCCCGCAACTTTGAGAAAGACTCATGGAATGACAAGTTATTATACTTGATCATGTACGCCAAAACAATAGAAGCAGCCCTAGAGACACCAGCATTACAATGAACAAGAACTCGACCTCCGGAATTAACATTATCGTAAATGAAGCGAAGAACAGCTGGGAGTTCCTTTAGAATATCCGTTTCTGGGAGATCTAGCAGTTCCACTCGTAGATAATCGAAGTTCTTCGGATAAAGATTCGCCACTCCAGCTGCAGCATTGACTATGGCTGTAATCCCATGCCGTTTGAGTAACTGGAAATCAGCAGCGACATCCTGACTACTAAAACAGAATAAGAGAATGCAGAAGTTGTAAAATACGGAAAGTTGGAAAAGGCGACAAGGACCCCCGGTGACAAGGACCCCTGAGCGTCGACAAGGATTTCCTGAAACAGGCCATAGGGTAATCGGCGGAATGGATTTCGATCCATTTTTTCTGATTCCTACATTTTTACTTTACAGAGTAAAAAGCAAAAACGAAATTTCTATTTCTACCGTAGAGGGTAATGTTTCCACATGAATTAATTCTTTCCGCACGAATCCAGAAAATATATGGCCAAAAAGTGTTTTTCCCAGTGACCGCTCCCCACGTTTCTGTACTCTCTCGACATCAAAGACCGTTAAATATCGCGGGGCCCTTGTCGTGGGGGGTTCTTGTCGATGGCATATGTAAAATACCCTAGGAAAACATTAGCAGCGGCCTCGGCAACTTGTAGATCTGGCTTCAAATCGACCACGAATCCCATTTTCTTAGCCCTCTCGACTTTTTTCCGGCGACGGTTGGACACCGTAACTTCTGCAACAATTATCACCATACTATTTTAGATACCTTCTCCATCCTCGTTTATGTCTCCCAACAAGTCGACTTCTTCGAAAGTTCCATCTTTTCCCCTGCGTTCTTCGCTTTCTGTACCATCGATTGATATCACCTTTGTTGTGACACTTTTCAAGTCTGACCTCTTGTTTTTGAGGGCATCGGCCAGATCGAATGGCATCTGTATTTTCGTGTTAATATGGTTGTTTAGTCGTCAACTTGACGCATCAGTCACGTTGTCAAATTGCCGTCATTTTCGTCATGTCAAATTTTTCTGTCATTTCGATTGTCGGATTGAACTTTTTTTGGAAAATTTTTGTAGATTTTTGCTAAAAAATCATAGGAATTAAAAATTTTTAGGAACTAACTTACCCCTTCTTGTCAAAAACACCGATGAAATAAGCAGACAAACTAGTTATGAGTAATATTACCAGTATTCATCATAGCCTATGCTAAACTCGAGTTTGAAAGCTTCGCATATCAGAATTTTCAATTTGGCCAAAATGACGAAAATGAAGCCAATTTGACGTCAAGTTGACGTCAGATTGAAAAAATCCATCAAATTAAGAACCCTACGTGTTACTCATCAAATTCAAGAAAAAGTGTTTTAAAAAAAATAAGATAAAGCGCAATATCATAATCACACCAAAAAAAATATATAATTAACCAAGTCTGTTATGCGCAACAGCACATCTCGGTGGGAAACAGCACATCTTCTGCAACACAATTTACCAAAAAAACCGAATGAGAAAAAAATAAAATTAATGTGAGAAAATGGTGACCCATGTCAAGTGTTCCACTTCTGCACTCGAGCAGGACCTCTTAGCACAGGGCTGGTCAGCGACATTGCCCGCGGCCCAGCACATATTACTACTATAGTTCTGTTCTGTGGCTTCAAAGGTACCTTCCAAGGATCCTACGACTCATTTAGTTCTACATATACGGAATAAGTTCAGTTCTGTACAGGTTTCATCGTATAAAATTAACCTTTACCGTTTCCTTTGATCTTACCGCCTCGTGCCAAAAAATGCTATGAACTGTAATATATTACATGTAACACCTTACTATAGATGCTCTATTTTTTGAACAAATTGCAACTAGAATTACATAAAAGTCTTAATAAAAAGAAGCTGTAATACATGCAATATATTGCTAAAGATGCTCTATCTTTGGACAGTGAATGCCTAGTACTATACTCCAGTAAACGTTTTAAAACTTGAGAAAGGGGACCACCCCTGGCTAAAGATGTAAGCTTAATGTAAATATTAATCTTGAAGTTCATGTGGTTTAAAAACCTGTCTTGCGTAAAATTACTACCCTTTACGAATTCGGTCACAACAGATACATCGAAAAGGTTGAATTGAGATAAAATGTCGTATTTGATGTGAGTCTAATCGAGAGAATAAAGAGATGTGCTTGATCAGCCTCAGTTGGAACACAATTAGGGTCGTCCGTTGAGCCTGATCTCTTTGGCCGGGCCTTTTTGTTTCTCTCGGGTTATAAATCGGGCCCGGAGGGTTTTGAAATAAAGCGAATTGGATTTCAATGACATCAAGGAAACAACAAGGCGGCCAAGAAGACGGCCGAAACAAGCATCTGGCTGTATGCACTATTAAATGAAGTTCGTTATAATGTTTCCGAGCTCTCTTGTGGTCAGCTATGGTCCGGATTTATTTGTTTGGGAAGAAGGTGATGCAGTTGGATAGAGATGATGGCGTCTCTCATTTCCTCCGAACGTTTTTTGTTCCGCGCAAGAATTTGATAAAGGTGGATTCCAGAGAATCGGTTTTGACGTGATGTTGCGGTCGGCGACAGTCGGTTCTCTCGCAGAGAAATGAGAAAAAACCGCGACCCGGATGTCGCAACTTTTTCGCCAATAGTTTTCAGTGAGGGCGAACTGACCCGCCACGAGAGGAGACGTGTTCCTTATTCATGGTATTTTACTTTCATATGATTACTATTAAAGCTATTTCCTGATAGTTTTTTCGTAGTATATACGGTTTGTAACATTTATATTCAACATCTGTCTTTTGGAACAACATCTCTTCCGGGTAATTTTAAAACGCATGATATTGGACCGATCTTCATTTACATAAAAGTTTGCAGAGCGGATACTAACGTAATTCCTTAGGGCATAATTTTTTTAACTTTCTGCAGTATTGGCCTTTCAGATTTCCAAATATTTGTTGCACCCAAAAGTACTTTTGAAATTTCATTGTCAAAAATAATTTCAAACTCGGCTTCTGTGGCCTTTTTTGCCGGTGTTGGCATTCCGTCTTATCTCGTTCTTTTCTCGAGAATTATATGAAAATCGTTCACGAAGGGAAATTTGTGCTTTCCCTTGCACCTAACTGACGGATCAAACGAATGTAGGGAGATCCAGGGGCTCTCTTTAAAGGCTCAGATTCCCATCTCCTTTTTATCTCGGGCGCTCTCTCAGATCGCTGTCTTCTTCCGCTTTTTGCATGGGAGGACCCGATTGCACTCTCTCTGCTTCCCAATCCACCTGAATTTTTTAACTTTATCAATAAAATATAATGTTGTCCGTTCATCATTAATTTATAAAATTATTTTACCAGTTTTGTCTTATCCTTTGGGTGCTTTCGGCTTGTGTTTGTTTACTTTTAAAAGTCCATTTTAGTTATTGCTAGTTTTTTGCTAAATATAGTTTATATGTACTAAGCGACAAATGGCAACATTATTGCCCTAGGATTTTTATGCGGGTGCTGTATTTGTTGTATTATTTCTTTTGCGCCCAAATAATATAACTTACAGATACTGGAGGAACGATTAAGTAGCTCGTGTTAAAGGATGGTCCTCGATGATGACGAAGAGGCAAATCGAATCACACATAATGAGATGATCCAAAGTCGGGTCAATATCCAGAATAACGTGATCAACCGTCGCCGGGTAAGGCTTTGAATATATGTTTGGTGTTTTAGACAAAAAATGAAAAGATAGCTAGATTCTGACTCACATCAATTGCCTTCGGAGCCGTTCTTTTAGCCCAATCAACTCTTTTCTCCATTTTCATTCCTTTATTAATAATTTTACCAGGCTATATTCTTTATTCTGCCTAAAAGCGACGTTTTATCGCCAGATTAATATTACTCGTTGTGTTCTATTTTCATAAATTTTGTTTAAATGTTTTATTTTAGGAACAACTGCAAGCCTGGGAAGGGTCGGAAATGAATAGGTTACCAGTGGTTAGGAACCCCCCAAACAGAGCAAAAGTGAAATTTCAGGTTTGTACAACAGAAAATGAGTATTCCTTGTTTAGGACAGCGACATCTTTTTCAGCGCCTGTGTCAGCGGGGATGAAGAAGAGGTGGCTGAACTTCTCTCCAAAGGGGCTAATGTTAATACAACCACGATAGACGGGGTTACTGCTCTCCATCAAAGTGTCATTGATGGTAATTTTGACATGGTCAAGTTTCTTGTTGAACATGGAGCGGATATCAACGCTCAGGACAACGAAGGATGGACCCCTCTTCATGCGGCTGTTTGTTGTGGCAATATAAATATTGTAGAATATTTGTGTGACAGAGGGTCTGACATAACGATAACCAACACAGACAAAGAATTGCCTGTTGACTTGGCCGAGGATGATAAGATGAAACAATATCTGGAGGAGAAGATGGAGAGAAATGGCCTGACTGCTGAGGAATGCAGAGGGAGGGAAGAAAAGGTTATGTTGAAGGATTGTATGGACTGGATCAGGAATGGAGCTTATCTCGACAAACCTCATCCTAGGACCGGAGCTACTGCTTTGCATGTGGCTGCCTCAAAGGGTTACAATAAACTTATTTGTATGTTTTTTGGTTTTGGTCATTGCCTTTGTATTTTTTAATTATGTAGTGTTTATTTTTTAGCATTGTTGGTACAAGCTGGAGCTGATGTTAATGCGAGAGATTTTGAAGGTTGGACTCCTTTGCACGCCGCAGCTCATTGGAGCGAAAAAGAAGCCTGTCGGATTCTGATATCCCGAGGAGCCGATGTAAACGCCGAATCTATAACGGTAAATTAATATTGTTAGTTTGAAATTTTTTAGGGTCAAAATGTTTTACGGGTAGCGGATTCCAATATATTAGAAGCCTTGGAACAAATGGTAGAAGAGTTCTCGTCCAGGAAGAACACTTCTCCTTTAGATCAATTGGATATGAATGCGGAAATGGACAAGGTTGTACAGTCTAATGTGAATAGTCATTCAAGTGGCAAACGGTAGGATCAGACTTTTTTATTGAGATTCTCTTAGGTTATCTATTGCAAGAATGAATTCGCTGGAGAAAGATGATCTCAAGAAGAAGGATGAGCATGATGAGAATGTCTCTTTGCACCCTCCCAACTCTGCCAGTCCGCTTCCTCGTTCTCAGAATTCACTTTCACCGCCTCCGGCTAAGAAAATCCACGAAAATAAGGAGAATCCGACTGAACCTTCGAAGCCAGCCCCTCCTCAAGTGCCGCCAAAAGTGACCTCATTGAAGGTATGTTTATTTTTTTAAAACGAGTTTAGTATTATGTTTAGAGGATACAGATGGAAGAATTGGAAGATGAAGAATGGGAGGATGAGGAGGAAGAAGAAGCGCTGGAGGAAGAACACAGCAAGAACAGCACCATCAGCAGTACTACTCCCGTTACTAATACTACTTTGTATCTTCCAAAAACATACCAAGTACCTGGGACCAACAGGGTTGCCGTCCTAGAAAGCGACAAGTCCCAGTCCAGTCAATCATCCTCAACTCTCTCAGTGCAGGCCGTTCTTCCAGCGCCGCGGATGACGCCAGAAACGTCTTCTTTATCTACAGGTACATCCTACTCGAGTTCGGGTTCAGCTTCTTTGTCGAGTTCCCAAACAGCGTCAACATCTTCTAGCCAACCTTCTTCTGGACATCTCAAGGATAGTGTAAGGAGCTTTTAGTAATATTTTTTGTCATGCTTTTGCTTTCGGTGTCAGTATGAGTTCCGATTTAGTTACCTCGACAGGAAAACACTCCCACTTCCATCAGTCAACAAAAAGCGTCGTCGATTACCTCAAGGAATGTAAATTCATCGCGAAAATATGAATCGTTGGATGAGGAGGAAGTGTCAGCAGAGACAGTTTCTTCTGCCTCTGAAGCCTCGAATACCAGCGCTTCGATCAGCTCCATCCAGACCAGAAGTCGTTCGATGACGCCCAAAGATGTGAGTTGAATCATCCCCAAGCGCGCTTACATTTCTTGTTTTGTGTGTCCTTCGAAATGAGTCAGAATTATTTATATTGGCCATTTATTTAAATTACTTTTTTTTCAGACATCATCGAGCCTCTACAGTAGCGACCAAAGTGTGAAATGCACTCTTAAAGTTCAATCACAACCCCAACCAGTTTCTGGAAGTGGATCTTATACTGGCGCCAAGAAAGAGACATCGGAGCAGGCTTCAAAGCCGCCTGAACAAAATCAAGATCAGAGGCAGAGCCAGCAAAAGAAATTGGATTGGATTCAGTCTCAGAACATGGCCTTGAACCGAGCCCCTCTGGCCAGGATTTCTATGTCTCCGTCGTCGGAATCCCTCAGCTCTTCAGAGTCTTCAGTTGTGTTCAGGAAGCCGTAAGTTGTGGATGGGGGGTTTTCAAGGTTACGTTTACGGATATTCATGTAGAAGACGGCTGGAGTTACAGGTTTTCCTAACTTGAAATTGCAAAAATGAAATCCGTTTAGAGCGTGGTGTGAACAACGTAGTTGTTGTGTTGTAATTTTTGTTTCTCTGTACGTTGACCCCTTTTCTTATGCTTGTGTTTATATCGAGTTCTTCTTTTTTTGTCTAGAAGGACGCTCCTGGAATTTTGTTGATTCATGTCACTTTTGACATCAAACCGAATCTTCGCTTTTTATTTCTCTGCTTGCCTTTAAAGGGCTTACGTTATAGTGCAATACCGCCACATCAGACGACACCGGGCAAGACAGGTATATCCTCGAACGGGAAGACAATGTTGCTCAACTCGGCCCCTCCGAAGACTCCATCCTCGGCGTCGTCCATCATCCAACGACTCAACAGCCTCACTCAGCCCACCGTGGCCTCATTGACAAGACAGAAACCGCCGATGCAGAGATCCCAATCAGTTGCAGCAGAAAAGACATTGCCTCAGAATCAACTTCCCTCTACTCCCTCATCTGCGGTCAATGCTCCTCCATGGGTCGGGCATTGGCGTTCCGAGAAGAATACGATTGCCATCGGGCCTAAACCAAGTGTTAGCGGGATGGTTAAGGCACAGGAGGGACAGAGGGAGATCAGGACGTCGAGTGCCCTCTCCAATGGATCCGTTTCTTCAACCGCTTCCGATGCCTTTCAGAATCCTGTTTTCAGAAAGTACGTGACACAATATATGTTCTTTTTGTTACTTGTGTTTTATTTGGTTCTTCTTCTGTTGCTTTTGTTAAAATAGACACGGATTTCACACAAAAATGAAACGCACAACAAATTTGTGTCGGCAACTAAAATTAACTGATTAGTTTTAGGTCTATACAACAAACTCCACCAACTCAACCGGCACCTCAAAAGGAAAGCGAAGCCGAGAGAAAGGCGAAGTCAAGGCTTCAAAGAGCCTCTCGGAGGTCAACTCAAGGAGTCACTCTTGAACAGTTGAATGAAGTACGAGGATGCACTCCCAATTCTTCCTCGGCTTCAACCCCACCAAGTTCTCGGCAACAGAATATACCAGAAGATGAAGATAATGGGAAATGGAAGAAGGATCGAGTAAGTGGGAGGTCCTTTTGAATCAGTTGGAAAGTTCCTGAGGGTCGTTTGTAAGCATTGAGAACAGAATGATACACATGTCATACTATCTCTTGTGCGAAGCGAGCCCGATCCCTCCATGATCTATCTTACTCCTCTTTCTGATTGCTTCTGGCTTAAATATTTTCGTTTTCTGATTTGGGATAATTTTAGAGCTCTCTTTGGCCTACTTCGTGTGTTCTTTTCTAACCTCTTCGGCCAGTTCAGAAGAGTTGTGTAGGTATAAATGATTAAAGAGTGCTGTGCGAAGTTGTTTTTGGGAGTGAATCGACCAAAACAAAATTCTAACCGCACTTTTGGTCTTTTTTTGGGGGTTTGCAGTTCATCTTTCTTGTTCCGGTTTCTTCATCCACTGTTAACACTCTGAATGCCCATTGAAACAGTAATCCCTTTCTTTTAGTATGGTGTACCCAAAGAATCGAGTCATTCTTTCGAGTCCCCTCAAGTCCGGTCCACTGTGCCCTCAGGGTCTGCTCTTTCCCAACTCAACCAAACCCAGACACCGCCCACTCTACCCGGAGAAACCCCATCGGCAGCGAAGATGAGACGATCTCAGGTAATTTACAGTTAAGTAGTCGTTTCGGTTACATCGTTTTAAGTGCCGTGAATTGTAGTTAGTTGGTAATTGCATTGTGAATGGTAGTGTTTGTGTGTTTCAGTTATTCCGCAACAATCGACGAGGCACTGGACCAGTGGATATGGAGGCTTTGCTTCAAGAATCTTCGGATTCCAGTACGAGGGTGCCGCATCAGGTTTGTTTTGCTTTGACTGTTTTTTACTCGGTATTTCACACCACTCTAAATTGGATGACGTCACTTTCTAGTCGCATCTGCAATGGGAGTCTCGTGCTCTGAATTCTTTTCTGCACCTTACTAACCCAAACGATAGCAATAAGCCTAGCACGGCTCGCATTACACCCTTCTCTCAGGTGATCTCTTTTGAATTTTTCTTTATCCGTCGCAATATGTTTGGTTTCTGCTTTCTCCTAACTTTTGTACGCTTGTGACGTGGGCCATTTGGCTGCAAAGTGTAAAAGACTTGACCCGTCCCCGGTGAACAAATATATCTCGTATTTCACGCTTTCTTTTTGCCGGCCCAATAATCAGGATCTCCGCCTTAGAGATGGGGAACATTCGACGGGGCCGAGAACGAGTAAAGATGTTGGGATTTACCTGTTTCTGCTCAGAACAGAGGTTTTTCGAAGGAAATATGGCTTGATTAGTTTTGTCCTTGCCTCCGCTAATTTGTTTGCTCAACTCGGAGATTCACTTTTAAACTCTTGAAACCGAAGGAATAATCTTGAAGCAGGTCCTTCCATTTCAATCACTTATTAGTGGACCATGGCTCAGAGCAGGGCTAGGCAGAATGTCCGCTCGGCGGTCAGACTTGGAAGAGCTCCTTCTTTGTCATACTCGAACAATTATCTAAAGGATTCAACTGCGTTTTCACGGCATTTTGCTCAGACTGCTACTAGGTTTGATAGTCTCCAGGATGGAAAACGTCCCTCTAATTTCATGCTTGATGTTCCACGCGATGATCGTCATGGCAGTGATAATTTTGGATGCCGAACTCTGAAGAGAAACTTTTCTTTCAATGTTGTGGAACTCTCGGAATCCCGGCGAAGATCTTCTTCTTCACTCAACTCCCCCGCAAAGGTCGAGCCGTACCAATGCCAAGGCCCCCGACTCAACGCTACGGCTGCTCAGCTGTCGGGATATAGGAGAAGTCAGTTCGTGAAAGCCGCATGTAGACGGTCAGCATCTCTCATGACCAGGTATAAACAAAGAACACTGGACCGCGAGAATATGATGACCTTAAACATATCCGTCCATGAACCCCCTCCAAAAGTTTCTATAACAGATTATCATCAGAAGTATGATGCGGACAAGAAGGAGGATTTCTACACAATGGATTCGGGTTTATCGGGATATAGACAGAGTTCTACTGAGTCTGACGATCTCAGCGAGTTGTCAATGGCTTCGGGTGATGAGGTGCTTCATTCTAATGCTTTAACTTCCCTTTTTGAGCTTAAACATAACAATATTCTTATTGTTTTAAAATTATGTTTTTTTCAGAATTCCGCGGACAAATCGAATTTGCCCAGTTATGTGACCACTGGGGCCATCCCAGGGAAGCCAAGTCATTTGAGAAATGGCGTGGAGAAAAATGGAGAACAGAATTATAAGTTGCTTTACGAACAGAAGTGTGAAGAGAATGACAAATTGAAAAAGGAGCTCGAAACTCTGCGACAAATTCAGGTTGGTAGTTAGTTTTATATTGTAATAAATGGGAGATTTCTGAGCTTATTGAAGTGGTGATTTTATTGCCCGGGCTTTAGTCTGGATCTCCTTGTCTTGTCCCTGTTGGTGACTCTGCGGTGTCTTCCGGTCTTTGGATTGCATTGAAATCGATTAAAGCGCGCTCATTTCAGCCCACCCTCATCCAATCTGGACCGAATGTTCCAGGAGCGATTCGGCGCGCCTACTCCGGAATCACTGGAGCAACAACTCTGGGAACGACGCCTTCGAGTACATCGTCATCCAACGCGGGTCATCACAAGTTCGATTCGACTTCGATCTCGAACTCCCTTTCCTCCATATCAGATTCCTCCAAGTTGATGGACTCCGAACGCCATCAGTTCGAAAGGAGGATCTCTGAGCTCGAATATGAACTTCATGTAAGTAAAAAAATGTTGCAGTACCGCTTTTCAAAATAAAATAAAACTGGGAATGGTAAATATTATGACGTTTATAGAAAGCAAAACAGCTACAATCCGATCACAAACGACTGAAGGATGAGAACAATGCTCTGATTCGTGTGATCTCCAAGTTGAGCAAGGAGACCACATCCACCCGTCCTCAGAATCAGTCAGGAGTGGCTGGACTGACTGTCCATTCGTCGTCTTAACGCTCTCTTCGTCTAATCTGTTATCTCATCATTCTCTTTTCACTTACGGACCTGGGTTTGTTGAGTACTGAACAATGATTCAAATGTTCCACATCTTGGGCACCCGACATTGAATAGCATCTTTGTGGATGTTTTTCGTGCCTTGTCATTGTTCTACGCCCTTACGGGTATCTAAGACACTCTTCCACTTCATTTATACTAATTAAGATAACACTAATAATTATTGTTACTCTTCTGAAACTGGTCAAACTTATCAATCAACACATATGTTTAGCTCTTTCTCCCTCCCCTTCTCCAACTTTAAAACCTCTGTTGTGCAAAATCTTGGACATAGATTGTAATGCTTCAGTAACTGGCTTCTATGTCCACAAATATCTACGTACTTATTATATTTGTAATTACAGAAATAAATCCAACCATAAATTTTAATTCTTCATTGTTGTTCAGGACTTTTCTTCTTTTCCTTTTTTGGGGGTTTCCTCTTCGCCCCAATCGCTGAGAACTTCGTCCATCTGAAAAATGGATGCATACAATTAGCGGATATTGTGGGAGAGTTAAATATTGATAAAATTACAGTAGGATAATCCTGAGCTCCCGCCATTTTATCCTTCTGAGGTTTGGGTGGCTTTGGAAAGGGTGTACTGAAAGGATTACAAATAGAATAACTCAGAACACATACACCAGGATAGTGGGGCAATTGTGTTTTTTCTCTTTCGGCTCCTTCAGGACAGAGATTGCCTTGATATCGTTGCTGACCACGCTGTCGTCATCATCATTGAAATAAGCCGCTTTCTTCACCTCAACCTTCTTTTTCGAAGCCTTAGGAACCCTCTCCTGTTGCTTTGGATCTGGACTATTTGGACGAGAAGATAATCGACACATCTGACTATCGGCAACGACCACCTTTCTGGGATGCTTTGGTAATTCCTTCGGAGATTCAGAATCCTTCATTTCCGAAGCACTTTTGTCAGATAGGCCATTCTCAGGGGTCTTTGGGCGGGATTTGTTGCTTGCTTTGTGCTTGCTGGTTACTCGAACCTTGATCTTTCCAGGTTTGAGCTTGGATCTCTTATTGGGTGCGGGAACAGGGACAATGTAGTCATTCTGATCTCGCTGCTTATGATCTTCTTTCTGCAAAATTGTATTCGGAATACTCAAAAGGAATTACTCTAGCTGATGGTTTTCCTGCTCTACGATCCTTCTCCCTCTTCTTCCGAGCTTTGATCATTGATGCCCGTTCATCTTCATGTCTGTCTTTCACCCCATCATCTAAAATTAGAAACTCAGTCGATGATCAGCGTTTAGCAGGGGACCTGCTTACCTTCTGGATACTTGACGGGCAACTATTATTTGATTACCTAAATAAATACATTGTTGCGTAATAAATTACCACTCTGCTGACTTTTTCCCCATGCCTTCCAGCCTTGTTCTTTCTCTGAATTTTATGACGATCTGGGGATGAAACCTTTTTCCGACGATGGTCCTGCAACTGTGTAATTCTCGCGGGGAATACGGTACTTACGTAATTTTCATCGTCTTCTTTTTCCGACATTTTTTGGAGAAGTAGAAATCCGACTGGTCGAATTCCACTGAAATAATCGAATGAAAAAGGTATGAGGATGCCCCCCACCTCTCCGTATTTTTCACTAAACGTGTGAATATTTTCGGTTTCTTCAGATATTTCTTTAGCTAAACCCAATTAAGTATCTCCATTCAATTTCTCCAAATTCATTTTGAAAAAAGTATGAAACTTACGTCGGGCTTTCCAGACTCATCGTTGATTTCACAGATGCCCTGGATGATCCTGTTCTCTTTTATACTTTCGATAGTTTTCCTTGGATGTCATCAAAAGGTTAGTTCTCCTGAAAAATGAACAGTGCGGAAATTGTCTGAACTTTTGTAACACTTTTTACTACATAGTACCAAGTGGTGCCATCGATTTTAGACAAAATTTTAGTGCTGGCACTTAGTTGGCTTCGCGTTTTCCTACAAATCGTAGATTGGCCTGGGCATTCTTAAGTTGTCTCAGAATTAAAACCAAAATTGGTCAAACAATCCTTACTTACAAGGGAAGTCACTTAAGTCACGGATCGATTTTTGAAAGCGACTGTTACAGCGATGGGGAGGGTAGGACGGAGATATCAACTCTGAAAACCGCTACCTCCACCGGCCTCTGGGAGCCGAGATAATCGACCAAAAAGGTTTTACCAAAAAAAGTTGCTCCGAAGAGTTCTGCCTTTCGAAAGCAAAGGGACAGCGAACCGAATGGTCCGGTGGTCTGGAAGCGCGCTTCCGGGCCTTGACCTTTTTAGGTTCGAATCCGCATGGGTCACATAATTTATTAAACTTTTCCTGTAATCCAGTAAATTTACCGGTAAGATAACATTTTTGATTTTTTGCGTATTTTACGATAAAATTCAGAGTAATATGTAATTTGAATGCGAGTTTCAAACGATTTGAATTTTCAAAGTTGAAAATTTACCGTAAAATAGGCATGAAACATAAAAATAAATCGCTAGTAAATTTACTGCATCACAGCAACTGTTTTATACATTTTTCACAAGTTCAAGACCCGCGCGGATTCGAACCTGAAAAGGTGAGGGCCCGGAAGCGCGCTTCCAGACCACCGGACCATTCGGTTCGCTGGCTTTTTTTCTTTCGGAAGGAAGAAATGTTCGGAGGAATTTGGTCAAACTTTTTAGTCGATTATCTCGGCTCCCAGAGGCCGGTGGAGGTAGCGGTTTTCAGATTTGATATCTCCATCCTACCCTCCCCATCGCTGTAATAGTCGTTTTTAAAAATCGATCCGTGATTTAAGTGACTTCCCTTGTTAGAGCAATCGTTTGAATTTTTTTTGCCCATAGGCGTTATATGAATTACCAAACTTGCAGAAAACCAAAGGAAAGGACAATCAGAAGATCGAGTTCGCTCCCGTTGGAGCAGCCGAAGCAGATTCCCTGCATGAAATCAAGACCGATGAGCAATTTAACATCAAGACCCCCATATAAAACAAGGCTTTATTCCAATAACAATGAAAACATGAGTAACAATAAATCAATGTATGGTCTTTCTCGTCTTCCGCTTTCTATTCTTCTCAATAAATGGGCTCTTCTGCTCTATCTAAAATGCATAATGACTAGTAACATTTAAATTCTCTTACTCTTTTCGTAGCTTGATCTTTCATTTCTGAAGTTCTGTGCCAATCCTGATAATATTTTGCAATGGGAGTTGAATTAGAAGACAGAATTTCCTCGAGTTTGTACTAGAAACATAAAAGGAATCTTATTATACACTTACATTTTCATTGGCATCATTTAGATCGATCTTATGGGCGGCCAAAGTTAATCTAGATTGTTCGGCATGCTCCTTTAATTTGCATTCCAAGGCTTTGAACAACTTCTTGTGATCAATGTTGTTACATTCTTTTATGAAACCCTTAATCGAGTTATTAAATAGTCCCACGTATTAAACTTACTTTCAAAACGGGAATAAGTGGCCTAATAAGACCGCTGAATGCCAAACTTGCTCGTACAACAAATGCAGCTTCCAAAAACACACTAAAAACCTCCTCAGCTATCATCGACCGGTACTTGGAATCTTCCAACATCTCCCGATTCAATCTGATCACGTCTTTGAGCCGAGTTGTTCTTTGTAAAACCTTGACATTGTTAGGTTTTTTAAGATCAATTGTGATCAGGTCGTCCAATAACTAAAGTGACAAATATCCAATCTAAAACCTCCCTTACGTCAGCTGTAATGGCCAGAGTTGGGATGTAAACATTACAATTGACTTGTAATTGAAGAAGAACTCGGACACAATGAAGACGAAGGGGAATGTATCTGGAAGTGGGGAACACGTTGATCAGGCCGATAACGATTTGGATCAATGGATATCTAAGTTCTCGGATCCAATCGACGGCTTCAGAAATGTGACGATGCTTTGATGACCTTATCATTACAGACGCCCAGAGGTAAACCCCGAGGACAAATTGCCAGTTGTAAACGGTTCTGATGACATCCTAAAAGCCGAGAAAACCTTCAAGGTGCTTACTGACAATACCTTTCTTTTTGTAATCTTTGCATTTCTCAGGTGGATTGCGTACTGCCGAATGTAAACAAAAACATATTGATACGAGACTGCAGGGTTAACAAAAGTCAGCTCAGCAAATGACCTTTGCATAAATAATAGATTCTGCCATGCTCCTGTTGTAACTTGACGAGATGACGAAACATAAGCGACATAACAACTCTAAAGTAACAAGTAAATTATACATTTAATCAACAAACTTGCTTTATACACAAATGTGTAAAGATCAACATCACTCTGACTAATTCTGTTAAGCGCCAGAAATGCGCCAACTCGTTCCTGCATCGACTTCTGACTCCACACTCTCACCAAGTTCTAAAAAAAACAAAGAATAAGTTCAACGCAATTAATATTATCATAAAGTCTTCTTGCTTACTTTGATAAGACGTCGACAAATCTTCTGGAAATGTAAGTAGAAGTCAGTCAAAGGGACGATCGACTTGATGATCGCAATAGAAATATCCTCAGCTCCAACTTCAGCTAAAAACTAAAACAAAATTTTAGGAAAATTCGAAAACTCACCTCAACCAGAGCGATCAGGTATTCCTTGGTTACAGTTTTGTATTTGTGAAAGTATTTGAAAACAGGTTGTCCTTGTTTTGCCTTTGCATTCTTGCTCTAAAGTCAGACAAATAACATGATCGTGATAATTCTCACCTCTTTTTGCTTCTCGTCCAAAGGATTCATCAACAACAACAAACAATGCCCCATGTATTTTAGGCAACTTCGAACAATCGAATCAAATACTAAAAAACCTAACATATCTTATTTATGTTACCTCTGTCCTCATTGACAACATATTCTCCCTTCTCCAGATTCGATCCCACCCTACAAACGCAGGCATGGAAAGATTGAACAGCCAACCTAACCACTGCCCTTAGATTTCTTCGATATTCTGAGGGACTAGATAATACTTTTTCAATCAGTTCAGCTGTTTGCAGATTAACAACTTTTCTATCATCATTATCTACTTCAAAAAAGATCGTTTTGTTCCCAATATTTAAACTTTCGGCCGTTTCCTCTTCTTCTTCGTCTAGAAGAAAATCTAAAAAATAATAATAAACGACTTACCAATGTCTTCTCCCATCTCCACATCACTGTCATCGAACTCAAGAAGATCCGCATCTTCCTTTTGCAGGAATTTAAAGAACTCTGGATCTTTCTCAGCAATCTGTTGCAGTTGTTTCCTATGAGACACTGGCGTTTTCTCTTCATCTTTCTCGAGGGTTCCATTAATTTTAGGAACTTCTAAATCAAGATCAGAAATATATCAATGAAACATACTCTTGGAAGTCTTGATCTTCTTAATCTTTTTTACTTTAACCATCATGCAACAATAACAAAGCAAATAACAAAACAACCTTCAACAAAAAAAAACGTAAACTTTTCACAACGAGTCCTAGGCCTAGGTCTGGGGCCAATGCGCTATCTGGGGCCAATGCGCTATCTGAAAGTTTGCTGAAAATTATAGGGCGCAGCTCGGAAAGGTGGCACGGGCGCAGCTCGAAAACAAGCTTAAACTTAGCTCCGGCGAGCTGCGAAACATTGTTTTCCGAGCTGCATCCTACCATTTTCAGCTAACTTTCGGCAAAAATTCAGGTAAGATCAAGGGAAATTTGGCAGCTCGCACCCAAGCCATTCCAAATTTTTAGCCGAAAGTCATTGAAAAGTACGCACTTCTGAAAGCCTATGCTGGTTGACAAAATTTTCTTTCCACCTCGTATCTCGGGAACTGCTGGGCCTAGAACCTCAAAATTCGGCATAGAAACGTCATGGGACAATCTAACACCATACCCAAAAAATCATACCATTTGATGCACTTTCAGTGCACTTTTTATGCAACCGGCAAAAAAAGAGGTGACAAAATTTTCTTTCCACTTTGGAAGAACGTTTGTAAATTAAAAGCCAAAGGCATGATTGTGGTATCATTGTGATCGCGAAGAAGTACATAAGCAATTTCCCGGTTTCGCGCACCCTAGAGGTGGCGCTTTTTCCCATGCAACACACTTAAATTAGATCTAATTTTAATGCCGGTGTAAACAAGGTTGCAGACATAAATACCAGATTTTTTAAGGGCAGTTTCATCTCCTTGGGCCTTCTGCGAGCTTCTCTGTTCACCAATTAAGCCGAAAACGGACAACGCAGTGATGAGCAGACTCCCAAGGGCGAACAAACGAAAACTCCTGCAAAATTGTGACACGGATAGAAAGAGGACTTCATCGCGATCACAACGATACCACAATCATGCCTTTGGCTTTTAATTTACAAACGTTTCTCCAAAGTGGAAAGAAAATTTTGTCACCTCTTTTTTTGCCGGTTGCATAAAAAGTGCACTGAAAGTGCATCAAATGGTATGATTTTTTGGGTATGGTGTTAGATTGTCCCATGATGTTTCTATGTCGAATTTTGAGGTTCTAGGCCCAGCGGTTCCCGAGATACGAGGTGGAAAGAAAATTTTGTCAACCAGTATAGCAGTAATGTAGGTGCACTTCGCCACCTATAAATTAATTCCCGTCGGTACCCAAAAAAAGGTTTGAATTTGTTTGTGTATGATAGTTGCGTAATTGAAAAATTTATTGAAAAATAAATTAATGTCAGGGAATGTACATTAAAGCCTTTTGGAGTTATCAGAGACCGGACATTGTGATGCCCTCCGAGGGAATGCTCCTGAATGTCTATCATACAGTTCCTGGATGAAGGTAGCATTTTGCCAAGCCCGATCTCGAGCATTGGGCCCTAAAGAAATGTCTTGGGCTTCCTCTTCTATCTTATTGTATCTCGGATCACTGATTAATTTGAGAGAAAGAGCCATTGCTTCTGGAACACAACATCTTCAAGAACATAACCACCTACCTTCGACAGTCCCTCGAACATACTCAGTAACCTTAGCTTGGTTGTAACCACATCGACCGATGGCTTTGATCAATAACTGGATCCAGAGTTGATCTTCTTCTTTGACTTCATCAAAGTTGAATTTCTCCGTTTTAACGTCGACCTTTTGAGGTACTCCATGAACGAAATGGCCCGATCCGCTGGATGTGGAAGGAAGTTGTTGGAAACTTCTAAATAAAATTAAACCTGTTATGATAAGACAAATTAAGTGGAAGCTGGATGAATAATGCAGTTGCATACCACTCACCCTTCACTAAAGTTGGGTTGGGGAACCTGGATGATGTGAGCAAGATTATAAGCACCAACGATCTGCTCGACCATGCCCTCAAGCCCTGTTCCGTAATTCCCTGATCGGAAATGGACAAGATTTTTGTGGAAAGCATCTTGCAGCACTTCACGGGACAACTTGGCATCCCTCCCAGCTACCGTAAACACTTGCCGATCTTGTCGAGAATTCACTATCAAAACCATGGTATCACAAAGTCCAACATCCTATGAAATTAACTAGATCGTGGCATTACTTACTTGATAGTTCATGTAACGAGATCTGAGCAGGTTTGTGAATTTCTCGACCGAAACGGACTCGAATGGAAGCATTCCCAGTTTATCGATTAAAGCGATCATGATATATAAATTGGAATGATGTGAGTTTACGCATGGTGGTGAGGTGTTCCTGATATTTGAGGTGATCCTTTGTAGCTACAAATAAAAGATTACCGAAACGAACTCCCGAAAGTACAAACAAATCAAAGAGAGTAGGACGAAACGATTAACTCACGTTTTGTATCTTTTCGTTGAGTTGATTCCTCTGTTCTGGAGTCAGAATCTCAGCAGGATCACATACCTGACCCGGAAATAAGGTCTTGCAGCTCGCTGGATCAAGTCGGGGATCGGGGTACGACTGAGGACTGTATTGGGCCCGGACGACGGCGCTGAACAACAACAGCCACAGAAATTCCACCATGACGAAATCAGAGAGAACTTTTTTTTTCAGTCGCAGTTTCGGATCGAGTTCGACCTTGCCTTCTCAACTCGGTCAATACTAACCTCTTAAGACGTCTTCTTTCTGGATGGAGAAGAAGACGATCGAAAGGCGCCGAACTCTTCATCTCAACTAATTTCCTGTTTCAGACGAGTCAAGTTGATGGTGGAGGTTCATCATCTGTGCTCCAATGATATGAAGTTGATATATTAAGCCTTGAAAAAACATTAAACATTGGGATCATGTGGAAAACGTTACAGATGATTACGAAAGCAGGACTTGGGTTGTCGTTTTTATTTGCCTAAAAATGCAAATAGAAACTTTTTGCTGCAAATATGTAATTTATTTTCTTCATTTATTAATCTATTAGACAAGAATAGCCACTCGCTATGAATCATAAATAAAAATAGAAACGAAAACTTACACCCGATCAAATAACATAATTTCATGATTTGGAAACGAGGAAGAAACGCGGGGACTACAGACTTGGCCAGTTATGTTTGCACTCTTGTCTTAACATAATGACTGGTCATCGGAATAAGAGCCCCGGTCATCGCATCGCTTTTCCTCTCCATCTTATTTTTTGAGAATTCCTTAAAAAATTGGCGTTCCATGGCCTTTCCCAGACGATGATCATATCTTGGTTGCTAGTCTTGTTACTCTACTTTACCAGGGCTACTTGTAACTATTGTCCGACCCGTAAGACGATCACTCTGAGTAAGTTGAGGAGGGAATAAAGCTTATTTTAGATCCCTATGGCCGTCCAATTTCTTGTCATTCCTCTTCTGATTGTCCAATGTCATCAAAATGTTTCTTAATAAGTGGATATTGTTGTGAAGATCTTACCGTAATGGCCCCGGAATGCCCTCAAGAGATGATTCCAGTCAAAATTTCTCAAAATAAACTTCTACAGTGCAAGATGACAGACAAAACCACCTGCCCGAACGGCTCTGTTTGTGTTCCAAGTTCAATCCCAACTGTTGGCCATTGTTGTGCTCCAGACCCATCAGAAGGATGTGCTGTTGGATCAAGAGTACTAAGGAAAGATACCTCAAAAGAGGCTATTTTGTGCAGTCCATCTACTCAAAGAAAGGCGGATACTTGTCCGGGGGAATCAAGTTGTCAATGGAACTTCAATCTAAAACAATATCAATGCTGTGAACCGGATGATGGTGGGTGTCGTAATCAACTTGTATAATAAAAAATAGGATGTCCTCGAAGCCATCGTCCCATGCTGGATGAGCATTCTGTTGTCCGAGCCTGCGATCCCTCCAAAAATATAAATTGCCCGAGGGGAGGTGTTTGTTGGTATAATTTCTGGCATGGGAAATTCCAATGTTGTCAGCCAATTGCGGAGAGTAAGCAATCTGCAGAATCAAATAAGTTTTCAGATTTATGTCCTGCAAATATGGTCGTATTTTTGAGTCCAGATGGTCCGATCTCCTGTAATTCAGATTCTGAATGCCCAGAAATGTACAAATGTCAACAAAATATTTGTTGCGGCCATCCTGGAGCATGCCCTCGGCCTGCTCACAGTCCAGCAAGAGACGAGCACGGTATAAATTTGCATAATGAACGCTTCAATTATGTTATTTGTCACAAAATCTTCTTATTTAAGGGAGATTACGTCCTTGTTTTGCGCCAGGCTTCGTAGATTGTCCAGGGGATTCCTCTTGCGAGCCATCTATCTATCCAATGGTGGTCAGACATGCCTGGAAACAACAGCTTTGTTGTGCAAAGACCGTCTTAACGTGTGCTGATGGAGGTTCTCCTTATCCGAGCAACAAAGATCCGATGCCTTGCGACAAAAGCAAGATCGATTCGTGTCCCGTGGATACGAAATGTCGAGCGAGGTAATTTTTTGCTCACTATTAACACCAAGTGACGTTTCAGTAATGTTCCTAAAACTTTTATTTGTTGTCGAACCAAAATTCTTTCCGCCCAGTTATGCCCTAAGGGTTGGATCCTGGAAAACAACCAACTTAAGGTAAGTTTAACAAGGGAATGGACTTTATGTGTAAATCGATTTTGGCTTGGGACCTAGTCAGATCGAAAGGTGTGTGGTAGTCGATTATTCACTTGGGGGGAAAATCTCTGCGCGGGGCTTCAAAGCCGAGAAAATCGGCTTCAAAGTTTGGACGAAAATCAAAGGAAAGGGATAGGGATCCCGGAAAAGAAGCGGTAAAAAGTGTGAAGCAGTGGCCGAGTGGTCAGTGCGCTCGCTTTTTGCGCAAAAGGTCGCAAGTTCGAATCTGCTTCCATTCATAACTTTTTTAGACAAAAACTTCTATTATTTTTTTTCCACTGAACTCGATTATCGAGGCAAGAAGTATATTTTAAACGGAACTTTTCCATTTTCAACGGCTTCGCACCTTCCCTTTACAGTTTTAGAGCGCAGGGCACACCATCAACCTGATGTATTCAAAAACAACTTTCCATTATGTTAACTTTTTTATCTATACCCCTTTTTTAAATGTATAGCCGGATTAGCACAAAGAAAGCAAAAGTAAAAACGATAAATGATGATTTGAGCTTGGAAAGATTCGAACCTGCAACCTTTTGCGCAAAAGGCGAGCGCACTGACCACTCGGCCACTGCTTCACACTTTTTATCGCTCCTTTTCCGGGATCTCTATCCTTTGATTTTCGTCCAAACTTTGAAGCCGATTTTCTCGGCTTTGAAGCCCCGCGCAGAGATTTTCCCCCAAGTGAATAATCGACTACCACACACCTTTCGATCTGACTAGGTCCCAAGCCAAAATCGATTTACACATAAAGTCCATTCCCTTGTAAGCTAATTTATTGATTTTATTACTGTAATTTAAGTACTGTAAACCGAATAGTAATGACTGTTCGAACAGTTGTCTTCTCTCCTCACAAACTCGGCAATTTATTTGTTGTTCTCCTTTGATGAGAGCCCAATCGAGACTAAAACAGCTCAGTTTGGTCACTTCTCTCGATCGGGATTACACGTGCCCTCTACAATATGTTGGCCCTGAGATTCTGAATCGCCAAGAACGTCAGTGTTTTTCCCCAGGGACCAGAGGCGAATGCAGTGCCGGCTTTATTTGCGCAACATCCCTGGAAGATGGGAATGTGAACATCTGCTGTGGCCCTTCGGATAATCAAAGGGACGAATCCAGATTCAGATGTCCCAATCCTGGCCAAATAGAAGTTTTGGAAAACGGGAGGAACAGATTCTGTGACGCCTACAGCAATGATTGTCCCAGGCTGTAAGTGAAAAGCAACTTCTTTGTTACAAGTTGCAGATCCACTTGTCAATCAGCGTTGAATTCTTATCAGATGATGATTTGTTGTTTCTCAGCCACCTCGGAGACTCCTCTTTGTCCAGCTGATAGCATTCCTCAGCCATCTACCGCCGGATTTGTCCCTTGTGATCTTAATCGAGGGAATCAGTGTGATAATGGGTAAGATGGATGTCAAGATAGACATTAACCTTGCTCTAGATACATCTGCATCCCTTCGGCCAATCAGCCTCAAAGTTCGGTCTGTTGTTCCCGAGTCAATTCGAATGCCCATATTTGTCCGAATCAGCAGTCATTGTACCTGGTATGATGATAATAATTATGCTAAAATTAATTTACAGGATAATGGACGTCCAAGGATCTGCACTCCTCAGCAGATCAACCCCTGTCCCACTGGGTTTACTTGCTCTCAATCTGTTGCAAACTCGGGAACTTATATTTGCTGTTCTTTGCCAACCACCGCTACCTGCCCGGTTAGTTATACGGTAGTTATTGGAGTAAATGGGCCGGTAAGTTGCCAAAATGCTGTTTTTACCATGAACCACAGATTCATTGTAATGTCAACAATCAAAACGACTGTCCGGCTGACAGTCAGTGTCTCCGATCACCGAATCAAGTCCAAAGTGCAGTTTGTTGCCAATCATCAAATGCTCCCCGGGTATGCCCAGAGGGCATGTCAGCTTTGCTATTGCCCAACAATCAGATAGAAAGATGCACCGGCCCTGGAAGTACGTGCCCCGTAAGTCGAATCAAATAACTTTAGATCTTCCAGGTGTCTGGCTATACATGTCAATTATCCAATTCTTTGAGCGCCTGGGTATGCTGTGGCCACGGTCGCAGTCAAGTGTTATGTCAAAATGGAGATGTCCCTTACTCTCAACAGTTCGGTAGGTTAAGCATCAAGTGTTTCACCCATCCAGGGACTCCATTTCGGTGCAATCTGTTCGCCTTTCCAAGCGAATGTCCAGTTAACTATGTTTGTCAAAGTTCAAGTCAAGCCAATACGAATGTCTGCTGTCCCAGCAATTCACCTGGCCCTAATCCAACTCCTGAGCCATTTCCTCCATTTGAACCGACGCTTCGGCCGCCTGCTGCCGATCTCACATGCCCCACGGGATGGAGTCCGTTCGAGGATTCAGAAGGCGCTTACCATTTCTGCCAGCATCCCCTTGATCGTCAATGCCCGCAGGTTCGTTGAATATTATGTATATGTTTCGGGACAAGAGTTGGAGCAGTTTGGATTTTCGCGTCAAGACATTTCCGGAATTTGGACACTTCCGGAATAGCGGAACACTTCCGGAACCGGGGAAAAATCAAAGATAAGGACTATCTGAATAGATTGACCGTTATTAATTTCGGGTTTTTTTCTGATTATTACTTTTTTCTTATGTAGTAATGTTAAAAAGTAACTTTTTGAAATTTTTCTAAAAATACTGGATTTAGGGGTTTTCGAGGTTGCTGATTTCGAAAATCGTGTTCATTTTTTCTGCACTTTATAATAATAGGTCACAATCAGGACTTAGATCGCGACTCGCGACCGAGGTCAAGGAGGTTGCCAAAAATTACCCGAAAATGTTCTCAATGCTTGACTATGATGGTCACGACACTTTCTTTAGGTCAGGTCGTCACCTATCTATTGTACAGGGTGGGGCATCTTTGTGGCCCGATTTGAATTGACTATAACTTCTTTAGTTTTTGGCCAAATTTTAAAATTCTTTTTTTCCCTGAATCGTCAGCCAACCCCATTTTGTTTGATACCAAATATGTTATACATAGGTGAGTGTCATCTACAGTTATTGGATTTATTCTTGGAGTTCATTTTTTTGGTCGTTTTTCGGTTGTTTTTTCGGTCTTTCCCGGTGTGTCCGAAAATGGAGTCCGGTGTGGAAGAAAAGGCTTGGTCTGTGGTTTGGTATAGCAAGTACGGTTCGGCGCTAAATTTTCAAATGGGGATACCGCATGAAATACGGACGTAATGCCTAACCTCCAGGTCGCAAGACAATTCGACGTTCGTGGAATAAGTTCCTTGAGACTGGCAGCGTTAACAGGAAACAAAAAAAGCAGGAAAGATGAGTACGAACGGAGCTGAAAATTTAAGAAGTTTTGTCAAAATTCCGAGAAAATCCGCATATGAGTACACCAAGTTTGGCCAGAACCGAGGGAATGCCTTCACCAAGGACCATTCGACGAACTCTGGAGGTTGAGCTTCACTTTTTGTTCTTATTCTCATCGTCGATTTTCGGGAGGGGAAATTCCACCGTATTTTTCTTCCGCACCGTACTCCATTTTCGGACACACCGGGAAAGACCGAAAAAACAACCAAAAAACGACCGAAAAAATGAACTCCGAGAATAAATCCGATAACTGTAGATATACACTTACTATGTATAACATATTTGGTATCAAACAAAATGGGGTTGGCTGACGATTCAGGGGAAAAAAGAATTTTAAGATTTGGCCAAAAACTAAAGAAGTTATAGCCAATTCAAATCGGGCCACAAAGATGCCCCACCCTGTATAATAATAAAGTGTAGAAAAAATCGACATGATTTTCGAAATCAACAACTTCGAAAAACCATATTTTTAGAAAAATTTCAAAAAATTACTTTTCAACATTACTAAATATAAAAGTAACCACCAGAAGAAAGCACAAATTTTTAGTTTCAAAAAATACCGTATACTGGGGTTACGGTAATTACAACTTTCAGAAATATTGAGCTGGTTTGTAAAAACGCGTAGAGGTAAAATAATAAAATCTCACTGTTTTACGTGTTCAACCATGGTGAGAATATAATTGAATTTTTTTGTGGGATGTGGCAATTAAATTTAGGTTTACTGTATGATCAACATTCAAATTAGTGTTTAAGCACTTGGTACTTCTGTAAACTTTGCTTTTTTTAAATTTTTTCATCGAATTTGGCGACTTTGTTTTAACCGGAAACACAAAGATTTTCGAAGTCCGGGAAATCCAATTGAAAATCTTTGCAAAAATTTTCTAAGTTTCACCGGGTGTCCTGAAAACACAAACAGTCCATCTTGAGACTTGTAGAGGTCGTTGTAGACAGCAATCTGCTTTACATTTCTTTAAAACCGAAATCTTCTAGGGGTTTTCATGTGCACAATCCTCAGTGTCAGGGGTGTTCGTTTGTTGTCGTCTTGCATCCAACTTGCAATGCAGTACTCCAAACATAACTCCCTACATCATCAACAATGCCCCTCGTCTCTGCACCCTCTCCAATACGATCCCCAACCCGTGTCCTCTCAATTTCTCATGTCAACCTTCCAATGTGGCCCAAGTTCATATCTGTTGTCCCATCAATTCTAACATCAGACCGCTCCCAGCAATCCAAATTAACCGCCCAGTCCAATCATCTTACTATGGGAATCAGATCATGTGCATGGATGGCAGTATCCCGGCTTATGTGGGGCAAGAGATGGTTCAATGTAATTATTTGAACACCCCTGATTGTTGTCCTCCCACATACATATGTGCATTGTCCACCCAAAGAGGGATCAATGTGTGTTGTCATAGTCAGTTACGGTAAGAGGAAGGATTACGGTAGAAAATGAACAGATCTTCAGCCAGATTATCTAGCCGCAAGGAGGTCAGGAATATATGTCCGGAGGATAGTATTCTTGTTCCGGATGGAGATAACCAATGTTTTGACTCGAGAGAATGCCCAGGAACTTCTACATGTCATCCTGAGCCAAATGAAATCAGAGGACATTGCTGCCAACAACTGGAATGTAACGAAGATTACTCTTTAAGATTGCCTACTCAGAGATGTGTAGAAGATGGAGAATGTGGAGAAAATGGGAAATGTCAGGGAGTTCCTGGACTGGAAGGTGAGTCATATAAAGTAATCTCTTCTACAGAATTCAGATGTCCGAGTTTGTTGTATTCCTAATTTTGAGAAGAAACACAGATGTCTCGGCCGAGGTACCTTCCTTCATTCTGGCCATAGTATCTTCTGCACTGCAAATGAGGATTGTCCTGCAGAGCACGAATGCTCTAATTCGACTACAACAGGAAGCTCTATTTGTTGTGCAAGCTCCAAAACTCATGATTTATGTCCGGAGAACAGGTAAGTCGTCAAGTCTCTTGATCAAATAGTTTTCAGGATACCCTATAGGAATGTTAAAGACGATCAGCCAATTAAATGTGCTGTTACAGAGCTTTCATCGGCTTGTCCCACTGGTTACGTCTGCAAAACAGGGCCCTCCGGGGATTCGTTTTGCTGTTCTTTTATCGCGTTTTGCCCTCCGGGTAAAGTCCCGGACATTGACGAAAGGTTAAATCATGCCAGAAGGTAGGAGGGCTGTGCTAATAAACAGAAAATTACCCTCATTGTAGATGTCGGAATAGTTCCGATTGTGCTCCTGGGTATTCTTGTGGTCCCTCCTCTGTGGAATTAATACAAATATGTTGCTCATCAAAGACGGCGTTCGGCATAAGGCAGCAGTCCCAAACCGACGATTACAAACTCTGGACGATAATGGAAGGATGATAATATTTTTTTTAATTTACCCTTTCCGGACGAGTGGGCACCTCCATACCGAAATGAAAGCGGTTACCCTAGTGAATAATACAGGATGTTTCAAGAAATTCAGCGGAAAGTTTTCGTCACTTGTTGGCGCTCACAAGGGAATGGACTTTATGTGTAAACCGATTTTGGCTTGGGACCTGGTCAGATCGAAAGGTGTGTGGTAGTCGATTATTCACTTGGGGGGAAATCTCTGCGCGGGGCTTCAAAGCCGAGAAAATCGGCTTCAAAGTTTGGACAAAAATCAAAGGATAGGGATCCCGGAAAAGGAGCGATAAAAAGTGTGAAGCAGTGGCCGAGTGGTCAGGGCGCTCGCTTTTTGCGCAAAAGGTTGCAGGTTCGAGTCTTTCCAAGCTCACATCATTTATCGTTTTTACTTTTGCTTTCTTCGTGCTAATCCGGTTGTACATATTAAAAATAGGTATAGATAAAAACGTTAACATAATGGAAAGTTGTTTTTGAATACATCAGGTTGATGGTGCGCCCTGCGCTCTAAAACTGTAAAGGGAAGGTGCGAAGCAGTTGAAAATGGAAAAGTTCCGTTTAAAATATACTTCTTGCATCGATAATCGAGTCCAGGGGAAAAAATTAATAGAACTTTTTGTCTAAAAAAGTTATGAATGGAAGCAGATTCGAACTTGCGACCTTTTGCGCAAAAAGCGAGCGCACTGACCACTCGGCCACTGCTTCACAATTTTTATCGCTCCTTTTCCGGGATCCCTATCCTTTGATTTTCGTCCAAACTTTGAAGCTGATTTTCTCGGCTTTGAAGCCCCGCGCAGAGATTTCCCCCCAAGTGAATAATCGACTACCACACACCTTTCGATTTGACCAGGTCCCAAGCCAAAATCGATTTACACATAAAGTCCATTCCCTTGTCAGCAAACGTGTCCAAAAAAACTCTTTTTGTAATAGAAATAAGACCAGATTCTCCGCCGAATACACTCCTGCATCGGCGGAGAAAATAATTTTAGACAAAAAACCGTCTTTTAATCGCTTTTTTGGTCGTCACACCAATTTTGTTGTCTTTTCTGACGGTTGAAAGGAGGATATTTGCTAATTATTGTGTTCGTCAAGCGTTCGGCCAAGGTATGGCGACCGCTCACCATATCGCCGGAGGCTATAACTCAGCTGTGGACAAGAAATGGCCCACCACAATTCCTATGGTCTGGCTATAAAAGATCAATAACAAATCCTACACTGATCCGATCTGGAAACTCGTCCGGAAAGGGTTAACAGTATTAATTTACTCACCAATATTTATCTAGGTATTACTGAAATAAAGAATTTTACTACAAATTCTTATAGATCCATTTGAAACAGCTGAGTGACTGAGACGGGCATCCAGTCTCTGGATCCATGCAAAAGATGGCTGTACTGCCAACGTAAATGTTCCTGCCCCCAAGTAGATCTGTCGCCCGTGTTCTGATTTTATGGGCACGATCTCTTGCAATCTGTTCAATACGACCCCTGAGACTTCTTTTGTTGATATTTACATAATTTGTATTAACGATCGGTTCACCGTACGCCGTCTGAGATAGCTGACCAGCTTGATCAATACCTGAACCAAGGTTGGAAGCATTTTAAATGACCAGAGAATATTTCTATCCCACTAGAATATAATATATATAATAAAGGGCTATATATTTTAGGTCAATACCGGAATCTATAAAGCATTTTTTCCGAATTCCGTGAGTTTCACAATTCCGCAAGTGTCACTTTCCGCAAATGTGACGATATGGCTCACAATCAGAGACATGAGCGCATTCTCTTCGAGGTTCAACACACACTTGCTGCAATTTTTCATCTCTTCGACAGATTTTGTGCGATTCACACGTGAAGGATGACGTTCAACCCCTTTGACGCAAAAATAATATTTTGGTGATAAAGTCGATTCTAACGTGACGAAGTGTCACAATTGAATTTATTTTCGAGTTCTGATGTCATTTGCTATTTTATTTTTTCTTCACGTAAAAACGTGAGTCCTTTTTAATGTCTCTACCCATATTTAAATCCTGAATGCAAGCAGTTCTCGCCTTATGCTATTTTTGTGAGAACCATGGCCCCAGGGTGGTCATGACCTGTCAGCCCCTCAGAAGTCCGATCTCGACCAAAAAGGCGACTTCTAATTCGTCTGACAGCATTTCGAGCCAATCTCCACCCTTGGGCGCGTCCTCATCTTGTCTAGACTCTGATTCGCAGCCAGAAATTTATGGAGATGGCGATTTTGGAGCTGAAATTGTAGATGAAGAACCTCGATGTGCAGCTTGTTCGTCCTTTGGAAATGGAATTGGAATTGTTTCGAATGATCACGATGCGCAAACCAGCTATGTCAGCACTCAAGTAAGCGTGTTTAATTTTATTGCTTATTTTTAGGTTCCAATGAATGAACGGGTCTATCAAATTGTGAAACAGACATGTATAAGATCTCTGAGTGTGGAGATCTCGTCGCCATTATTTATGGAACCAAATTGTTCTGACAATTCTAAAGTCATAAAGAATGAAGATTTTGATAAGGAAGGAGCTGTGTTGTATGGAGATCAGGAGAATGGATATACTCTTTCTTATACATTCAAGTAAGCCTTTTCTTACCTAAAATTTTGAATGTTCATTTTTTAGGCTCAGGGACGCGAAAGCAAGAGGATTTCATCGGTCTTACAGTTTAGTTGTGGTCAGCATGGATCACTACATGCTTCTCAACAATTACGATTTCTTTTTGAACGGATTTGCAGCTGTTATAACGCGACTCCAGAATCAGGCCGTGGAGGTTTTCGCAATGGAACAAGATCCGGGCGGTGATGTGGCAATGGCAACGGCTGTAAATAGAATTGGGCTCATGCCGACCACCTTTTTTCCCAAGAAATTCTCGCTGGATACTTCTAGAAGTCTGACCACAATTGTAAATAACAATGAAATTTATCATGTTTTGCATCGGTGAGTTTTCCGAAGTTACAGTCGACGACTTTTACAGACAAATGTTGTTTTTACTACGAACACAGACTGCATTGTTAAGAGATACGGTACTCGAAGGGGTCCCAACTCAGGATATGTTGGTATCCATGGAAAGAGATTACCATCCTTTGGACGAGACGGACGTCATTACCTCGTTTTCTTCTCAACAGACCATATGTCACATCCAAACGCTCAAATATTTATCCCGAAGACTGGCTGATATGAACATGAACTTTTTAATGTCTCTGATCTGGTGTCTTGTTGTTGGAGATCAAGTAAGTTCTTGTTCTACGAGGGATATTGCTGAGTATGATCTCCTAAGCGCTTTACTTTCAGTTGATTGTCAAGTCAGACGATCATTTGGCTCGGAAGTTATTCTTGTTTGCCTTTGCCCATCTCCTTCCGATGGGTTGTGTTAAGATAACTTCCAATTCTAATGTTTATGTTGATTATTATAAGTAAGTTTTGTGTTCTTTTATCTAAAAACATTTGTAGAAGTAACTTTGTTGGATGTAAATTAGAGACCGTGATTCCACCGGACGAATTTTCGTCTGCCTATGTGGTTTCTCTGAAGACTGAGCCGCGAACTGAGATCCTGGAGAATATGGGATTTGAAATTATTGTTGAAAATATGCCCAAGAAGTCGACAAAGAAACCAAAGATTGTTGATCGCTATTTCAAAGCTCTCACTGGTAAGATTACATTATGGCTTCACATTTTGATTAGATTTGGACATAAACGAACAGGTTTTGTTATCTATCATCAGCTCCACTCGATCCGAATGGTTAAATCATGCTAAATTGGTATTTCAATTAAGCCGACAACGAGAGAAAATAAATCTGGACAATGTTCTCAGTATTGTGGGATGTTCCGAATGTGTAAGTTGAAACAGAACAGTCAGTCCGTAGTTATACATCAAGATCAAAGGCGTTTTTTGTTGACGGTTCTTTTGTTGCAGGACTCCCCGGTGTTAAAGTTCTTCCAGGCCGGTCTCTCTCAGCGTTACAAACAGGCCGTTCTTACCACGATCACATCCTCAACCCGTTGATTTCCCTGGAAAGGTCTCCACGTTACCGTATCTTTCATTCGGTTCTATTTCTGGTCTCTCTAGTCCTGGTTTCCTTTAATTTCAAACGGGATTTTTTTAATGCCTTCTCCTTCATCCGTTGTCTGCGGGTATAATTGTATCGGTATCTTATAACAGAAATGGTAATACTCATAAAGATAATCTGAATTGATTTAATTATTTTATTTGTAATACTCATCTAACATCTAAAAAATAAATACTCTCGTTCTTCGATTGGAAAGAATATTCAGTAGTTAATAGGCATAGGTGGTAGTATTGTATGTCCTAACGCAATTCGGGCCCATAAAACGGCGACTCTTTCAAGGTGCCGCCCTCATTCCCATGGCTGTTTAATTCCTTCCTTTTGGAGTAAATGGCATGACTCTACTACTACAATACCCCCACAATGGACTGCGCGAGTGTTTCATCAACTCCCGAATATTGTTTATCCCGCTCGGAACTGACCAGTCATCTTTTTTATTCCATCATGGCTGTGGTTTATAATTAATTTGCATAAGCACCTTCTTGTTGATGATCGTAAATATTGTAACAGCGATTGCGTGTCACTTCTGTTAGTGATTACCCAATGGATAGACTTTTTGTTTGGAATATGTACGTGAGATACTAAATACCATAGTAATTGTAGATTGCGTGCTTACATATTACAATTGTTCCTGTTATTTTGAAAAAGGTTGGGCACCAGCCGAAGATTATATGCTGTTCTAAATACTAATATAAACTGTATCACGTGTCAATTACACCCAGTTATTCCGACATACCTACTGATTACCCAATTATGTAAATTACTCGTTTCCCATCCTTTGAAAAAGCGTTTCTTTTGCTATCACCTGTTGAAGGTAGTTTTCTCGAAAATTTTCGGTGTCTGATTTAGATGGTAGTGATACTTAGACGAGCCCATAAAAGGCGCATGCAATTGGGAAGGCAACATTTTTCAGTTTCGCGCGACCAATCGAATTGCCTGTTTTTATGGAGATTGAGCGGCTTTTAGCGGCGACTTCTTAAAAAAACTCTTCTTACTCTTTACCCACTTCTATGCTTCATGGAGCTCCATCTTTTTTTTGGCGTTTTTTGCACTTCGTACGGTAACCCAATGAAGGAATTCGCAACATTTCCCTTCAGGCGATTCGAGATTGATTTACTGTCTTCAGACCCAGGTACCCGCCTCCCTTCTCGTGTCCTAGATGTTTTTTTTAATGGAGAAATGACACCTGGACGATGGGAACGCTTTGTTCATATTATTCAACCATTCGCCGTTCCATGTTTACAATCTTACCGTCTGTTATTCCGTTTTGCGGGCTTTTGTGGTTTTATTTGGCAGGCAGGATTATGGTAAAAAATATAGATGTCGTGTGTTGAGATCCTAAGTCTTTGCAAATATGATATATCTCGAGTCACGTGATTGGCGGGCTTACTCTAGTGTGTTTTGGATTTCTCTGAAAGACAATTACAATTATCTAATCAAACTACAGTATTCCTTCTGATGTAATTTCAAACATTTAACCCCGGCCCTTAATTACAACCTCTCTTTTCGCGATTCTCAGCCAAATCCACCCAAATGAGGCGGAAATAAATAACGTGAGCCTACAGTAACCGTGAAGAAAAAACTTCAGGAAATGTCAGATGAGGTCGAGAACGAGAAAGTTGAATAATGGCCAAGTCATTTTCTCTCTCGAAGATCGCTGGGAATCAGAGGGGCCGTTAAGTTTTTTCAAGACGCTGGATGTCTCTCTTTAATGGGCCTGATGGTTCGTTAAAATTAAATGAATAAGATTTGTGTCAAATCTAAATGGGGAAAGTTATGGATCTCGCTCGAGTCGTGGGTCAGAAGGCGAGACTCATTCCATTCTACAGACTTCCACTTTCCTGTCATACTTCCTCTGGCATTTCATTTTTTTTATTTTAGTCGGTTGTACCGTCAATTATAACATTGCTTTGTAAGTAGCCAGGGATTACAAATGTTCCGTTTCTTTTGATTTAAAGTGGTGAAGCGAATCCCGGGCGAGCTTTTTATGGTCTACAGCTACCATAACTCCCAAAAAATGGCTGACGATAAAAGTTGGTTGACCCCGACTGTTTCGCAACATTTTCTAAGTGGTAATTTATGTGAATTAGACATTTGATGACCTTCTTAAATCACCATAAATTCACAAAAAATATTTTCGCCCTTCTTTGGAGAGTACATACGGAAGTTTACAGCGAAGGAAAGACAAGCAGTAGGCCGGAAGTTTTGATCTTCCCATTTTTTTTGATGGGCCTGCGAATATGCAAATGTGTTAAGAAGGAGATGGAAGTCTTTTATTGCGAGACCCTTGTCCTGTGAATCCCCTTACACGAAAACTGAACTATATATTCTTCTCACAGTCAGCCTTTTTTGTCTGATAAGATCAGTTTTATTACCAATAAAGTGGCTACGGTGTCTACAGCCTTCGAATACGACGCCTTACATCGACAGTCACTTTGAAAACAATTATCGAGCCGACAGAGATCGATCTCGGCGGCGCGGTCTCTCATCAGCCATGGCAATCAAAACATCTATGCAAATCAAACAAGTTCTGGGAAAGTGCGGGAAGGGGAGAAGGCGACCCAAATGACTGGCCCGACTCACTCTGGGGTTACGGTAGCCACTGGCTGTTCATTTAGCACACTTTCTGGCCACGTCCGTCCTTCCGTTAATATGCCTGGGGGGAAGAAAGAGAGTGCTCTTATTCCTTTCCGATTGCGCGATCACACATTTCCTCCGGTTATTGGATAAGAATAAAGTAATATTTAATGACTCCGATTCTTTGTTTATGTTGGGAACGGGAATATCTTTACTGTTCGGATTTAAATTGTCTCCCGGAAGGGCCTGTTCCGGGGACATGGTTCCAAATTTCTTGGGAATCCTCAATGAAAACTTTTCAATTTTGTCTGATCATTTTTATTTCACGCTCAGATTTATGATAAATGTGAAGTCTTATTAATCATCACTACGGTAGTTTTATTGTCCATGTAGAATTTGAAATATATCATTTCGGGGGTATTATGATCCGACTTGAAAAGATACCGCCACTTTGAGTTGGTCCCTCTAAGGTACCTCCAAGTTGTTCTAATCCCCGCTTGATTGTCATAGCTACTGTTGCGCAACCCGGCGGCAATGATCCCAAGGCGGCCATTTACATGAAACGATCGAGCCTGGGAAACACGCCCCGTTTTACACAGAGCGGTAATTAGGAGTAGATGGGCATGAAGAAAGTGGTCGGCACTTAGATCAATTTGGGGGTTTCACACCTGAGTGGTTGTGTTATATTGTATTAGACACTTGATGGCGGGTTTCTCAACTTTCACTTCCTGAATTTTGACAAACTCGGCTAGCCAAAAGGAATCCCGGGGCGACTCCCAGTGTTTGTATTGGGAAGCGTGGAGGCCTTTGATCGTCTTCCCACAACGCCATCACATCGCGCTCGATTCGTCGTCACATCAAAAGTTTTCCCCACTAAATTTATATAAAACTGTCAACTTGAGTTTTCGTCAAAAAATTGCGCCCCCAAATAATAAATGCGCGTGCGGCCCTGACTTACTCTCCATGTATATATATGTTCGGCGGTCTTATTTTGGGGAAGTGTGCGACGACGTGCGAAGAAAACGTTTTGATTTTGGAGACGACTTGTTTCATCGATGTTGTCATTAAATTCATGATTTTGACACGAGCGGATGAGACGTCCATGCGGATCGGCTGTGATGACAATATGGTCTGGTGCTATCTTTTAACTTAGCCTGACTATTTTTTATAGTTCTATTAACTTGTTTGAACCCTTCTCCTCAGGCATTAAAGTCTTATGTCCCTACCATAACCATACTCCCCATAAATCTTAACGGCCATGTATTATAACAGACTCCGACGCCCGTTACTAGGCGGATCCTGATCTCCATCTCAATCAATTATGTCTACCGGTGGCTGATTTCGAATTTTATGGCCCCTTTTATGTGACCGCCCGGTTGCCTCACTCTCGCCGCTCTCGGTGGCCAATCATCGCCCACTTGGCCACATTCCCGGGAATGGCCCCGGAAATCTGTCCGAGATCCATTCAGTGGTTTTATTGGTTGAAAAACATCTCAAACACCCCCCTTTCCCACCGCTTATCAGTCCTCGCTCGAGTCGCGTTACAGAAGACTCCTATCAGTATATTAGTGAGATTCCAGGTCCATGAAAATGACAATGTTTCGAGGCTTCCAAACACCGTCACCGCCCAATTATCCCATGGATAGGAAGATCAAGAAGCCATTGATGGAGAAACATCGGCGAGAAAGGATGAACAAGTCGTTATCGCATCTAAAGGACAAACTTATCAAACATTACCCATCCGAAACGTATGTAATTTTTTTTGATTCCTTCAGGTTGCATAAAGATTTTGACGGTTTTTATGTTACAAATTTTTAGGTCAAAACTCGAAAAAGCCGATATACTTGAGAAGACCGTGTTTCATGTAGACCGTATGGAGAAGATGCTGGAAACGGTTCAACAGTCCTTCAATGCCAACATGAGGCAAATGGAAATCCGCTTCTTTGAATTCTTAGCTTTGCCCTCCAACGGTCTTAGTCAAGAACAACTTTCCCGTCTCAAACAACAATATCAGCTCTTCTCCAAACGCCCTGTTCATCCTCCTTTCCCCATCAACTTCAATGTTGTTTGTCCAAATATATTCAAGAGCTTCCCACCCCTGCTAATGCCCATGCCCATACCCATAATGCAGAATATGCAAGCTATGGCAAATAGGGCACTAGGAAAGGAGGCCTCGGCCAAAGACCCTATGTCAGCCAGTACAACATCATCAGCCGAGAATACTCATCCGTCAAGCACGTCAACCACTCCACCTTGCTCTTCCCAAACTCAACAAGAGGAAGAAGGGGAGAATGAAGAGATTGATGTGGTGGATAACGAATGGTATTCCAAGAGATCTGATGACAGTGGAATCTCCTCTTCTCCAGAGATCTCCAGATTCCAGAAGTCACGGTCCGAGGATGTGTGGAGACCCTTTTGAGATTGTAATATTATTTTACCTTCAGCTTTTAGTACTTAGCTCTGGACTCAGATCACGGGTATTCCTGAGTCGATCGATAATATAATCCATCATCTCGTCGGTGCTTTAACTTGTCTTCTCAATCATTCGCTCTTTTCTACATCACAAATGGGCTCACCGTTCCTCAACTTGTTTTTTTTTTGATTGTACATTGTGTCTGTAATGTCCATTTGTTTGTTATAATTGCGCGCCATCATAATAAATCTTGGTAATCAGAGGCGAGAGGTCATATCAACCTGGGAAAGGAGAGTGCAAACAAAGCGGGATTACTGTAATTCGGAAGTCTTTAAACGCTTTTCGCCTCAAACAAAGTTTAGAGTCCTCTCTTTGTGAGAAAGACCGATCTTCGGAGATTAACACGGGATCAGAAAGGCCGATCAGTTAATCCCAAAAGGGATGACCGAGCAATCGCTCAACATTATGCAATCCCGACGAATTGGGGACTTTATTCTGACACGCTCATTTGTCATAGTTATCATAAACAAGTGATCTTCAGCATAAAATATTTATTGATCTATGGTTGAGAGTAAATGTCGACAAAAAGCCATCGACTTTGTAGAAATGGCGTCGTAAGTACTGTAATTTTTCAGCACAATTTGATCCACCTTGGAACTGTAAAAATATATAAAAAAGTGCCATGTCGACGCTCATTGAAACATACCGTATTCGATTCCTAAAAATAATTTTCTTTTTATAAAAGTGCGCAATAAAAAAACTTTACATTTCTCCTTGAATTTGATGATTTTGATTACTTTTGATGAAAGAGTGGAATGGGGAATCTCTGGAATCACTCGAGAAATCCTCTGGATTAAAGTGGACGTCAGTATCTTCGTTTCCAAACAGACATACGCCATCTGCGCTTAAAATAATTAGTCATTTCAATTAACAAAGTCATAGTTGGTTCAAAACAACACTTACACCTTTGTATCTGCCGATTTACTGGAAGAATACATGACCATGCATGGCCTATGCACCGCGAAAATGTTTCAAAAATTGAAAATCTGCATTCCCGTTACGTTACTATAGTAACGCATGTTTCGGCTTCGCTAAAGAACAATAAGTATTCGCCTTTTTTGATATCGCCGGACATTATTGGGCGTATAAAATGTCCCTTTTTTTATTTTCGATAAAAAAATATTTTCAAAGATTTTGAGCATAAAAATTACGCAATTGCGCAAAATACGGGACAAATTTTTGGAAAACAAGATTACTTACAATTACAACGGTTTTATGTTTTTTATTTTTAGTCTCATGGCTTTGGATCTGACTGGGGAAGATCCCAGAATGTCCTCAGATGTCGTTCCAAGTAGCCGAAAAGATGAAGAAGAACAGAAGTATGAACTAAGATATGAAAAGGAGTTTGATTCCATATCCAATTTATTCGAATTGAAGTGTTTGGATTCCAAACAAGAAGTTAGGAGGTACAACTTCACTGTTTGTAATAAAAATGGAGATGATTTGATGAAACAGATTTGTCAAGGGTATGTTCAATGTCCAATTACTGTTATAGTTTTAGATTGTCATCTGCTGAGCGGACTGATTTGATAAGAAGTCTCTTCAATGAATATGTTCGTTCGTCCGGGACTTTATTTGGGAAATGTGGACGAGATTTCATTGTCTATAACAACGAAGAGAGCTTTTATACTCTGAATCCATTGAATATGACTGGCGACGATGAAGTTGACATTCCTGTGAGATATTTTTCTTTTTTTTTGATAGTGTTTAAAAGAGAGTTTTTTACAAATCGAAGGATGGCCCGGACATTTCGAAAAAACGACCGACCCAGAATCTTTTGATATTTTGCATAGTTGTTGTACCATGATAGCTGAACGTCAGCACGAATTTTTAGTTTCGGAAATTACCGTATACGGGGGTTACGGTAGGTACAATTTTTAGAAAGATTGGGTTCGTATGTAAAAACCTTAAGGAGTAAAGGCACAAAACCTCGCCGTTTTACGTTTTTGACCATGGGGAACATTTTCATAATTGACAACTTTGCCGTAGAATGTTGCCTTCGACTACTTTGAAAAATACCAAGGTACCATATTGAATGTAACTTTTTTGCAGAGAACTTGTCTCAACTTTTGAAACCTCTCAAAAATACGTTGACATGTATGGAACAACATATCAAAAATTTAGAAAAATAAAAGGGGGGGTTTTGGAGTTACGGTACTTTGAATGTTGCCGGTACGGTATATCAAAAAATTATTTTTTTCAAAATCGGTGTAGAAGACCCGCAAAAATTGCCAAAACACGTTTTCGACCATGGCGAACATTTTTGTAATTGACACTTTTTTTGTAGGATGTAGCCTTCGCCTACTTCGAAAATGACCCAGATACCATGTGTAATGTAACTCTTCGGCATTCTACTTGTCTCAACTTTTGAAACCTCAGAAAAATACGTTGACATGTACGGAACAACATATCAAAAATTTAGAAAAATAAAAGGGGGGGTTTTGGAGTTACGGTACTTTGAATGTTGCCGGTATGGTATATCAAAATTTCATTTTTTCTAAAATTGGAGTAGGACAACCGCAAACCTTGCCAATATACGTTTTCAACCATGGGGAACATTTTTGTAATTGACAGTTTTGTTCTAGGATGCAGTCTTCGACCGGTTTGAGAAATGTCAAGATACCATGTTCAATATAACTTTCCGGCATTCAACTTGTCTCAACTTTTTAAACCTTTCAAAAACACCTTGACATATGTGTAACAACATATCAAAAATTTAGGAAAATAAAAGGGGGGGGTTTTGGAGTTATGGCACTTTGAACGTTGGACATACAGTACACCGAACTTTTTCTGTAATGCTGACATCCGATTTTGATAGATTCCACCGTCGTATGGCACACACGTCTCTAAACCGTGGCAATTGTTACAAAAAAATTAAGAAATCACTGATCTTACTGTTACAGTAACCAATTATCTGCGCACGATATGTTACAGTATGCTTAGGTCTAGTTTTTTTGAATTTTTTTGTGAAAATAGTTTGTGAGGGTCGTACAACATAGATAAAACATTACATTTTGTTTTTAAAATAATCTACGTAAAGTTAAGCCGAGAATAAATCGAGGTGTACTGTATGTCCAACATTCAAAGTGCCATAACTCCAAAACCCCCCCTTTTATTTTCCTAAATTTTTGATATGTTGTTACACATATCTCAAGGTGTTTTTGAAAGGTTTCAAAAGTTGAGACAAGTTGAATGCCGGAAAGTTATATTGAACATGGTATCTTGACATTTCTCAAACCGGTCGAAGACTGCATCCTAGAACAAAACTGTCAATTACAAAAATGTTCCCCATGGTTGAAAACGTATATTGGCAAGGTTTGCGGTTGTCCTACTCCAATTTTAGAAAAAATGAAATTTTGATATACCGTACCGGCAACATTCAAAGTACCGTAACTCCAAAACCCCCCCTTTTATTTTCCTAAATTTTTGATATGTTGTTACACATATCTCAAGGTGTTTTTGAAAGGTTTCAAAAGTTGAGACAAGTTGAATGCCGGAAAGTTATATTGAACATGGTATCTTGACATTTCTCAAACCGGTCGAAGACTGCATCCTAGAACAAAACTGTCAATTACAAAAATGTTCCCCATGGTTGAAAACGTATATTGGCAAGGTTTGCGGTTGTCCTACTCCAATTTTAGAAAAAATGAAATTTTGATATACCGTACCGGCAACATTCAAAGTACCGTAACTCCAAAACCCCCCCCTTTTATTTTTCTAAATTTTTGATATGTTGTTCCATACATGTCAACGTATTTTTGAGAGGTTTCAAAAGTTGAGACAAGTTCTCTGCAAAAAAGTTACATTTAATATGGTACCTTGGTATTTTTCAAAGTAGTCGAAGGCAACATTCTACGGCAAAGTTGTCAATTATGAAAATGTTCCCCATGGTCAAAAACGTAAAACGGCGAGGTTTTGTGCCTTTACTCCTTAAGGTTTTTACATACGAACCCAATCTTTCTAAAAATTGTACCTACCGTAACCCCCGTATACGGTAATTTCCGAAACTAAAAATTCGTGCTGACGTTCAGCTATCATAGTACATCAACTATGCAAAATATCAAAAGATTCTGAGTCGGTCGTTTTTCCGAAATGTCCGGCCCTTGTTATGAGAAGCTTCAATTTGTAAAAAACTCTCTTTTAAGTCCCTAGACTAGCTTTCCCTAAGGTCACTCACATAACAAGCCGAATTCGTTTCAGACAGATTTATTTCACCACGGACTCCCCTCATACAGGGTTATTGTTCGGTCGCTCCTCTAGTCTTTCTTCTCCGTAATAGATAGTTATTCTTTAGGCATCTTCCCTAACATCTAAATTGTTTCAAAATGACAAAGACGGTGTTATATGCAATTCTCGATTTGTGCAGACCATTGATTCGAAAGTTGATCAGAGAGAATACCTAAAATTCCTGAATGTTTTGGTGTTGCAGAACTTCTGGGATACATGGTGAGTTTGTCTGGACGTAATTAGCTATCGTTTTAGCGATTCGAACATGCTGATTAAAGGAAATGAAGTCCTTTTCTTGCAGTCGGAGCCCTCCAAGAATCCGAATATTTTTAGTTGTCTTTCCGGTTTTCGATCTGATGTAATTCCTATTGATGAAGGCCGCTTCTTTCTCCGGTTATCTCGTAAGAAAACGTTATGATGACTGTCTATTCATAGCCTTAATTCAATACTTCCTTGTGGAGGACACTGTATTTGGTATCGTAGCAGCTATTTCTAAACATGATGACTTCGACGATAAATTCTTGGAATGGTTTAGGGACCATCGAGGTTTCCTGAATAACATATTTGAGGACAAAAACGCCATCAATTTTATTACTGAAGAAAGGATTATTATTAAGGAAATATGTAGAAAATCAGCCGAGGAGTAGGTTTGTCTAAGTTTGATGAAAATATTCAGAGTTATGCATGACGAGACAGATTCCGTTTACGATTTCTACAAAAGCGAAGGAGTTGTGGTGGAAAAAAGATTGCCGGTGATCAGAGATTGTAATGGAAATTATCATCCAATGGACTTTGTTCAGTTAGCCCCGTTTCAAACGTATAACAAACAACTTGACCATTTTGTAAATGTAAGTGTTTTCATTACCTGTGGACTTTCTTTTTATCACTTTTAGGTAAAACGAAGAGAAAGAACCGAATTAATTATATTTGATCAAGTTGTAGAGAAGACGATATTGTTCAAGAAGAGGGTGTTGAGTGAAATCGGATATCTGACAAAGTACAAGGTGAGTGCAAAAAGGTAAAAAATAAAGAGACCAGTTCAAAATAACCCAAAGACTGCCGAGAAAAGTGGGAATCATGCTGTTCCCGACAATCAAAATGGCAACCGAGATTATTCACGTTGACCGCAATGATCTACAATTCCAAATAAAGAGCGAGAAGATAGAATTCATTAAAAAAGGTTACAAACCAGACTTCAAATGGGCCCTCGTTAATCTGGATGGTGGATTCGACGAGAAACAGATCAAGTATGTGTGACAATGTGGTTATTTAATTGTAACTCTTTAGGATTTTGTCATCATTTCTCTTCTTCAATAACAAGTCGGCAATCCCGCCGAGGATATTGAACTACCAAGTGACCGGTCAACCCTGTGCTTTGGTTGACAGAATATTTGAGGATGTAAAAAATTATGACTTCGTTATGTACTCTGACGGCAGACAGAAGCAACTTAACCAAACAATGGGCTACTATGAATGCCTTAAGGGAATCCCGGTGCTTGCTGTGGATCCAAAATTGGTTATTAAAAGACCTGAAGCTCATCGTAAATGGAAGGTCCCGATGAAATTTATTGTAAATACGAAGTTAGGCGGCGTCAACTTTAATTTACATTATCCGAAGACCGAAACATCAGTGGAATCGATGGCAAATCACAATGAAATGCAAGTAATTCTTCTACTGACATATCTTATAACACCGTATAGATTCGACTTCAAGATCAATCGTATGTTTATCGGAATTGACGTTCGGACCGTGGATGCAAACCTGCATGTAATTTCGGTAGGCTTATTTCTTCTGTATACATAATTTTCCAGCTGGCCTATACCATAAACAACATATTCCAACTGAAAGGAACTTATTGCTACGAAGACTTTAGAACTTCTTCATGTTTTCATTTTTTGTTGAAAAAAGCAATCAACGAATATCAAGGAACAAAACACGAAGGAGAAGATCAAGCTCCTCATGAAGTTGTGATTACTGTAATCGAGGAACTAAAAGTATGTTTAAATTTGAGTTAATGTAACATCGATTCTAGGACAGGGTCAGTGAAATATTAAAAGACATTGTCGATTCCAAATTCACATTGATTTCCGTTGTCTTGGGCAGCAATTATAACTTCCTGAAGTACAAGACATCTGCAGTCGAGAAGGGGACCGTCTTCGAGAATTTGCCCCAAGGCTGCTTCATTCAGATGCCCGAGAATCCAGCCGAACCAAAGTTCTTCCTTCGGACGGCTATAGCTGCTGTAGGTGTGAATAAGAATTAGAAAACTATAACTTTACAGAATAAAAGAGAAGAAGGCAGGATGCTTCCTTGGGACGAGTACACCATTGTTAGATCTGATGTTGAGGTAGATCTGAGGGTCATGGGCTACATGATGTTTCATTTCTGTGCTCTGGACCCAACCGAACTCAAGATGATTCGGGTCCCATTCTTCTTGAAAGCAGCTCAGAGATATGCCCTAAAGGGATATAACAACTACAAGTGCGCAAGGTAAGCTTGGCGGTCCCATAAAAGATATGTTAATTTAGATACTTGATCTCCAACGGAATAATCAGCAGTAATAGAAACCCTTTCGACCAAGATCTCGACCCCAGTACCCGCTCCATGAACCTCACATATCTTCTCAAACCCAGGTTAGACACTTATTTTTGTTGTGACACAAAAAAAGAATAAATATAAGAGGAATTGATATTAACGTAACCGAGATCGTTATCAGTGGATGAGTTTTGGGCAAGAGGTTCTAGTCGTCGAAATCTGCGAACTTGTAAGTTATGTTGTGATCATAAGCACGCATCCTCCTGGCTGGAAAAAGCTTTTAAAAGCGATTTTGGAATCAAAACAATTGAATGGAAGACCGAGGGAGGGCGGAGATATATCAAGAAAGACATTCAAGAAGTAATGATAAATTACTTGAAACACACTCACGTTCTGATGGAGGTGGGGGACGTGGCGGTGTAACTTTTGGTCGAACATTATTCTTAGAAGTTATAGGGCAACTTGGTGGAGGACATCTGGGTCTTTGGATCTTGGTAATGTCCGACCGGGTGATTTGAGTGGTTGTTTTAAGGCAACTCGCATCTCTGATCACCACAATTGAAGCCGGATCAAGCTAAAATAGATGATAAAAAAGGAGGAAACACTTTATTATACCAACCGTTCCCATTAAGCTAGTAAACAAAATCATGAATAATAAACTTGGCTCATAAACTCACTTTAGATGCTTTAACATACGGTTTACTTTGTTCTTTTTTTCCATCCGCGCAGAACATGCAACGAAAGACGTTGACTTTACTCAGAAGAGATCCCAAAACTCGACGCACTCCATTTGGTCCGGGGATCTTGCTGAGCTGAGGCATTGGGCTCTTCTTCACCTCCAGATAGGCCTGGTACTTCGATCGAACATAGATTGTGAGAATGGCGCTCGAGATGATAAGAGCACCAAGCCCGGTTAGATACTGAAAAAATATTATTTTTTTCGAAATTTTTTTTGGTTAAAATATTTTCGTGATGAGACCAACAGCCAGAGACTACACCCGACTAGTGGGCCCGACTCAGGGCGGCCAAACTCCTTGGGGTTTTCGGGATGGGGAAAAGGTTGGAGTAGGTGCGAAAAAGTATGTGTAACACCAAATTTTTTAGAGCAAAAAAATGGATTGGCTGCCAAAAAGTTTGCTTCGATATTATAGAATGCCTTCACAGACAATAGTAATGGTAGAAAACACCTTTGACAGCCGTTGTGACACCTTGGTTAGCCGACCCAGGTTTTCGGCCAGCCGTTAAAAAAAAATAGTTGTGATTTCAAATCATCGGCTGTTGTCAGAGAATTTTGCAACCTTGGCTCTACATATTGGGCCAATAATCGATCTGCCCCAAATGAAAGGTAGCCATTTTTTTGAAAACAAATTTGCGCGCGACCAATTGAAACGACGAGGTCATCAATTTTGAACAGGTGGTGCAACGAGGATGGATGAATTCCGTGAAGAATTAAAGCCATAGTCTTCCACAATGGAATGGGATAAACTCACAATTTTCCACAATGGAATAATCCTTGTGCACGAAACGGGATTACAATTGAGTTCTGAGCACTTTGATGGGAGACCGCAATCACATTCCTCACTAGACTCAACTACCCCATTTCCACAGACTTTGAACACTGCCGGATCCGATTTACTCTGGGCCGGATATCCTTCGGCTTTGTTTTGTGCATACGATCGAGGATATCGGGAAAGACACCGGTTTCTATACAATATATTGGAGAGTAATTGAGCTGTGCAATTGTGATCAAATCCTCTGAAGATCAAGTAAGGGATAAAGAAAATCAAATTAATTCTTACGGAATTCTCAAACAGCCTGGTCCCTTTTCCGGGACGAAAGAGTGAGCGACGGATTCTGCGTTTGTGGTAGAAGAGTGAGCATGGAAGCTGCCCTGGGGGCAGCCACAGTTTGGAACGTTGATCGGCTGGCCAGAATCTGCATGAGAAACACCCAGGAGATGAGAAACCTCGTGGAAAAATATGGAACCCATTGCTTCTGGACTATGCGGATAAAACTGAAAATAAAGGAAGGAGGTTAAGTTACAGAAAATAATCGTTCTTACGCCGGACAACATCACACTCTTTGTGGAACACATCCCATTTACAAAGGCAAGTCCACCAGCATATCGGTAGGAAACCAATCCAGCAAAATCGTGATAAGGAAGGGATTGGAGGCGAGATTGGCGATACTCTTCGAAAGAATACAAGGAAAGATCGTTACGGTAGGTTGGCAAGATGTCTACTATCACAAGACGAATGTCCAATTGGGCAAAGTACTGAAGGAATAATCCCTTGTTTTTTTTGCTTACTTTATTGGCCTCTCTGACCATGTGCATAATCTCGTATTGAACCCGTCCGGTATCATTTTGATAATGTTCCGACTAAAAATTATCGTGATATTTTTTTTTTTATTGTTGCAATTTTTTTTGCAACAATAAAACCTACAATACGGCCATCGGCAAAGAGAATTCCATAAATATGAAAGACTTGGCCATCCAGATAGACCTCCGAGTAATCGGGCACTGGAGCTCCCCAAACTGCGGGACCGCGGCGACTCCGAGGTTTGGTCTTGGCTGACTAAAAGGCGCTTATTTTTATGAGTTGTGCCCATAAAGACCTCCAAGACTCAAGCTCAACATTAGGCTAACATACCGCAGAGTACTGTAACAAAAAAGTGAGGAGAAGATAAAAGTGTCGCCATCCTAACATTGCCAAGTTCCCTCTTTCATGATCTTTACCGATTCACCTGCGGTCCGCTGAAAATGTTGTTAAATATGATGACAAGCTGAGATCGCGTCGCTAATCCTATAAAAAAGGCCCCCCCAGACTGATATGCATATGCTTTATAGAGCGCGTTTCCGAGAGAGTTGTTGAAAACCGAAATTCAGAAAAAAACTCTACGGACACCTGGTGCGTCAGAGGGGCGGGCGGGGACAGGAATCGGGCTAGTCACTTTTTATTCCCAGGAAACATTACACAGGTCATTCGGGATGGTCAGACTTGAAAAAAGTGCAAATCGAGGTTGAGGAGAGGGAAGCAGCTGTCCGGCCGTTGGTCCCCACCCCCGGGCCAGTTCTGGGTACACCCCGTCCCCCACTATCTCCGTCTCAGCGCAAACGCCGAATGGTCATTTTCGGCAGAAGTGCGCGGCCTTTCAGCTCAAATGTTTTGACTCATTTCTCACTCGAAAAGGGGTTCCAAGGATGCGACTGACAGCATTTCGCTTGCGATTTAAGGCGATTTTCGCAATTTCAAAAATCAACTTTGGCGCACTGACATAAAAGATAAGGGCGGTTATGCCACATTACCCGAAAACGAAAAAAGGAGAGGACTTTACAATTTATTGAATTAAAATTGTTTTCTAATGCAGACAAGGCCGTCCTTATCTTTTCATCTCGTCGTGTAACGGCATTCTGAAGGGTGACAAGTCCAGAATTCGCAGTTCCCCCCGTCGATTCCCCAATTTCGAAATACTTCTGTCCCTATAGGGAAATTGGCCAATTCGTCTGAGGCCGCCTTTTCTTGGGTTTTCTTTGGCTCCGAATTGTCTCTGCTCCCTCCGAACCGGTTATTATGCTCTTGAATCCAGAGCCGGAGGGCATAAAGCGCCGACCCCACAGTCATAAAAAACCACTTCTCGGTGATTGATCATCATCCCTGCCTTCGATCCCGTTCACTCCGGTTTTCTCATAAGCAAGTTCAGTAAGCCCGCGCGAACACCGTAAGTTGACACGTTTATATTTATATCAACAAGAACAAGATCGTGAATGACCAACAAGTCTATTGCACTGGCTGGAAGAGCGCTGGGAAATAAATATTATTTAAAATACGTTAGATCAAGTAAATCCCCTAAAAGACCTTAACAGGCTGAGGTCTGAAGTGGTAGTAGAAGACAACCAGGACTGCGGCGATCATGGCACAGAATCCTCCTACCGTCATCGAAATGCTGAAAGGAGACAGACAGAGTCCGTTGGACACCTCACTCATATGTCTGTACCTCAGATGGGCTGGCAATTTCTCGTTTTGTTGCTGAAAAAAATATATTTACTATGAAAGAATTTCGTGGTAGAAGGAACGACGGTGGAATGTTTAACTTACTTCGCTAATCTCAAGAGCCGAGAGTTCAGTTCGGACGTCCAAAGTGTTCTCGTAGTCAACGGATCTCTTCTTAAGAAGACGGAGTTGAGCTGGGGCACTTGGGGCAGCAGCAGCGGCTGGAGCGGCACCAGCACCACCTCCGAGTTTCTGGGCTCCAAATCCAGTTGGCTCGGAACATTTTGGTCGAGCACATTCACTGTTCGGTTCCTTAATGGTGATGCTGATCTGACACTGGTAGAAGAGCTGAGAACGGTCGGCGTATTTGTAGACGTGAGCTTCTTGACCAGCCATCAGATCAGTTGGGTACTCCAAGTTATTGAGCAAGAACTTGTCGAGGGCACATCCCTCTTCGTTTAGGATTTGGATGGTATCTCCGTTGCCATCATCAACGGTACAAGAGTGAACGACAGCGCAGAAGGTGTCGGTGGTCTCGGAATCACAGGTCCATTTGTGGTAGACTTGTTGTCCAATGGTGGCAAATTGGATGGGCTGACCGGATGGTCCTCCTTCCAAGATCTACGCCGCAATTAAATTTTAAGACCTTGTTACTTACCTCATATCGGCAGATGGGCATAGGGACGACTTGGGTCTGGAAGGCGGTGGTGAGATCAGAAACCTCAAGTTGGGCGCTGACAGTCTTATCGGCCTCCATGTAGAAGCATTGGACTCTGTAGGCACGGTCTACCTTGGTTACGAACTGTGGATGGAATTGGATGACAACGGTGGTGCTGACAAACACTCCTTTAGGGTTGAGAGAACGGGTACGGGCAACGTTGCAAGAGTCGAAAGGCAACTCGATTCCAGCAACTTGACGACCGTGCTCATCAGAACGACATCCCTGCTGATCGAAGAGACCCTTCACGTAAACGTGACCGTCGAAGGCATTACGGGTGTTGAAGTTGACGGTGATCGAAGTGGGCCCGCACTCAATCTCGGGCTCTCCCTCAACTCCGTTGTCAACGGGAATAGCGGAGATCAACCCGATCGACAGTAAACAAATGCCCACTACTCGAAACATAATATGCGTTTGCGTGGATATGATATGCGTTTAGCTTTTATACAATCTGAGATTGACTTTGAGAAATGAAAAACGGGCACCACCCAACTCGTCTTTAATCTCCGCCTTCGGCTTGCTTTCAACGTCATTATCAGCGGTTTCTTGTCGTTAACTTGCATATAATGACGAGTTTAAAACCAACAAAACTTTTTTTGCTCCATGCGACTACCGGAACACCTCGGAAACGCTAGCTATGAGATTAATTACAACCACTAAATGAGAAGTAAAAAACAGCGCCCAAAACGACCTTCATGAACGCTGTTTATCCATGCCGTTCGAAGCATAAAAATGATAAGAATGGAATCGACTTCTCACTTTCCTTTTCACTGAAATGAATCGGTAGGGAATGAAACCAAGATTAACTTGTTACATGTAAAGGACGCATTTTCAATCGTGACAATATCATCTTACAGTAACCGAAAATATGAGCAACAGTTCACAATTGAAACACCGTGGGTCAAGATGGGAATAAATAAATCCTTTTATGTGTCAATGCGACAGTTAGTCCACAATAGTTCATTTTTCTTAGAAAAGACAACTACACTCAAAGAAGACAAGTTAAATTACTTATTTTATGTTAACTAAATAATGTCGTTCCATTGGAGTAAGGATTGTTAATACTGCTTGATATTTAAAACTAAAATCTTTTAAAAGTATTTCTTGAACTGCTAAGCTTGGGAAACAATGATTTTTGATTCTGAAGTCGATATTGCAACAGGGATACTTGCTTTCTTGTGGTTGTTAGCATTGGATGGTCTGCAGAATCTTCAAGGAATGCAGCCTTCGTAAGTTTTATATGTCAATAAAGTTTATTGCAACCTTCTCTTAACTAATAAGGTGAACCAATTAACAGTGCCTTTTCACTCGATGACATAAACAATAAAATTAATTTAAGCTGACTTTCGGATGAAATGAAATGGATATGTATAAGAGTAATTCACTGTACTCGGATGATAGCGGGAGGGGGGAGGTGGTATCGATTGCCGAAAACAGGTTTCTGGATCAAAACAATCACATAAAGAGAGTTGGTGTTCTTTGCCGGGACTTCCGCGGAGAGAGCGGCTCGAGATGATAAAGATAAAACGTTATTAAAACCAACGATTCTTGGGTTTATCCTCGGCATTCGGGTTTATCTTCGCGCTGAAGGAGCATCCTCAAGACTTGTCTGGAGATACAGATGAGGCGCTTATCCCTTATCACTCGTGCCGATCATAATCGCTGAAGAAATTTATTTTTTCAAAGGAGTTAAAAGAAAATAAATTAGGGAAGAAATTACAATCACATTGGTATTAGTACTTTCTGTCTTTACGGAGAACAGAGAATCCGATGGTAGCCAGAGCTGTGAGCACAATCATAAAGACGAACATCGTCAGCATGAAACCAGTTCCAGAAACACAAAAGCCGTTAACAGCCAGCTGAGATTGCACTGGACGACCGAAATGATGACGGAGTTTCTCGGGGAGAAGTGGCTCCTGTAATTATTAATTCACTAGTAAAGGCATAAGGTAAGAGAACTCATAAAAATAAAAGACTCACTTGGTTCTCTGAGATGTCCAAAGTGTTGATCTCAGTACGGACATCCAACGTGTTATCGAAATTGTCAGCGCTTCTTTTCTTGAGGAGACGTGGCAAAGCAGCTGGAGCAGCAGGCGCGGCAGCGGCGGCGCCAGCACCACCTCCGAGTTTCTGGGCTCCAAATCCAGTCGGCTCGGAACACTTTGGTCGAGCACATTCACTGTTCGGTTCCTTAATGGTGATGCTGATCTGACACTGGTAGAAGAGCTGAGAACGGTCGGCGTATTTGTAGACGTGAGCTTCTTGACCAGCCATCAGATCAGTTGGGTACTCCAAGTTATTCAGCAAGAACTTGTCGAGGGCACATCCCTCTTCGTTTAGGATTTGAATGGTATCTCCGTTACCATCATCAACGGTACAAGAGTGAACGACAGCGCAGAAGGTGTCGGTGGTCTCGGAATCACAGGTCCATTTGTGGTAGACTTGTTGTCCAATGGTGGCAAATTGGATGGGCTGACCAGTTGGGCCACCGTCAAGAATCTAACAGATAAATTACCTAGCGATCGCCTTTAACTTACTTCGTATTTGCATACTGGCATAGGGACGACTTGGGTCTGGAAGGCGGTGGTGAGATCAGAAACCTCAAGTTGGGCGCTGACAGTCTTATCGGCCTCCATGTAGAAGCATTGGACTCTGTAGGCACGGTCTACCTTGGTTACGAACTGTGGATGGAATTGGATGACAACGGTGGTGCTGACAAACACTCCTTTAGGGTTGAGAGAACGGGTACGGGCAACGTTGCAAGAGTCGAAAGGCAACTCGATTCCAGCAACTTGACGACCGTGCTCATCAGAACGACATCCCTGCTGATCGAAGAGACCCTTCACGTAAACGTGACCGTCGAAGGCATTACGGGTGTTGAAGTTGACGGTGATCGAAGTGGGCCCGCACTCAATCTCGGGATCCCCTTCCACGCCGTTATCGACGGGAATGGCATTAATAAGGGGAAGCCCAAGAAGAAGGAAGAGGACAGCCGATCTCATGACAAGATGTAGACTGTAAGGGGAGAAGGAGTGGATATGGTTCTCGGCTGATATCTCGGGACTTTTATACAATCTCGGAGGTCCCGCCTCGTCTTTACATTACCCGACTTCAGTCACGACGGCATTGTTTTTTCCGTTCTTATCCTGTAAGAACAGACAGTTTATGGTAGCTTCCTTATCTCTATATCCGCCTTTGTCATTAATAATAAGTGCCTTAGGGCATCAGTGGAAATAAACACTCTCGGCATTTGTCAAGAAGTGTAATTTATGAATTTTCCGCTAAAAAAGTTGCAAAAGCATAGACGACCACTCATCAAATTGCTGTTTTTTAAAGGTTTATCCAAGGAAGGATAATGCTTGTTTTACCAGATGATGAACATCCATTGCGTTCGCATTCTGGATTCTGGTGTTGATTGATTATGACTTTCTGATCACTCAATGGAAAGATTAAACACACGCACACCGGACTGACAAAAAAGAGCCGGACTACCGCTTTCTCTAATCACTCTAGTGTTATTAATGGGTGTGGAGGCAAAAGATAAAAATTTATGATATTCGCGCGGAACGGTAAGAGGCCGTTCGCTTTCGTTTGCAAAAACAACCTGTTTTTACAGACGCCAACAAGTCTGGCAAAAATAAAACAACAAATAGATTTATGATATCTGCTGACTGAAAATGTGAATAAAATCGGCCTTTGATCAGGATTCGTCGATCGTCTTCAAAATCACAGACAAAAAACAACTAACTTTTTTAAAAAGAATGACTTTAGAGTGAAGAAACTGAGTGACTTGCTGGCATTATGCCCGTTCGTTCAGTTGTCGGAATGTTTCAATGTCCAGTTGTAAATCTTGTTCTTATTCTTTCCGCAAAAACAAGCAAAAAACACCAATTTTCTCCATGTTCGACACATGGCGCCAGATCCTCCGGGATGCGTTGATATCCATGATCTATGAACGCACAATGTTTTGAAACGAATAGTTTCCCTATTAATAAATTACACTTCGGATTTTGAACTCTCTCGTCAAAACAGATTCACTGAAAGCCAGCTTTTGTTTAGAAGGAGATTCCAGAATTTTGATAGAGAAATCGACGAAACGGAGAAAAAAACACGAAGCAAGAGAGACTTGCTTAGTGTTTAGCTGGGCGGTGCCACGACAATAATAACATGATTATGATACTTTTTTACGACGACCTTGTAAGGTTAGCACTTGATCCCTATAGTGTCAAAATCTAAAAAGAATTTGAGATATATAAACCCCCTTGACGCGTTCTTCGGCACAATAACGTCGACTTCAGTTCGACAAACCATGAAGACTTTCATTTTTTTCGCTTTTCTGATTGGCTTCGCTTCGGCTATTCCCGTTGACAACGGAGTTGAGGGAGAGCCCGAGATTGAGTGCGGGCCCACTTCGATCACCGTCAACTTCAACACCCGTAATGCCTTCGACGGTCACGTTTACGTGAAGGGTCTCTTCGATCAGCAGGGATGTCGTTCTGATGAGCACGGTCGTCAAGTTGCTGGAATCGAGTTGCCTTTCGACTCTTGCAACGTTGCCCGTACCCGTTCTCTCAACCCTAAAGGAGTGTTTGTCAGCACCACCGTTGTCATCCAATTCCATCCACAGTTCGTAACCAAGGTAGACCGTGCCTACAGAGTCCAATGCTTCTACATGGAGGCCGATAAGACTGTCAGCGCCCAACTTGAGGTTTCTGATCTCACCACCGCCTTCCAGACCCAAGTCGTCCCTATGCCCATCTGCCGATATGAGGTAAGTAACAAGGTCTTAAAATTTAATTGCGGCGTAGATCTTGGAAGGAGGACCATCCGGTCAGCCCATCCAATTTGCCACCATTGGACAACAAGTCTACCACAAATGGACCTGTGATTCCGAGACCACCGACACCTTCTGCGCTGTCGTTCACTCTTGTACCGTTGATGATGGCAACGGAGATACCATCCAAATCCTAAACGAAGAGGGATGTGCCCTCGACAAGTTCTTGCTCAATAACTTGGAGTACCCAACTGATCTGATGGCTGGTCAAGAAGCTCACGTCTACAAATACGCCGACCGTTCTCAGCTCTTCTACCAGTGTCAGATCAGCATCACCATTAAGGAACCGAACAGTGAATGTGCTCGACCAAAATGTTCCGAGCCAACTGGATTTGGAGCCCAGAAACTCGGAGGTGGTGCCGGTGCCACTCCAGCCGCCGCCCCAGCTAAGGGGGCCGCTCCAGCCCAACTTCGTCTACTGAAGAAACGTGACGCAGGTTATGACAACACGTTGGACGTCCGCACTGAACTCAGTGCCATCGAAATTAGCGACCAGGTAGATAATTTTGTAAGGGGTCTACAATAACATACTTAATTCAAGGCTGCTGCCCTCCCAGAGAACCTCCGCCGCACTCTCACCTACCAGACTCCCTCCCTCAAGGACGAAGGAGTTTGTCTTACCGGATACAGTGTCACCATGCTGCTTGCTGGCGCTTCCAGCTTGGTCCTGGTTATCTGCATCGTTGCTGCTCTCACCATTCGAGGCCAGAAACCACAAAAGTTCTAATTTATTGGTACCCGTAAATTATTTTTAAATTAAAGTTCACTCGGAGCCTTGACCTTATCCACGGTTAGGAGAACCGCAAAATATATGAAAATGAAGTTAGTGCAGAGCGTGGCCATTCATCCCAGGTTCGTGATGCGGTGGATTCTGAAACCACACACCAATTAACCTCCAGAAAACACAAGAATTCGGGGATTGTGGTCAGGAGCAGTATGATCGTCAATTTTCTTCGTGAGCCTAATTTTGAGCGGGTTTTTCAGTAATTCCCTGCATTGGGATGAGATATAAATGTCCAAACTTTCAAATATTGGCTGTCCAAACTTTCAAATATTGGTTGTCTATGAACCCTTACTACAATTTAACAAAAAAATCGAGAAGGTTACTGTAGCTTGGCATACTGTACAGGGTGGGCCACTCGAAACGGGTAAGTTGTTTCTTTGAATTTCTCCGCGGAGACTCCGCCGATTTTCCCGAAATTTAGATTTTTCTGTAGCTGAGACCCGCCATTTTTAACCGATTGAATTTCAAAAAAATATGTTTTGAATTGACCTTTCTATGCCTTCCCAAAGTTTCGAAGAATTATTTTCGAGCCGAAACCGCTAAAAGTTTGAAAATTTTTGGAATGATTTTCAATTGACTTTCTCGGACTTCGAAAATTTTTGGCTTTTTTTGGTAAAACCGAGAAGTAAAAAAGTTGCGTATCCTCTCTCTAAACTTGCTTAAAGCAAGTTGAAAGTAAAAATAGTGTTGTCTTCGTTACCGGAGGGCACGAACTTTCAAAAAAAAACCATTTTTTTTAACAATTGATAAAGTCCACACAATTGGCTACGAACCCCAGCTCCAAGCCGTTGAGGCTTGGAGCCCAGCCCGATTAAAGCTAAACGATGTTCACGATCTGCAATTCGAGCTGTTCACGACTCTCAAAGCTCCTAAAAGTTTGTGCTGCGAGATGAGGTGGGCATTTCGAACTCAGATAGAAATATTAATAATCAGTTCGTTAAATAAAATTGTTTTTACAACAATATTTTATGGTTATCTGAGGTAAAACTAAGAAAATTTCACCCAAAAACTCGAAAAAATGACCAAGTTTTCAAAATCATTCCAAAAATTTTCTAAGTTTTAGCGGTTTCGGCTCGAAAATAATTCTTCGAAACTTTGGGAAGGCATATAAAGGTCAATTCAAAATATATTTTTTTGAAATTCAATCGGTTAAAAATGGCGGGTCTCAGCTCCAGAAAAATCTTAATTTCGGGAAAATCGGCGGAGTCTCCGCGGAGAAATTCAAAGAAACAACTTACCCGTTTCGAGTGGCCCACCCTGTAGAAAAGGTCCGTTTTCAGCATTTCCTGAGTTCCCCTCTCCGGAAAACAAAAAATTTGCATATTTTTTCCATTTTTGATAATCATAACTTTTCTCAACAAAATTGAATAAATTTCCAGTGATTTTGTTCCACATAACGAAACTAGAAGTCTTGCCGGTTCGAATGACATCAAAATAACGAAAATTTGATTGCAAACGAAATTGAACTCCCGAATTTTGAATTTTTACAAGCTTTAAAAAATATCAAATTTAAGTAAGAGTAAACCATAATAGTACATAGAATTTTTTTTAATTATTGCTAAGAACACTCGAAAATACAAACATGTTCGTGATCAGCACTGTCAACATGGGCGTATCTGCCTTTAGCTTTTGGCAAAAATTTTATTTTGATAGAGATTCGATTTCTATCAAAATTCAGTTATGCTTCTGTCCCAACATAAAACGTTCTGTCTCAAACCTTACATTCTGACGTGCGAAATTTGCTTGTATAATTTCATCACGGCGACGGCGCTTATCCTGTAATCCTCGATTGCACTCATCAATCAATGACGCTACCTCCGGATCTAAACAGTTAAGTAGTCCAGAAAAGGTAAGAGTATTCTTACCTTCAGACAACGAATTTAAGACAACTAAAGCCTCGTTGAACTTTTCGGCCTTTACCAGTGCTTCCGCTTTAATAAGAAGAGCGACTCGGTCGTCGGGGTGGGATTCGAGTACCTAAACCAATTCCGTATATTTTAATGTAAACTTACATTGTCACAATACTGTGCAGCCCTCTTATAATCCTCTATGGTCCTTGCTTGCCCATTGAGAACGCATTTTGCCAAACCAAGGTAACAGTTTGAGATTAATTTAGTAACCTCGGCCCTCTCGTCTTCCACTTTTATACGTTGTTGTTCTAATTGCTGGGGAATTAATTGACTCTGATTTACACCGGAGAGTGGGGTAGTTAGAGACACAGAGTGCGAGATCCCGGCCGCACTGTTTTGATGCAAAGCCACAGAACAATCCTGATGGATACCCCTTGCCATCAAGATGCATCGATGAAAAAGAAGCATTGCTCCACGATAATTATTACTCTTCAAAGCGGCATCAGCCTTATCCCAACAATTTTTGGCCTTTTGTAAGGCCATAACCTCGGACTGCAGACTTGTCTCTTGCTGCATTCTGTAGAGAAACAGCTTTTAAAGGAATAAATATATTCACGCAGAAAAACAATCGATGATGATCTTTATAACAACGTAAACAATGTCCGCAATCCCCTGTGAATAAATTTTACTGAGTCCTGTTCATCCAAAACGTCAAAATTCCCCCCATTTTTTATCGACGTTGTTTTATTTCGACGGTAAAAAATTTTGCAGCGGAATGCCAATGAAAGTTTGGCATTAAAAATAGCCCCGCAGGACACATATAAAAAGATTTACGCGTTAATAATTACGTAGGTTGTCGTTTCGGCACATCTTAGGTTCTTCGGGGCTTTCGTCAATAGTGTCGAACAACAACTTCATGTTTTCCTTATCCTGAACATACCAATCATCAATCGCATAATTAAACGCATTTCCATATTTCTGAGCGCTTTTCAAACTGACGTTGTTGAACAAAAGCCAGGGGACTCCGAGATGTTTCTCCGGCTGAATGGCGCTGGTCCTTTCAGCATGGCCTTTGATCAGCTGATCCCCAAGCTTACCGTTGTAACAATGACTAAAGTGTGTTTAGATATTTGGGGATTTCGGGCACTTACGTGACTTGATCAACAACATGCGGGGCGGTCTTGAATGTTTTGTAACATTTCCTGACCGCCTTTTCAATCTCCACTTTTGGCAGTTGCAATTCAATGCATCTGATGAAGGGGATTGGTTCCGGCATATAGTGAATAAGACAAGCCTCGTACTTATTTCCTTCACATTCAGCCTTTCCGTGTTGGCATTTCACGTTACCTTGCTATGCGTTTATAGTACCGCTAATTTCGTTCGAACTTACTTTGTCCATTTCTGCATTACCATACGGAACCAACTCGAAATCCACTTTACTACCATATTTCAAATAGATGTCATGATAAAAGGTTCCAGTCATAAACTCTTCACAATCAATGCATAAAGTTTCATAAAGCAAAGTCAACTGCAGTTTCTGACCTTTGCTCTTGGTTAGATAGGCCTCACATTGTTCGGCGACGTTACATTTGGCAGCCAGATTTTGATTTAAACACCAAAGTGAAGGTGGTACCCTTCCACAATCAATGTCCGAGGAATGGACAATCACGGTCAGACCAAGGAACGTTAGGAGCACCAGCATTTTGTTCAAACTGAAGGACGTTGGAATTCAAGGCAATTTCTGCACCAAGTAAACAAACGGCGATATAAACGATCGGTTTATTTTATTTAACTGATCAAAACTATCTGAACATCAATTGAAGGCCTCAAATGGATTTTATCTGATCGTTGCGCAATTCATTTTGAAAGGTTAAAGTAAGAACGCCGGTGTGATTGTTGAGATAAGCATGCTTTATTTATGTTATTAGTCCAGGGTTGAATAACAGGATACGATCCAAATTATGGAAAAAATTGCTTTTCGTCAATCATAACAGACTAATTTTACATTATCACCTCAAATCAGAGGTCCCTTTAGTCGATTGTCTTTATCGAACGGTGGTCCTTTTCGATGGCATTTATTGCTATATATCCCGATGGTATTTACAATAATAATTATTAGTATGAAAGAACCAATCCGTCAATTTCATATACTCTTCATGCTCAGCCGACCCATCACAAGCTGTCTGCCAAACATTGGCAAGTACCGGGTGAATCTTCATGTAATTCTTTGGTCTTCTTCTTGATCTCAACATGGGCAATAAAACGTTGTCTCTCAATGCTTGCATAATTAACTTTCTCAACCTGAAAGTGTTAGACTACATTTTAACACTAGTAAATACCGTGGAGATCTCTTACTTCTAGCGGATATAGCATTAACGAGAGGTTGGGCATGATTTGCACTTGTATAAGGGTCCAATATTCCAACATGAGAATAAGAGTTTCATCCCTGAACGCGTTACAAAATTCTTCTGGGGTGCACTGGAATTGTTTGCAAGCGTTATTCTCCATTGTCGATCTAAAGGCCCCATCCTGAACTTTTTATTTTTTAATGTCATCATCACCTTGCTTCTTTACTTACTGGAGATATGAGAAAGTCGATGAGTTGCTCTCTTTCATCCCTGTCCATTTCAGTTAACACGATCACCACTTCCCCTCTCACTTGGTGACTAATGTTGTCTCCTTTTAGAGCATTCAGGATATCTAATTCGATTGTCCGGCTATCAACTGAGGCAGAAGGGCCTAAGGACCGTCTTCTTAAGGTGGTTGTGAATTCTGTAGAAAATTACAATCCCATGTGTAAAAAATTTTCTCACTCACGAACTGCGACTGGAGAACTAAACATGGCGATCCAAAAGTCATAAGCAAAAAGATGGACATTGCAAAAGTCTATCAGTTAGGGTCCTTATCAGCCCGGAATGTAAAGAGCATTTTAATAAGAGCAATAAAAGCTGATCATCTCACCATTATTTTAAAACAGCTTTTTTGTAAGGGTCGAGCTAGCTGTGCACATGAAACAGGATGTCGCAGCAGAGCCGTGAAACAGTAACCATAGGTTTCCCTAATCACGAGTATTAAATTTCAGAAAAAATTTTTTTGATTATTGGCCTACTGTAGGTGTACTGTAGCTTTCCCGCATTTCCAGGATCTCGGCTACAAGAGGTCGGAATGTATCCGGACCTTCTCTGAATTATAGAATGGACAATTCTAAGCATCTTTCATGTTGGGCACTTTTTCCTATCTGTGCCGGAAGTATTCTAAAAATTTGCATAAATGTCAAAAAATTCACATTTTTCAAATTTTATGGAAAAATTTGCATAATGGCATGACATTTTTATTGCTCTAAAAGATGCTCCGTAATGTGGCAATTCAAACGGTATATAGATCACCACAAGGGGTTCTGCCTATGTTGCAAACGGGTCGTCTAAATATTGGATCATCAGGAATTCAATTTTTCTGAACGTCAAATTTTGTCAAAAAAATGTGGTGTTTGGTATGAACAAAGATTGTATTGGACTTCAAAGTGGTTCCAAAGTAAAAATATGTAATTTTATGACAAAATAATGTTATAAATCTTTAAAAGACGATTTCTGGGTCAGTGGACATAGGAAAAAATCAATTTTGAGATTTTTGCATTAAAACGACCGTCGGTAGATGCTAAGCAAAAGCGAATGACGTTTTTTGCCAAATCCTCCATTAAGCTATATTTTTTTACAATTTACTGTTTTTTAAGTAATCGCTTATAGTTGTCGTATTTTAGCACTGAATACAACAATTTTAAGCTTACTGATGTTTTCGACCATTGCTAACACGACGGAGCTATTATTATTGCCGAAAAAAACGGCCGTAAAATCTTTGTTTCTAAAAACCCCCAGCTGATTTTTTGATATGTTAATCAGCGTAAAATTCTGCTCTAGATGCAATCAAAAAAAGTGCAAAAAGTGGTACGGCAAATTTCGTGGTGTAGTGGTTAGTGGGCGGGACTACCATTCCAGCGTCCCGGGTTCGATCCCGGCTGGGTGCAAATGTCAAAAAAAAATGCCGCAAATCAATTTTTTAAATACCTATTTTTACTTTGGAACCACTTTGAAGTCTAATACAATCTTTGGTCATACCAAACATCAAATTTTTTTGACAAAATTTAACTTTAATTCCTGATGATCCAATATTTAGACGACCCGTTTGCAACATAGGCAGAACCCCTTGTGGTGATCTGTATACCGTTTGAATTGCCACATTACGGAGCATCTTTTAGAGCAATAAAAATGTCATGCCATTATGCAAATTTTTCTATAAAATTTGAAAAATGTAAATTTTTTGACAATTATGCAAATTTTTAGAATACTTCCGGCACAGATAGGAAAAAGTGCCCAACATGAAAGATGCTTAGAATTGTCCATTCTATAATTCAGAGAAGGTCCGGATACATTCCGACCTCTTGTAGCCGAGATCCTGGAAATGCGGGAAAGCTACAGTACACCTACAGTAGGCCAATAATCAAAAAAATTTTTTCTGAAATTTAATACTCGTGATTAGGGAAACCTATGGTTACTGTTTCACGGCTCTGCTGCGACATCCTGTTTCATGTGCACAAGGCAAATCTGAAAGCTCGAGTCTTTCGAAAAACCTGTTTTAAACAAAAGCTTTTTTGGTGTAGTCGGATTACTGTAAAAGTATTTAATTTTCCGTAAAAATTGTACTTCGTCGACCTTTACAAACCTAATAACGTGATCACATCTGATTATGTAATTTACATGTGTTTCTAATAAATCCGATACAGACTGCAGTTTTCATTTCACATGGTTAGGGGCTAACTTAGCAGCTCGCGCCCGGGCCCCCCTCCGGGTCAGCTGAGGAAAACAATTTTAGAAAACCAATTTCTAAAATGGTGGATTCATCTAGTAATCCGGATTTCTTTCCTCTATATCATCATCAGTTCCGAGTAATATTGATCGGCGATTCGACTGTTGGGAAGAGCAGTCTTCTGAGGTATTTTATTGAGACGCGAACTGCCGGCATCAGTGATCCCACCGTTGGAGTCGATTTCTACGCTCGGTTAATTGAAATCAAACCAGACTACCGAGTAAAGTTGCAATTATGGGACACAGCAGGACAAGAAAAGTTCAAGTAATGTCAAATTTCGTCGAAATTTTATCGATTTAGGGCTATAACAAAGAGCTACTATCGGAATTCGGCTGGAGTTATTATTGTCTATGATATTACAAATCGGAAATCTTTCGATAATGTAAAGGAATGGCTGGCTGAGGCCGAGGCAAATATCGGAGGACCAAACCCTTCTCAATGTGTCTTCTTATTAGTGGGACACAAAGCTGATCTGGAGGATAAAAGAGAAGTTCTCTTTGAAGAAGGTGAATACTATGCGAAGTATCACAAAATAAAGTTCGTCGAGACTTCTGCAATGTCTGGAGAAAACGTAAATGTAAGTTTCGGCTCTAATGAAACACTATTTCTTTTAGGAAGCATTCCAGATGGTAGCGCGTGAGATCAACGCTCGTCTAGAGAATGGATCTTTGCCTTTAAACGATGGTTGGGATGGAATCAAATGCGGCTTGATGAGGACACAGTCGATAACTCTGTCGGACATGTCACAAGATCCTGCACAAAGCCAGTGCAATTGCTAATTATCTTCTAGTTCGACTGAATGTCAGTACGGGTATCTGCCAGACATTTAAAACCTGCTGTAATAACATTTGTTGTTGTAGATATTTGAACCCATATATTTGTTATTAATGAAATTTTTGTTTGCAAATTAAACTTTTTTTGAAATTCTTCGTCTGCGGTTGTATTATCCTCGGGTTGATTGCCCTCCTAAAACACGGTCAGAGAAGACCTCTCTATTTGCTATGATCTCTCTCTGTTTCTCTGATCATCTCTCTGTGTGTGCGTCCCTTTCCCACCCGCCTTTTATTTCGTTTTGGCGTCCTTTTCCCGGCCTGTCTTTGTTTGTCGAAATCCCTTTCCATTTTCGATCTTTCACTCTCTCTTGTAACAAGATGTTTTTTGTATCTGGATTTACTGTAATTAGCTTACAATAACACAATTACAGCTTTTATTTCTGTAAATTTTTTTGTTGTCTTGGTAGTTTACTAGTCACCGCGCTGGTAGTTTGACAGTCGTTTCTCGAAATTTACAGTCGTCATAACGTATTTTGTTTTTTATCCTGTTTTAAATATCAGAATGCCCGAACCAAAGCCTCCAGTACGCGGCAAGACATCTCCTTATGGTTTTTTTGTGAAGATGTGTTATGAAGAACACAAGAAGAAGTTCCCAGACGAGAGTGTTCAAGTCACAGAGATCAGCAAAAGATGCTCGGAAAAGTGGAAGGTACGTTGCTCGACAATACATTTCTTAAAGACATAGACCATGAAAGAAGAAGAAAAGAAAAGATTTTATGAATTGGCACAGAAGGATGCGGAACGATATCAGGCTGAGGTTCAGGCATACGGTGGGGAAGACTCCTTGCGGAAGAAGAAACGGCAAAAGAAAGACCCCAATGCACCAAAAAAGGCATTGTAAGCTCATTATCTATTTTCTTACGTTTTAATTAAAAAACAAAAATAAGTATGATTAATTTTAGATCGGCGTTTTTCTTCTTTTCGAATGAGAAGCGGCCTCAAGTCCAAGCCGAACATCCAGAATGGAAAGTGGGACAGATTGCTCAAGAACTGGGAAAGTATTGGAAGAATTTGACGGAAGAAGAACGCCAAGTCTATGAGAGAAAGGCTGCCGATGACAAAGCGAGATATGACGAAGTAAGTGTTCTAGGGTTCCGTTGGCGTTTTTAAATTACCATAGAAATAATAATTTTCTAATGCTTAAAATCTTCAGGAGATGCGAAGCTATCGTGCGAATGGAGCGTCTTCCGGCATCTAGATATAAATATTGATGTACATTACCCTCAATTTCCATCCTCTCCTTATTTTGCATTAGACCACTTTGTACACAACAGATTGCTTAAATTGATTTAGAGCCAACCTCTTCTGGAGCCATCTCACCCTTGACCTCATTGATTTTTCCAAGCCAATTGGAAATAAATAATTTTATCAAAAATGTAGTTACATAATTTTAGGTGCTACAGCGTGGTATAATATTGACACAACTGGGTTAGGGACCCGCTCGCATTCTAACTGGTTGCAAGTATAAGCATTAGAAGACCTGGGTAATATCCCAGACGAGAATAGTTCGATCATATCCTATCGTGGCCAACTTTGAGCCTTCGGAATGTAGATGCATGTCCACCACGCCTTGCCTAAGCTCGCTGATCGTAGCCAATGGTGTCAAACTATTTAAAGCAGGCTTAAAGAAACGATCAATGACTTACTCGAACTTGTCAGGATACTCTTCCATCTTCTTCTTGCACGTCCGGCAGATTCTGGCTGGCTTTTCAAATCCCATCGCTGGGAAGATAGTCCGGTGGCTGCAACAATTGTCACAAACAGACATCCCACAGGTTCGGCAATGATGCCGTCTGACGCCAACCACCTAAACGTTGAAAATCCTATTTCTTGGCACTTACTTTACGATCCCACATAACCTTAACATTCCAGAAGAAGGGAACATCACATAACTGGCAGTTATCGGAGTCCTTCCATGCTGGTGCCATGATTCTCTTCGCATTCAAATCCCAACACATCAAGTGGCCGGTGTCATCAACCGAAAATAATTTGTTCTTTCTAGGGGCTAACGCCAGAGAACTGAGCTTTGAGTCGTGACCACTAAACTACGATAAACATAAACGGGGGACTTACTTAAGCTCGTAGCATTGGCCTTGCTTTCCTCCAATGTCCCACATAATTACTAGAGCATCCGTACTGGCTGAGAACAATAACTGTCGAGTAGAATCCCATGACAAATCGGTTATAGCTCCTAAAACATGACATCACATTTGGACTTTTTTTAGCAATTAGCGATGGAATTCTACACTACCTGTATGGGCACTGAGTTTACTGACAAGCTGAGCAGCAACACCACTAATTCTCAGGACATACACGTTCCCATTGACATCGCCAATGAAAGCAAAATTGGTGGTAGCATCAAATTGCATGACTGAGCAGGGACAACCCACATTATACGAACCGATCTTGCTACCTGTGTCAGCGGAATGCCATATCAAAGTCTTATCTCTACTGCAGCTGAATATCTCCTTGCCCAAAGCTGAAAAGGCCACTCCAGAAACGGCATTTGTGTGTACATTATACCTCCTGATCAATTCCAGAGAATTCAGATCTTCACTAATCTGATACTGATACACCGCGCCGCTCACCAAACCGACAAACAGCCTAAAAGGCAAAAATCGTAAACAAATTCATAACATACAGGCGTGCTGACTCATTCATAAAGATACAAGTTGGAAGATTGGGAAGGTATTCGATAACCGACGGCCAAAACTGGCCATTGTCTCGCTTCAGGAGAATCCGCAAGCTTTTGTCCTCGCTTATTATAATAAAACCTTCCTCCTTCTCCAAGATTATGAACCTGATGATTCGGGCGACTTGGCCTTCAACCTTGTACACAAGCTCTGAAACCATGATCAATACTACCCACAAAGTGAAAATTTACCTGGCCGACGATAATTACTCGGTGTGGCCGACGATGACGGATGCTGATTAATTTCGGCAGCCATTATAAAAAACCAAAAATCGGACCAACAGTTTCGCTATCAAAAAACAATGCCTAGTTTTTTATAGAAGAACAGTTGACTCGAGATAAGTGTTTTCCAAAAAAATTCCACGCAACAGAACAAAAAGCAACACAATTTGGACACATTGGCGTAACAAACGAGCAGAATATTGTCCTGGAGGTTCGAGACAACAATATTGGTTCACATTTCATTCTCTGTTTCCCTTCATCGGATATGATTTTATGATGGGCTCTTCCACCTCCAACAATTTGAAATGGGTCTCCTTGATTGTCCTCATTGCGCAGACGACGGCACTGGTGTTAATATTACGGTATTCTAGAACCCAGAAGGTTGAAGGTCCTAAGTATTTGTCATCGACAGCTGTTGTAACATCAGAAGTGGTCAAGTTTCTCACATGTATTGTTGTCCTTTTCTACAACAACTGTAAGTTTTCTTATTTACATTGAGTACGCATTGATTAGCTTGGAAAGTCGATGGCGTTTACCGTGATCTTCAAGTCGATGTTTTTAATAAGCCAATGGATACGCTGAAAGTTGGAGTTCCAGCTCTTCTTTATGTGATTCAGAACAATCTGCTCTTCTTGGCTTTAAGTATGCTGGATGCAGCCACGTATCAGGTACATAGAATATTCCAATTTTTTTTATGTTACAGGTCACATATCAATTAAAAATTCTGACAACCGCTCTGTTCTCAGTTTCAATGTTGAACAAGAAGCTGAACAAACTAAAATGGCTGGCATTGATTTTCTTGACTTGTGGGGTGGCCTTGGTTCAGGTAAGTTGTCTGACTAAATCGAATTATTTGACTTCAGTTGCCCAAGGATTCCAGTAAGCCAAAAGAAGAGGCATCGAATGGATTCGTGGGTTTGGTTGCTGTTCTTTGTGCCTGTTTTTCCTCTGGGTTTGCTGGAGTTTATTTTGAGAAGATCCTCAAGGGCTCCTCTGTATCTCTGTGGATGCGGAACTTGCAGTTGGGTATGTTGTTGGTTGGTCAAAAAAGTTTGCTTTAGCTTTCTTCAGTATTTTTGGAGGCTTATTTATGACATGGCTTTATGATGGACATGCCGTTGCTCAGAATGGATTCTTCCAGGGCTACAATTCCGTCATTTGGATTGTTGTTCTTCTGCAGGTAATTTAGCGGATTCAATATAATCTTCAATCCTTCAGGCATATGGCGGACTTGTCATCGCTTTGGTCGTAAAATATGCAGATAATATTCTGAAGGGATTCGCAGTGTCCCTATCTATTATCTTATCCAGTTTTATCTCGTGGTGTTTAAACGATTTTGACCCGTCTTTGTAGGTTTTTTATTCAAGTTGAACTTTTTTTTATTATCTGATATAAAAAATTACTTTTCAGGACATTTTTCGTTGGCTCAACTGTTGTGATTGGGTCCACTTTTCTTTATGGGTACGAAGCCCCGCGGCAAAACCCGGTGCACGCAGCATAGTAATATGGAATAAATTTAAGTCTGTTTCTAATTATTGCATAGAATTTACTGTAAACGTCGGTATCATAATTTAGTCAGATTATGAATTTGCTATGCCAATAAGTTTTATTCAAGTCATTTATTTTTTTTTTAAATTTATTGGGTTGTGCAGTAAGTTCGTTAAAAAATTTTTTATTGCTTTGTTTTTACAGGATTGTTTGTTGCTTGGCAAAGAGTATACATTTATTTGACAAGGAAAGTACTTCTATGGGGTATGGAATTACAGGTCGAGATGTATATCAAAAAATTCGCAAAAATTTTCTGATTCCGAATATATAAAAATTAGCTGCCTAATTTTGGTCTATCAACGATTTTTATCAATAAATGTATTTCTCGAGGAAAAAAATCTGCGGCAACAAAAGCGCGCTCGGTCTCTTCCTTCGGAAGAGAGCGGTGTGGCCGAGTGGTTAGAGCGCTAGACTGAGAATCCGATGGGAAAGGATGTCCATCTGGGTTCGAGCCCTTTTGCCACAGAACCCGTTTTTTTACATTGGAACTACTATTAAGGTGTAGTTGTAATCCAAGTTGATATTTTAAGGCTTGCCAAGGCCTCAGAATTTATTTTTGCACAAAAAAAATTTTTTTATTGGTAAAAACACGGTCAAAAAGACACTTGCATGGTGTCGCGAGAAAACTTCTGACGAGGGAATGGTCTGAACTTCCCCCAGCGTTTGGGAAAACGACTAGTACAGGTGGATAGAGCATGTCAACTTTGGTAAAAAGAACCATTTTCCAGCTGCGGAATAAGCCCGGCCGACGAGAAAAATCGACCGAAAGTTCCACAAAAATTTCCTCTTTCTCTTCCCTCGGAAAAGAAGAGCGGTGTCCAATGGTTCGGTTAGCCGAGTGGATAAAGCATCCGCTCGGTATTCTTTTGGGGGTTGGTTCGATTCCGGGGTCTCGCGAAGGACCATGATAAGGCTTTGATGAGCAAGATCAAACTCTAACAACCCAAAAAAAAAAATATTTTGCCATTTTATACGTTTTATAGGGGCTTTATACCAAAACAATAATCGTCAACAAATGCATTTTTGGGTGCTTCCGAACTTTCAAAGCGATGGAACGTCGAAGTAATACTGGTTTGGTGATAGACTTGACTTTGAAAAACGCAAAATAAAATTTTTTGGGTTGTTAGAGTTTGATCTTGCTCATCAAAGCCTTATCATGGTCCTTCGCGAGACCCCGGAATCGAACCAACCCCCAAAAGAATACCGAGCGGATGCTTTATCCACTCGGCCAACCGAACCATTGGACACCGCTCTTCTTTTCCGAGGGAAGAGAAAGAGGAAATTTTTGTGGAACTTTCGGTCGATTTTTCTCGTCGGCCGGGCTTATTCCGCAGCTGGAAAGTGGCCCTTTTTACCAAAGTTGACCTGCTCTATCCGCCTGTACTAGTCATTTTCCCAAACGCTGGGGGAAGTTCAGACCATTCCCTCGTGAGGACAAAAACATGTCATCAGACCAAAATTAGGCAGCTAAGTTTTATATATTCTGAATCAGAAAATTTTTGCGAATTTTTTGATATATATCTCGACCTGTAACTCCATACCCCATAGAAGTACTTTCCTTGTGATACAGTTTTTTTCTGCTCGAAAAATCTGCTTTTAATTTTTTTTGAAAATCAATCCTTGCAAAACAAAGCAATAAAAAAATGAACGAACTTACTGCACAACCCAATATGATTTTGCAGTTTACAATGATTTCAAATAAATGCATTAAAATGAGGGTGATTTGAATCCGCCTATTCCCTAAAAGCCGATTGTCGGGGAAACTCAGTGGCCGGCGTTATGTTAATTAGGCAGAGTGGTTTATGCCGGGCCAACAGTAATTCGATAAAATTGTACCATGTCCCAAGTTTTACGGTTATGTGGAGGATGTACCGGAGCCGAGGACAGCTCGGTAATCACCGAAATAATGGTGTTCTCGGTGCTCGAATGTAGCCATAAGCCTCTTTCCGCAGTAAGTTGAACATGCTCGCTTGGGTGATTAATATTATCTCTATGTTACACGCCGTTTATTTGATGGAAGTAGTGTTGCGGTCGTAGTCAGCATAGTTGATATTGTACTTTCTTTGCTTCAGACATACTTATATTAGTCGCATCCGACGTTCTCGGAGTAGCCGTAGACTTTAATCAGCACGATATATCAAAAGCCCGGTTTTACAGCACTTGTGATTAAGGAAATATTTTTTCTTTCGCTCCGGCCCCTTTATGATGTGTGAAGTCCTAAGTAGACACCCCCGCTGGTTTAATCCTGTCCAAAAAGAAGCCTTATTTTGTAAAAGTAATAGTCATATATATTGAAGCGAAGATATTTGTTGGTTAGCGTCCCCTGAGGCAATGAAAAAGGAAGACAGTCTCGATACTTGCGGAAGTGATCCCTCTGCCCAAAGTGATGGTGCTTTATATACCGAGGAGTTCTTTAAATGCACTTTTCTGGCTAGAAAAGTCGCTCAGCGACTACCGTTACAGGCCACCAACTGGTCTTCATCCCCCAATTTTGAAAAGGTTTAAATTATAATTGTTTATTTTCCACAAGCTTCTTATGTCGATTCTTATTTTTTTACTTTCAGGTGCCCGGATCCGGAACATCATCACCTCACTTTAATCGATCTGGTAGCGCCCAATCTTTACCCCCTCAAGGTAACCGCCTCTCTGTTTACGAACAAGCTGTAAATGGTCTCAACAATGACATCAACGTACAGAAAGAAGTAGCGCTGGGTAAAAGAATTGGATTCTATAGACTGGGGAAAGAGTTGGGAGCTGGAAATTTCTCCAAAGTACGATTGGGAGTACATGTTGTCACAAAAGGTGTCGAGTATTTTCAATTTGAATAGTCGTAATTTCAGAGAAAGTCGCCGTTAAAGTAATGGAACGGTCACGGATGGATCAGAAAGCGCAGAAATTGTTAGCCCGAGAGATTGAGACAATGGAAATGACACACCACCCAAATATAATCAGGTTGTTCGAGGTACATCACGTCAGTCGTTGTTAGAATAGCCGGGCGATGCCTTGATGTCCTGTTTACCCAACTAATCTTCAACTTTCAGTGTGTTGAAACAATTTCGAAAACATTTTTAATTATGGAATATGCTGGCGGTGGCGAATTATATACTTATGTGCATGAACACGGTAAACTGAACGAACAAGTGGCCCGAAGTCTGTTTGGGCAGGTCGTCTCTGCTGTTTGTCACCTGGTAAGAGCTAATCCCTTCCGGTTTATTCTATCCAACTTGATCTTTAAAGTCCATGTTTATTTTCAGCATTCCAAGGGCATCGTTCATCGAGATATAAAAGCGGAGAATGTCATTTTTTCTCATCAAGGATGGGTAAAACTCGCGGACTTCGGCTTCTCCTGTCTTGAGACAGAGAATAATTTCCTTAGTACCTTCTGCGGATCACCTCCTTATGCGGCACCCGAGTTATTCCGAGATGATGTATGTCCTTTCTTGAATATAAGATCTCCAACGTTCTCTATGAATGCAACAAATCTTTCAGAAATACCATGGGCCGATGGTCGACATGTGGGCGTTGGGAGTCCTACTGTACTTTATGCTGGTAGGGGTCACTCCTTTCAAAGGAGAAACAGTACAAGAATTGAAGGAAAATATACTCAAAGGAGAGTATAAGATACCTGAATATGTCTCTGTATTTGCCCACAACGTGACAGAGAATCTGTTAGAGATGGATACCACGAAAAGATGGGACGTTCTTACATTAAAGAAGGCCGGCTGGTTCAAAGAGTTAAGGTTCAGTCAGTCGTATTTGCAATTTAACGTCACTCCTGATGAAAAGAACCTCCAGACTTGCGAAACGGAGAGAAATGTCTGGAAAACTTTACATGACTACGGTATCACACCTGAGATGATCCGAGATTCGATCGGAAAGGGGGCACGAAATGCCATCATTGGCATCTACAGGATCGTTACTTACCAGCATCAGGTCCATGATCTCGATATGGAACGCATAAAGGTAGTTTTAAAAACTGCTTCATAATTTGCTTGATTATTAATTTTAAATATTTCATACTTTAGGTAAATGGTCATTTGATTGAACTAGGACAACGAAGTAAAATAGAGAACAGAATCAATCAGAAGAGCAAGACCTGCAGTATCTTTTAATGAGCGGCTGTATGTACAATAAACCATAATAGTACGATTCTTGGATTAAGTTTACATATTATCTTCGACTAGTACCACCAAAGCCAGAAGATGTGTGAGTTCCCGAGGAGGTTTGCCCAGAAGTGCTGGGTCGATCGTAGTCATCCTGATAATAGCCAGTGTCCCTGTCGAACTGAGTTGCTCGTCTTCTGGTACCCGCATTTCCCGAGTTCATGAAGTTGTTCGCGGCGTATCCACCGAGGGCTCCAAGGCCTAGTCCACTCCAAAAACCCGGTCCATCAGTTGCAGGTCTAGAAGATGATGACGATGAGTATGTGGGTTTAGTAGCATCATCGTAAGATGGAGGAGCCGTAGGAGGACGTCGCCATCCTGGTGGGTCCGGTCCACCGCCTCCACCGCCTGGGTAGTCACCACCGTATCCTGCTGCTGAAAAAATCGTTAGCAAATCGAAGATATAAGCAAGATTTTGCAGAATGTTCACTATTAAACTAAACCCACTTCCAGCAGCGCCGTCACGTGGGGTTACCCAATTATAGATGATGTACAATACGACAATAGCAAACACGATGTAAAATACAACCGTTATAGTCTTGTCTTCTGGGTACGATGCCTTGTAGTAACCTCCAGAAACGCCCTTTTTACTATAGTCCAGTTCGTATTCCAATCCGCAAGAGCCGGCCAAAATGAATGGATCATTCGGCCGGTCGTAACCTTCGCAAGAAACGGTTATCTAAAAAAATAGATCACAATTTTTACTGCTACCTTTCCAAACTCATACTGGTCGGGCATCTCCGCCTTACACTCCCACTGTACATCTACTCCATCAAATCCTCGATTGTAACATTGAACAACCTTAGGAGAGAACTTTCCGTAGGCAGTTCCACCTACACATTGTAACTGAGGAACTGAGGAAGACCTTCGACCGGTCGTATATTCACCTCTTTTTAACGTTACAGACGTTACATCCCTCAGTAATACTCGTTGTTGTCCTTCTAAAGTTCAAAATTAGAAAAGTTTAAACGAAAACTTACCGCAAGTAGAACAAAAAATCAGTAACAGAAATAACACAAATTTCGTCATCCACACCTTACTCTATGTTGAGCTGACTGTTTGGCAAGACTGACCTCGCCGAAATCTACGTAGACTAAGGCGTATATTATTTTTTTGCAGTCTGCGCGGGTTCCGGGCGCAAACTGCGAAAAAAATAAAACATTTTGTTGCGCGATGGATTGATTTGGACCGGCTGATGTGCCAGATGTGAAAGTCCGGGAAGTGTCTTTGCGCTATTCTTTTTCAATGTTATGGTCGTCAACAACCGCGCTAAAATCTCTAGCTGGCCGTTTATCGGTGCTTTGCTCACTTTTATTACCTTTATTACTTTGTTCATGACATTTCTCTTAAAAAATGATCACGATTCTAATTATGCTTCTTCGCTTGTCCTAACCACTAGATATTCACTTGATCAAATGAGGTTATTTGCTTCAAAAAACGCTGAAAATGTAGAATATTCTCCTTCTTTATACGGAAAATGGAGTGTTACGTTCAACCAGATTTTGGCAAAGGAAGAATGTCATTTTGACTTCGACAAAAATGATGTTTTGGTGTTTCTGCATATTCAAAAGACAGCGGGTACCTCTTTTGAGAAGTTTTTGGTAAATCATTTGAACATCAGCCGTCCTTGTTTATGTAAAACCGACAGTCAATGTAATGGAGAGAAGAAATGCAAGAAGTGCAAGTGCTCCCGGCAAAGAAGTAGCAACGAATACTGGCTCTTTTCAAGATATTCAACTGGCTGGGTATGTGGATTACATGCCGATTACACGGAATTGGTTGTTTCTCATTGCGTTGACAGGGCCATGGATAAGGTCGAAGGTAAGATTTATGTTTTATGTCTGATTTGTTTAGGAAACCATCAACAACGACGTTACTTCTACACTACATTTCTCCGAGATCCAGTTTCTCGGTTTATCTCTGAATATCGACACGTCGAAAGGGGTGCTACTTGGAATAAATCCAGACACATATGTAATAACAGACCACCGTTTCCCAGTGAACTCCCATGGTGTTATGATCCCGACAAGGGATGGAGTAATGTAACATTGGATGAGTTCTTATCGTGCCCTTATAACATGGCCATAAATCGACAGACCAGAATGCTGGCCGATCTTACGCTCGTCCATTGTTACGATCAGACGAAGATGTCCAAGGAGAAGAGGGAAAGTATAATGTTGGAGAGCGCAAAGAACACTTTGAGGAGCGTCGCTTTCTTTGGGATTCAGAACAGAATGGCCGACTCACAGGAACTTTTTGAGAAAACTTTTCGATTACGGTAAGGTGTATAATTATTTATCATTTTGTCCTTAGGTTTATGAAAAACCTTGCAAATTGGACAAAGAGCAAGTCAGATGATACTGTAATTACTACTGCTCAGCTTCAAGCAATAAGAGACCTTAATCATTTGGACGTAGAACTATTTAAATTTGCAGAGAAGTTATTTGAAAAACGATTGGAACGGGTCAATGGTGGCCGGAACCTGAGTGAAATCTGATCGAACTTACCATAATCTCAAACCTTTGCCATAATAATTACCTGTATATATTGTTTAGTTGATAAAATTTTGTTTTGTTGAATCCCATCATTAAATGGTTTCGGCCAAAAAATATTCAGACAGTTTTTTAAATTATAATTAACCATATTAGAATGCAAAGGAGCAAACTAGCGCCAATATTGGACAAGGCGTTGAGCAAAGGCAAGAATGAGGTAACTGAAGAATGAGTACCTTCTGCAATCATAGTTATAAATTATAGGTCAATCTGTCGACTTTTGCCTTTTTGTTCGCTGAGATGGTCAGATATGCACAGGGAAAGTCAAAATCAGTGCAAGAATTGGAAGAAAACCTAGCAAAATATGGGAAATTCGTGGGCGACAGGCTTCTGGATATTACAATGTTGCGAGAGAAGGGCTACAAGAGAGATACCAAACTAGTAAATGCACTCATGTTTATCCGGGGCACCCTGTGGAAGAGTCTTTTTGGAGAGGAAGCTGAAAAATTGGAAAGAAGTACTGAAAATCCATCTCATTGTAATGATTATATTTATGACTTTTTAATCATACTTTAGATTATTTGATCGAAAAGGAATCGCTTGTTAACGCATTCATATCATTGCCCAAAGACAAAGTCTCTTTGAACTGTGCCGCTTTCACTGCGGGAATAATCGAAGCCTTCTTAACTGTAAGTTTTATTAAATACGTGCAAAATCTTTGAGGGCAACAATTTTCCTTGCAAAGTCAGCGCTCATTGGCACATGGGAACGGCGTATTTGATAGAATTTGATCAAGAAGTAATAAATCGTGACAGTAATCTTGTTGAAAACCGATAGCTAATTTATATGATTTACATAAATTTATTACACGGATTTTGTAAAGGTTATCTGCGTATGATCGCATTAGCGCTATTTTGATTCTTTTGCCAATGGTAAAGTGTGACTCAGAGCATGAGATGCTCCGTCGCGCCTTGTCTCTCAGTTCACGTCGATATGCCCCCATGGTCCCTCATCAGACTCCGACTTCCTTTAAACCCTCCGACCTGATTTCTCAATCTATCAAAATAGTCCCAAATCCCGTCAATCGATATCTGTTTGGACCTTTGAATACGGCCGGGCCACCTGGTCTCGATCCAATCTTCAGCAAACTTCAACTTCCCCCACTCAACGGTACTGTTCTCGAGCATTTCAAACATATTGGACAAGAATTGTTTGGCCCTTTTGAGACGCTACTGGAAAAGGCTGCGAATTTGAAGATACCAAAGAAACCAAAGACATGGGAATACAAGATAGGATGGACCAAATATTTAGAAGACGGTCGGACTGTCGCCGTTGATGCTCCAGATGCAGACCTTTTATTCTTTGATGTTGAAGTTTGTGTCAAAGAAGGTCATCTTCCCACACTGGCGGTTGCTGTCTCCGAAACACACTGGTAAGTTTAACTACGTATAAGTGAATTTGTTTCAAGGTATTCGTGGTGCAGTGGACGTCTTGTTGAGGATACTCCGGTGCCTGAACGATGCAGCTTGCAACATTTGATACCATTAGAAGACGGATCGCCCGACCCGAAGCTTGTTATTGGTCATAATGTCGGTTATGACAGGGCGAGAGTACGGGAGCAATATCCATTGAAGGTAATATTTTAAGAACTGTTTTTTGTTGTCCTCAAAAAGACTTTTCAAAAAAACAAAAAAACCTCACTGTCCACAAATTCACGTGTTACGCAGGATGGAAAATCTGATGATATTGTACATGCTATCGCTGATTATTAAAGCAAAAACATATACATTTTTTACATCTGTTTTTCTAGTATACTAGAAGAGTTTTTGTTACTCTAAAAACCAATTAGATTCTTCTGGAGCACCTTTCTGTAGCTTTTTTGATTTGTGGACAGCGAAAAGTTTCTTTGCGAACAGTGAAAAGCGTGTACAATATTTTAAGTTTGTGACGTATCAAATTTAACACTGGTTAAATACTGATTTTAGGAATCAAACGTGAAATTTTGGGACACAATGTCAATGAATACGATAATCCAAGGAATGGCTGACCATCAGAGATTACTATACGAGAAGAAGGATGTTGAGGATGTATTGTATCAGGTAATCATCCAAGAAATCATCAATAAATACTTTCACAGATACCATGGCTACAATATTGGAAACGGCGAGTGTGTAGGAATTCTCTGGAAGATGTCTATGGAAAGTTTTATCCCGAAAAGAGCGGAAGTCTTGATAAAACATATCAGTCTGTATTTGTGACTGAACCGATCGAAGTAATCCGAGCAAACTTTCAAATACTTATTGATTATTGCGCTGGGGATGTTCAGGCCTGCATTGATGTCTACAAGAAGCTGTATCCTATGTTCAAAGAACGATTTCCGAGTCCGATTACTTCTCTGGGCATGATTATTGTGGCCGATGCCTATCTTCCCGTCACGTCTAATTGGAGAAAGTTCTTCGAAAAATGCGAGAATGATGCTGATAAAATGAATAACACATCAGTAAAGGCTGTCGTTACATCAGCAAGAGCGCTAGTAGAAGAACTGGAAAATGAAAACAAGTAATATTTTATATAATCTTATAAATTGTCATCATTTTTTAATTATTACGTAATAGCATAATTGTTTGTAGATTTGAACAAGATCCTTGGTTGTGGGTATCGGATTGGCAATGTAAATATAAAACGATTGCTCGCCCAGCTTGGTATGTGAATCTGTTCAACAAAAAGTCTCTGGTCGATTCCAATGTGGATGAACTGCACAGTGACCATGTAAAATTGAAGAGTTCTGACGTTCCCAGGATCTTCGGACTGTGCTACGGGCCTTATCCGATATTTCACAAGAGGGATTATGGATGGGGATTTTTGGTGCCGGCTGCAGGTATCTTTTCAATTACCTTTGTTGACAGTTGTTGTTTAGAGGAGGTACCTGATGTTGTGGAAGTTCCATTACAACGTCGGGAAACTGTCAAATTCCCCGCAAGGTACGCAAATAGCTTTAAATTTATTTTGATGATTTTTCAGACGAATATTCGATTTGATTGAAAAGAATAAAAAAAAGGAGTTTCCTGATGTCATGGTTCCTCTCAGACCAGATTCCAGTTTTGCTGGATTTAACTTCTACAGACTTCCACACCCGGTGAGTACATTTAACCTAATATATTCCGTTTCAAAAGGACAGAGCCACTCGATTTTTTAAAAAATATTTTGAATGTATGGCATATTGCCGAGTAAGTTTCATATTATACCTCTCGAGAGCCACAATGTTCTCTAACAGTGGCCAAAGTACAGGGTGTTTCAAGAAATATGACAGAAACTGATTGCGAATATCTTTGAGCTCTTGGGAGTTATCGCAGAAATTCTTTTTGTTTCTAAAACTTGATATCGGACGGTTTTGTACTGAGCAAAAAAAAAATTTTTCCATCGGCGGAGAGGCCAGTTCTCGGCGGAGACATTTGGGGCCTTTTTAAAAAATCACACCTTATTGCATGGTGGAAACTCTGTTACAACGGCCAAAATTATGTTTACGTTACACCTCCGTGGATTCTACGGTATGCTTTTTTGCGTTTTCGATTATACGACCATCCGCGGAGGCGCGGAGGAAACCTCAGATTTCGGCGGACGTTGTTTTGGGCCCTCGGCTTTTGCAAATTCATCTTGAAAAAAAAGGTTGGGGTGATTTTTTGTTGTCATCCGATGCACAGATGGCAAAAATTTCGTACTTTTTTTCCCGGCGCAGGATTCGGCGGAGGCTTTATCAAAGAGTCAAAACAGTCTTAGGAGCCCGGAAAAAAATCAGCTGCGAGAATCCATCGGAGCAACATCATCTTTCTTATTTTTTGGTCCGGCGGACAAATCGGCGGAGGCTTTATCAAAAGAGTCAAATTTTTCTTTTGACCCTTTGATAAAGCCTCCGCCGAATCCTCCGCCGGGGAAAAAAAGTACGAAATTTTTGCCATCTGTGCATCGGATGACAACAAAAAATCGCCCCAACCTTTTTTCCAACATGAATTTGCAAAAGCCGAGGGCCCGAAACAAAGTCCTCCGAAATCTGAGGTTTCCGCCGCGCCTCCGCGGATGGTCGTATAATCGAAAACGCAAAAAAGCATACCGTAAAATCCACGGAGGTGTAACGTAAACATAATTTTGGCCGTTGTAACAGAGTTTCCACCATACAATAAGGTGTGATTTTTAAAAAAGGCCCCAAATGTCTCCGCCGAGAAGCTGCCTCTCCGACGGAAAAAATTTTTTTTTGCTCAGTACAAAACCACCCGATATCAAGTTTTAGAATCAAAAAGAATTTCTGGAATAACTCCCAATAGCTCAAAGATATTCGCAATCAGTTTCTGTCATATTTCTTGAAACACCCTGTAATCACTGGGCCGGCGGGACGGAAAGTCGTTTATCATAACAGTGTATTTGGTTTACTGTATCATATTACTATGTGGATAAAGTCCCGTTGCGAGGATGTGACTGTCTTGAGACAGGATTGGGCCGTTTCTTGTCCGCACCCCGGTTTTGTCCCCAAGACGGTTTTATCCCCAATAGCCATAAAGTCCGTAGAATTTTTTCGTCGACGTCGCGGGGTGCGCATAAGTCGCAGCGAATCGGGCGAAAAACGCACCGTGCAAGTTCTACGGACTTTATGGCGCGACAGTATTTTATTTTTGCAAATTCTTTGACCAGCTAGCCAATGAGTTGAAGTCAAAATTTTCTGTCATTTTAACTGTCAAATTGAACTTTCTTGGAAAATTTTCGTAGATTTTTGCTATAATAAAAAATCTTATGAATTTAAGATTTTTAGGAACTGAATTGATCCTTCTTGGCAAAACGACGGATGAAAAAAGCAAAAAAAAACTAGTTACAATTAATATTAACGGTATTCATCGTAGTCTATTTTAAACTTCCTATACCAGAATTTTTAATTTCTCCACACATACGAACATGACCGAAATTTGACGTCATTTTAAAAAAATTCTGTCAAATTAGCAGCCCTACATAGCAGGATTGCTAAATTGGTCACATAGGCCGTTTTGTGAAAAATAATTATATGTTTGAAAGGTTTGCTAAAAACAGCTTTTTTATGACACAGTAATCCAAATATGTTTTTATGATAAAACGACCAATGTATTTACTAAATACTTACCATACTAACTGGTATTTTTTTTAACTGTCATGGCTCTATCGTTTTGAAATGTCCTACGGTCAAATAATTTTTTTTAAAACCGAGTGGCCCTATTGCAAACGGAGTGTATCAGAAATCCTTTGATTACAGAAGGGAGAAGGGCAGAACGTTGGAAATCCTTTTAATAAAGAGTATATCAATTGCTTCTTCAAGGAAGGAATTCTGCGACCCACCAGATTCGAAGCCGAGTGCAGAGAATTTATTGACGCTGGCTCTGTAACAAGATTCTGGGGGAATTACAGAGAAAGATACAACGAACAAGTGACCTGTTGGTTGGATGATGACTGTAATGTCGGAGCAATTGCACCAGCTATCGTACCCTCAGGCACTATAACCAGACGTGCTGTCCACAAACTCTGGCTTACATCGGCGAATGCTAAAGAGGGAATGCTGGGATCGGATCTTAAATCTATGGTCCAATGCAGTCCAGGTTGGAATCTGGTGGGGGCTGATGTAGATTCTCAGGAACAATGGCTAGCCGCTTTATTTGGGGACTTCCTAGAAGGAAAGCAAAAGGCTGGCTCTACTGCTTTCAGCAATATGCAGTTGGCCGGAACCAAATCAACTGGGACGGACCTGCACACTGTAGTCGCTGAATCGGTCGGAATCAGCAGGAATAATGCCAAAGTCCTTAATTATGCGCGTCTCTATGGGTCTGGCATGAATCATGCTATAGATTTCCTTGTGCAGAAAGGTATTTCGAGAGAAGTGGCCAAGGAAACAGCCATGAAATTATTTGACACCACAAAGGGAACCTCAGGACGGTGGGTCAACCTCTCTCTGCATCCAATCTTTTAGTTACCGTGAATTACAACCTCATCTAATACCATACTTCGAACACTTTATCCAACAAATATGCCCAAAGGACTTTGCAAATACTCATCTGGTGTTGGGGAAACGATATTTTCTGACTATTGGAAACCCCACAGATCGGTAAGAGATCAGGCCGCTATATTTGTAAAAATAAATTCAGAATCCAAAGCACGATCTTCGAAGATTGGCTTCGTCACAACATGTCAGCAGAATTAGAAGTCCAAGGAATCGAATTGGACGGGAGGCACTTCTTGAACACGGTTTATGTCAACTACCCTACTTCGTACACTTTGTTTAAGGATGGATTGTAAGTATATTTGAGTTAATTCTATCTCTGTTTTGTTCAGTGAATCAGCCACATTCAACTTCCTTGAGATCCAGGCGCAAAATCCGGAACCACGAACTCCCATCCTTGAATGCCGTTTAACTCAAGCCCTGGAGCCGTTACCTCAGTCAGTTATGGGACATGATGATTTTCAGATGAAATACAAAAGAACTTCCATTAATTGGGTTGTCCAGTCCAGTGCCGTCGACTTTCTTCATCTTCTTTTAGTCTGCATGAAATGGCTTTGCCAAGAATACGATATACGGGCACGGTTTGTAATCTCTATTCATGACGAGGTAAGTAAAGTTTCAATCATACATGGGAAAAATAGATTCGATTCCTAGTTCACGAAGAAGATAAATATCGCTGTGCTCTAGCTTTATCTCTGTGCAATCTCCTGGTTAGAGGTGCAATAATGGAGAAGCTGAACATTAAAGAACTGCCGGCCGTAAGTTCGAGTACCGTTATTTAAAGCAATTCCCGGTAGTCGATTGCATTCTTCAGTCAAGTTGACATAGATACAGTACTAAGAAAGGAGGTGGATACTGTGTGTATATTGCCGGACGGGACGGAAGTGGAAGCCGGTGAAGGTCTCACAATCGAACAGATAATCGAAAAGACAAACGGATCTCTCAAGAAATAACAATATCATCAGAATTATTATTTATTACATATAAATGTATTTCTGTACACGTAACTACGCTAGAGTGAGTATAACATATCCAGCTGGAAGAGGCATTTGTTCGTTTACAACTGTTAATCTTGCTTTAAGGTTCTTCTTGAACCGATTTGTGAGATCCTAAGGCATTCTACGTAATAAAATTACATTCCCCTACCTTTTCCATAATTCTACCCGAACTTTGAATGTAAACTTATTCAGAAGACAAATCGAGGAAGCAATCGCGAAGAAGATATTGCAAAACCAAACCAACGAAAAGTTTGAGATCCAATTAAGATGGCCAAACCCACCTAGAAGGTCGAACGAAGTGATACCTAAACATTCGAAGTAAAATACAAAAACTTACCGAGAGTGTTCGCCAGTATGGGTAACGCTGAGCTCAGCATTAAGATGGTCACACAATTGGCAATAACATTTGTCATGGACGTTTGTTTCTTCTTGGGTCTGACCCTTCGAAGTAGGGGCATCGAATAAACGCCAACCAGGGCAGAGAAGAAGATGTACCTAAAATAAGGTAAAATGATTTACACAACACTTACACAATTATCAGATTTTCTACCAGAGCTCCAGGAATCCCAAATCGATGACGTGATCGAACCTAAAATTTTATTGCTATTGAGACACACATACCTCCACATATTGTACATACTCGTTGAGTTCTCTGAATCCAAATGTCAACTTGAATGTATTTATCAAGACAATCGACACTGAGAACACCTAAATAAAGGTAACAATTACTAGAGTCTGACTCACAGTTAATGTAACCAGCATAACCATAACAACCGGATATTTCACTGTATCAAAGAACAATCGAAACATCGAAATCTTGGGTTTATCCATTTTCAGCTGCTCGAATTCTCTGGAGTTTAGATTGGCATCGCCCGCGCTTCCAATCAGTCTTTTCCGAATTAAAACATCTGTGGCGCTTGTGGAACTTGTAACCGCATTACCTTCCACGAGGTTGTCGTTAATCTCAACATTAACTTCTTCTTCTTCGTCGATTAATAAAGTTGTGGCAAAGTCAAACATCTTGGCGAACCCAATTGGAGTTGAAATCAAGAGAAGAGCAACTCCAACCAAGGACACTAGAGAATAGACCAATGGAATCGAAAGATTTGAGAAATTGAGCAAAGAGAGAACCAAATGAAGACCCTCGGGCTGATAAAGCGAATAAGCAACATTAGCTAAACATATCATCAAAATGAACACTAAAACACAGACAGCGATAGTCTCATAAACACGAGAGAGAAAAGGTTTGGGCCGATGGTGAAAACTGAGACCTTGAGATTCAAGAAAGAAGTAGGCAAAGGGAAGAAGAAAGAATAAAGAGACGTTACTCAAAAGGAAGATGTAGTTCCACAGAGATGAAATCAACGACATGTTTAGCCATTTGAAATAAAAGTTGTCAGGATACAACAACAACACTTCAGAACCTAATACGGAGAATGGTAAGAGAGTGATGGCCCCAATGGACACGGCCAGGGAGAAGGTGCACATCCATACTCTAAAAATCACAGACTCGTTACATCTACTTACGATATCCTGTAGACTATAAAATCCTCGTCTCCGGAATACAAATCGTCGTTGTCGGACCTTGTCTTGAACCGTTGAATAATTTGAAAGCTCAGAAAATAGAGTCCAATTAGGAAAAGAAGACATACCTAAATTGAGATAAAGGAAAAAATCTTACACTTACAACGTGCTTTCTGATAAAATTGTGGAACTCGATCTCTTCAAACTCTAAGATCTCTTCTTCCATAACATTTTATTATTGTAAACTGTCTTCAGAAACACCTGAAAGAACTTAGTTCACCTATTTTGATAATGATAGTCATAAGAATTTTCGATAAAAACGCATAACAAACAATAATTTCAGTTCTGTGGAAAAGAATTCCACATAGGGATTAAAGTATACGTCTGAACATATTTTTTGTGACGAAACTGTATCGCACGTACAAATTTGACGAATAACTTCAATATACCAAGCCGAGACAAAACAAAATATAATTTTTATTAAATTCGCGAACTGCGCCCGGGATTGGCCTAGTGAGGTTGTCTAGTTATACGTTTAAAATATCAATATAAAAAGAAATAAGATAGCCCTTACATTGCCTATTTGCAATAGTATTATGGCAAGGTTACGATAATTTTCTAATTCTCTATTGTTATTCTAGGGTTCTAAACGATCTCCGTTACAATTCTCCAACTAGTTTTGCATGCAACTTATTACAAATAAATTGCCCTGAAACGGAAAGCCAACTCTTTGGCGGGAAATCTTATGGGGAAATCTGTGATTTTTATTTTTTCTCATCGCGAATTTTTCTCTGGTGCTTTCTAGTAAAAAACACTGCTGCATTGTTAGAACATATTTTTCTATTTTAATATAGGGTTGCACATTGCACAGTTACCGACTGAAGACTGCATATTCTCACTATTTTTATGGTAAAATTCAAACTTTATATAATTTTTATTATCCATACCGATTGATCTCCGGGATGTCCAATGTTTTATTGTTGATTCCGATTTCATGTTTTCGCATCATATTAGTATTTTGCATTGAACTGGGGGAATGATCAGTCATATTGGAACATCTTTGATGACACAGTTTTTGAGAAAAATAAGCTCAATCCATGTTTGATCCCATAAATGTTCGGCGGTACTTCTTTTTCACTGCCTACTTCTTTTTCATGTGCCCTGAATTCGATGTGCCCAATTTCCATACTGCGACTAACTACCCACGCCCAATTTTTTTATTTTTATTTTAACATTTTGTAAATGAAAATAAGTTGGCGTACTCGTCGGTTATTGTATATTATTGTGGATTCCGGGATTTCTTTGTATGTTTTTTGTTCGTTTAATTTTCATTGAAGTTTTTTCATCAAAAATGGATGTCTCATTTGAACCAACCATGGCTGGCGGTGGATGGGGAACAGACGTTGGTAATGTTTCCATGACCCAGGCACCGGCTGCTTCTAGTGGCCAATTTGAAAAGATCCCTCTTCCCATCTCACTGAAAGAAGCTGCTACGTGTAGAAGTGAGGACGATAAGTTCCATATCGCATCTTTTGGCTTTGTCAATGTAAGGTTTTTATTTGTGTGCTTTATTATTTATGTTTAGGTAAAAGTAATTGGTAGAGTTGAGACTATTGAGGACAGTCCTACTGGGGAGAGAAACCTTACTTTAATTAATGCGAAAGAAGCGGATTCTGTTAGCCTCAAAGTGATCTTGTACGAGACTGTTCAGGTAAATTTAGAGAGTTCTGTAATCAAGAATTATTTAGAATAAAACTGATGCTTATGCCGAAGGCGATATTGTGCTCATCTTGGGAAAGATAAGGAACTTCGACGGAGAGGTCAGCATGCTCGCTTTCCATCTTCAGGTGATTACGGATCCCAAGAAAGTAGAATGTTTTCTTTTGGAAGTTGCTTTGGCCAACAGATATTACAGTAACGTAAGTTTTAATATTATATCTGCAACTGGTTCAAGAATTTTCCCGAAAGAGTCTCAAATGAGATTGCAATTGAGTTGAACGGGACTGTCTTCAGCAATGCACCTCCAGAAGTCAGAAACAAACCAGGCCAGGGTCAAAATAACCAGTCCGGATTCGGGGGAATGGGAGGACCCGCAGCTACAGCCACTACTCCCAATGCCCGAGGGCTTTCTGGAGTCCAAGCGAAGGTAATTTGAAGAGAAATGATAAGAGTTGGAATTAAAAAATACTCTAAATTAGCAAAAAATAATGCTTGTTGTTGCGCGGTTTAACATGGGGGTTTTATAGATACATAAGATGGAAACGTCTGAATTGGGTATTTTAGCTGGTCCGAGTTATCCTCACTCATTTTAAACCTAAAATGTTGTGTTCAAGGGAAATTTCTGAAATTTGCGATATTGTGAACGATTATTTCCGGAAGACTAGGTTCCAGAGAATTACAAAATTAGGCTTTTTACAAGAAACAGAAAGTTTATCGGTAAAAAATCAAATGGGATACGAAATCGGCCCCTGAATGTACCTAACATATTTTTCTGTTTGGGAGTTTTTGGATAAACCATATGAAACGGATAGAAACAGAAATTCTCAGCTAGTAAGAACTTGCCTAAATTTGTAAATCTGGCCCTCCGGAAATTATCGTTCACAATGTTTTTCAGAAATTTCTCTTGGACACAAAATTTTAGGTTTAAAATGAGAGAATTTTTTAGGAAAGGAAAAAGTCGTAGTGCAGAAGAAGATGCGAAATTCGCTTTCTTTCTATATTTTGGAAAGCAAAACAAGAGAACGGCTTTCGATCGAAATAGCAAACAAATTTAGCTTTTTTTTCAAATCCCAAATCGATTATTATTTCTTAACTTTTTTAACTCTAAAATTTTAGATCCATAACGTAATTCAGCAGAAGGGTGGGGAAAGCGGCATCCATGTCGATGAAATCAAGAGATCCATCGGAAATGTCGCCAAGTTCGACGAGGAACTCCAGCATCTGGTTAACGAGGGAATGATTTATTCCACCATCGACGACTACCATTACAGCGCTTTGTGAATTATTTAATTTTAGATCTCAATAAACTACCGTAACCTTGTAAATGTTGGGTTTCTTGTTTCGTTTTTATCGTCTTTGTATACTTTTTTTATTCATCATTTAAATTATTTTTTGCTTTAAGTTGTTTATGATGGAGACGATCGAGGTGTCGATTGCGTCACTCAAGGCTGTCTTGGACGTCTTCAAATTTCAAACCATTCATTTCAGAAGTCTAACGAATATTGCAAAGAAACAAGCAAGTCTGAATTCGAAAATAGTAATGTTTTAGAGTAAGTTGATTGAGGATATGAAGATGGAAAAACAAAAGTTGATGAAAAGAATAAATACACTTGAGAGGTAAAGGTAAAAGCGCAGGATATATTGGTTTAGCGAGAACGAGAAGATGGTCGACTTAGGGCCGTTTGTGGAGACTTTGAAGGAGGTCACCAAGATCAGCCAATTCCAGGCGATTCACGTAAAAAGTTTGGCTAAGACTTCAAGTAGACGGGAGAATATAATCAAGAAGTTGTCGTCTCAAGTTGAAGAAAAAGTAAAGGCCAACAATTCCCTGCTAAAGTAAGTGAATTTGCGGCTGAATAAAGTAATCAGAGTATGTGCTGTTTCTAGAGAAGTGGAGACCCTCAAGATTAGCAGTCAATTTCATAAGGGAGAGCTTGAGAAGTCCCAGAACAAGTGCACAGATCTGGAGAGAAAAATCGACAAACTGAAACGGTATTTTCATCTTACCATAGGTGAATAACTGAATTCAGAGAAATCCACAATCAGGCCATGATGTCTGGAAGTCTCAATCCTTATCAGACCAGTTTCATTCCGGGGTTGGATACGTCTGTGTCACATAGTAAGTGTTATTTTTATTCGGCGTTTGATCTAAAGCTTATGTTTAACGTATTTTTAGATGAAGTTTCGTTTTGTTTGGCTGAAGTAAGTGTTTGGGTTTTTATTTAGAAAGGTTTGTTGCGCAATGACCGTGATTTAGCAGAAACCGCCAGGAAATCCCCGTCAATCAACCGACTTCCATCTGAACGGAACTAGTGTAAGTTAGGGTTGTATGGAGTTAAATTAAAAATTTACAGAGTAACGTATCGTCCGTTCCTGACCAGTCGAATGATTCCTTCAGCTTCCAATTACCATTCTTCCAAAATTCTCGTATCAATCGTTCGGATAGTAGAGAGGAGTAATTTTAGTTTCGATGGCTTACAAACATGAATTAAATTGTTTTCAGCCGTCGAATGGGGCCTCCGAATCACCCTCCAAGAAGAAGGTCAGTGCAAGGAAATATGGAAGAAAGAAGTTTTGTCATCACTCCTCAAGAAAGGTAAATTGTTTAGGGTGATTGTTTAACACTTTGTTTAAGAAACACGTCAACTTCATCTTTGAGAGTCAAGATGCCAATGACTCCGGATGATGGCGCTGAACCGACTATTCTTGCCTCATTTGACTCCTCCGGCCGTCGTCGAACTCCGACCAAATGTTCGACTCCCCTGATGCCTGGCGAAGTGACGTCCCGCAGAATCTTGAGTCCTTTCATTAGTGCCCTTGACTCCTGATTTGAGGTTTACTGTTTTATTAGTTAGCGTTAGTTAGAAAGTCGATGATCTCAAGTTATATTGTTATTTGTTTGTAGTTACAAACGTTGTTTCTTTTTTGCTTTATTCCTTGTTTCCATGGATAAAGTCCAGACGTTATGTGCAGAAGCACTTTTGGCTTTTTGACGTTGGCTGAATTTGTGAAATTAAAGCCTCCAATAGTATGGCAACTCGGTAAGCTTTCAACAATTGAATTGTCGCGGTTGAAGCTAAAAACTTTTGTATCGTACAGTAATTCAAGGGCTAATGAAAACCCCCGGGGCGAAATGGTTCCACGTGCATCCTCGAGCAATCCGAATGTTACGAACCCTGCAGTTCCCCTGGCGGCAAATAGACCTTCCCAAAACATTGATCCTTACAGTGTGGCCGACGGACTGAATGCCGTGAATAAAGGCATGCCACCGCCTGTGCCAGTTGACGTTCCACGGGCCAGAGGAATCACTCCAAGCCCTAACTCCGCCCCAGGTTTGGCAATTGTGAAATAAAATGAATCTTGTTGCAGTATCTAGGCGTTCCCAAAGACGAAATGCACAGGGTCGGCGTACTAGAGTCTCAACTTCTGAATCCAATCTAGAAACAACGGAAAATGAACGACTCCGTACCGTGGGAAGGAACAAAACACCCGGCAGCAGGGATCGGAGACAGACTTCATCTACTGTAAGGACAAGATCAGCAAGCCGGTCAACCCCAGGGTCTCAAGGGTCGGAAACTGACTCCAGGCCGAGGAGGAGACGAGCCACTGAAACTGCATCAAGATCAGGATCTACTAGAAGTTCAGTTTCGGTCAGATCTGGAAGTCGAGTCAGTGGGACAGGTTCTGAAAGAAAATCAACTGGCGCATCGGAGAGGTCGATTTCAAGGTCTGGCTCTGTAAGAACTCAGACTGCCAGAAGCACCAGGACTGAGGATTCTTCTGGCATCAGAACTTTGGATTGGGTGCCTCTTTTGGTGGGAAAGGAGAGTCCCCAGTACTTTTCGGAAGGGATCCAACATCTCGAAGGATGGATATCGGAACCAAAGTATGCCCCTGAATCGATTAACAATCCCTCTTTAGTCCTGAATATCCGGTCGAGATTCTACTTGGGCTAGAATACATTTCAAATGTTTATAAACTGGAGATTACGGTAGTCGATCATCTCTTGCGTAAGCTGGATAAATAGATGGATATCTATGGTGACCATGAATTTAGCCGAAAAAATTGAGGTTCGAGTTGGAAGAGGAGAGCAATTGGATCGGGATATGACATATAAGTCAGCCAGAGAAGCTGCGTACGAATTGAAGGGTACGGTAATGTTTGAGAAGCCTACGTCAAAGAATGTGGACCCAGAGACGAAGACCGTTTTCATCGATTACGAAGCGCAATACGTATGGCTGACAATATTTGAGCCCCTCAGAAACAGACTTAACAGAACCAATCAGGTACATATTTGATGTGTCAAATGGCCATTCCATATTTTTAGGTCAGGATTGGGAGCCTGGCTTTGTATGGATATCCCATGGACAAGACTAAATACACTCCTTTGACCCCTGGCACCGCCAATACTCGAACACAGTTGACTACTCGGGGCTCGGGCTCTTCTTTTGTTAGCGTATTTAGTCTTACCAATTCTATGGGACCGGGTGATTTGGTAGGAGAGGATGATGATAATGCAATTGGAGTAATCGGCAATGAAGGTTTCAAAAGTTTTGGGGACAATCTGGCCTCTGATCCGTTGGTCTCAATACGTGTGGCTAAAAGGGTGCTGGGTAGAAGAATAGAGAAGGCGGAAAGGGTAAGCAGTCAGCGCGTCAAATAATTATGAGTATCTGGACCCCAAAATACATTAATCTTTTAGAGAGGACTAGATGTACAAGCTACCGTAATCCAACGAGCGATTGAAAGACTAAATGAATATGAGACAAAGATGCTGGAGATGAAGTCAAAGATGAGCACGGCCTTAACAGAAAGGGATTACGAGGAGGTCGGTGTTCTAAAATTTAATATTTATTTTATTAGGCAAAGAAACAATTCTTATCCATGATTGATGCTCGGGATCTGGCCTTCAGAGTAATCCATCTGGATCTTTTATTAGGGAAGGAAGAAGTAAGGAGTGGGGATCCGGGTGCGTGGAATCAGCTTCTTCTGGAGAACATTACCTGAGTTTGTTCTTCCGTGTGTTTCCTTTGCTATCTTGTACGTGTTCCTTTCCTTTCGATGTATCTATAGCAATAATTTTATTTCGGATCCTTTATTCTCATGTTTCTAAATTTATTTTTAAGCTTCGATCTTTGGGTGTGGAGTCCACGTGGGTCCAATGAGTTTAAGCAAAAGTCATTCCTTTCGAACAAATGAAGGCAGCCGGTGGTGAGAACGTTTCAATGACCTCGAATACGGTCGTTCAGGCTAAAGCGATTGGCCAAAAGCGATTGAAAAAGGAATTGGAACACTTCAGCCGATGCCACCTGGTCACTTCCAAGCAAATCCAGGTGAATCCATGTGTTTATGACCTACCGCTTTAAATAATTGGTTAATTCAATGGCTATAATCAAAGAGATAGTGTTTAGAGAAGGATCTCGTCAACCTCCAACGGCAAAAGTTGAATTGGTTACAAAAGTCATCCAAATGGAAAGCCGAATGGTTGGATTGGTACAGAAATGTTCGAAATCGCTTGAAAAAAGCAAATCCAGGGTTTAGGCTCGCCATTCGGACCTTTTGGCTATGAATCTCACTTTCTCGTCACTCGGGCAACTCTCTCCTAGCTTTACAGCGCATTTAACCCGTTTAGCTAGAGATTATAGCCCTTGAATTAATCAATTATTGCAAACAGTGGGTTATAATGAGTCATAATTAATCGCTTTCATTCAATCCAGGTCGAGAATGCAAATGAAACCACTTGGAATCTGATCCTTTCTCCGGTGAGTTTCTTGTTGCAAACGTTGCTGATGTGCAATTTACACTTTCCCTCTTTTCTAGATGGACCCTCCTTACAATGAAGAAAAGTTCAAGATGGCTCTCGAATTTCATCCGGAATATCCGTTTAAGCCCCCCAGGATCTGTTTTGTGTCCCCAATCTACCATCCCAATGTGAATTCGAAGGGCGAAATTTGTTTGACCATTTTAGCAATTGAGAATTGGAAACCGGGAATTACTGTAGCTTCGGGTAATTCCTGTTTTCGATTAATTATTTTTTTCCAGTTATGTATTCGCTGATCAGCTTGTTGCGTAACCCAGAACCGGAGAGAGGATTGGTACCGGAAATCATCACCGAATATTTGAATGTATGTTATTGTTGGCATACTCTTTTATATATTGTAATGTTCTCTTCAGAACAACGAAAAATTCATTGCCAAAGCGAGAGAAAAGTCCTTCCAAACCCAGTAGATTACATATCGGAACACCAATTATACTTCATCAATTACCCTTCAATTATCATATCAGAAGCGACTTTAATTAAACTTAGAACTCTTGACAGTGGAAGTACGTTTGGGTGGGGATATTGTAATAGGCACATCGCCCTTGTCGACATCGACACGTTGCTGAAAGAAAAAAACGTAAGCAGGAGTATGGAAAACCGGAAATCGGTGTAATGTGAATTGCCGGACTGAAACCTTAAGATACACGCTGCTCTGAGCTCGATCTTAAACTCTCTCAAGCAAGAGTAATCTAAGTCTAATGCAAATAAGCCCGAATTTTTGAAATCCAAAAACGCAAAAACCATTTACCACCCTAGAATTAAAGATATTTCCCCGTACATTTATGACACATTATACCGAATTCCGATTTTGTCCGGGAATATGCATATAAATGTAGTCATGGTCGCAAAACACTGTGGGAAGATAGCCATGGAGACATAAATAGCCTTACCTCCTCGTTGACGTCGCCCATTGCCAATGTCAAGACGCTTGTGGAATCGGTCTGAAAGTGTCGTTTGCACAGATCATTGGACTTACTCATTAAATTGAATGGTAATCCCTCGTCCGTAACTGGCTCCGCTCTCCAACATTCATACCCCGCAAAGCATTTTTTGGCCGTCAATTCCTAAAAATAGTTCATCATAATCTTAAAGAGCTCTAACTGAAAAAAGGAAACGGAAGCGACGACAAAATAATTTCTGTTAAAATCGCAAATACAATATCGATAATCATTTCATCGGCTCTTACTTGAAGCGTTTCCACTTGATCCCTTGCTTCGGATGCTTGCGTGACGGCTTCGAACAACATCAGAAGCACCCCCAGCCATGCCACCACACTCGTGTGATTGGCTCTGGTAGGACCGTTCATCTCTAAAACAAGCCCCAACACATGGACCTTACTCTCATAAATTATAAAGTTGTGAATGAAATGGCCGATGACGCGATAGATGAAAGATGGGGTAATGAGGAAAGGAAGGGGGGGGCGGGCGCGATAAGAGGCGATGCCATGCCCTCGGGAATAGGCCACGAGATTACCACAAGCGCCTTCTTAGCCGAGATCTTAGGATTCGAGACCTGACCATGGCCTGGGACGGGAAACTGAGTTAACAGCCCTGGGGGCATTTTTGCATAGTTTTTTGTTCTCCCGCCTAAATTCATTTCCATTCGTCATCGCATGGCCTCCGAAGCCGAGAATACATTTATTTGCATAAAACGCCTTATTTATGCTAAACCGTATGTCAAAATAGAAATTATGGGATTAGTTTGGATAGAGATGACATTCCTTTAAAATGTGGAGCAGATGTTCCACAGGGAACCAGCTCCTGTTTCCCACACTCCGATCAAAGTCATGGCTCACCCAGAGCTCAGTGAGACGTCGGAGACGGGTTGTGGACAAGGTTAGCTTCTTGCCCCGCCTTAGGTTTCGATCTTCTTCACCATGATCATCAAGGTAAATGGAGCCCCAAAGATTACACAGACCACCGTGGATAATGATTACCATCGTCGAGTTCAGTGACAGAAAGCATCCCACCCCTGCCGTGCACGAATAAGAATGCTAAAAGATTACTCGATTAGAATTACAATTGTGTTACCTGCTCCACTTCCGAGACTGTATTGGTCTGCCCTTCAATGCTAATATCACAGCAATCATAAACACAAACAGTGGAACCACAAGCCATGCAAATGGAAGGCTGTGAAGGAGCCTCTCCGCATCTGTTACATTTGTACTTGAAGTAAGTATTGAACAAAGAATCAAATAACAAAGGAGGCTCCTTCAGTTTCCGTGGGGTCCACCAGGCTTCGGTTAAGAAAGTTTCCCGCATTAACTCATCCGCCGTGAAATTAGGAACAACATCCTTCAACCAGGCCTCCACCTTGGGTTCCATCATTTTCAGAATCCCCGAGAATGAAATGGGTAGGCCCAAAATAACTTTGGCCAAGTCTTCGAACATTCCACAATCATGGAAGGCGGAATCAGCGACGGGAGAAAGAAGACCGGCCTCAATCATCAGATTCAAAGCGAAGGATGAGAACGACATGGCCGATTCGTTTATCCGAGTTGACAATTCATCGAATCGGATGGACCTTCGGGTGAGTTGGGGATCAAAGAAGTTCTGTTCGTCGTCGTCAAGTTTCCTTAGAATTTTTAAAATCTAAAAAAAAATATTTGCATGTACATCTCGACCGAAGGGAGACTGAATATGAACTGACTGAATATGAACTGAGACGTACCGAGTCTGCAGACGGATTAACTGAGCCGTGTTGAGAGCGATCCGTCCGAAGATAAAACATTAGAATAGTGCGGCACCAGTTTTGGATGAGGCAAATGCAATAACAATACCGATAGAAACCTAGAACCTTTTTGAAAAATTAAATAATCAATGGTTTACCTCTCAACTGATCCTTTTCTATCGATGGAATTGAAGTAATTACGGTAATCAACAAAATCAAAAGAGTTGACGAATCGTAGAGAAGAATGGGGACGCTCGAATCGATCCTCCCATTCAACTTCTCCCAGACCGATCGCAACAACTTCAAATTATTTTCTTGAGCGCTGATTCGAGAGAGAGAAAGTTTCAGTAAACTATCTACAAGCATTTTATAAATCTCGCAATAAATATAAATCATACCTGTGAAGAGGTTTCGCAGTCTTGTGGGATAATTGCACTTCATAGAAGTTATCAATGAAGCTCGATCCACTTGATTCTTCAGAATGGATATTGTAGTTCTGAATGGGTTCTGAAGTAACGACTCGTCTAAAATACGAGTGAACGCAAATCGACGCCCATCCACGCTGTTCACGGTTTCCAGATGTTCATTTAGTTGAATTAGTTTTAAAAGAAACGGTTTAAAGTTGTGATAGGCATTGGCCAAGGTCCGTTGGTTGTCAATGTCCTAAAGAAAGTCTTACTATTTCCATTACCTTCACTAATTCTGATAAAAATTATAGAATACCATGGTTAGGCGATCCCATTCGTTGATCACATCCTGGGCCCCATTGAAAAAGAAGCTGCAGTCACCAACAAATCTGGCTTCATCAAAGGCAAACTTCTCAGAGATATGTGAATCTGATTGTTTTAAATGAATATCCAGAGGAATCAGTGAGGTCACATTACTCCGACAGACTGGGCAAGGGACACTCATACGATGCTTTACAGTTATTCCATTCTCCTGAATACAATTCTCAATATAAATGGTAAAGAAACGTTTTCTTAGGAAACAAGACTTACATGTACACTGGTTTTGTAGTTTTCGAAGCATTTGAGGTGGGCAAAGTGACCACAGACCTTGAGTTCGCCGGTGGAAACTGTCAAAACCATATTATCTCCGAATCTTTCGTTATATACAGCTGCGGATTGCTTCTCCCAATAAGCGAAACGATCGTATCGACCATGTGTTGTAGAATTATCCGGATTCAGAATAGTGCTTTCTTTATGGATCATACCATTGGCCACTACAACTATAATCGTCTTAAAAAGCAACATACCCGAAGTTGTTTGAGTATAGACAAAGAGACCGAAGGCATCTTCAACCCCTTCAGATCCATTACAAATCGGGCAATCGTATCTCTGCCCATTCTCCTTCTCCTTAATGTCATCTTCTTTGAGACCCTCGATTTCGAGTAATTTGGACATGAGAGCTGAGTTCTGCACTTTTTTATTCCTCATAATCTCCATTTGCCTTCGTTTTGCGGCCATCTTCTTTTCCAGAAAATCATTCTTCCTCTCCAATGACCCGACTGTTGGAGACGACGACATATCGGCAACTCTTAACTTCTTGTCCAATGAAATTCGAGAGACAGGATCACTAAATTAACCTTCAGTTTCTACAAATGTGATTGCCCAGGGGCGCATCTAGGGGAGGAAGGGGGACGGGTTCATACTCTCAAGGGTTGGGGTCGAAAACAGTAAAAAAAGTAGGTAAGGGGACCCAGGTAACCGTCTTTCGTGCCGCCATTTTAACTGTAAAGACACCCCCCCCCCCCCTCCCCGATTTTTGGGCCAGATACTCCGTGTGCTTACTAATTATACAAGTAGCAGATTAGACGAGCCGTGTATTCTGTGCCCGACCCCACCATCTTCTTCAATGAATCCGGACTCTTCATGCAAATCCTTAGTAAGTCTCGATCCCTGTGTGCTGGATCAATATCTCGGAACTCTTGGGAATGGAGACTCAGATACAATTCCAAAATCAGAGAAGTAAGAGATCCAGAACCTGGGGATGACATGCTCCTTGTAACCACCGAAGGGATACCAGCTTCATTGAAGAGAGAAAAGAACAAAGAAAGACCATAGACGGAAGTCAATCCTTCAGAAGAGGACTGAGAATGTTGGAGGAACACGTCTGGGTGATAATCAAGGCAACTATTCAGATATCTAAAGGCCTCTGGAGAAGACGTTTTCACAGCATAAGCTACCATCAAAGTGAGAATATAAATGGTCTGCTGGAGGATATGTACAGGAACAGATTGGGGATGGGCAAGATAAGAGTCGAGCACATACCGGCATACCCAGATGGATGCCGGATGAAGGAGAAGGTGGTCAGTATTAATCATCTTGTCCTCAAAATCAGGAATCAAAAAAGAAGGCCAGACGAAACGAGCTTCATTGGGCGAGGAGAGTCTTTCTCTGAGGGCCACTTCCATTCTCATCAAAAGAGCATTGAACTCTCGTGGACTGCTTGCTCTGAATCTAGCTCTGATCATGTCCACTTCATTACACCAGGCTTCATCAGTCAGAATATATAGACCCTGTTGAATCTGATTCCCTTGATCAGGCTGTTCGAAACGAGCGACCTTAATATAAATTACCATTGGCATTGTTTGGAAAGACCTACCTTCTTGACCACCTTTTCAAAACAATTGTTAACTTGTTCGTTGAACTCTGCCCCTCGATCGGGAAGATTTTGCCTGAGTTTGGAGTAGGGTTGTTGGTTGGTGCTGAGGATATGAACAACCTCCAACTTGACTTCTTCTTCCACCTCCATCTCAACATAAGACTTGATCAAAAGCAGTTCCAAAAAGAGTTTCAGGAATCCATCGACCATGGGGAATATCCATTCTCTCTGAGTTATTACAGTGTCCATTGCCGGAGTCTCCAACAAGGCTAACCCCACAGGGAAATTAAGACAATCGTGGAGATGGAAGGCGTCGAACATCAGATCCATTACTTTCCATCCATCCAACTGTGAACATACTAATCTGAACAGGAAATTTTAGACATAAAAATTCCACGCACCTCATCAAACTCATATCCAAATCCAAAAATCCATTAGTCAGAGCCGTTTGGCAATAAAGATAAACATTATTCCTGGCCATGTTCCCATTTCTCACCCACATTTTGGCAAAATACTCTGATACCATAGCCTAAACGTAAATATTAGTTTAATCTGACTATACCTGAATCCGCAGCGGATGGATTAAAAGAGAAGCCAAGAAATCCTGATCGAGCCCGCTCATGACACCCAAGTCATTCGTCAATTTTAGGTACTGTAAAATGGTAGCCGAAAACTGTCGATGCAATGGAATATGGGAGGTGCAGAAGAAAGGAGGGATCTTGCTGTGATTATCTGTCACTCCCACAGCATCAAACCATTCCTAAGAAATAAAAACTTCCAGGGTATTTATTACCTTTAATTGCTTTTGAAGTAAGAAAGCAAAGTTGCGCAATGACGACAGATCTTCTTCTGTCATTCTGACCACCGAACTAAACAGTAACATCGAATTTACTTCCCATTCCACTGTAAAATAACGCTGCATTAAATGCGAAGAATCAGTTTCAATGTGATCTCCATCCACGATTCTCCAAAGCACGTTAACTCCTAAAAAGATTTTTTTGCTAAGTCATCTAAAATTACCTTGCAATGCTGACAGTAAAGCGACGTATCTGCGACTGAGATCATCACTTCTGAAGACGTCCCTGCACAATTCGATGTGAGCGAAGAGATTCTGCAGATCTGTAGTCAAATACCAGTGTCCAAATCGAGAAAAGAAACGGTTCCCATTCAAATTGAAGACTTGCCATTTCTCCGGATCTGTTGTTCTTATCGGACTTCGTGCATAACAAAATTCAATTGCTAAAAATACCGACGTAAAGAATAAATAACTTACCATGATGAGCACTTATGTGAGTCGAGGATGTGTAAATGACCTTGAGGGCGGAATCGAGAACCCGGCGAAGGATCCCCACCTTCTCTTGCAGGTATATACAAACATTTTTACTTGAGCAAATCTAAAACAGAGTAAAATATAAGGCTCAATTACCTGTACAGATGCATGAATAACTCGTGCAGCGATCTTATTCGGGTCGAAATGATCATCAGCGTATCCATCGTTCATGACTTCATACATCAGACCATCGATCAGACCATACCATTCAAAGAAACGACACGAGAATTGAGACTTGAGCTGATTATTGGGCAACAAACTAAGGAGAAGGTTGATCAAATTCTGGGGGAATCCCAGTCTGACCATGTAGAAGATCAATTCATCCAATAAACACTTTAATTCAATCTTCAGTTCAAAAAAATCAATCTGAAGACATTTTGGGGAAGGCGATGGCTTCAGGGATTCCAGATCTCTCATCAGAAGATCGTGCTTCTTAAGTGTCATTTCAACCTCGGCTACTTTCACTGTTCGCGAGTCTAAAAAGAAAGAAAACTAAGAAAATAAAGAAACGTTTACCCAAAGGCGGACTGTCAGGTTGTAATCGTTGATACAATTCTTCATCACAAATAATCTTGGATAAAACATCAATCATTGGTCTTCCTAATTCTACCATTTCCTAAAAATTGCACCTTAAGCTAATGAACTCATCCATGCAAAATTCTTGTTGAAGGCACAAACCTGCAAAAATTGTATAAAATCACCAGAAGCTGTGATTAAATTCCTCGAGACGGACTCAGCTATACATTTATTAGACGATTCTGGTCGATGTGAGCTAGCTGATTGATAGAGATTCCCCTAAAAAACAATATTAAAAGAAATTCAAACCATACAAATTGTCTGAATGTGGCTACCAATCTCAACAAAACTTTAGTCATCACAAATTCAGGGAACACCAACAGTTCCCGGGGTGCATCAACCCGAATCGCGTTCGGTTGATGATGTTGGCAAAAGCCATGAGGATCAAGGATGTCGCTGTTTCCGCAATCACATGCACCTCCGGATTGAGAGAAGAAACGACTGTAATCATGAGTCGAGTGATCGGCAGCATCAAAACACTCGGCACATAATGACATACCTAAACATAGAATCTGAAACAAATACACTTACAGGGATTTCTTGCACATGTGAAACATCGATACGCAATAGAATCCATGTGCCAAACACTGTTACACTTCTCCGAGTAATCGTACAGTTTTACTGCAAAATAAAATTTATGACAAAACAATACCGTACCTTCACGTTTAAAGTCATTAAACCCCTGTCCAGCTGAGGCAAGATCACGTGAATTTGTACCCTAAAGACGGTGTTAACGGATTTATAAATTAACTCACGTTGAATGTAAGTGAGATCTCCTTTCTATCCGGCGACATCATCAAAAAAGTAGTAGCATAATGCAAAAATTGGCAGTTTTCTCTAAAATATAGGTAATAAATTTTGATCTGCTAAAAAGATTCTTCTTAATCTTACATTAAATGCTGTGGAGCATCGTCCCAATTCAATTGATATGGATTGTAGCCTTCATTAACCAAATCAATAAGACCGTATCTCAACTTTTGTGCCCATTCTTTTGTCTGTAAAGCTTGGATATTCAATTTCTTCGCATATTAACTTTTAATTCTTGAATAACCTCATCCACCAATGTTTTACTTACAGTGTATTGTAAAAATGGATATGTTGGGACATCGTCACCCGGCGGGGGGCCCTCTATGTCCATCAAAAAGAAAGGATCATGTGAAGATGAACAAAATCCGCTAAATGCAGAGATTTATATTTTTCTTTTTTTTGGAGGGCACACATGGCCAAGACGAGGGAAACACATGACTCATTTTCCCTTTGCAAATTTTTTTTGGCAGTATACTGCAGTACTGCTGAATTGGGTTGATGATCGGCAAACCTCGTCTTCTGGTTTCTTCTTGAAATACAGTTCGAATGTAGGCGATTATGACTCAAGAGCGGTTACAACCCAACGCGTTGGGTCGTAACAGTACTACGTTGCTACGCTGCATTAAATGAGAACTACGTTGCAACGTAGTACTGTAAAGTAAATAGCAATTTTTAAAATTTTTTTATTTTAAATTTTTTTGTTTGCCGCAATAAACTTCTCAAAAAATTAATTTTTAACAGTACTCCTTAAGAAAAAACACAGTTCAAAAAAAATGAACACGATTTTCGGAATAAGCAGCCTCGAAAAAGTGTGACGTATGGATTCAAGACTTATCTAACAGTAAATCAAGTAAATACTTTCAGAAAAAATTTAAAAAATTACTACTTTACAGTACTGCTTAAGAAAAAAGTAACAATTAAGAGGTGCTTGGGTAGCCATTTGGACTATTTGGATACCAGCCCTGGTGTTCGGCAAGCCATTTTCTACTGAAAAAGAGATTTTTTTACGACTTTATGTCATAATCGCTCTCACTAATAGTAGTATATAAATGCTATTTCTGGGACACCCTCCCCACCCTCCTTTTCCCAAATCTCAAAGCTCGGTACATAGTGCAAAAATAGCAGCTAATAAAAGTTGCTTCTACACCACTTTTTCACGCTATTGCAAATGGTATAGATCTCCAGAAAACCCAGAAGACGGGGTTTTGCCGCGCCCATCCCCCGCGTCAACCATTATTTTTTTGGCAGAATCGAAAGTTTCTTTGTCAAGCAGATTGCTGGTTTCCTTGCCACAAATAATGTCTAACAAATTCGATAGCAAACTTTATAAAATGCCAGTGTTTAACCGCTTTATTATACCGTATGACTAAATAATAAATTGAAAACTAATAACAAACGATTGTAATATAAAGCCCCTAAAAGTTTTGGCCCGTTGTTTGATTGGTAACTCGAATAATTAAAGAAAAGGGTTAGATCAGACAGATAACAGTTGATCTAAGGATAGCCCGTTCGGATGTGCAGTAAATGTGAATTCTGATTATAGACAGAGACATTAAATAATTTCTTTTTTTGGTTTTATGAGTATCTGCATTCGAAAAGAGACATCTAAAAGTGTCAGAAGAGGATCGAGAGAGGAGGCCATGTGGAAGATCTCAAGAATAACGTTGTCCAAAAATTATTTATGGCCCGCTACTCGCTTCCCTACTGACGTCCTAAGGCTCAGCATTCTTATGCTGACTCCGCTTTTTAATCTTTTTACCACGTATTTGTAATGTTTTCTAATCGCAATAACAACAACAACTAACAAATATAATATAAATTACAATTATAATGGGTGCTAATTGTAAGACATACAATTGTAAACCGGCGAAACCTTAAAGGAACTCGTTTTTCGAATTATTTTAAGTATAAGATCACAGCTGAAAAAACGCCGTTTGGTGGGAAGACTACCTGTTTCTACTGGTGATTAAAAATGCAAAGATAAAAATGATCTTCGAGCTGGGATAATAAGCTTGTTTGGCATTGATAATCCATTGTGTGTTATATCTGAAACCTTTACACTCGACATACGATGCACTTACCGAATTGGAAGAGTTTAAGGCTCGGCTGGATGAATGGAGCGGATCTTGAATAGACGTCAAGGATAAGGTCAGAAGATTCTGGAGGCTTTGGGAATCCCTATTACAGTCATATGGATGTGTATATCCTCACTTACGTTGTGGTAGGTGATACTTTCGAACTGGCTGCGACAGCTTGGAGCACCGAAGATGCTGTAAACGGCGGCTGATTATGCATCAGAGCAGGGGAATTGTTCTCATTCAAGTATTGCAGGAATTGGGAGGAGACTAAACCAGGAATACGGTCTTTTCCTCTCTACTCACGTGTCTTTTGGTTTTGTTTTTGTATCATCGAGTGTACCAAAGCCGCTTGGTCCATAATCAGATTGTTGGATTGGGTGTTTATGGCGCCGAGGAATTGAACGGGGGACATCATTGTTGTGGGGTAAGTGTTATTTCTTATTACGCTTTGCTGAAACGGAATAATTTTCACTACAATTGACTTTAATGTCATCAATGATATCCTCCGAAATGGTTTTTACCGTATGATTCAATAAGTTATTCCCGACGGCAACACTTAATTCTCCTTTGTTGTCTTCCGTGTCCTCTTCCGGCTTGCTGGCAGAACGTTGGGACCTCATGATAGGAGACAATCCTTCTTCGGCCGACTTTAATAGTAATCCCAATTTATCTCCATTATCCATTTTCATATCTAAAAATCATAAGTATAACCTTTGCATACTAAACATACCATCATTGAGCAGTTCTATGCTTTTTCGGCTTGCTGAACTAGATCCCGACGTTATCCGGGATTTCTTGCTGGGCGGAGAGTCCTCGTCTTTTTCCATTGTCAAACTTTTCTTCCCTAAGGCACTTGGAGGAGGAGTCTCCCCGATTGGAGAGATCCAACTTAAATTCGAATCGCCAAAGTCTTCTCGAGACACTGATCCCGACAAACAATTGGGTAAGATGACTCCGTCCATTCCATGAAGAATTGACGCTGAACACATTCATTATGTTGCGGAGACTTCTTACGTTTTATTAGGCCCCTCAACTCGTACGCACTGAAGACCCCCGTCCCCCAAATTCCTTCATTCAGCCCGATCTCATCTTCGCCGCGCTTCAACTCCTCTGGTTTATCCGGATTAGAGGTGAAGATGTAATTGGCAAGGAACAGATCCAACTCTCTGACCGCGATACTTATGTGATAGGGGTTCACACACAATGAAGGCGATTCACAATTCGCACATTTTTCGAGTCTCTCGCCGTCTGTGCTCTCCAATGGAATGCCCTAAAAGATTAGTAAATAAATGTGTAATGGAGAGTGCGAAGAAGTGTGCATGTAATGCGGATGTCTAAATCTGCAAACTTATTCCATTGTCTTCGGATATCATAAAGTATATCCCTTTCCCACCGTATCCGTCAACCAAAAAGACAACACGTACCTTGAATAGCACCACCATAACCAGGTCCAAACGCCACACTTTATCCGCCTGCCTGAGGCAATCTATCCGTCTCATCTTCCCTTTTTGATCCGGATTCGAAAACACACAGACTGAGGGTTCTTTCCCCACTACCGACCTCACGAAGCGATCTCGGCAGTCAGGCTGGATGTCTTTTCTCAATTTTCCCAGCAATCTTCCAGCCCATTTCTGCTTGATGTCAGCGCTAACTGCCTAAAAAAAGAAGGTGCCAGGTAGGTGTAAACTTACCGAGATCTGCTCTTTTGTCCGTCGCTCTTCCTCAACACTCATTCGTCGATTAAATCTCTTCATGAACTTCCGTTTGGCGGCCTGAAGATTGAACCAAACGAAGCTGAAGTCCTTGACATAGGGCAGCAGCTCTTCGACGAAAGGATGAAATTCTTCCTGTAATTCAACTACGTCATCGCAACCAATAAAGATGATTAGGAAATCACTGAGACATCTGTCATCAGGTGTTTTCCTTAAGAGAATCGGCTTACTGTGTTGACGGAATCATCTCGACCAGCCACAAACATGGACTTCGTGGAGTTGGCAGGCAGAGAAGTGGTGCTGGAGACTAAAGTCGACGTCTGCAGGGGAGCCGGGTTAAGAGCGGTGGCGGTGGACGAATGCCAAACGCCCTGGCTCATATTGGCTCTGGCGAAAGCAAGCAAGGAAGACCGCGGGGAGAAAAGGGGGAAGTGGTGGGGTTGTTGGATGGGCAAAGCAACGGGCCCGCTTGCTGACGACGGGGCAGCGGGGCGCCCCCCGACTCAGCACAAAAAGAGCAAGAGTGGCGGGGCGTCGTAACCCAATACCTTGCCCACCCCGATGTTGTCCTACAGGGCCTCCGATCCAGCCTTTTCTTCAGCTCCAGTACGCTCAATACCCCAACCCGTTCTCCTGACTCGTGTTTGAATTTGACCCTCCGGTCGAACCCTGAAATCCGGCTGGCTTAGTGGCTAGACACCTTCAAAGTTCTAAAAAGCAGGCCGTCAATGGACAAAAAACACCGGAAAATTGCAAACCTCCTAAATAAGGGATTACGGTAGCAAACAAACAAAACGGGGACAAAAATAAAAAAAATCAAAAGTCTGGGGTGGAAGTTTTGGATGGTTCCCAAATTTAATATTTTTGTTTATCACCCAGCCGGGAAACAAGTGTGATAAATGCTTGAGATAAATGATGGACTGCCTCTACCCCACTCTCAGATAGAGAAGGGTGTGAACACGGAACGACGAAGGCCATCTCCGAAAATATTCACTGCATGACCATAAAAATCGTGTTTCAAACAAAAACGGCCCATTGGAACGTTGAAAAGCAAGGCAAAGGGAAGGGGGAAGAAAGAGAGAAAAGGAGAGAAATTGGTCGGTGGGGAAAGCAGCAAAGGACGGACGACTGGCAGTCTGGGGTGCGGCAAACTCTCAGGTCTTATCCTCTTCTTCCCCAGCTGCACTGTCGCGGCGGGGCGAAGGGAGGAACGGGGTGATCCCCAACCTTCGGCCGTTCCGGGAGTGCACAATGTTTTGGACGGGGGCAACCCCAAGCCCGCTTAAACGAACGCCGTTCTGTCCCCCCGCTCTTGTCTGCCTCAGTCGTTTATTCCGAAGCTTTTTTATTAAAAAAATAACATTGTTCTTGAAATTTAATGGCTTGATCGCCTATCGTCAGCATTTCTGGCAGAAGGTAGCGGCCGAACAACTCGAGGCCTTTGGCCCACCCTATTTTGTCTTTCAAAATATGGGAGATGGGAGGTTTCCTGGAGGCACTTGCGTTGGGGATAGACATGATGACTTTGGTTGTCACGAGATTACTGTACTTTTCGCGGCAGTGTTCTCTCGAAGCAAGGATCACTTTCTCATAAGGCATCTTATGTGTCCGATTGAATGAATACACGGGGGCGCCAGCTTTCGTAGTCTAAAAATGTGTAATTGTGTTAGTTACACACATTACTTTGACCCAGAAGATCTCTCCGCATTCCGTCAATCCCCAATTTTGCAGAAATTCTTGAGTCCAACTCCTTACAGTGGGAGAATTGGTAACCCAAACCATAACAATTCCATCATCGGAGAGTAATCCGTCGATCGGAATACTGTTGATAAGATCGAAGGTCACTGCCGCGTATCTGGAAAAAATTGTAAATCATATTGGATTTCCCTCGGCTCCACGTTCGCCCAAAACTCACGTTTTTTGTCTTCTCACGGCTTTATTTGGCCATGCTGGATCCATAACTATGCAATCGAAACTTTCCCCGCCTAAACATTGCTTTTTTTGGCTCGAATGACATACGATAAATAAGATGATGACAAATGGAGATGTCAGAAATGACGAAACGGCTTCTGGGAGGGATGTAAAACGTCCGATTCGTTAAGTAAGCCTTGAGTACTTTATTACTCGTGTTCTCGTATAGCTTTGGCTCATCCTGATGCGAGTTTATAACACTGCAAAGAAACCCAATCCTTAGCGATTACTTACTTTCCGTCCTCCAGACTACAGTATCCCAGACTTGTACTAGCCAAGTTGTAAGTAGGAAAGATCGGTTCATTCAAGTACAAATTGGTGGCAGTTAAATTGGCCGCCGGATTAAATGCTACTGTTAAATTCAAATGCTCCGAACACACTTTGGATAAGTAATCACACTCCTAAAAAATGAGAACCTTGATATAATTTCAACATTACAGTATTAATAAAGTCATGTGGGGACAGCCTTTTACTCGACTTTGAAGGGGTCTTTTGTGTCATCATTCCAAACGGCGAATTAATTTCGTAAAATTCTGGACGTGGAACTTCGCTGAATCTTGAAAAAGTTAATTAAACACAATTAAAAACCCTACCCAGCATCATCATAAATACTCTTAAAGAATGGCAGATCATCCCATTTCAATATTTCTTCATCTTTCATGGTTCTACAACTCTCCTCTGAAATAAAAATATCCCCTTTATACAGACCACCAGTACTTCGATATTAACGTTTATTAGGAATGGCAATAAAGCGACCAGAACCAGGTTTATTATATCACAACAAGTAAATTTAAAACCAACTATATATAAATAATGTTAGTAAAAAGATTGTCAGAAAAATGAGACCATCGGTTAGAACGACCCGCCAGGTGTTATTGTAGAACATAATTAAAGACGAAGAAAGTGAAAGAACCTGCGAAAAGAGAAAATGCCTTCTTCAACTTGATCCTGTCATCAGCCAATTCATGAGACAGCATTTCAATGCAAGCCACGTAGATAAAGATGCCTGCGGCAAAACCCTCCAGGACAAATTTTAGGATCGCTGCTGTTGTTGGCTCAAACAATGAGAGCTAAAAACATACCATACGTACATACTTGATAACTTACACATCCCATCAAGAGTATTCCCGATGGAATGGACATAGATAAGCATATAATTGAAGCAAATCCCATATTCCGAGATACGTTTTGTTGAGCCAGCTTAACTCCAAATGCAAACGAACACAGAACTTCATGTAGCATCACTGATATTAGGAACTTCACAAAGTCTTCGTTAGTTTGCTGAACAAAACAAATGTATTAAATATATTTTTTCAAACAATATGCTTTCTTCTGTAAAAAAATATTACCTGAGCCCCCAAGGCAATGCCTTCGAAAATGGAATGAATCGATAATGCAAATATGAGCAAAACAACGTGCATTGTAGACTTGTTAGCAAGGATTACATTGTGGGAATGACCGGCATGAGCGTCATGACTCTCCGCTTCCACGGTCCGGAACTCGATCCTTCCAAAGTCATCATTATCCGAATCGGAGTCTGTTAGATTGACCAAGGGTTCGCTATCTTGACGATGGGAATCACCGACTTCCGTCCTCTTTTTGGATAGAGAAATCATGGCACCATTCGTCCGACGAGAGTCATCCTCGTTCATACATATCGTTGTAAGTTGTTCGAGGATTACAATTAACAAAAATCCAAATAAAACAACTAGATTTGTATCCAAAAATATCGATCGGAAATCTGACTTCTCATCAGAAACGGCGATGGAAATGTTCAATTTTTTTTTGATGGTCCGTTCGTTCATTTGGAGATGAGGAAACAATCCGAGAAAACATGTCGCCAAGAAGATTCCACATCCAAAACAATTAAGTATGGCTGACAACGGAGAATTTAGGTACCTAAGATTGGACAATGACCAAATCTAACAAACTTACTCGGAGGATCTTCTTTTTAAACCAAGATATGGCGCTAAGGATGACAAAACTAGCACCACGACTGATATACAAGTCGATACTACCTTCAAGTACATCTAACCGGGTCAATTTATTTTTTGCATTTAACGATAGAAGAGGAAACTGACCATTATATAAAGAGAAAACTTTGGTGAGATATTTATCCAACAATAAAATCAACAAGAATATGAAAACAAAAATTTTTATCCCATCATTTAACGGCGTTTCTTGATTCCACCCTTCCTCGGCTTTCGGGCTTCATTGAGGGAGTCCAAAGTGTTCTTCTTGGCTCGCTTCTTCTGTCCACCATATCCGAACTTCTTGTTCCTTTGAACTCTGCTCAACTTTTTTCCTTTCCTTTCGTGTTCCTAAAACAATATACATATTCAAAATAAAAGTTACCTCTTCATCTTGCAAATTCGAAGCATTACTGAGCATAGTCTCAAGCTGAGCCTTCATTCCCTTCCGATGCTTCTTCACAGCCTCCGCCAACTTCCTCTTGTTATCTTGTTTTTGTTGCAACGCCGATGCCTGCGCCTTCTGGGCGAATTTCTTTTCTTCCCTAAGCCTTTTTGCATTCTCGGATCGCTCCTTGTCCTTTTGGATTTCTAAAATCCTTTCACGAACCTAGAATATTTAAAAGATAATAGGGAAATTCAAAGCTCCTTACTCTCTGCATATGAGTATCTGACTTGGACATCTCAGCGAAGTAATCGTCAGGCCGAAAAACTGTGATTCCACTTTCTTCAAGCTTTGGCATGGATTTGTGGACCGCGTCAAAAGCTTGTTTGTATCTATAATTCGAAATATATGCAACACGATTTCAACTTACATAACAGCTTCTCTTTCCAAATCATTTTGCTCATCGTCGATGCACAACTCTTCATTAAATACCACATCCAAAGTTCCAGTCCACGGCAGAGACTTCTTTATTTGGAAGACTTTTCGTTTCAAATCGTCCTGAAAGTTTAATGACGTCACAAAATTATTAAAATTACCTTTTTATTTATCGGAGCTCGTTTTTCATTCTCACTTCCACCAATTTTAATAAGTCCATCGCTTAAAAGGCCTTCTTGAAAAGCCACTTGTAACTAAAAAGAATGTCCATAGCCTCAATGTAAATTAAATCATTATACTGCCTCGTTGGGAACAAAAAATGTAGGTACAGAGACCCGCTGTTCAAAATACCAGCAGAAAATTTTTCCAAGCTCACAGGGGAAGTAAGCCAAGTGCGACAATCCGATCTTGATGCAACTTGGCACAAATTAGAATTTTTTTTTCTCAGACATGTGCGAGAGCGTTAGCCCGTTTGCCGAGACGACCGACATTTTTAGACTGAAAGTTGGAAAAAATGTGACACTGTTCGGAATCTTGGTATGAAAAGTTTCATTTCTGCAATTGAGGGCATTGTTTCCACACAAAGTTATTTTTTTCCGCACGGAACTGGCAAAGATACGGCCAAAAAAGCGGTTTTCTCTCTGGCCGCCTTCCGCGCTTCGTTTACTCTCCCGGCGGTAAAGATCGGTGAATTTCTTGGTTCCGCCTGCAAAACGGGAGCTAAGCCTTTTAGGAATTGATATGGGGCCTATTCCCGACATGTATGCAATGTTTAAAGAAAATCTGAGCGTCGCATTCCGGGTACTTCCCTTGTCAGTGAAATCATGTTCAATCGACTGTTTCAAAAACCCAATCCATTCTTGTGGGACTTGCAATATTGCTTACCTCACTATCCGAAATGTCGCCATCATCTGAAAAGTCAGCGCCCAATTGTGCATCGGCCTCCAATTTATCCGAATCCTCCGACTTGTATGATTCCGTAGAGTCTGAATCCTGACGTTTCCTTCTCAAAATCCGCTTCTTGGCCATCTGAAAATTTGAAATAAAAAATTTTCTAAAATACTCAGAAACAACGAAATAAATGTGTTAATCTTTAGAACAGTCCAATTTCACACTCTGCCAATTTGCAATTCCATGAACCCTTTTATAAAATGTTATGTATTTTTTTAAATGTTTTCGCTTCGAAGCACACCAAGAAAGACATTTTATACGATCAAACAGTTTTCTCGAAAAAAAATATTTTTTTGTTGTCTGCTGGTGCGCAAGCAATTCCTGCCATTATGCAGTTATCGGCAGTATGTCAGCTTAGACGCATTATTAATCCTTCTTATCACCCGTTTCATGTTATTCCCAAGCCAGCATTATGGATGAAACGAGAAAGATTACGAAGATTTGTGGCTGTAAGTTCTCGTGAATTAAATTCTCAACTTTTAGTGGCAATACGCATCCAAAAGGACCACAGTTAGAGCCGGGAGCCGACAACTCAACAAGATCTTTATTTACATGGGCATGCAGCAAAAGGACGAAAAGAAATTTGAAAGATATGTAAGTTGAATAGCCTGTTTTCACCTTTGAAATTCAGTATTCCGAGGAACGGGTAAATGCTGCACTAGGTCTTAATCGTATTGAATATATGCATTTCCGTAACATGCTGGATCAAGCACATATTCTGTTAGATAACACCTGTCTCGCACAATTGGCCATTTATGAACCAAGGACATTCGAGGTACGTTTCTCTGTTTTTTGATTTATTTTTGTGTTTTTAGAGTATAGTGAACCTGACCAGAAAAATGTCGTTAGAAGATGGAAGGGATGTTTTGGATGATGACGTTCTGCAGAACGTTGAATTCAGACCAGATTGGTTAGGTGACCCCCTACCGAGATCCATTTACTATCAGAAAGGACCGGCGAAGGACTTTAGCCAGACACCCAGAAAATTGCGTGTGGATGAATTCTAATTCTTAAAGTTGTTTTTTATTTGTAGACTAGGTAAATTGTTTTTTTTATGAAGGGCTGAGTTTTCCAACTTGTTAATTTGAGCTCAATCTATTTATTTCATTGGTTTCACGGGCGGATGGTATTTTTTAGATGTTCGAAAAGTTGACAGGTCTCTTGAACAATGTTATTGTAAGTTGTAAAAGACATCTTGATTTTCTTTAGAAGTTTAGAAAACCGATAGAAGAAGAGAATGAGGTGATGATTGATGCCTCCCTCCTCTCGTGCCCCGTCTGCTACAACGTCTTCTCGGATGCTCCACTCGTTTTACCTTGTGGTCACACTTTCTGTTCCGATTGTTTCAAGCAAATAAATAGGAAGAGGGGAGTTGATGTAAGTGCAACCTAAGAGTATTATATTTTTTAGGGTTCTTGCCCAATATGCAGGAAACCTTTTATAAAAGGGAAGATTTATCCCAAGAATTATATGGTTGAGTCGATATTACACTCAATGTGTTTGGTGAATGAGAAAACTGAAGAAGTGGAGGAGAAGTCCACTAAGAATAGTCTTGCATTTGCGGTAAGTGGAGTGTCGCTAATACTATTTTGATATCTGTTTTACACAAAAGGATTGTAAGAAAAATCTGTTTCCCCGTGACTTTGAAACTAAATGCTGGGAATTATTGGGTTGTGTATGGAAATAATTTTAGGTCGCTCGTCTCCAGAAGCAAAATGAAATGCTGACAAAGGAGAAATTCGAGTTAAGAAAAGCCATGGCTGAACAAGAGAAACTGATCAGATGGTTGTGGTGTTTGTTGGTGGGAGTGACAGTACTATTTACTGCTGCCTTGATGTCAATAACGTAAAATGTTGCCTCAGGATCATTGTACAATATGTATTATATAAATTATTAAACCCCAGGATGCATATTCCCGACGTCTCCTGGTTGAATATTGGGGGTTGTGGGGTTCTGACTGGCTCCGGATCGTACAAATCCCCTCCAAATCCGGAACATCATAAAGCCTGCAAAGCCATGTAAGAGCGCCAAAAGGAGTAGAAACAGCTGAAAAATTTTTCATTACTTCGGTAACTAAAATTTGGATCAACACTGGCAGAAACACTTACCGCGGCCGCCAAGAATGTCCCGTCTACGCCTGACTTATTCCATGATCCAACAATGAACATATCGATTACTGTAGCACAGAAGAACGCTCCAGAATAACCAATTTCCTAAAACAAGAATATGAGTACAGGATGGCTGCTGTATTAGACAAGTAACCACGTTGTCGTCTTACCAGCACAGGCCAGGCATCTCTTCCCATCGTGAGAAGATTCTCAACTTCAAACATGAACACTACACATACGACGACCATGAAGATAAACTGCAGAATAATGGTAAGCCAGAAGAACCAGCTTCCGCTTATCGACGCCCCTTCTTTCGTCTTCCCGGCTCCAACTAAGATCATCGTGAAAAGGATTGTTATCAAAATTCCTGGCTTCAAAGCCGTGGGTAGAGATGCAAATCGATATATATTCATGGCTATCTGAAGGACTTGAGATAGATTGTAGGTGATATATTACGTACGTGAAGGAATGTAAATGTAATTAGAAAGCGGAATGGCAAGCAAATGAAAACGGGTTTCCTGGGAAACAAATTTAAACGGCCGCAAGAGGTGCCGGTTGTTTTGTAATGATAAGACTGCCCTTATCACGAGTAAGCAGAAGAGAAGGAGGCATCCTTCAAAGACGTCAACCCGCTGTTTTGAAATCCTCAGGCTTAATCCCACAATCATCATTAGATTGTTGAAGTTACGGGATATTAAGCATTGTGATACGCGAACACATCGCCTCAAAGAGACCAGGGAACTCCCACAGGCGAAGGAATAGTCATTTACGAACCCCAAAGCCCGCCACTTGCAAGGTGGCCTCACCCCTTATTCATACAAGCCTCATTTCTTAACTTTAACAGGTATCGTGTACCACATCAAACTCAGATTGTCTTTATGACATAACAACCTAACAATCAAAAAAAAACAAGCATTAATGGGGTTTATGAACAAGATGAGGATGCTGGATACTCTTGATGGCGTCTTTGGGAGGCGGATCGGCTTTCCATTTGCTGTAGACTTCAAATACATCGTGTCCTTTAGTTTCAGAATCCCAGATTTCTAGTCCTCGAGGCAGTCGTGTATTGACTCCACGTTTTCTTCCGGGCCTGAAGTCACCTCCAATGGCCATTTCTTCTACCTGGGCCAGCACTTGTTCCACAGTCCTCCATTGTAATCTTCGATTCCTTTGACGATTAAAATTGTACACTCCAATTAGGAAAGGATCACAAAATGTGGATGTTCGGTAAAGGCTGTATTGTACATGCGGGTTGTTGTGTCTGCGAATAAGATGAATCCAATTCTTTCTTACCTTATCACGGGCAAACATTCTTCCACAAATCGCTCTACTCCCTCGGCTATGGGAGCGCCGGCAGTCCATCCGATCTTCAGCTGGAGGAAATGGGGGACAAACTTAATTAAACCAGCCGTCCCCTGGTTCATCGGCTTCCATATTTTAGTTGCCGACATCTATTAACAATTAAGAATATTATGGTGTTATTAAACTTTCAATACCAGGTATGTCAACCATTAAAGAAGCTGTAATGGCAATCAAAAATAAATTTATTTATTTACGTCTCACGTGGAGGCTCTGAATTCGATGGAATTAAATTTCTGTTCTGTCTGTAAAGAAGAGTTTCTGCAGGCATTTCTTCACCCAAAGCTTCCAATAACTTGGCATGGAGCTTCCTATAAAGTTCGATCTTCCCATTCACCTCCTTATTCTTCAGCAACGTCCTTTCTAGACAGGTGGCTGTATACATCTGAGGGTTCTTTCCTTCATCCAACGAGTCCAGCACTTCAAGAGGGACCCGTATATCAGAATACTTATTTTTCAAGGAATTGAGTTCCTGAAAGAAATTAGGTTCGCATAACACAAGCGACTATGACGTACCAGCAGAAAAAAAGTGTTTAGACAAAAATCTTATCAACAAAGATGGATTGGAAAAAAGAATCATCCAAATGGTCGTTCAAAACCACTCTAAAAAGGAAAATCCAGCGCTTTGGCTAGCCATTTCGACTTTTTACCTACGAATCAAACTTTCTAACCGGTCAACTCTCTTCTGGACCTATAGGGTCATATAAACGCTTTGACCAGCGATCCTGCCGCTTGAATTAATCGATTATTTCAGACAGTGGGTCATAATCGCTTTCATTCACGCTTGCAATACAACAATAAGAAAAACAAAACACACCTGTAGCCCAGAAATCATAGTATGAATCTTCTGGTTTAGAACTTCTTGACTCTTTGGAGTGAAATCACTGACGATAATTCCGATGTGTCTTGCATTTTCCTGATAAATGAACTTTATCTAAATTGTTCAGACTTACTTGAAACTGCTCTAAAGTACTCTCCAGAGGGAGAAAACGTGCTTCCGAATTTCCAGAGTCCATCTTTAATTCTCCTTGTTGTCAAAATTATCGTTTTTGGTGTTAAGAATTTCTTTTCTGACCTCTTCGAGATCGATTTCAAATGGCTTTTCTCTTTTAAGCCCCTACAATAAGAAGAATAATAATAAATAAATTATACATACCTCTTCGACACAGTCCTTATATAGTTTGAATAAATACTTGCAAGGATTCTGCAAGGTTCGATGTCGATATTCGGAGTTCACGTATTGCTGGAAAAAAGTGGTAAAACACTTGTCGTAGCCTTCCTTTAATTTGTTGCACTCTGAAAAGATGCTTGGCATATACCTCTCACTGTTCATTACACATTTATGCAAGATGCGTTGAGACGTCCAAATTCGAGTCTTCAAAGATTAGCAAGGAAACATTAATTTTAGGGCGGCAAGTTGCGCCCAGGAATAAAACATTTGCGGCGGCAAAGACTACGCTGAATTAAAAACTACCGTATAAAAAAATCATCATTTTGCACAAAAATGAATAACTCAGCGGTTGATCCAAATAAATATCGTTTCAATGTCTCCAATGTCTTCAAGCCGTTGTCTCCAACACTTAATAAAGGATTCAGATCTTATGGAGTATGTCTTCTGGAAGTGGTGGCTTTCTTGGCACTGGGAATTTATTGTGGAGGGTATCTGGTCAACAAGAACTATCATATTGGTACGAATTTTAATGGACTTACTGGTTTTTTTAGGCATGTACAGTATTGTAATATCAGTTTTATTCCTATCTGGTGTTTGGATTCATTTTCTTGGGCTTCATTTCAATTCGAGAAGGTTGCTTCTGGTTCACTGCTACTCATGTATGGCTATCGCTATGTTCCAAATTATGGTTTTGATGACCGGCATCTTAATCGATGTTTTTTATGAGGTTCTGCTCCTTCAGCCAAGTGCAAGGTAGTTTAAATCAAACTGCTGTTTTATTATTTGTGATATGTTCCAGAAAGGTGCTGTTGACACTGAGTATGGAGATGTTATGTTCGAGTGCCCTGGCTGTCCTCTTCGGGATTTCTAGTTATATAAGGGCCAGAGAGATCAGAACTTTCCAAATGGCCAGGGATTCTTTTATATTTTTCCTCAGGGGATTCGGTGAGTTTCCTGATGTAAACTTCACCTTATTAATACTTTATTCTCGTCTTTAGATGCCTATTTGACCTCTTCGTTTGGCCACAAATTCCCGAAATACACTGTCCAGTACAAGAAATAGGCCTCAACTCGAGAGGCTCGAGTTCGTGAGCTTCTTATTAGCGTCTCTTTGTCCGCCCAACGTCAAACATTTGTAATCTCGAGTAATGTGAGCTGGCTCGTGTTAAACTTAATCGTGCAAAGGAGCGTGTGAACTGCAGTTATTTTTGTTCGGTCATTTGTTACTCTTACAGTACTCCTTTGTTCGTGGTCACTCGATAAATTTATATTAGATGTTGAAGATATCCAGAGTATATTTTTTACTAATCACATTTTTTGTAACCATTACTTCTTCTAATAATGCCGTCGGTTATGTGGGACCAGCTTGTGTAGTAGTTGTAAGTAATGAAGTCTAAAACATTTTCATAATTTTAGGAAGATCTTCTGTATTTGCATGGATCTTACACGAGAAGATTAAATTCAGAAGAAGTACTGGCCTTTAAAAAGTATCAGAATACCCTCAGTCTACTCAAACAATTAAAGGAAGCCGTTTCCAAAGGGGCTACTCTGCTTAATAATGGGAGTATCAGCCTTCCAAAACCAGTGATCCCCAACTTCTGTGAAGGCTTTGGAGATGATGTGGAAGTTGTTTTGGATGGATGTGTGGTCAGAGTAAGTAGCAGACAGTTGATTTATACATCTTAAAGCAAAATTTTGTATTCATTGACAATCGATTGACTCGAGAGTTGAATAATGTGGAAAGACAGAAGATTCTCCTGGTTCTCGAGAGTTTTAATACTCAAAATTACCGTCAGAAACGAGATTCCCAGAACTCGACCGTCACTTCAACTACCCCAATTCTATCGGGCGATGTAACCGAGGCATCTCCAACTTCTGTTGAACCGAGTACAACAACTGTAGCCCCGATCTCCGACGAACTCAAGGAATTGTTAAGTAAATACTTTAATGTAAACGGAAATGTGACCGACCGCTTTCTCCCGGTCGCTCAATATTCTCCGGTGGTCAATCAGTTGCTGAATCGACCACAATTAAAGCCGTTTCAGATGAGTCATGATGATGTACAAGGTATAACTGATACTTCAGATTAATGTTTTCTTTTTCAGATGAAGTCCAGAAGCAAAGAATCCGGGAATTTATCCATGATCATATCATGAAGTACCAATCGAGAAGCCAGGCGACCACAACCACCACGGAGATCCCTCATCTGATGATTGAGAATGTGGTGGGACCTCAAGGTAGGACCAGATTAATACTTTTTTATATTTACTGTAATTCGAGTACTTTAGTGCCGCCCCCAACAGCAGATCCATTTGTGATGCAACTCCTCCAACAGATCCAATATAATCGTCAAATGGAGCTATATCAGCAACAACTTCAACAACAAGCAGCCATGAACAATCGCCCGCTCAACCCGAAGATCCCCCGATTCCCAGGAGCGGCTCCAATGAAACCTGGAGATACCCTCGAAATCGGGGATCAGACTTATATCGCGGTTCCTCTGACTACACAAAGTGGAGAAACTGTGGGATTGGTGCCATTAACAAGGTCAAGCACTCATACCGTAACCATGCTTCCGCCAATGAGGTCTTGGATGCGTAATGGGGCGTCGGCTGGGCCTCATCCAGAACAAGTCAGATATCATCCGGGAAAGAGGAGACCCCAATTCCTTCAAGTTCCTACTCATGTTAATGGAGTTCCCCTTCCTCATGAGATCTGCCGAGTGGTTTTGAACCCATCTGTGTGATGATTATCATGCTGTACAGTATTAACCAATAAATATTTTATTTTTTCGCAACCTTTCATTTGGGGGCAGGTTAGGTATCGAGCCAATATTTATATCCAATGTTGCAAAATTGATTGCCTAGCTAGCCAAAGGGGCTACTCTGTGTTCGCACCGTAGGATAGGTCGTTCGTGATCAAGCTCGCGACCTAAGTCGTGACAAAGGTCAAGGAGGTTGCTTAAAATTACCCGAAAATGGTCTAAATGCTTGACTATGATGGTCAAGACATTTTCTTTAGGTCAGGTCGTCACCAAGCTCATGACCTAGGTCGTGACCATAGTCAGTTTGGTTGTGACCTAACTGAAGTGCCAAAACCGTCTGGAACAACTATATAGCAGCATTATTTTCGGAGGATTTTGGTATTAATCGTGAACTATTAGCTCACGACCTAGGCCATGAACCGCACGCTGACTTATTTCTCACAGTGCGTGTCTTTTTTAGTCCGGCGACTTTCCGGGCGGACTAGTAAGTACCTGACCTGCCCCAAATGAAAGGGCGCCTATTTTTTGGCCTTATTTCAAGGACTCCCATGTTAGCTAACAAAACAAGCCCAATTAAAACTTCTGTTTACTTTCGAGGTTTGGTTCATTTTTAAACAAATAATAACATTGAATTCGAATATAAAAACCCGTGAGTATCATGGAAAATTCTCGGAAAAGTGAGAAAAAGATTATTAAAACACAAAGATCGAACGAAAAACCGAAGCGTAAGATTATTATTAAAGGTAGAGCTATCTAATGTGAGTCTTGAGAGCGCAATTGTTTACATTATTACTTGAATAAAAGACTCAAAACTTCTTGAAGACCTAATTACTGTAATTTTTTGCATATTGGCAACCTTACAGTGGGAGATTTGGGGCCGGGATCGTCCCTTATCTCTGAGTGTACATGTAAATAGAGACTCTAAATTATATTATTATAATGAAAGTTTGAACGAAAGACCCGTAATTCAATTAAAAGGAAAAGAAGATGAGGATTATATTTGTTAAATCTTGAATTAGCTATGCCATTTGAGCTATGGCAACATCTTCATCTACCGAGACTACACAATCTATTAATTCTCGGCGGCCGTTGACTGTTCAATTGCAATTTGAGGAGGTTCGTTTTGAGGAATAGTCTCACTCGCCGTCCCATTCTGATTCCCACTTTCGGAAATGTCTGCACTTTGCTGGCTCGCCGTATTTGGAGGATTCAAGGTGGTACTGTCAGGGTCAGCGCTGTGAGAATCATCAGTGGAGGGTTCAGGGGGCGCAGAATCATTGGAATTCTCGAGATTGTTCTCGGTGACCACGCTTCCTTGGGACTGGTTCTGTTTGCATTTCGTTGAATGACGTTTTAACGAGTAATCCGTAGACAAGAGACGGCCACAAGTTGGGCAAGGTCGTTTGCGATCAGATTTGCCCAGTGTTTGGGCTCTCGGCGTCTTCTTCTCTACTTTTGGCAAAACTTTTGGTGCCTCCAGGGCATGTATCTGATGACTTAGTTCAACATCTGTCATATAAGCTCCAATTGGGTTCAGATGCTTTGAAATCATGGTCGATGAAGCCATTCGACTAAAGTATACCCAAGTTAGATTTTTTTACGGTCGCGAAGTGATGAAATTAGCATAAAGATATAACTTACTCTGAAGCGTCATCCAAGTCTTCACAATAAGTAGAGTCTGCCTCAGCCAATTCGACTGGTTTTCTTGATTCGACCACCATCTGATCAGAATAGTGAGTCATCTGATGATAACCCGCCACTTGAAGCTCGCCAAGTTGGCTTTCCTCAGCAGATCTCTTTAGATCCGCCGCTATTCTGGCTACATCCAGTTCGTCCGCTCGTGTGTGATTAAAGGGACCATCCACCCGAGCTTTTATCTGATCCCAAACATCCAAGTCATCAGCATGATTAAAAGGTCTTAATGGATAAGACCCCAATGTGGGTCCCCCTTGGCTATAATCCATTGGCATTGGTTGCAGTTGTTCGTATTGGGGCGTGGAAGATTCAGAGGATTGGGACAAGGGATCCATTGCACTCATTGGGGTGTAATTACCGTGCTCGTAATAGACACTGGGGCCTTGCGTTGAAGGAACGCTGTGAGGTTGCTGCATGTTCACAATTGATCTCCCATCTTCATTGCGGTTGGTTTGAGGAATTGTTGTTGGAGTGCTTGTCTTTTTCTTCGAAGGTTTCGGTGGATTGGCTTGGAATCGTTGTCTAATTAGCTCGTTCTCGCGGTCGTATCCAGGGTTTATAATAAAGCCGTCATTGTTTACCTTCACTCTTTTGGCTGCATTGGTTCCTTCCACTTGTTCATCGGTCAAGCCGTGCTCTTTCTGTCTGTGATTCTTCATATGCTTCCGACATGAATATCTAAAATCCAATATTTTGATGACGAATAGGAAAACTTACGTTTTACAACATTCTGGGCAAAGATACCGGACAGCTTCCTTAGGAATGTTTTGTGCTGAAGTTGGTGGTGCTGAGGTTGGTGTGGGTTGTAGAGGATGCACATAAGTTGGAGGAGCCGAGGTCGGGGCATGATCCCCCATAGGATAGCCTGCCTGACTCATTATAAGTTGCCTAGGAGGCATCACCAGCTGAGGCCTTACTCCCATTTGTATGCCTTGGGGTGTAATCTGTTGAGTATTTTGCACCTTCTGTTTAGGAATTCCCTTAGGCGACTCGTTAAACTCTTGTCTTGAAATCTTAGCTTGCACAGGGCTTTGCTGAGATGGGGCCGGGCGTTTCAATGGTTGGGATTCCCAAGATTCATTCTGCCGTCTGATCTTCTCAACTACCGAATTAACAACGTCAGCCACTTGTTCCGACTTTCTGTTGGCCTCCTCCTCATTCTCTGCATTCTGTCCATGCGGAGCCTGTTGTTGCGGCAGAGGGTTCTGTTGATTGTGCGGGGCATCGTGAGGCGGCCCTTGTTGATATTGCATGTGAATTGCCTGGGCTTGCATGAGATGTGGGACTTGCTGAAGATGTTGTAATTGGGCGTGTGGATGTTGTGGAGGCAGCTGTTGTTGGGTGACATGGTTAGTCTGATCTTCGCCTTCTGTCCCTTTTCTATTCAAGATTGGCGGTTTCTTTATGAGTTTCTTCTGTACCGGAACCTGGATAGGTTTGCCATGGATTTGTCGAAGATGTTCCCCAACTGTCACATTGCTGGTTCCCGGCTGTTCGTATTTTACTTCTTGATATTGTTGAGGCCCATTCTGCTCTTCTTTTGATTCTTCGGCCTCTGGTGGGGGCATTAAAGTCTTCTCTCCATTGAAGGGTGAAGGTCCTTCAGAGGTGGCTCCAATTTCTTTTTTTACTCTAAAGCCTTCGTGATAAATACGATCAAACAATCTTACTCTTTACACGTCGCTTTATGACTTTCAAATTTCTCAACGTCCGTGAAACTCTGGCCGCAATGACATTGAGGATCAGGCTTACTAAAAGATTTTAGAATTATTTGAATTGACGATGTAACTTACAGTTTACTTTCCTCCTTCATAACGGGATTAACGGGCTGAGGGTTTGCTGAACTCCCGGTTGGAGGGGCGGGGATGTTGTTTTGTGGGATCATCTTGCAGGTTGTCCTATGTCTTCTCAAACTCCGTTGGGAACACATGTACTTTTTACAATCATCACATTGGAAGTCGGTAGGTTTTGTATTCTTTTCACTCTTTTTCCCCGCCTTTGATGCATCCGAAGCTCCAGCTTGATGGGTATTTCCATTGTCAGGTTTGGATTCATTGTGATCCTCTTTTAGTTGGCTGTTGGAAGCTGACGCAAATTCAGATGTGGCACTCATAGATTGCTCACCAGAATGACCGCTGTCATAACTAAACAGTTTGTTTAGAAATGAATCACACCTTGGTAGTACACAATGTTTTCAAAAAAAAAACCCACTCTGCTCCCCCAATAAAAGCCAGTGGATTGTGCCCAACCTCATCAATCGTAGTATCAAGATAGGCCTCCATGTTTTGGCTAAAGCCATAGCCGTTGTTTCCTTCATTAAACTCGGCCGGAGGGGCCGCATGGCGTTGTTGGAAAGCGGTTGATTGCGGAGGGGGATGATGTTGCGGACTGGGCCCAGGGTAACTGGGAAGAGGCGGATTGTAACTGCTGATTACTGGAGGCGCTGAATGCATTCCACTGGTCATTCCTAAAGAAGTAAGAATTAAAAAACAATACCCACCGGTGCTCGGATATTCGAAGATCGGACCGGGATTTGCCTGAGGCACTGCTGACTGGGGATATCCAGGAAATCTGCCCGGAGGGGGTGGAGGGGGACCGTGTGGCGGATATGGGACGCTGACTGGGGGCATCGCCGCATTCGTAGTATTAGGGTAGGGAGGTGGGTAATTGGAAGGTGGCTGAGGTATTGGAGCGGGCTTATTGGGCGATGGAGCCTTCGCCGGACTACCTGCCGAGGCGGGCTTATCACTAGGTGGACCTCCAACACTTGTCTGAAAGTATTTAAAATTGATTATTACTAGTTTAACATATCCGCTTTAAAATAAAAAAAATCTACCTTCTTTGCTTTACAGGAATTCTCATGCCTCTTCAGATTTCTGGCCGAACTGACATACTTCTTGCAGTCCTGACATTGAAATTGTTTTTTTGGCTCATTCGGGTCATTTGCAGGAATAGAAGGCAGACTTGTCGTAGATGGTCTTTTCTTGGATCCTCCTTTTTGTGACACCTTACTTGGACTAGAATCTGGACCTGGCCTTGGACCAGTCATATCCATGGGAGAGTTTGTCATGTGTGGAGAAGATACTTGTTCGGCACTTCTGGATGCGTGAAGTATTTGGGATACATTTCTGAAAGTGGATAAGTTTACATGGATCTACTCAACTATGATAACCGCCTATCAACAAAAGCAGCAGACAAATCACAAGACTCCGATTATTTCGAACCTGGCGACTTCTGCTTCCAAGACGGTCAGGTCAACGGAATCCTGTTGCTGCTGGCCATTCGCCACAACACGGCGAGGTTGAGGAGCCACCTTTTTGGGAGGACTGGAATTTAGCCGGCTTCAAATCCCTTTTTTTCTTCCCTTAAGTCTTACCTATTTCCCGGAGGGTATGACATCCGGACTTGGTCTGGATAAACACGAGCGTCTGGGTACCCCTGAGGAGGGACGGCACTGATGTAAACTGCTCCAGAAGGACCAGGGGCGGGAGGGTACCCTGGAGCCATATAAATGGCGGAAGAGCTGGGTTGTGGATGGGGCGGATATCCATTACAGTGCACAGCTTCCCTAAATAAGGCGGTTAGGGTTGTTAGAGGGGTCTTACATTTGGTTGGGACCATTCTGATAATATCCCATTTGCGCCGGCTGGCCTTGTTCTACGACATATCGTGAGTCAGCGGGGACTTCGTGGATGTAGTGGGTGTTATATTCGTTGGATACGTAGTATGGCTACAAAGAAAACAAAAATAAAAAACAAATCTTGAAAAAAACAACATTAAATCAAGAGTTTATTTACCTGATCTACAGGATAGAGCCCTTGACTCTCTGGATGCACATATTCGTAATGTTGCTGGGGTATGTAACCTGCTGCTGACGTCATATAAGGCGGTGCAGAGGTTGGGGGAGGGGCGTTCGGCTCCATGCGAACATTCGACCTGGGGGACCCTGTTGCAGATTCCTCCTTCGACTCGGCCTGAGGGACTACCCTTTCTTCCTGAAACTAATCCGTAGAATTGGCACAATCAGCTCTTTCGACTGCGGCCCTCTCCGTCGGTAACAAAGCCATCGGGAGTCGGCGCAGAATCAAGTTATGTTAAGTAAAAAAAGAGATAAAAGGCCGAAGGAAAGAAAAAAAGGAAAGGGAATTCTGTTTTCCATTAGAATTCGAATGGCCACAGGAAATGAATCTGGTCAAGCAGTAGAAAAAAGCTCAAAAAAATTAAACTGGGTTCAAGAATGCCACAATTTGTATTAAACGTGCTTCGATGACTATTCAGAAACTGATTTTGTGAAAAATCGCCCACAAAAATACTGCTAGATGACCAAGAAGAGATGGTGATAAAATATTTTGTTTCGCATTTGAGAATCGAATATTCGATTTAAATATTTGGAAACTGAATTCGGCTACCCACCTTGAACTTTCCCTGATTTTTGTGGGCCAAGGAATCTGGAATTTGTTGTATTCGACTAGCACTCGGTGAATTTCTGAAACATATAACTGTTATGTAAAGCCTTCGCAATCTTATACGAAAGCGAAAAAACGGCGCTGGGTAAAGTTAAAAAAAAGCTGCGAGCAGTTTTTCGTATGCGCAAGAGTTCTCGGACGGGTTCTGGGTCAAAACTTTTTTAAACGAGCCGTCTTCAAATCGGGTCGTTAATTTTACAGTCACATAATAGTACAAATAAATAACCCTTCAACATACGCGGATGATGATAATAGGATTACTCTGATTACTCATATGCTGCTAGACTCGAGCACAGGGAATCTGATACTACAACTGGGATTGCATCGTACAGCTCTTATCGCTGGATTTCTTTTAATCTCGCGCATTTAATCCATCTATAAGCACTCAGAAATAGAAGCTTTAGCCGGGAAACGAAGGCCTGGCAATGGAAGTTTAATTGTTTTTATCGATAAATTCCCCATTTTATTTCTTTTTGGGTTCTAATTGTGTTTTTAATTCGAAAAGTACAAAAAATAACCCGAGAATGTGGCTACAAAGTTGGAAAAAGTATTCGAATAATGTTTTCCCCAAATGGAAGAAAATATGTAATTTTAAAAAGCGAGAATGACGATGTTGCTGGAGGAGGGAGCTTATCTGGTTACGCGCGAGAGTGGGAGAGGGGGTGAGGTGAGTCGAGATCGAGAGCGAGGTAGGAAAGAGAAAAAAGAAAGGGGAAAAAAGAAGACCCGGCCACAAAAACGACCCGGCGAATGCGCGGTTGCTTGCTGGGGAGGGCCGGCTGTCTGCCCGCTCTGGGTGCTCGGCGCCACACTGCCTCGCCGGTCGGCTCTCCCCTCTGCGACCCTTCCCCCGTCTTCCACAGCCCCTCTCTCTTCGGCCGACCGCACTCTCGACTGGCTCTAACCCCCGGAGCGGAGCGTGCGTTCACCCGGACTGATTCGGAGAGACTGGAGCGGCCGAAGAGAAGCCAGACGACCCGTCATTCCCGCGCCCTTAAGAGACGCACGGTTTGGCCAAGTGCAGAACCAACTCTCGAACGAGGTCTTCCATCACGTCTCCGCTCCGATCCCTCCTACTCCAGTCACGGCGCTCGCATTTTTTGCGTTAGTAAGAATTGAAAAAAGAGGAAACATTCTTTGGGATTCTTTTATGGACACGAATGTCGCTGAAATTAGAGATCCGATAGGCTGAAATAAGAGATCTGCACGAGCTTTGGGCAGATCGGGCGCTGCGACTCGTCTTTCATCTTATCTCTCGGATTCTTTTCATTTTAATTAATTGGATTTCGGCCAAATTAGTCAAAAAAATAAACGAAATTATTCCTAAGGGACTGTTAATGTCAGGAACGAGTGGCTGAGCGGGGGATGTTATAACAAGGGTCTTGGCTGTAAACTGTTGCGGCAATGCTGATAATTCCGATTAGTCGGTAATAAACGATACGCTTGTCAGTGAGTAGTCGTCGAAGTCTCAATCCCGAATAACACTTACCTACGTGTTTGACTTGTTGAGGGGCCTTCGCTGGAATAATCCGGACTGGAATCGCTCGATGAACTCGATGGACTGGACCGGAGCTGAGGCAAAAGAATCGACAACGAGGGCCATGGACCGGAGACGCCCGAAGCTGCGCCATTCCGACGTCGGCTCACTCGGCCCTCCAGTTTCGATGGCCTGAAATGGGAAGAGAACTGAGAACAGCCTCAGGCATTTAACAACATAATTAAGAAAATTACGCGATGATCAAAGGACCCGTGCCGAACAAAATAATTCCACAAATGAAGATTATTCGGCTATGATTTCCCGGGTTTAACGTCTAAATAAGGCCATCGAAGCCGCAATTTAATGGTCTCCTTGGCAACCTAAAGGGCTAATACTGAATAGTATTAAGTGGAAGCAATATTTTTTGTGGATTACTTGCTAACTAGGACCAGGAAGAAGAGGTTTTTTGGGGGAACCTCAAAAGCTGCCGAAAATGAACGGAAATGAGAAAAGGAGTGCAAGTGCAACGCCTCGGTCTATAATAGTACTAAAAGCAATATATATACGTCTGAGTAGCCAGTAGCCCCTTTCGTTTGCCCGTAATGGAAATCCTCACGTCCTTTCCCTCGGCCGCTGTTCCATGTCGATGAACCCGCAGGCCAACATAATTAAACCGACCATCCAGAAAAATGCCAGAAAAAGTTGTTTCAGGCCATTTATGTGTTTTCAAATTCCAAATTCGTATTCAAGAGCCCCAGGGCATGCCTTTGACACGTAACTCTGGGTTTATTATCTGGCCCGCAGTAATGAAATATGCATTTCCATTACTTTATTCAGGGCGTCAGAGCTCGCTTAGAATTGCAATAAGTCTTTTTGTGAGACATTTGTGAATAACCTATTAAAATAACCTATTATTTGCAAGTTTTTCAATAGAATTGCTTTCGTAGGTAATAAACATAAGAGATGCTTGCAATTTGGCATCGTACATTTTATGAAGGTAATTTGGAGCTTGCAAAATATTAGCTCCCATCCGATTCTTAAGCCTTGATTTTAAAGTACCAGTGGTTTGATAGCACTAGTTTTAAACTTAGTACCAGTTAATGTTGCTTTCAACAAAGGAGAGATGATGTTTGTGTTTTGGACTGAAAAATATTACGGGGAAATAACTTTTCCGAGTCAGGTAAAGTACGTGCAGATGGTTATCTACGACAAAAAACGGGAAAGAAGAGCGATAACGTTCTTGAAAGTCTTGATAAACAACATTGTTTACTATGGACACTCTCATTTGTCATGATTACAAATTTTATTTTCAGAAATAAATACATACATAGACATGTAATCCGACTTTTTCTCCTTTCCTTTTCCCATCAAGACATTATCTGCCTGAAGATTGATAAATTATGGTGCTGTTAACCTTGTACTTTCTATCAGAATCTTTTAAATTCCTCGGTATTTGATTACTTTGATAACAAAATACTCCGATGGAATTTGCTGCCGAATTTACTACAACAAGATGACCTCAAAAAAGCAAATTCATTGTCAAAAGTAATGGTCATTTGATTGGACGGGCGCCCTTTTTTTGTTGTTGGAATTCGTCGATGGAATTGGGTGAATTCAGATGATGGGAAAACATGGGTCAGGTCAGCTGACATTCATATTGGGAAACGATTTAAATTAATGGGAATCAAAACAAAACAAAAATGTTTTAATCGATGACTTCTATTTCAAGGAATTCTGATGGTCAATGGTTGAGTTTAAAGTTATTTTCTCGTCATTGCGATCAAACTATTAATAGTCATCGAGCGAATGCAGAATGGACTTGTTCATGGTGTCGTTGTTTAGAGCTTGAACTTTTGCCCTTAATGCTTGTAAATAATTAATACCCCATCGTCGACTATTTACTTCAACCAAATACCGGCTCTTAAAACTGCTTTCCTCAGGTAAAACAACTTGCGCAAATCCTTCGTTTCCCCTCTTTCTGGATAACTGGTTAGCGGGGAGTATTGTAAAAGGCTTCTTCAAAACCGTTCCATTTCAATTTCGATGGCATTTCGACAAAAAAGGACCTAAAGTCCGAATCCGGATCCGTTGGGCGAAAACAGAGAAGAGGGAACGCCCATTCAGTGACCTGAGAAGCCCGCCCCATCAACAATTTACCAAACAGAATTACTTTAAAAGAGTTCCATCCAACACCTGGGTATCACAAGATGAAAGTCCTGCTCTGCCTGCTGCTGATCTCTGCTGTTGCGGCACTTCCCTTCGAGATCCGAGATCCCACCAGAGATCCCGCGCTCGAACAACCAGGTAATTATAATATTTCTGAGACTTTATTCTCTTACAGAAGAAACTTTTGCTCGCTCTGATGTTGACAAGGATGACAAATTGACCTTTAATCAGTTCTTGTTGACCGATCTCCCTTATGTGCAGCTAAAGAAGGAAGAATTTAACAATCTCGACATTGATCATGATGGATTTGTCACCAAAACAGAGTACGAACAACACTATCAGAAGGAAAAAGAGAGTGCCTACGACCTGAAGGCCGAATACTTTGGCCAACTTTATGATCAATTCGATGAAAATATGGATCTGAAACTGGATATCAACGAGATTAAGAACGTCCTCGAGAAGAGATTCCTGTTAAAACCCCGGGAAAATTTTAGCCAAATCTTCAAGGGATTCGATAAAAATAATGATGGAGCCCTTGATCTGGAGGGTAAGTTGATTATTATATATATAAGATATCTACAAATAAACATTCATCATTACAATATGTTAATTTTAGAGTACATCAAATTCGATGCCGAGTTTCCCTTCCAAGAATTGGATCCTTTGGATGCCGCGGAGAAGGTACCCCAGAAATCAGACCACATCGAGTTCAAAAAAGAAAAGCTCCCCATGATGAAGAACAACTGATTCATGCCAAGATTCAACTGCCAAATAATCCCCAGGATCGAATGATCAATCACTCATTCACTAATCGGAATCTCAGATGTACATAAACTAATTTTAAATTGCAAAAATTAAAGTTAAACTATTTATTTTAATGGCAAGAGGAATAAATCAACCAAATTTTAGACAGAAATCAGATACAATTCGATCCAAAAACAACTTGGCACATCATGTTGGCCAAGGCCGAGGCATTGCTGTTGGCCACGCATTCAAAGTTGCGGCGATTGGACAGCACTGTCAACACACTTGGCCATAACGATCTTAGCCGATCTCTGGTCGAATTACTGCTTAAGTTGATGTTTTTGTTGTACCCGGATATGCACCAGAAGGCATAAAACTCGCAGAGATCAAAGTGTTCGTTCTCCGATCGCATCAGTTGCAGAAATCCTTGTTTTATCATGTTCTCTTCAGGACCAATCTCGCCTGAAATGAGAATTGGAATTCTGTTTTTGCAAAAGATTACTTTTTTGAATTAAAATTTAAGAAAATCAAGCAAAATGCGTTGCATTCGCTCAGAAAAGGCGTTACGATTTAAAAAGTACCTTTCGAAGCAAAGTAACAAAAATCGTTGAGAAGTTGTGCTTTGGACCGTGCCGAGAAGAGATGCGGCGCTTCTTCTAGATGCCTCAGAATCCGCTCCCACACGTGAGAATTGTAATTTACCCGGTAAACATGACCATATCCAAGATTGGTCAAGGGCAACAATTTGCTGTCCAATGGGGCCAATTCAAGACCTTAACCAAAAATTTCCGGTAAACCACTCTACGAGCTTACCTTGACTGAGCATAAAAGAAATCGGTAATGACAAGTTTCTTATGGCAATCCTGAGAGGGAACAAGGTCAGATCTTGTTCATGATCCCTGGACGGAATGAACTGAGTTAAGCGAACTCTTTCATTTATCTGCTCCAATCGAAGATTTGGGATCCCTCCGGTATGGTACCAGAAGTCGTATATCTGAAGGAATATTAAGCATGGGAAACAATTACCTGAGACAGATCAATTCCATCCACAATATGACTCTTAAGCATCTGAAGAAACGAGTTCAAGGAGAAGCTTTTGTAGCTAAACTGTCTGATCAGACTGCGAATCTTATCGAGAATTGTTTCCTCTCCAAACACCGTTTCTAGGGACTCCAAATATTGTGTCCCTTTATGGCCACATCTCAGAGAAATGTCCTCGAAAGTGGGCTCGTGATCAAAGATCAGGGGTTCAGTGGGTTCGAAGAAGGCGTCAATTAATTGTATCTTCACATACTCCGATAATCGATACTTCTGGAACATCTCGATACTGCGGGAATGGAATCCAGTCATTCTGGCTACAATTTTGGAGGCCAGAAGTGAAACCACATCTTCCTAAAAAACAAGTCATCATAAATTGTGGGAAACAAACCTGGAAACAGATGTCATAAAAAGAATCAATCGAGGCGAGACCGCCCATCCATTGACGAATAAAATTCTTGGCTAACATCTGGATCCGATGACATTCATCCGCTTCTTCCCAGGCCTCTTCACTCAGCAAAATCAACCCAGTGCTGTGGGTTCCTAAAAAGAAATCATGACAATAAAGTCAAACGGTACCATTGAATTCGTTCATAAACACCATATTGATGCGAGTAAATGGAAGGGGCTCGGCCATCAGATCATAAACTCGCTCATAAACAGCTCCGGCCAAACCAATCGCCTCATCCTTTAGTACCTTTGATTGGCGGAATCGATTAAAATAAATGTATATCGGATATTTTGAAGAGATTTGGACCTTAAATTAATATGAAGACATTTAGAACACCCTTACTTTCTCATACATCTCTGGGAGAATAAGAAAGGCAAACATATGCAATGGAAGATTGGCGGCCTGGACAAAGTCCGTCATCTTCCAATGTTCATGAACAACGAAGGAATCGTGTTCGTTGGGCATATTGGACAAAGCGAGAGTTCCAGTGGGATGAATTACACTCAATCTGATCGAGACTTTCCTCAAATTTCCTTGAACAACCGGGAATACAGTATCCGCGTAGTTTGGAAACAAATTTGTTGCAATCGCAGCCGCACCCCCAACGTCCCTAAGAGTATTTTGATTTCATATAAAGTAGAATCAGACCTGTAAAAGACCCCATTGTCATCAGTAATTGTCCCCACATAACGATCAATGTGTAGAGAATATCTTCCTGGAGTTAAGGCAGGTTCAGCGACCACAAAGATGACTTCTGATGCCAGAATTCGGACATCGATGACTCCAAACGTTCTCTGGTCATTGGATAATGTCACGTTCTCGAATGCCTCCAGATTCCTTGCTCTAAATCTCAATTCTGTGCCTTCAGGCCTTGAGAGAGAGGTCTCATGAGTAAAGACAGTGGCGCTATGCCCTCTGAATTGACTGAACAAAGGCCGAGTAATCTGGAAGTCCAATCTAAGAGCTGCAAAGAAGGTGGGAATCAAGGGATCCGTGACAGAAGCCGTCGGAATTTGAATCTGGAGATCGTATCGAAGGGGCCAGATGGCCGGCTCCTCACCACTGGCCTGAACGATGGACTGGACTAGGACCAGAATGGAACACAAGAACAGAAACATGGGGACCCGAATGGTCATCAAATTCACATCAGAGCGTCTCGAACTTTGTGGTCTCTCTCTCTCAAAAAACACGCACGACTTCTTTGCGCTGGGCTAAGGGTCACTTTAAAAGCTGTAATCATGGCCTAAAGGTAAATAAACGAGAGTTGAAAATAGTCGGAGTGTCTATTTGCGATCATCCTCCGCCCGTTAATCATAATTACAATTATTCTGCTCTTTGAAACAAATTCTTAAACCATTTGTCGTTTACTGCATGACGTATATTAGGATCACATATGTAAACCAATTAAAATTACTGTTGCAAAGAAACAATCAGGTTCCAAGAAGAGTTTTGTGTTGGAACAGACGTTCCAAAGGTGTTTTTGATCGTTTGGAAGACGTCATCTTGAGCGTGGGAACTCCATTTTCATCTCAATTTTGTGGATTCGGTGACATAAATGACGCTGAGTCATCTGATTCAGCGTCGGATTTCCTCACAAAGCCCACCTTTATTCTGTTCCAGAGCCGATTACTCAGTTTCTTTATGAATACTGTTTCCGCGACGTCTTCTGTCAGACATGTTTTTTCGTCGACTTCACAAATTGCAGCGAGAATCCAAAGCGATAATGAAACAGTTTTAAAAATATTTTTACTAGATTTTATCTGCTGCGAGATACCAGGTTCGGGTGTGCTGGACAGGTAACGCTGTTGCGCTCCTTTTTTTGGTTTTGTAAAACACCCATCTTCTTAGAATTTTCAAAAATAAAATATTTTTAGATACTAAGCGTGATCCAATATCACCCAAAGATGTCATTGTGTCACCGTGCGACCGCCCCATTTCCGAACTGAACCCAGTTTGTGAGGCTCTAGTTAAGCGAGGATTCGGCGGTCATTTGGGGAGTGCAGAAGTCGCGGAATCGAAATTTATTTGGAAGAGGGAGGAAAGATTTGCCTTTCACCATTTTTTGTGAAAGCGGAGTTTCGCCATCGTTTTTTATATTTTCTATTAGGCTGAATCCGCGCGGATCCGCCGCGCTCTCTTTATTTTCTGATCGCTTCAGGGCAGGATGGTGGGGAGAGAGCGAAGGCTTCAGAATCGCGCCGCTGATCGCGTTTAATCCTGCCCGAGTTTTAGTTGTGGGCACTCCATCTCAGAAGCTTTTTTTTGTTTCTCGACGACGCCGAAACCCCCAAATCCGCGTTCTCCGAGGGGCATCTGCCTCGAGGGTCATCGACGTTCCGACTTCCTAACGACCACGGCTGTAGCCGGCTTCTGAATCCGAGTTGTGCTTGGTAACATTGGTTTCTACGTGTTTTGAAAGTCTTAAGCCCTTCGACCATTCTTAAAAAGGTTACCGAAACCCGATTTCTTAACTGGTTTCTTCTTCACCCAGATTTTAGCTTCCCCAGATCGAAAGGTCACATCGATGAATAAAGCCATCTCCCGTTATGGGATTCTCCATTTCACGTGAATCTTTCAAAATTATCGTTGTTTTTTCCGTGAATTAAAGATTAGTGTTTATGTTATACATGCCATCGACCTCTCAGTGATTCCTCCATTTCAATGCTGAACTTTGCAGACAAAAACACCTGAACTTCTCCAGATAGTGATCTGTCTCAAAAACATGTCACAACTAGGGTGTTTTGTCATTTTACTGTAACCGACTTGTTCTTATTAGCTAAACTCGGGCCCTCGGAATGACCTGCACCTTGGTTTAAGTGGGCTCACTTAAAGGTCAGAGCGGAACCGAGATCTCCGTGTTCTACTCCTTCTGCCACTTGAATTTCTTGCGACGATCAAGATGCTGTTACTGTTTTTCGTATGGGGGACATATCTCATTTCCCCGCCACCAAAACACTTGAAATACCTTAAGTCTTTTGGAAATATCCCCTGCGGGCAAATTACTTCTTTTGGGTGCTTGCGCATGACCGTCTTATGAACATTTCTTCCCCTGTAGTCGTCTTTATCGCCCGACGTTGTACCTGAGGGTTCTTACAGAAAGGTTTACAGTCAATCGAAGGAAACAGCCCACCGATATTATACTTGGTCTCTATTCAAGTCTTTGAGGTATCGACCATAATTTATTCGGTCAATACATCAAAGACTGGATCTTAAAAAGCGCGTTCGTAAAGATGTCTCGTACTTTTCTCCGATCACAAAGCTTAACTTGTTTGACGAACTTGTCGATTAAATTTTCGTCGACGCAATTCAATCGTTCACTTGCAGGGTTTTAAACATGAAAGTCCACTCGGATTCTGCAGATCCGGAACACCCTCATGTCCGGAAGAGAAAAAGCCGATTGCATCAAGTGAGTTGTTTATATTGTACATGGGATTAAACCTGACTGTTTTTCTCAATGCTACCAATCTTTAATGCCTGTTTTAGTCGTATACAAAAACACCAGCCGACCCATTTCCGAAAAAAAAATTCTCTGGGGTTTTTCGAATTACAATAAATAATTTCTAGTTGCGAAAAAAATCCGATAAAAGTTGGGACATTTCGTGTCGTATAAAGGTTTATTATTTATTATTTTTCGGTATAAATAAAAAAATCTCTGTTTTTTTGTTTGGGTAACTAGCTAAACGGCGCGTGTTGTTCTGAGTGTAAAATGATAAACGACTTATTGAGATGTTTATGGCGAAACACCTAAATTTTTACATAGATTAGGTGGAGATGGGATGGAGCTCGAGATCAGTCAAACAAGGACTTATGGATGAGGAGCAAACGGTTATTACCGCTCAACCTATTTATATTTATTTTAGATTATTTCCGACAAGGTAGTGGGTCGAAGTGATTCGGCCAAGTTCTCGGAGACATGGAAACAAAACTTTATGCACCATCCTTCCTGGTGCGATGCCGACATGTGCCTTCAGCAAATAGAAGCGGTACGTATTCCTTATATAATGGGTGAATTCTTATTTTCCGTATTTTAGGGAAATGCATCGGGTAATACGATCGCTTTGTATTCAAGAGCGTTCTTTCAACAATGCCTGTATTATATGGGTGCTTTTGTCCAGAAAAACCCGAAGAAGATCTTGTTTGCGGGAATCGTCGTATTCACAGCTTTTTTGTTGGGTCTGCAATACGTGGTGATCGAGACGGATATTGTAAAACTATGGGTATCACGTGAGTTTCTTTCTTTTTTTTAACATTCCGTTTAGAGGGTGGTCGACTGGACGAAGAATTAAATTATTTGAATCGAATCCGAAATGAATATCATCGTATTCACAAACGGGCAGCCCAGATCACCGCACCTCCGATCAAACCCAATGTTACGATGAGGAAACCAGATATAAAAATTGAAGCCCCAGAAATACCCTCAGGAAATGGACTTGGAGGAGGTTTCCAAGTGCTAATTCAGACGCCACAGATCAAAGGAAAGAACTTGCTGACTAAGGAAGGGTTGCTGCAACACGTAAAGATCATGCAGGAAGTTGCCCAGTACAAGATCGAGATGTATGGAGAGTAAGTTCACTTCCTTTTTGGGCTATTGTTGCAGAACCTGGACTCTGGCTGATATTTGTTTCAAACCTCCCGCTCCCAAACTCCCTGCGGGCACATTGAATGGAGCTATCGAGACCCTGTTGGAGAAGATTATCCCTTGCATTTGGATCACTCCCATCGATTGTTATTGGGAAGGAGCCAAGCCTTTAGGGCCTGATCCCCCATTGGTTCTAGGGGAAGAAATTACCACTTTCATAAATTCGTTGCCTAAGGGAAATATTACTTGGAAGAATCTGGATCCAGGAAAGGTCGTCAGGGAAGTCTCTCAACTTCTTGAATTGGGCTTGGTGGAGAATTTCTTCGAGAGAGCAGGTATTGGATCTGCTTATCTGGATCGGCCTTGCATTGATCCTCTTGATCCCGAATGTCCTCCAGAAGCTCCAAATAACTTTAATCGATGCAAAGCTTTCGAGAAGTTTATGATCTGGAATGAGGCTCTGCCCCAAAGCGAGAGGGTGAAATTAGATGAAGAAGTAGCCTTCAACAGCACTGGAATTAAAAATGCAAACGAGATTGATCTTGTGGGACAATTGTTTGGAGGCCGGAAGAAGAGAGCCGCCTCCAATGCTACCACTTCGGATGATTACTATGACTCCGAAAATGATTATGCCACTGATCATAGTAAGAGTAAGGAGTTTTACGGGTGTAGATATGTTTGTTTGTTATATATATATAGATAACATATTGCAGGTGAAAAGAAAGAAGATCCTAAAGCGGTTTTATGCCAGAAGTACGGAAAAAGTTTCTTGAAATGGATGGATAAAAATCAAGGGAAATGGAAAATGTTCCTGGAAATGGTACTCATTTATAAATTTTCATTTTAATTTTTTTAATGGAACTGTTTTTGTTGTCCGCGAAAAAACTTCTCACTGTGCGCACTTTTTTATGCACAACATTTAGCGGCAATTTTGATGTAAATTCTTCGTTAAACGACTAACATGTGATTCTACTCTTACTCCACAGGATTTCACGGCTTAGATATCTTTTTGAGCAGCTTACTTATTATACAAACTGTTTTATTTGCGGACAGTGAAAAGCGCGTCGTTTCTTTAATTGCTGTGTTAATCATATTTTTAGGAGCATTTCCCCAAATATCCGGATTATGGTCAGGTCATGACTGGAGGATGTCTTGGATTTGGAAAGAATATTATGAAATGGCCCGAGGACTTGATTATCGGAGGAGTCAAACATAACGATCATCACGTGACTGAAGCTGCGGCTTTCCAGTCAGTCTTCTTGGTGGCTGGAGCTGGAGATGTCTATAACAGATTCAGAGCAACGAAGGGAAACTTAAAACCAAACCTTGACCGAAGCACGTTCACCATTGGACAGGCCAATGACATTGTTCAGACTTGGCAGAGAAACTTCACCAAGAAAATCTACGATCACAAACTTAATCATGATGTACGTATTTTTTTAATAAGTTGAGACTGGTTATTAAGATATGATGAATGTTTTGTTATTTCAGAGCAACATCAGGACCTTGCATCCTTTGGCTTCAACTTCCGTGGCCGACATGTTGGAAGAGTTCAGTCAGTTTAAATTTCTCATCATATTCGTCGGATATGTGTTGATGATCATTTATGCTGGATGGTCTCAATGTAGGTTTGACGGCTGCTGGTTCTCCGTAGATTCTGCATGTCAGTTGGCCATCTGGGGAGTCCTTCTAATCACTTATTCATCTATCGGAGGTCTCGGATTTTCGACTTTATTGGGTATCAATTTCAACGCCGCGACAACTCAAATTGTTCCCTTTTTGACACTCGGTCTTGGTATTGATGACATGTTCTTGCTTCTTCACAATTACAATGGAGTTCTTCAAAGCGTTAAGAGCAAAGAAATTGCCATCTTGATGAAGGAGACTGGGATGTCCATCTTGATCACCTCCACCAACAACATCCTCGCCTTCACCACGGGAATCATCCTCCCAATTCCGGCACTCCGATCGTTCTGTCTGCAGACATCGATCTTGCTCTCCTTCAACTTATTTACCATCATGATTATGTACCCAGCATTGATTTCACTGGATATTAAGAGAAGGAAACGAGGAGTCAGAGATATGACTTTCTGCTGTGGAAAGAAGAACAAGAAGCAATTACAGCCCGAGGAAAGTAGCAATCAGCTGGTCAAGACAGCCAGTGTTGACAAACATACGGGCGAGTTCAGTTTGCCTGTCGAGAACAAAGTCCCGGATTACAAATGGTATACTCTGGAAGGGTTCATGATTGGATATTACATCCCTTGGCTGAGGAAGCCGGCTGTAAAAGTGTTCATCCTCTTGGGTTGTTTGACCATGTTCGTATCTGGTTGCGTTGGATTATATAAATCAAAGATTGGTCTGGAGCTGGCTGATGTCCTTCCTGAAAACACGGCTCCCTCAGCCTTTTTGAAAGCCCGTGAAGAATATTTTAGTTTCTATCCAATGTTTGCTGTCCTCAAGGGAGCTGAGGTTGATTATCCTAATCAGCAGGCAAAGATTGAACAGCTAAGGCAAGATATTGGTGGGTATTCCTCTTTATTGATACTGGATTCGATGATTTTAATATTATCATTACAACTTGTGTTTTAGCCAAGTCAGGTTTTATCATCAAAGTGGACGGCCATCCAAGCGAGCCTTACTGGATGATGATGATGCGAGTTTGGTTGCGATCTGTCCAAAAGGAGCTTGACCGTGGAGTGTCAGAGAAATTGATCGATCCGGTCACTGGAAACTTTAGCTGGACCGATCGCCGAGTCACCGATGATATGAGATTGGCCAGAAGACTGTTATGTTCTTATGGAAACAAGTTTAATTGCACTGGAAGGGTAAGCTTGGCCGCGGAAGAAGATGTTTCTAGATTGGAGTTGTAAAACTGATCGAATCCGACGACACCATCAATCCAGAAGGCTTCTACAATTACCTGACTGGCTGGTTCAACATCGACAATATGATGTATTACGTGTCCCAGGCCGCTTTTTTCCCCAGTCCACCTCGGTGGGGATTCAGTCCAAAGGAAGATGGCATCGTCCCTCCGGCTCCTCATCTTCTTTATTCCCAGATTCCCTTCTACGGCACTCATCTCACTGACACTCCAGTAATTGTGGAGATGATACGGGAGATCAGAGCAATCTGTGAGAAGTACACCGATGATGGGCTTCCAGTCTTTCCCTCAGGCATTGCTTTCACCTTCTGGGAACAGTATCTTCATCTCAGTTACTTCTTGGTGTTGGCTATTGTCGTCATTGCTGCCGCAGTTCTTGTTGTTATATCAATCATCGTTTTCAACCCATGGGCCGCTGCTATGGTCGCGATTGTGGTCGTGTCCATGACTGTAGAGCTGGCTGGTTTCATGGGACTGGTTGGGGTAAAATTGAATCCCATCTCAGCTGTTACTCTGGTCACTGCTGTGGGTATCGGAGTCGAATTCACTGCTCATGTTGTGCTGGCCTTCTTGACCTCTCTCGGAACAAGGGATGAGAGAATGGTCTCCTGCATGGAGCACATGTTCATCCCTGTCATCCACGGGGGTTTGTCGACTCTTCTTGGAATCATCATGCTGGCCTTCTCTGAGTTTGAATTTGTAGTCATCTACTTCTTTGTGGTGATGTCTGCTTTGATCATCATTGGTATGATCAATGGGTTGGCTATGTTGCCAGTCTTATTGTCATTGATTGGTCCTCCATGTGAGGTAGTTCCCGCCGACGGTGGTCGTGTTCTTGCGGTTCCACCACCTTTGAATAAAAAAAGAAATGATAAGGTGCCACTCTCTGAAAGTAAGCAAAATAATAGTTTTATTAATTTATCATTCAGAGAAAGGTGAATCTTCTGCTTCGTCGTCTTCGTCTTCGACTGAGACCAGCTCTAACTACCACGAACATCTTGCTACTATTGATGAGGAATGTCAGACCGAGAGTAATCCCCCTTCATCTCTGACAAAAGATGACGGTCGAAAGGGCGAGTCTGACCCTAACTCGGTGCAACAACGTTTCTAACCTGATTCCTAACTTCGTTTCGGTTATTATTTCTGGTTCCACGGGTCTTTTTAATCTCCGTTTATATTTCTATTCTAATTATCTTGCCACACTTTTATTATGCCCATGTAATTATGAGAAGATTTAGATTATAAATAATTTAACTTCAAGCTTCCTGAGATTGATGGATGTTAAAGTCGCTGAGAGCTAAGGATTTGGGTTCGGCTAGCTGAGTTCTCGTTTCTAAAAGCGCGTCGATCTCTGTTTTTATATCAGCGAAGACTTCATCTATTGATTGAGAGGCATTTACTTCCTGAAACAAAGAATGTCGCGCGACCTTGGATCACCTTACCTTCCAGAATTCGAAGTTGATGATTTTTTTTATGTTCTCGTAGACCTTGGACTGAAATTCGGTCTTTTCGAATGCTTCGCCCCCGAATTCATCTCGTTTGGATGTGACTGCCGAGTCAGCCTTCAGAAAAAAGACCAAATCAGGCTTCAGAAGTCCTACTTCCGATTCGCAAGCCTTTTCTAGGCCAAGCTCAGGGATGTCTTTGGCCGCGCTATAGGCCACTCCCGAGAAAGAGTATCTATCTGCGATGATTATATTGCCCTCAAAAATCTCTTTTCTTATTCTTTCGTCGAGATGACGTCTGTTGTCTACGAAGAGATTGTGTATCTGGATTGCATCTTGTTTTACATCTTTCGCTGTCCTTAAGAACTCGTCAATCTTTGGGCCAGTGGTCGGTTCTTCTCGATCTGAAACAACATTATTGGGTCCTTGATAGCTAATTACCAGGATATCTTTGGATGCGAACAGGATATCCTTTCTTTTGGAGATATGCCTCAATCTTCTTGGATTGGGTTGACTTCCCACTTCGATCTAATCCTTCAAAGACTATAAAAAGACCTCGAGCTTGGGCCATCTGAAACGGCATAAACTGAAAGAATAAGAAGAAGCAAAGGTTTCGCGTTATAAGCAGTAAGATTAGCCACGATAACAGACGTATTAATGCTCAACCATTTTCTTAATTTTTATTCCGGAAATGTACAGTAATCGGGAGACCTAAACTGGGTTTGAGTATAATCTCGGGGCAGGGACAATTCTCTGGGAAGTCACGGGTTGGACGGATTTCATAAATTCTGAAGATCCAAGACAGAACAGTCTTTTCTTCCATAAGGGCAAACTTCTGGCCAATACAATTTCTGGGCCCGGCGGAAAATGGGATAAACGAGAAAGCATCCCGGCTATGGATGTTCTCAATCTTGAAGTTCTCAGGATCGAAAGTATAGGGATCAGAGAAGGATTTTTTATGCGTGTGAAGAGTTCCTGGACTCAGAAGGACGGTCGTGTTTTTTGGAATTGTATAACCACCTAAAACGAAGATCAAAACCCTTACAAAAAAATCGAAATCCGTAAAATATGGTGTTAAAAGCGTACCACATTCAATGTCGCACTCAAGTTTTCGAGTGAAAAAGGGGACAGGTGGGTAGAGACGGAAAGACTCCTTGATGCATTGCTCAAGATAACACAATTTCTTCAGGTCATCCACGGTGCAAGGGCGCGAAGAATTACCTAAAAGCAGAGATTTAGGAGATTTAATCAGCCTACCAAAGACTGAGTCGACTTCTTCCCAGACCTTTTGTTGATATTCTGGATGATGAGCAAGACACCAGAGAGTCCATGCCATACCCGATGATGTTGTGTCATGCCCCTCAAACATGAATGTGTCCACTTCTTCCCGAATATCCTCATTAGTTAGATGTCCTTCTTGTTTTACTCGAAGCAGAAGATCAAGGAAGGCCATTCTCTTCTTATCATTCATTGTGTCATCATGGATCCTAGAGTCGAATTCTTCCGACCTTTTTTTGATCACCTGAAATAAATGAATACGCCATTGAATACCTACATCCCTAGTAAAGTCAGTCACCATTTTCAGACAGCGATCGTATTTATATCCAAACCCAGAGAGATACCAGACGGGTTTGAACCAAAGCCATGGCATTCGCGAGTAGGCAAAGGAGAGTTCATTCATTTGTTTGACAGCACCCACGTAAGGATGGTCGACATTGGTCTGGGCATTCACTTTAATTCCCATGGCAGTAGCTACAATACTCGTGAAAACAATTGATATTCTTACCACAAATAATATCAAGAGCACATCTTTTAACATAAGGGAATGCGTCGAAGCTTTCTCCAGACACAGCATACCTCTCGAGAACATCTACCAATATCTGAATAATCATGTTACAGTAACCTTTGCTTAAAATTACTTTAGCCTCTTCGTCCTGAACTTGATGATATTGGTTGAGCATGGAGAAGTGGAAGGCAGGGGTGATAAGTTTCCTTCTCGATCTCCACTTGTCCCCCTTACTTGTCAGCAATCCAGTTCCCAGCCATCTTTCCACAATCTGATATTCATCTCCTTTTGTTAAGTAGTCATTACTTTCGAGGATACTTTTGGCTGCCTTAGGCGACAACATGGCCACAATTGGAAACGGTCCTAACCATATCTTGACCACATCCACTTTCTCTATATTCTGATAATATCTCTGCCATTGTACAAGCTGATCCGTCAAGTCTGAAATTAGAATTTAATCTGCTTTAAGAATATAAAATAGCAGTAGCTAAATCGAACCTTCAATCTTCCACTTGAATTGCCAAGTAGTCCCCACCAACGGAAGAGAGACGGGACCGGGGATCTTCCCAATCAAATAAATCACACGTATTCTTTCAATACATCTTTCAACAACCGATTTTATGTAATTGTACAGTAAAATAACAACAGAAATCAAGAAAAATACGACTAACAGACCCATAAGGTAATTACTCGCAGCCGGGACTCAATTGGTCATTACTGATAAGACCTAGCTTGTATAACTTCTGATAGCCTCGAGCAACTCTTTGCTCTTTGCCTGATTAGCAAAGTTGACTGCTGAGTTCATAGATTCGGTTGTGTAGAATTCTTTGCGACCCTTGAGTTCATGAAGTACCTGGGAGATCTGGGAAAGGCAGGCCGTCTTATCAATGGGAAAAATTAATTGGACATATTTTAAAAGGAGATCCAGAGTATTCCGAGGAAGGACCGGAAAATCGGGGAGATTGGGCAACAAAAGGGCAGCCGTTTCATGGTCACGTTGGCTTATTGCATATTCTGCAAAAAACAGATAAGATAACATATAAAGGAAATAAAAACTCACCAAAAACCTCCAACAACGAAGTGATAGATGAAGTTAAGTTGTCCTTGTGTATGATTTGTAACCCCCCAATCGTTGCGAACATACAAATAAATCGATAAAAAGCCAACTTGATCCCCATATCCAACGTCACTTGCTCCTTTGTGCATGCTCCCAGATATTCGCAACAGAAAGAAGCTGCCTCTTGAACAGATTTCCCAACCGCGGTGGCTCTGAATACATACATTTAAAACTCAAATTACTTACACTTCGTCGTCGATATTGGATTCGTCGGTTTCAATGCAATTTACAAAACTTTCCTCGAGTTGAAAACAGGAAACCAATTCATCACCGTTTATCTAAAATAATATTTTTATGTTATACTAGGGAAATGGTGATTCGGTCCTACCTTCTTAGGATCTTCTGTTTCAATCCTAATTCGAGCACTAGTTAAAGAAGCCAAAAGTTGAAAGAACTTCTTATTCGAAGTCAGCCATACAGGGCCGACTATCTGAGAAGTTATTCCAGCCGAGATAAAGGAGAAAGTTAAATATACCGTAGCTGAAATCATTACTATTAAATTAATCCCACTTACGAATGTTGAATGTCCTCAAAAGTCGCTCTATTACAGTTCTTAGATCCGCGGGCCAACTTAAAGCTACAGAATTCATCTGAGTATCCGTGTTGAACACCTTGTTTAACGTTTTGAGAGCATCAATTGTGAAGTCCATGATTACCCGAGACGGAAACTAAAAAACTTTTAAGTGATATTTGTGTACCCACGTGATCCACATTATCTTTAATGAATCCAATGATTACGTTGAGAATGCCATTGATATCATCCACCGAGAGGTAAGTGATACCGATCAAACAGAGAGCATTCAAACGATTCTCAAGATCCTTTTCTTCCATTCCTCTACTAAATCACCAGAAATAAAGAAAGAAAAGTTAGCTTACCTTAAACAAATACTTTCTCGGATACCCTCACAAAGCGGCCGGAACATTTCTCTGTCTTTTAATGGACAAAGAGGTATTATAATACTGATAATTGTCACCACTAGGTCAACCACATCCTCGTCCCTCTCTAGAAGGTCGTCTTTTTAGCCAAGAACTTACGCTGAAGAATAAATTGACTTAGAAGATTGGTTGGAAAGTGCAATGAGATCTGTCTGGCCTTGTCTTCATCAATATCAGACTGCTCGCAGCACACAGGTAACTATTATATAATAAATAATATGTTATTTCATACCTTAAATAACAGCGACAATCTTCGAAACGGATTATGTGAAGCCACAAACTCCTGCAGCCAGATTTCAAATGGGATCTTCGCTTTGGATTCGAGTTCATCTTTGAGTTGTGCCAAGTCTGCATGATTCATTTCCATGTTGTCCATAATCTACGATACTTTACACTAACTCAAAAACATAGGTACCGAGAAAAAGATGTAAATCGAGCAAAATTATTTTCATAAAAATTTCGAAAATTATTTTGTGTTTTTGACATTTCGTCTTAAACATTATTGGGGACACTGCGCCATAAATAAAAAACGTCTCGAGATTTTTTTGTGATTTCGATCGAAGGATTTGGAAAATTCAAAGTGGTCTTATGTATTAGTTTATCTTTGATGGAGGCCCACCTCTTTCAGGATATCTATGATGCTGTAGAAGTAAGTGTACCTTCAGGTATTTTTTGTGGAATTGTGTTTTCTTTTCGGGTGAGCAATTTTAATAACCGTTTTAGAACCACGAGAATTGCCTGGATCTGAAAGTTCAGTATGGATCGCCCATTCAGACGATTGTTTGGTCGTCGTTTAGTTATATGATAGGACCCGAGCTGAAGTTTGTGTGGCATGTGAAGGCAGATGAACCTTATCATCTAAGTTCTTCGGATGAGACCTCCAGTGATGGAAATTTCCCCTCCACTTCATCAGATGTAAAAGCAAGTGGCTTAATTTGATTTAATTTTTTGTTTAGAGTACTCAAGGAAGTGGATTACAATATGACGATTGTATCAATCTAATGAGTAATTCTAATGATTGCTCAAACCTTTCGGATGACCTTGAAAGTGAGAGAAAGGTGAGTGACGATTTATTTTTAGAGATGTTTATTATAGTTTCAGTCGAGCCATCAGTCGGCCGAGTCTCAAGCCGGGAATTCCACTTTGTGTTCATCAAGTCATCCGACATCAAATTCGACCTTAAGATTAAATAAAGACGAAAATTTTGATGTGCATGAGGAAAGGCAGGAAGATTTACAGGAAGAGGATTATGAGACTGAAGACGACAACTCTTCGTATACAAATGTGTCCGAGAAAGAAGAGGAAGTTGAGCATCAGGCAGACAACAAACTGACCACATCAATCGTCGACTCTGGCATTACTGGGACGGTTTCTGTACATAGTGACTTAAGTGGAACCTGCAAATCTCCAAAGTTGAACTCAAGCCAATCCATAATGGCCAATTTGTCGGATACTTCATCGGAAAAGTCGGATTACGGATATTGTGATGATAAGAAGGAAGAAGATCAGATATCATGCTCACAGGATTATGATGTGGCTAAATGTTTGGATTCTACAGCCACTGCTAGTTTTCTGACGGTCTCGAACGTATTGACAGAACAGTCGGCAGTAGGAGATCAATTTGAAACGGAAGTGAGAGAAGATGCTCTGGTCCGACAAGAAAGTGCCGCTTTCAGTCAGATGGTTGAGAACGAGAACTATCTGTCCGATGAGATGTTTGTTGCAAAATACGCGTTGGCAGAACAGATATCAAAGTACGTCTGAAGTTTCCTTGTCATATTGTTTTAGCCCTTGCTTTGCGATGAATCCCATGATTTGTAAGGTGTCTGTGATCCCGAGCCGACAAATTTCTATTATGAGTTTTCTTTTCTCGGTTCCCAAAGACGAAAAGGAGATGATGGCATTTTCGTTAGTTTTGTCCGAAGAAGCGTAAGTCTTTTATTTATAATGTTTAATAGTTGTTTTAGGAGAGATTGGCTTGGTGTTCGAGAAAATGTTTTTGAACAGATCTTTGAGGATGTCTTGTGTAGATTCAAGGCGTCCTACCTTTCCGAATCTATCGCTGACGTGATATGTCGGTTGACTGACGACATCTATAGTTTATTATTATTATTCGGAAATCTGGAACGGTTCCCGTTATGCAGTCAGAGTTATATCAATGTAAGTTGAAGCTCTCAATTTTAATGTGATTGCTTTAGATAAAAAGCACGGTGTTTATGAAGCCCGAGATGAGTTTAGAGGACCGTTCGTTTTTATATAAATCGGTGACTGGTTGTCTGATGTCACAAGGGAACTGCGTTCTGATTGGAGCTGATCCCGATTATGTTGAACAGGTACAATAATATTTTTTTTTTAATTTTTGATCTTTGAATTATAATGTAATGAAGTTTTATTTAGTTTATGCTGGGATTGATGTTATTCTTGACGCCCGAACAGCGTACCCTATGTTTGAAACCTCACATGTCACAATATTCTCCGTACCTCAAACTGCAAGCCGTGAAAAGAGAGCTCATTGAAGATTTATATGTAGCGTCAGCCGAGTCCCATTGGCCTACTTGCTTTATCGATGTGGATAGGAAATTGGTGACCAGTTCGGGGAGTTACTTTACTCACTACGAGAGAAAGGAGCGCTTGGCTCTTCAACAAATGGGATCTATTTTTGTGGAAGCTGGTCAGAATTTAAAGTCTGAAGACAGACTTATTGCTAAACGAGAGCCTATTATGTAAGTAGTACTGCATTTGCTGCGTGAATTACGATAATCTATGAATTTTGTAGAGAGCCGATGTCCGTAATCGCGGATCCATTCCTAAGCAGCCGCCTTGATGTCCTCTGGCTTCTTCCTTGTGAAAGATCGACTCGGTCGATCGTTTTAAATCAATTGATATTAACATTGGATTACCAAGCGAAGGCTTTAATAGAGACCATTAAGGATATTAGTGAGCCCTCAAAGACCTTCAAGGAGAACGCCGTCTCTAGTAAATGGAGTCTGAACACCGTCCGGAAGATGCTCAACCTCACCGCCGATTCTTCTTTCAACATTTGTCTGGCACGGGCTGATATGTTAAAACCGAGCCTGGCGCAGTTTATCTATCAGTGCAACAATCACTTCCGGTAGTTATTATAATACAAGTATAGTTGAATATAACATTCAGTGCCTTGATCACAAGCGGCTTATAAAAGATATTTTTATTTTATATCTCCGATTATGTGAGTAAAACTTTTATTATCTATCTTGTATTGAGATTATTTACCCATGTTGAAGCCGATTCCACTACTGATCCCAAACCCCATTCCATTTCCGAATCCAACGTTGAGTCCACTTTGAAGACCCAATCCTTGATAATTGGTGGCATAGTTCTGAGAGTACTGAGGATTATATCCGGAGTAATATGGGGACGACTGAGTATTGTAATGATAAGGTTGCGGGCCGTAAGAAGACTGTGCGTATGAAGAAGGGCTGTATGTCTGAGGAACATACGACGAACCGTACGAGGGCTGTGAGTATGAAGTAGGGTTACTGTAATAAACGTATGGAGACCGAGCAGAATCGTAGAAATACTGGGGTTGGCGGTAGTCGTAGCTAAGCGAGGGACTGCTACTGTAGCTATTCGCGTAGTACTGTCTCCAATAGCTAAAGCTTGTTTAACTCTAGTTGATTACTTACCGATCGTAGTCGGACCAAGTCTTCCGTTCGTCCTGCGGCTGATAAGCGGTTTCTTGGAGAAATTGCCGTTCTTCCTCGGAATCCCGAGGGTTCTCTAAAGGTTGGCTGGAAGACGACGTCTTGTCTGAAAAGGAATCCATCTGATTACGTTGCTTCGAATTATCTGAATTCAGAAACCGACTTTGTTCGAATGGGGACAACATATTAGAGGTAGTAAAGAGTCTTTGTTCAGGACTCAGTGGAGTGAGGAACCGACCACCTGCAGGCAAACGAAAGATGGCCAGAGGGCGCGGGGAGGCCAAGACGTCAAAGAAGTCGCGGTTGTGGGAAGAGGCAAACATATGCTCCATGAGGATCTTGAACTTGCGTAGAACTAAAACACCGAAGGGGTAAGGTCAGGAGAGTGTTAGAAGAAAGAAGAGAAGTTTAGCCAACGTCAAAGCCGAAGCCAGAGCCTGCGCCAAAGTTGAAGGCCGGAGAACAGATTTCCATTTCGATTCCGGGTTTGAAATCGAATGGTCTGCTACTACTACAGAAATATTCAAAAAACCTCCGAATGCTGTGGCCCGGGATTGGGGAGATATGTTGGTGCCGAGGGCAAAATCTGGGCTCGGTACTCTAAACTAATGTAAGCTGGATTGACATTGGCGGTGTCCACCTGGAATAAGGGGTGAAGTAGTAATGATAAAGGTATGAATGTTGGTAACCGACAATTTCCGGAGGTCTTTGATTAAGGCATCCATCACATTCAGGATGACCACGGCTCTCGTCGACCTCAAATATGTCTTTTTGAGGGGAATTGATTGCTGTAGAAAAATAAACTCATCGTTTTGTCATAGTGGCCCCTTGAAAAGCGCTGCAAAAGAAAGAGGTGCAGGAAAATAAATGGTGCAAGTGATACAGTAAGAGGGAATGTGAGAATTAACATACCAGCATCCGAGAGCACGACTCCCTTTTCCTTCACCTTGATCTTGCTGGGGGTGACCTTATTTTCGGCCTTCTCAGTTTTCCTGGCCTTGTTAGTAGTCGTTTCCAGCAATTCGTTGTCGGAACAATCATCCCCCACACAGAAAGTAGAAGCAGAAGTGCTTTCCAGAACTTCGTTGGAATCTTGTTCTTGAGACCGAAGCACGGGAAGAATCAAAAATAACAGTACGAGACGTCTCATTGCTCTGAAAGTGCGAAGTGACCGAGAATCCGGACAGATCTGACCTAGAGAACCAAATTGACTTGTCGCGCCTTTAATCGTCGTATTAAAATTATATTCTCTTCGGGCGGGATCAAAAAAAAGGAGGCAGGTACCTCCTGAAAATAAACAAACAATTTCCTTTACCATGGTGTATATGTCCTTGAAGATGTGCACATTAAGACTTTATTTCACATGACAAAACCAACAAAAATAAATTTAAAAAACGATGACGAAAAACTTAGAGATCCCACTGGGTTCGGGTTACAGTAATCCTGAATATGTACAACACTTTACACGAGAAGGAGTAACCGGTTGACTTAACGTCCTAAGGTCATGGAGAAGGACCTTCCGCCAAATCCGCCTCCAAAAGGCCCCATTCCAGCTCCAAATCTATTAGAATTGATACTCAAGATATAAGGCATCCCCATTCCGGGGTACATGATCCCTGGATACATCACTCCCGGATACATACCTATCATCGGTGGATACATGAACTGTCTAAACGAAAATGAAAGGGGAAAGCGGCTTACCTCTTCCGTCGATTCCTGAGCTCATTCGCCTCGGCTTTACCTCTAAATCTAGGGATCAACCACAATTACATAACAATCCTTACCTCGAGGAGAGCAGTTCAATTTCCTCGGTCTTGCTTTCGAACTCCTTTGCCATCAACGAGCAGATTATAATAAACAAAAGTGACACCTTCAGACCCCACATAATCACACTCTTACTTCCTGATATTGGACGTGACAAGAGAAGAAACCCCAGGGTTTAAAAACACTTTTCCTTACCGGACAATTCGCCAAGTTTCCCTTTTAATCGAGCAGGTTTCAGGAAAAGCCGAAACAACATTAAGAAATTTTCTATTTTAAACATTTACATCGACGGACATTTGCCAAATAAGTGCGGGGGGATGCTCCTTATTCACTGCTTACGTGAAGCTGGGTTAAATGTGGGCACATTCCCAAACGCATAAGACTAGAAATATAATAATAAAAATTGTTTTTCTTTTTTTTTTAATTGCTCCAAAACATCAGAGAAATTGTATTTATTTGTCTTCAAAACACTGTTCAAGACACACGTCAGTCTACACAGTTTAATTCCTATAAATTCCGAGGCTTCTCAGAATTGGAATCAGCCTTTCTGGAAACAATTGCATTCCTCTGGGTTCTTTCTTCTCTTAAAGTTTCGGTGCTAGCACTCAAACATGGGGATGATTTGACCCCAGCTGATCGTTTCTTGCCCTTCTTTCGAATCTTCTGGTCTTGGCTCACTGTCTCATCAATCGTTTTGTCAATTCCTTCGGATGAAAGCAATGTCTGAGATACACTTTGAACCCTGATCTGGTCGAAGATACCACAGAGAATTGGAACACGCGACTTTCCGAATCTTCGGCGCTAAAATAATGTGTAGTTATTGCTTCGCACATTACCTCTTCGTCAATTAAATAACAGACACTGAAGAATCCGCTGAAAAAGATTATTTCCAAAATCATATCCGACCAGCTACTTTACTTCCGCTTACAATGTAATTAAAATTTGATGCAGACAATGAAAACTGTTTTTTGGTAAATAGAATACGTGTTTCTCCTGCAGTGAAAATTTTGATAATTGGGTTTAATGCTTTTTACACATGCATAACACATAAGCCGCACAATACGCATTGTCAGCATTTCTGCCATAGTTGCGCAATAAAATCAATTTTTGCGATGTGTCAAAGAGCGAAATGTCAAATCCCACAAGAAAATATTCTTTTTATTTTTTGGTTTTTTGATGTCTACATCGTAATGACGTCGTTGTACGATCTGAATCCTGGTGAAATTCCTCACAAGGAATTAAACCGGCTCGCATTTCGATGTTATACAAAAGAAGAGATCGAGAAGCTGAGTGTGATCCAAGTTACTCAAACTAAAACTTTCGATAATGTAAGGCTTATTGTTTTGAAGAAGAAGTTGTTTAGGCCGGGTTCCCAGTTCGAAATGGTCTTTATGATCCCTTATTTGGCCCGACCGAAATGATTGACAACTGTGAGACATGCGGATTGAGAGCTCAATATTGTCCAGGGCATTTCGGACACATGAAGTTGAATATGCCTGTGTTTAATCCGATGTTATTCCCTATCACATTCGAAATTATGAAAGGTGCTTGTGTCCATTGTCACCGGTTCTTTCTCAGCAAAGACAAAAAGCCGGATAGTGAAGTCAGAGATGAAGAAGAAACTGTTGCGGTAAGATAGCCTTATTTTTTTATTCTTCTTTAGATGAAAGCCCGAGCGTCTTGTCCCCATTGCAAATACCGCGCTCCCACGATCAGAAACGACTTTATGACTACCATGTTACTTGACTTTGCTGCTGCCAAAGCCAAGGGTCTGAAAAATGTCAAGACCAAAGTAAGAGCAACGAGTGACGACGATGATGACAGTTTCGAAAAATCTACGATTGACACTTCATTGGACGATTCGAAGAATGTTTTCACTCAGAGCACGTTGAATATTACAAACACCAAAGATACCCTTGAACTTCAGCTAAAACAAGTAAGGACGGGGAAGGTGGATAAACTGGCATGGAGAGCGTTGGAGGTCAGAGATCACTTCAGACTCCTATGGAAAAATGAAAATGTGGTGATAAAAAAGTTGTACCCGTTTTTTGGGTACATCGAGGAGAATAAACCGTCCAAGAACTGTCCGATGGATGTTCTCTTTATGGAAACGATTCTGATTCCGCCCACGAAGTTCCGACCCGTCAGATTCTTTGCTGGCGCTAAATATGAGAGTTCTGCTACTGTGATATTCAGAAAGATTCTGGAGGCGGATCAATTGCTGAGCATGGTGAAGATCTCAATAAAATCCAACAAAGAGTTTATGAATGTGAAGGTAAGTTGGCCATTTAGTTTTTTACGTTGTCATTTAGGAACTGCTTGAAGCGCGGGTGCAAGGAAAAACGTTGAATGAAAAATTATACAATGCATATGTGACATTGCAACAGGCAACCAACAATCTCTATGATAGAGATTCGAATCCGTTAGGGAAAGGGAATGGGGAGAAAGGACTGAAACAGATTGTAGAAAAGAAAGAGGTATGTCGGTAACCCTATACGTTGTTTTGGTAATACTGAAGATTTATTTACATTTTTAAGGGTTTATTCCGAATGAATATGATGGGAAAGCGAGTGAATTATGCCTGCCGATCTGTCATTACTCCGGACCCTTATCTGGATGTTGACGAAATTGGAATTCCGGAGATTTTTGCAAAAAAATTGTCATTTCCGGAGCCATTCTGTTACTTCAACGCATCAAAACTCAGGAAACAAGTTGAAAATGGACCAGACACTTACCCTGGGGCAAATTTTGTACAGAAATTGGGTAAAGCCAAAGAGATATTGGCGAAAGAAGTGGAGCGGGCTGGGTATGCTCGGAATCTGAAGGCTGGGGATCGCCAAGGAACTCAGAACTCCTCTTTGGCAAGTATACTATAAACGAACCGAAACAGTTATCTTTAGGTATATAGGCATTTGGAGAAGGGCGACATGATGTTGATGAATCGCCAACCAACATTGCACAGGCCCTCAATTATGGGACACAAGGCAAGGATCTTGACCGGGCAGAAAGCGCTCAGAATGAACTACGCCCCTTGCAAAGCTTATAATGCTGATTTTGATGGTGACGAGATGAACGGACATTTTGTACAGAGCAAACTAGGACAGACTGAAGCCGCGGAATTGGTGTCTGTCGGAAGAAACTTCCTGGTCCCCAAGGACGGAACTCCCATTTTGGGATTGATTCAAGATCACGTCGTTTCTGGTGTCATGATGACTTTAAGAGGTCGATTCTTCAGCAAAAGTGACTTTATGCATTTGGTTTTGGCAGCATTTGGGCTTCCAAATAAAAGAATTAAACTTCCACCACCAGCAATGCTGAAACCTAAAACGATGTGGGCCGGGAAACAGGTGAGAATTTCTTCGTTTTCCCTGTGATGTTGGACTTTTAGGTTGTTTCGGCTGTAATCTTGAATTGTGTTCCTGAAAATTACCCTCTCATCAATCTCTCTGGTAAAGCCAAGACTCCGTTGGCTTGCTGGAAGGTGAAAGGATATGACTCTCCAATTTTTTCGATGTCGGAATCGGAAGTCATCTTTCGACGAGGAGAACTTTTGTCTGGTGTTCTTGATAAGTCGCATTATGGAGCTACTCAATTTGGCCTTATCCACTGTTGTTTCGAGTTATATGGACCCAAGATCGCTGTAACGATTCTGAGTTGTTTCTCCCGGTTGTTTACCAGATATCTACAAGTAAGGGAACTCGTTTTGAGGATAAGTCTTTTTTCAGTGGCACGGATTTACACTTGGAGTAGCTGATATTTTGGTTACCGACGAAGCGAATGAAAAGAGAACGGCCGCCATAAAGCAGATCAGAAAAAGTGGCCCTGGGGCCGCGAGAAAGACCTTCGGACTGGATGATAATGCTAGCTCTCTACGACTGAAACATGCCATGGCTTCTGCTTATAATAATCCTCGCAAAGATATCTCTGAAGTCAAAATGCTGGATTTTAATGTGAAACAAACTGTGGGAAAATTAACGGATCAAATCAACGAGTAAGAGGAAAATTATTTTGATATTATTGTTTCAGTGCTTGTGTGCCTGGAGGTCTTATCAGAAGCTTTCCGGACAATGCTCTTCAGATGATGATCCAGTCCGGTGCTAAAGGAAGCATGGTGAATTCGATTCAGATTAGTTGTGCCCTCGGGCAGATTGAATTGGAAGGTCAGAGACCTCCATTGTCGGCTGTTGGTCGGACTTTGCCCTCATTCAAATGCTTTGATCCTTCTCCTCGGGCCGGTGGCTTTGTCGACCAGAGGTTCTTGACTGGAATTAATCCGCAGGAACTCTTCTTCCACACCATGGCTGGTCGAGAAGGCCTGATTGATACTGCTGTCAAAACTTCGAGATCCGGATATTTGCAGCGATGTATCATCAAACACCTTGAGGGTATCACCGTTGGATATGATTACACTGTTCGAGACCATGACAATAAGGTCGTTCAGGTAGGTAAATCTTGTCGAAAATATGTATTTTAGTTCCGATATGGGGAAGATGGGATGGATGTGGGAAAGTCCAGTTATCTAAATCCCAAGCAGTTCCCATTTTTGAAACAGAATTCTGACTGTTTGGATGTTGTTGTGAGGCCCAAAGGAATCCGTGATGTCGACTTCAATGTGAATAAAACGAAGAAGCATTTCAAAAAGATTTGTCGGTGGAAGAAGAAAAATGCCGGTGGGCCAAAGAAACGATACGTCTCCGGATTTACAATCTTTTCTACGGAACATGTAGGCCAGCATAGGGATGAGCTGGTTTATAAGTGGAGTAATTTGAGTGTGGAGGAGAAAGCCGCCTATGAAGAAGCTGCTGGAAAGAAGTGCCCTTCCACTATGGATGATGTCTGTCTAGATTTTCTAATTGAAACTTATATTTAGGCCTTCACTGTATCACAAAATCTTGGTGCTCTGCCAGAAAAAATTCTGGAGAGTATTTCTAATTTTGCTGGGAACGAAGACGACTTCAAAGGCAGCCTGTTTTGGAAAGGAATTCATTCGATGGCTGATCCCGGGGAAAACGTCGGTCTTTTGGCTGCTCAATCAATTGGAGAACCGTCAACTCAGATGACATTGAACACCTTCCACTTTGCTGGAAGAGGAGAAATGAACGTCACCCTGGGAATCCCTCGTCTTAGAGAAATTCTTATGACTTCTGGGGCTAATATCGCCACTCCCATGGTGGAGATTGCGATCAAAGAATGCGCAACACCAGAACAAATTGCAGAAATCAAGAGAACGTTTACTCCCATTACGTTGAAGGAAGTGCTCAGAAGATTCAGCATTGAAGAAAGATTGGTCTTGAAGAAGGGGTAAGTCTAACCGCCATCTTTAAAAGGGAAGTAATTCTGTGGGGTATGGAGTCACGGGCCGAGAGATATATCAAAAAATCGCAACATTCTCCTGATCAGAGTATGGAAAAATTGGCTGTCCAACCACTCGGCCACAATTCCTTTGGAGAGCGCTTTTGATGGCGCTGATTTTTATTGATAAAATTTGTTGATAGACAATATTCTGAAGCGGAAAAATTTTGCGGGTTTTTTTTTTTGGTATATGCCGACCTGTAACTCCATACCCCATAGAAGTACTCTTGATAATATATTGGCATGTTATAGTTCTTCTGCAAGACAATATTCGGTCACGTTTGAGTTGAAGAGAAACAAAGATCGCGAGGAGCATGCTCGTCATCTGAGCCGTCAGTTTATCATCCAATCCATCGAAAAGACAATTTCAAAGATGGTTGGAGATCAGTTGGCCAGGAATTACAGGGATATTTTGGAAATGGAGGTGATGCAGCATCATAAAATGAAAGTGACCAATCAAAAAATTATGGCCCAGAAAGAAGACGACTTTGAAGATATTGTAACAAAAAAAGAGCCCAGATATAGGAAGAGTGATGAGGATTCTAGTGACGAAGAAGCGGAGGGAGGGAAAGAAGCCGATGCCTCTGAAGCCAGGTTGAATCAACGCCATCATGATGACGGCGCCGAGTATGAAGGAGAAGAGGAAGAGCAACAAATTGATCCTATTCCGGACGATGCTTTAGAAGACAGTGAAGGAGAGGAGCTCGAGAATGAAGGATTTGAAGATGCTCTTCGTATTAAGAACGTTGTTGAGTCTCATCAACAGATCACTGAATACCGCTACGATACAAAGTCTCATAGATGGTGTACTGTAGTTTATGAGCTACCGTTGAGAACAAAAACCAAGCTGAACGTGGCTGGAATGGTGGAGAGAGTTGTAGAGAAAGCCATGGTTTGGAAGACTCATAACATCGATAAATGCATTATCCGGGAAGATCAGAGAAACGGAAAAGATGTTGAGATTCTCCAAACCCAGAAGATTAATATTGAGGTGGGTTTGTTTAGTTAAGTGAGGATGGTTACCTCTTGATTGGAACTCTGGAAAGTGCCAAATCTCCATTATTCTATTGGATTTGGTCACTCAGGGCTCCAGTCAGAAGATTATCATCTAAGTATAGGGGAATGAAACCTCACAGCAAGGCCACCAATGTCATGAATGAAGCATAAGGTTAGGAATCGGAATATCATCCCGCTTTTTCTGTACTATACAAGAAAAACTGATTTTACCCCGGGGTTTCGATATTACGACCGCTTTAGGTAACTGTCAGCACTTTTGTTAGCGATTTACCCGGGGCAAAGTCGGCTAATGGACCGAAGCTGAGGGAATACATAAAAAAAATTCAAATTCATACGGACTCTAAGGAGTAATTTGCAGTAGTAAAGTTTGGCTATACTATAGAGGGACTAAACTTCCATTTGGAGATCGTCCTGGAAATGGGCTCGTTCTTAAAATCAGCCTGGCCTCAGGGCCGGCGGAAGGGGAGGGAATCACAGCGAGTCAGGATTAAATCCTCATGAAGCACTTAATACCGGCCGGTCTTTCTGTCCCCAGCCATTGCCCGAATTATTTGAGGAATTAGGGATTTGACTCTCCCTCCGCTCACCTGCCGGCCCGGCTTATTATACACGAAATCTCTTCCGCTGATTACTTTTACAGAGATTAACTCTGTCATAGTAACCGCTACATATTAGTTTTAATGCCCGTAAACTCCATCCATCAATAATTACATCCTTTTCAGGCTCTGTACAAGTTTTCCGACATCCTCGATGTCAACACCCTCTACAGTAACGACATCAACATGATGCTCAAATATTACGGTATTGAAGCGTGTGCCCGAGTCATCTTCAAGGTTGGTTTTGATATCCACTCTTAGTTCTGATTATAGGAAATGAATAATGTGTTTGGTGTGTATGGAATCGAAGTGAATCCGAGGCATTTGACTCTTGTTGCTGACCATATGACCAATCTGGGTTCAGTCCAACCTTTCAGTCGAGGCGCCATGAGCAATAACACCTCACCTCTGCAGAAGATGACTTACGAAACTACTCTTAAGTTTATGAGGGATACGATTGTGAAAGGTAAGGGATTAAGGAAATTGGATTATCGGGGTTAGGTGTTTTATTTTGGAGGGGAACATTAGATATTACCGTCGAATTGAGAGGAGAGTTCTCTTAATTTGAGGTTGATGAGAAGAGAGAATAGGAAGTTCGGGTTTGTTTTTGGGCTTGATCTTTTTAATAATTCAAAATAGGGAGCAGAATCCGCAGCTACACCAGCATCTCCTTCCTTGAAACTGATATATGTCGTCGGTGCTAGTTTGAGACGCTGCCGACTATTCTTTACTCGATCTTGTGACGTCATGGGAACAAAGTCTCCACTCTTGCATTTTATATTGCGCATTCTTCTTTTTTATTTCTTTTTCTTCACCAATTTTTTTGATCATTGATAGTCACTTCACCTTTTTGTCTCGCTTTATACACCAAGGTCAAAACTGAATGAATTTCAGGTGATGTCGATGAACTGGCTAGCCCTTCCGCCCGCTTAGTTACCGGCCAGACAATCAGAGGAGGAACCGGAAACTTTGATATCCTTATGAATGACCTCTATATGGTCAGTCCGCAAACGGCCAAAAGGAGATACGAAGAAGCTATGGATGTTTAAGATTTTCGTTTTGTGAATGACGTCTGTTATTTTTACCTTTGTTGTTACTGTTGATTTTTATTGTTGAAAAAATAAAGTTTTTCTTGAATGCGTATTTGTAATGGTTGTAACAGTAACGCTATACTTCCGTGATTTGCGTTCTTTGACCATTAACTGAACAGCCCCGCTTGGAAACTGCATGTCTGTCAATGGAGTTTTGGAAGGGGAGGGATTCTGATTTTCGGAAACCGTTTCTCCATCGTGAGAGAAAGCCGCATTGGCTGATTGCCAGCTCGTTATCGTGTCGCCCCCACCTCTTCCCACCCCTTTGCTTCAATTCTATTCTTAGCTTCAATCAACCTGTTTTGATTGGTTTAGAAAATTGTATAAAAGGTGAAGTTTTTTCTTCCGTGAGAGTCTAGAAACCCTTTGCAAATTGTCGATTTAGCCCTACCTTTCTGTATTGGTGCAATGATCAGTATCATTCATCCGCCAACCGAACTTTTTCAAGCTACGCCATCGAAGATGACTGAAGGTGGAGGGAAACAACGGCCATTATTACAATAACAAACTGATATAATGTTTAAAAACACTCAGAGTGTATGTAAAATACTTATGTACTTCAAAAATGATCTCATAATAAACGTTTAAACTGCCATTGAATCATGAATAATGTAATCATAACATGCCGGCGAGTAATCAGAGAGGGCAAAAAAGTTAGAGGACCTGACTAATGAGTCTATATATCTTGTTCGGTCACTCCTATGTTGTTTTATGAATTTCGATAGTGCTTACAGGGTGTGGCAATTTTTCGGCCGGATTTGAATTGGCTATAACTTTTTTAGTACAGGGTGTTTCAAGAAATTTGGAACAAATAATTTGCTTATATGTTTGTGTTCTTTGCAGCTATCAACGAATTTCTTTTTGCTTCTAAAAATTGACGTCGTGCGTTTTTAGAATCTCTAAAAAATTTTTTTTTCGTTGGCGGAGAGCCGATTTCTCGGCGGAGACAATTAGGGCCTTTTATTAAAATCACATCGTATTACGTGGCGGAAAAGCCGTTGCAACGGCTGAAATCAAGTTTACGTTACACCTTCGTGGATTTTACATATGCTTTTTTGCGTTTTCGATTTTACGCACATCCGCGGAGGCGCGGCGGAGACCTCACAAGGGAAGTCACTTAAATCACGGATCGATTTTTAAAAACGACTGTTACTGCAATGAAGAGGGTGGAATCTGGATATCAAATCTGAAAACCGCTACCTCCACCGGCCTCTGGGAGCCGAGATAATCGACCAAAAAGTTTGACCAAATTCCTCCAAACATTTCTTCCTTCCGAAAGAAGGAAACCCAGCGAACCGAATGGCCCGGTGGTCTGGAAGCGCGCTTCCGGGCCTTCACTTTTTCAGGTTCGAATCCGCGCGGATCTCGAACTTGTGAAAAATTTATAAAACAGTTGCTGCGATCTAGTAAATTTTCATGCAATATATTTTTAGATTTTACGCCTATTCTACGGCAAATTTTCAACCTGGAAAATTCTAATCGTTTGGAACTCGCATTCAAATTATTACGCTGAAATTTTATCGTAAAATATGCAAAAAATAAAAAATTTTATCTTACCGGTAAATTTACTGGATTACAGGAAAAGTTGAATAAATTATTTGACCCATGCGGATTCGAACCTGAGAAGGTCAAGGCCCGGAAGCGCGCTTCCAGACCACCGGACCATTCGGTTCTCTTCCTTCCTTCTTTCGGAAAGGAGGACTATTCGGAGCAACTTTTTTTGATCAAACCTTTTTGGTCGATTATCTCGGCACCCAGAGGCCGGTGGAGGTAGCGGTTTTCAGATTTGTTATCTCCGTCCTACACTCCCGGTCGCTGTAACAGTCGTTTTTAAAAATCAATCCGTGACTTAAGTGACTTCCCTTGTCAGATTTCGGCGGACTTTGTTTTGGGCCTTCGGCTTTTGCAATCCATGTTGGAAAAGAGGTTGGGGCGATTTTTTATTTTCATCCGGTGCACAGATGGCAAAAATTTCGTACTTTCTTTCCCGGCGGAGGATTCGGCGGAGGTTTTATCAAAGGGTTAAAGCAGTCTTACGAGTCCGGGAAAAATCTCAGCTACAAGAATCCATCAGAGCAACATTATCTTTCAAAGATTTTTGATTTTTTTGGTCCGGCGGACAAATGGGCGCAGGATTCGGCGGAGTTTACCATTCGAAATGTCACTGAATGAGATTTCATCACCGCAAGTTTCGCCTTTTTTGGAGTCAAAGTGCGCCCGCACCAGGCCGAACACTCTGATATTATACTAGGCACCAATTAAAAAAAAATTGAATTAGAGATGTCGGAGTGAATTGACAGGACCTATACAATTCGAAATGTCACTGAATGAGATTTCATCACCGCAAGTTTCGCCTTTTTTGGAGTCAAAGTGCGCCCGCACCAGGCCGAACACTCTGATATTATACTAGGCACCAATTAAAAAAAATTGAATTAGAGATGTCGGAGTGAATTGACAGGACCTATACCATTCGAAATGTCACTGAATGAGATTTCATCACCGCAAGTTTCGCCTTTTTTGGAGTCAAAGTGCGCCCGCACCAGGCCGAACACTCTGATATTATACTAGGCACCAATTAAAAAAAAAAAGTGAATTAGAGATGTCGGAGTGAATTGACAGGACCTATACCATTCGAAATGTCACTGAATGAGATTTCATCACCGCAAGTTTCGCCTTTTTTGGAGTGAAAGTGCGCCCGCACCAGGCCGAACACTCTGATATTATACTAGGCACCAATTAAAAAAAAATTGAATTAGAGATGTCGGAGTGAATTGACAGGACCTATACCATTCGAAATGTCACTGAATGAGATTTCATCACCGCAAGTTTCGCCTTTTTTGGAGTCAAAGTGCGCCCGCACCAGGCCGAACACTCTGATATTATACTAGGCACCAATAAAAAAAAAATTGAATTAGAGATGCCGGAGTGAATTGACAGGACCTATACCATTCGAAATGTCACTGAATGAGATTTCATCACCGCAAGTTTCGCCTTTTTTGGAGTCAAAGTGCGCCCGCACCAGGCCGAACACTCTGATATTATACTAGGCACCAATTAAAAAAAAATTGAATTAGAGATGTCGGAGTGAATTGACAGGACCTATATGATTCGAAATGTCGCTGAATGAGATTTCATCACCGCAAGTTTCGCCTTTTTTGGAGTCAAAGTGCGCCCGCACCAGGCCGAACACTCTGATATTATACTAGGCACCAATTAAAAAAAAATTGAATTAGAGATGTCGGAGTGAATTGACAGGACCTATACCATTCGAAATGTCACTGAATGAGATTTCATCACCGCAAGTTTCGCCTTTTTTGGAGTCAAAGTGCGCCCGCACCAGGCCGAACACTCTGATATTATACTAGGCACCAATTAAAAAAAAATTGAATTAGAGATGTCGGAGTGAATTGACAGGACCTATATGATTCGAAATGTCGCTGAATGAGATTTCATCACCGCAAGTTTCGCCTTTTTTGGAGTCAAAGTGCGCCCGCACCAGGCCGAACACTCTGATATTATACTAGGCACCAATTAAAAAAAAATTGAATTAGAGATGTCGGAGTGAATTGACAGGACCTATACCATTCGAAATGTCACTGAATGAGATTTCATCACCGCAAGTTTCGCCTTTTTTGGAGTCAAAGTGCGCCCGCACCAGGCCGAACACTCTGATATTATACTAGGCACCAATTAAAAAAAAATTGAATTAGAGATGTCGGAGTGAATTGACAGGACCTATACCATTCGAAATGTCACTGAATGAGATTTCATCACCGCAAGTTTCGCCTTTTTTGGAGTGAAAGTGCGCCCGCACCAGGCCGAACACTCTGATATTATACTAGGCACCAATTAAAAAAAAATTGAATTAGAGATGTCGGAGTGAATTGACAGGACCTATACCATTCGAAATGTCACTGAATGAGATTTCATCACCGCAAGTTTCGCCTTTTTTGGAGTCAAAGTGCGCCCGCACCAGGCCGAACACTCTGATATTATACTAGGCACCAATAAAAAAAAATTGAATTAGAGATGCCGGAGTGAATTGACAGGACCTATACCATTCGAAATGTCACTGAATGAGATTTCATCACCGCAAGTTTCGCCTTTTTTGGAGTCAAAGTGCGCCCGCACCAGGCCGAACACTCTGATATTATACTAGGCACCAATTAAAAAAAAATTGAATTAGAGATGTCGGAGTGAATTGACAGGACCTATATGATTCGAAATGTCGCTGAATGAGATTTCATCACCGCAAGTTTCGCCTTTTTTGGAGTCAAAGTGCGCCCGCACCAGGCCGAACACTCTGATATTATACTAGGCACCAATTAAAAAAAATTGAATTAGAGATGTCGGAGTGAATTGACAGGACCTATACCATTCGAAATGTCACTGAATGAGATTTCATCACCGCAAGTTTCGCCTTTTTTGGAGTCAAAGTGCGCCCGCACCAGGCCGAACACTCTGATATTATACTAGGCACCAATTTAAAAAAATTGAATTAGAGATGTCGGAGTGAATTGACAGGACCTATACCATTCGAAATGTCACTGAATGAGATTTCAGCACCGCAAGTTTCGCCTTTTTTGGAGTCAAAGTGCGCCCGCACCAGGCCGAACACTCTGATATTATACTAGGCACCAATTAAAAAAAAATTGAATTAGAGATGTCGGAGTGAATTGACAGGACCTATACCATTCGAAATGTCACTGAATGAGATTTCATCCAAGTTTCGCCTTTTTTGGAGTCAAATTGCGCCCGCACCAGGCCGAACACTCTGATATTATACTAGGCACCAATTAAAAAAAAAAGTGAATTAGAGATGTCGGAGTGAATTGACAGGACCTATACCATTCGAAATGTCACTGAATGAGATTTCATCACCGCAAGTTTCGCCTTTTTTGGAGTCAAAGTGCGCCCGCACCAGGCCGAACACTCTGATATTATACTAGGCACCAATT